AAAGCAAATGATCCTTGTCGCCGGTCCAGAAACAAGGTGACTTTCGAAAGTTGTCCAACTCCACTCGGGTAATCTGTCAATTGCCGCTACAGCGCCAGAAGGCGGTACCCGGACGAGTGAAAAAGTCGTTGATGGTGGACGCTGTAGCTGGTTCAGAAGAGGCAGACCCCAATATGAACAGAATGACAACAGGGGCAACAGTGGGATTCTTCTTTCTAGGGGAGCACATCGAACCGAATGGCTGGAACCGGATGGCTGTCCTGCTCGGTGGTTTGATCGTCCATGCAAAATGAGGTCTTAGAGGTTGTCCTGGCTTTTCCTCTCCGTCGTCCCCGTCCCGATTCTCAGTAGCAGAGACATCGGGTGGCATCTCGACTTCCTCAGACTGGGGGATTGCGGCTTCAGGGGGCACCAACATGGAGCCTGAAATTCGGATTGATTCACTTCTCCGGCCTCGGCTATCAGCAGATATGCTTTGACATCAGTGCTCTCTGCATCCTTGGGCACTGGTTCTGTTGTCGGTCGCGGTAATCGTGCCATTTCAGGGTACCTACCAATCTCCAGATCGACATGGTTGTGACTGCCCAATACTATTTCCTCTTGAGTAATCGTGTTGGCTCCAGATCCTTTGGATTGCGTCCCGAGACTAGCGAGGAGCTCCGTTTGCATCAACTTGCTCTTACCTGCGTGGCAGGAACAGTCGGCATTGCTATGAGGTCCATATGATCACACAGTCCGTCCCAATCTGGCCTACCTCCGCACACGCTGGATCTTGCAGTGATCACACTTCGTGAGCATAGGATTGCCTGGCACACACTGGAACAAGAGATGGTAATGGATTAGCAGGTCCCAAATGGTTGCGAGCCGTTTCTAAGGTAGAATCTGCCAACCTTGAGCGACAAAACTCCGATGCCCCTTCTCTCTCACCCGGGCCGTCAAAGATTCACAGCCGCGGGTTTGCTGCCGGCGCAGGTCATTCGAACACCCGCAGAATCCAGGAGTCCCTTGGAAGATCACAACTTCGTCTCGAAAGAGATCCGACCCGAACAGCTCCTTGGCGCGAAGAGGACAGCAAAGGCACACCGGCAACTTGAGCTCGCTGCACGAGTAGCTAGAGGAAGGCCAACCCTTTCCCGTTCATCGAGTTGGATGGCTGCAGTATGCCTTTAACCGTATGAGGGTAGGTATAGGTTGCTGGCATGGCCCACAACGGAAGCCGCATGAGACCGGTTCACTCTGCGGCGACCGGTGCATTGCCCACCAGTAGCTGAAGATGGTGGATGACGCTGAAGAAATGAGACCTGTTCTCACCTTTACCCTCTGGTGTCGCCTCTCGGACGTTGTGGACGAAAGCGTTACGCAGGACCTTGGTTAACCTGGGTAGCGCTGTCTGAATCGTGACCATCAAAGTCTGTCCTTGAGCTCTTCCACATTCCCATGCAGTTTGTTCGTTCATTGGTCTGGATACGAAAAGGGTGCCGCGGATGCGCGTGTTCGCTGACTCGAGCGCCAACTGCTCCCCCCATCGCACCCGAAACCATGGCCTCGATGGAATGGTGTATTCGGATGTGTCGCGGGCCAGTGGCGGAGCACCAGCCTAATACTGTTCCATTTGTTGAAGAGGTAATCAATCACCAGCGATGGTGTTGCCCATGACAATCTTGATCTTGCATTGTTGTGACTTATTCCGTCAGTTCAAGGAGGATCTCTTTGCACTCTTGCAATATCTTCTGTGGTATCTAGGCACTCTTCGAGTGTAAGAGACCATCGTGGCTCGATCCAGCTGGAGCTCATGGGCGCTCGACCCTCTGTATGCTAAGTAGAAGCTTGCACAAACCTAGATGCATCATTTGGTGCACGTTTCGCCAAGCAGTACAATTTGCTTGTCCACCTTGAAGAGTCAATAAGTGTCAACAAGAGCCCCGCAGTGCGATATATAATGCTTGCTTTGTTCTGTGCCTCGCGAGCGTGGTACACGATCCGTAGTCTAGTAAATCTGGAAGCTTGAGCTGGGTATCCAGGCCCACGGGACCAAGCTAATATCCTGCAGCGGCGCTGGAGGTCAGAGAGTCGTATCAAGGACATTGTGTGTCTCAGAATTCGGAATCCCTGAGATATCGTACGGGGCGCCCAGGTGTGTTAGCTCCCCTTCTCCCTTTCTGGCAACAGCGCACCAGCCTCATGGATCTGCACCATGTAAGTTGCCAGCCGTGTCCTTTTTGACATATCTGAGTCCCTCTGGTAGAGGCAGACGTGTAGATGAAGAAGCATATAACTATCCGTCTTCATCGTAGAGACCGCAGGGACTTGCTGATAATGCCATAATAACACGAGCTTGCCTCCAACCAAGACCCCACGACCAGAAGTGCCGCTGAGAATCTATTCCGGCTGCACGGTGGTTCGTCCGGTATGAGTCTTTCGGTAACCATCCGGCTCATCACTCAGGCTTTTGTGGCTTCGGTGGTGGTGATCGTAGTGAGCACTTCAGGCGGAGAACAGCCTCATGAGTAGCCGTCCACCACCCCACGTGTAGAAATAGTCACCAAAGCACGTCCACACATGGTGCAATCAGGCTATCCATCGGTATGACCAAGGGATGAGTCCGCAATGGCGGGTGCATGCGTCATTTCGTGAGCTCGAGGACTTGCTCGTCCGTGTATCCGTGCTGTCGGGAACAGACAGGTGAATGTGGCCGTTTCTATTTCTCTCTTCAAGGATGAGATGGGGCGAAGTCATGGGCTTTCCGGCGTCTCACAGCATCCTCTTCCTCAGGACACTAATCCCGACTTCGGACTCTCAGAGCCTCCACAACGCTCGTGTTGGGACCCACAAGACCAAGCATAAAGTCTTGGCCAGTAGCGTTGTATGAAGGACCGGAACAAAATGATCGCGTGTTCGCCCGTGGGATAGTGTCCTCGAGCGCCAAAACGCAGCGGTAGAGAAGACCGCAGCGACGATACCTCGCCTTGGTTACCGTTGTTTCGGCCTTCCAATGAATATTCTCTTGTCCTTCTTCTCAACGTGGAAACGGACACTCTCGTACAGAATATGATCCATGGATCCAGGGAATGCCAACGGACAAGCGCAAGCGCAAGGGTACCCAGTCTGCCAGACTATAGAGCAGAACATGCCAGCACGAGCCTTCTCGTGCACGTAACCTAGCCTGTGCGCGACAGCTAGGTCCGTTGCTTCCCGACTCTCGCGTGGAGCACGGCCACGCATGAGACAACGACCTTTAGGATGTAGCGTTGTCAAAAGTACTCCGTGGTGTTCTCTCACGCCGCCGCTGGCATAATTGTGATCCGTCCTTGCTAATTCATTCTCAGGGCAACGCTGGTGCGGCACTCACGTGGACGATTAGCAGAGAGCTTGCTTGGCCGACAAGCCTAGATATACCGTTTGCCGATGGGCATCGATCATGGTCTTGTGAGCTTCACAGGTATTAGTCGTCATGCTCATCTAGGTCGGTTTTCCGACGGGGCGACCACAGGAGGTAGAGATATCCGCAGGTCGGATAAGCGCGCAGTATGGGAAGAGAGATACGGTGTTGTTGAGCCATCTTCGCGGGTCGAGAGTGGAAAATTTCGAACCCAGGTCCATGACTCGAATAGACTCCTGCTCGTAGGGAATTGGTTCGGCCCATAACGAAAGCGCTCGAGAAATAGCCTGGGATAGTTCCCGAACCTCTGCTTCCGAGTGATGTTGGCCGTATCTCCGGAGCGGGTTGTATGCCTCGATATATCTCGTGTCCGGATCGATCATGGCTGCCGCGAATCCACCTTCGAGTCCCATTGGGATGTGTTCCGGTTCGAAGAGGTTAGTCGCCTTTTGTAGGGAGTAGATCCTGGCCACTGAGATATGGGGTTATCGGTGTCTTCGAGTGAGGTGGAATTGTCACTTCCGCCGTCGCGTGAAGGATCCACCTTGTTCTTTGCTTTCGATGAGCCTTGACTTGGATGGGGGTGCAGATGGCGTCGCGAGCACCGATCTTGCTTTGGTCCTTGGTAAGGATCAAGTCGGCTTTGTTTCGCCCCGAGCCATTACATGGCGAGTAGCGCGTCAGCTCTGCAGTTCTCGAAGGTTGTCATTGAGAGTCAATCACCCGTAATGCATTCAGCATCGACATCCGCTATCTCCGACACGACGCGCATGTCGAAGTTCCGTCGCACTAGTGCAGTCACCACGAATGCCCAGTGTCTCTGAGTCGAGTCGGGTAGGCATCACACTTGTCCTTCTGCCTCTTCGGCTCTCGTTCTCGTTCTGGCTTGCGTCGAACCGGCAAGGGTTGTACCTGACACAGGAGGGCAACCAATGGAGAGACCGAGGTTTCGAGGCCGTGGAACCTGAACCGGTCAGGTCTGTAGGAATGCCGTTTGGAAAGACGTGAGAAAGACAGGCACGCACACGCAGATATGTATATATATAGAGAGAGAGATACACACAAGAAGAAAAGCATGGACAACCAGAAACCAGAAAGCGAGCGAGGGATGGGACAGGGTACTTATACCTGAGAGCGGCATCTTTTCTTCTGTTTGCGGGCAATATCAAGACATCTTGAAAAGTAACACCGAGTAACATACTATCGGAGTCATCGAACAGTCATGAAGCACTCATTCCTGGTGGGAAGCATGTAGTGCTGAGTGAAGGTTGCATGCCTTCAGTCCTGGGGAGATGACGAAGAAATCGAGATGACTCCGTGGGTCTCGATCGGCGTCTCTGACTGGATATATACAACAAACAGGTACGAGAACCAAAAGATACCAGCATATTGTAAGTGACACTGTCCAGACGTCAGTCAAGTGCCATCGCCGTGAGTCACACGTGGGGGAAGATCCAACAACTTCATCAAAAGACCTGAGTCAAGTGGTCGACCAAGCGAAGGGCAGCCGTGCAGTGACAGGTACAGGTCTGGACAGCTCAGCTTTCACTCCCATTACTGTAATGAAGACTTTTCCCGGAAACACATCACATCATATCACATCACCGAATTTCTGGATTCCCTACTTCGGTCCCTCGATGAGCACTTTGATCGCTTTGCCGGCTTTCACGTCTTCGAATGCCTGTTCTGCGTCTTCAAAGTTGACTTTTCGACTGATCAATCTCTTCACGTCCACCCTTCCGCTGCTGGTCAGATCGACGGCCATAGCGTAGTCACCTGGGCCATATCGGAAGCTGCCTTTCACCGTTAATTCTTTGGTGCATGCAGCCATGATGGGGAAGGTCATTTCATCACGGCCCATTCCACCCTGCACGTAACTGCCTCCCATACGGAGGACGTGGATGGCCGTCTGGACACTGGGTTCTGCCCCGCTGGCGTCGATGGCGATGTCTGCTCCTGAGGGAAGGTCGTTCTCGTCCTTTATCTTCTGTGCATTCTCTGCCGCTGATACTTTCGACGGTACAAAGGTTGAGGTTGCTGCAAAAGATCGGGCGAATTCAAGTCGTTCGGTGTTGATGTCCACGGCAATAACCTTGCTGGCACCCAATGCCTTGGCGACTGCGCAGCAGAGCAGTCCGACAGGGCCGGCACCGAAAACAACCACGGTATCGCCGTGCTTGATGCCCGATTGCTTGGTGATATGTACGCCCACGGCCAGAGGTTCCATCAACGCGCCCTCCTCCAGCGACATGTTCTCCGGTAGCTTGTAGCAGAAGTCTTCCGGAAGCACGTAATATTTTGCGAGCGTGCCATCGTATGGCGGTGTCGCTGCAAATGCCATGTCCGGGCAAAGATTGTATTTTCCTTCTTTACAGCGCACGCAATGCCGGCACGGGATACCTGGCTCCATTGCGACGCGGTCCCCCTTTTTCACACTCTTGACGGCTGATCCAACCTCGAGTACTGTTCCAGCGGACTCGTGTCCCAGCACCATAGGATCTTTGACCACGAAATGTCCGATCCGGCCATGTTGCCAATAGTGTACGTCGGAGCCACAGATGCCTGTAAAGTTCACTTGGAGGAGGACGTCGCGGGGTCGGGTGAGCTTGGGAATGGGACGGTCTTCGAAGAGGACGTCCTTGACGCCCCGCAGGACGAAGGAGTTGTTCTCCTGCGCAGTGTCAATATTACAGTAGAGTTACAGATACGTGACAGCGCGACCTACCTTGGTCTGTGTTTCAGAAGACATGGCTGAGGCAAGCAAGACCGGAACGTACGTAGCCTTCGTCAATCGGCGAGAAAAAGGGCGGGCAGGCACAGATGACAGGGAGGTCGACCGGTTGAGGGTATGACTTTTTGCTGCAGAAATCGGCTATCAAGCTGGCCTTGTCCCTTGCGGACCGCCTTCCACTGTGAGAAATCCAAACCGTGATGCCAAAATCAACACCCCCCAAATCCACACGCTCCCTGACCACCGGAGGGGTCGCGCAGCCAGAGCACTGAGATATTAGCCTAAAGAATACCAGTTCGTGGCGCAGGAGTCTGGTGCGGGGCTTGACAATTGGGGGCGCCAGCAATGACATAACCCTCGCCGGGAAAGTGCCTCTTCTGTGACGAGGCGCCAAGGGCAACGTACAGTACTTCGGTAGACAGATTCCCCGAGCCGGGCGTTCAATGGCCCGCTTCGATCTGGACAATCTTGTCGCAGTTGAGCAGGCCGAGGGGGTCAAAAGCTTGCTTAAGCTACACCCGGGTGTCAGTCTGGAGAGCAACGAGGATAGGGCAATAGAGCTCACCTTGCGCATCGCATCGACAGTGTCGTCTCCAAGCTCCTCGCGGAGATATTCGCGCTTCTTCAAGCCGACGCCGTGCTCGCCTGTGATGGTACCATCCATGGCAATAGCACGTTGAAGCATGCGATGAACCAAGTCCTCCGCAACCTTCTTCTCGGTATCGTTGTAGAGGAGGATTGCTATCATATCATCAGGACGTAGATCGAACGCCGGCGGGCAAGTACTCACTGTGAAAGTTGCCATCTCCGACATGTCCACAGATACCGCCAATCAATCCACTGCGAGCCACATCGTCGTGAGTCTCCTGGATGATGTCGGCTAGTCTGCTGATGGGAACGGCCTGTCTCGGTCAGTTGCGAAATTGATCGGAGCGTAGAATATCACTCACTACATCCGTGGTCCAGACGTGATCGGTGCTGTTCTTGCGCATAGCCATGACGCTCCACAGCGCTTCCTTTCGAGCACTCCAGAGCTCAGACGCCTCATCATCGTTCTTTGCGAACTCGAAACTCTTGTTTTGTGTACTTTTGGCGAGGTTCCTGACGATCTTGATCTGCTCCTTGACCCCGTCGGGCGTCCCGGCGAACTTGAAGAACAACGTAGGCGCTTCCTGCCACGGTCTGCTGGTCATGCCGCTTTTGTTGATACAGCGCATTTGGACGTCGTCCAAAATTTCCATGCCCGCAAGCTGGATACCATCACCAACTACGCGTGCGACGCATTCAGCAGCGGCATGGATGGTGGGGAAAGTGGCGACAGCGACGGACTGGCTCTTGGGAAGCACAGTAACCTTCAGTGTCGCTTCCGTGACAATTCCAAGTGTACCTTCGCTGCCAATGAACATCTGAGTCAAGTTGTAGCCGGCGCTGGATTTCCGAGGTCGCCGTCTGGTCTTGATGACTGTTCCGTCCGCGAGGACAACGGTGAGAGAGACGACCCAGTCACGCATCGTTCCGTATCTGTAAGCATTCGTTCCTGAACAGCCAGTACCAACCATGCCTCCGATTTTGGCGCCTGGGCCCGGATCCGGTGGGAAGAACATGCCGTGCGCTTTGAGCTCTTCATTGAGTTCTTCCCAGCCCAGGGCGGGTTGCACCACGATATCGAGATCTTGAGGGCTGAACTCAAGAATCTTGTCCATTCTGCCCATGTCGATGCAAATGCCTCCTCTTGTGGGTGCAAAGTGGCCTTCCAGACTGGTGCCGCCAGACAGCGCCGTGACGGGGATTTTCCGATCGTGGCATACCTTCATGATCTTGGAGACTTCCTCGGTCGTCGCAGGGTAGACGATGGCAAAGGGTCGTTCGTTCGGTTTCGTGGTATAGGAGGACCATTCTGAGCCGGAGTGGGCTTCGAGGTCATCGGGAACTGTAGAGACGTTGTCTTTGCCCACAATTTGAGCAAAGTCTACCCACGCAGCTTGCAAGTTCGAAGTTCGTGTATCGTGCTGCGGGGGCTGTGCTCTTGAGAGAGGGGTGGTCGAAAATACTTCAGGCGCTTTCTCGCCTTTTGTGCCCAGATAGTACGCTCCCGCCGCGACGGAGAGAATAACTGTTGTCGTCAGCGCCATGGACACACCAGGGAGACCACGGGCATACCAAAGCTGAGCCCAAGAGTCCTCCCTCCAGACCCTTCACCTCTTTGCGCTTGGGCTCGTATGTAGTTCTCCTCTGAGGCTCTTTCGCGCTTCAGCCTCTCGGCGGTGCTCTGATATAGCTGGCCTCGAAAGGACAGGTTTTCTTGCGAGCCATCCTTGCCCTTTTCTTCACGCCTCAGGGGCGAACTGTGGAACGATCGGGTGGCCGAGACTGCTGATCGGTGGGAGCCTTCCCGTTCGAGGCATCGCAGGAGGGAGCTGGCTGGACGGCGAAGCTGCGAAAGTGAATTCATCGTGAACTGGAGGCGACCCGACCACGAAACGTTCTCTGCCGCTCGTCAACGCATTTCTGAATCTTGTCGGAGTCTTATAAATGTATAACTAGGATCGTGACCCGGCGGGAGGCAGCGACGCCGTGATTGAGCTGCCGGCACGAATTGCGGAGAAGTTGTGGGAGACGCTGGCGCAGTTGTCGACGGAGACGCGACCTCAATTGGGCCTCACGCACACTGACGACTTCCCCGAGGTTTCTTCGAGCAGCCTGGCCCCAGATTTTGAGAAGTCCGAGTGCTTGGCTCAGCCGACTGCCATCATTGATCTAGTGTGTAATGATCTATGGCTGTTCGCATGGTCAAGTGGTCGCCTATAAGACCGGAGTGCGCTACGACTCCGAAGCTCACCCAGCATCACGAACGGGAAGGGCTTAAGTTTCATGCATGGTTCAACTTCTTCGCGGAACCCTTTCTGGCGCTGGTTGGTAGAGCGTGCCAGTGGCCTGACTCTATGCATCGGACTGTTCACCATTTCATCTAGAAACTGTGCAGCAGGGTCGCAAGCGATGTCTTCTTCTCAGCTTCTGCACTCGGAAAGCCAACACGGTTTTGACTCAACAGCATCTCTGCTCGCTGTCCTTCCGAGCAACATTGCTTCAAGTAGAGGCTCCCGTACTATGGTCTCCGGGCGAGACTCGGTGTCGGTTGTAACCAAGTGATGTCCACGTCTCGCCCGGCTTGCTCAGGTGCTTCGACGACAGATCATGTTGTTGACTACCGCTGCACCCAGGGCGAGCACCACCACCCAATGACCTACGCCAAAGGGGGCCAGCGAAGTCTTCACCAAAGGTAGAGAGTTGAAGGCACGACCCCAGCATTTCCGTCTATCGATGGAGTACTCTGGTCATTGCAGCTACCGTCTTCCTCACTACCTAGGTAGGCTCAGACTGTTCATCCCAAGCGCAATCGAGCCAAAATCGGCAAAAGCTGCTCGGCCGACTCGAGGCGGGAAGACAGAAATCGTACTCATCAAACCCCGTTTCCTGAGCATAACCTCCGCAAGTTTGGCGTTCCAGAACTATGCAAGCCTAAGTCTGGGTCATCGTCGGGCAAGATCCACGCGTGTTCATGGCTAACTCGAGTCCACTCCGCCTCGAGATCCCCCGCATGACTACGCTTCCACGTTTCGTACCCGAGGAGGGTGTAGCCGACTTCGCATGAATGGCGTGATGGTCGTTCATTCAATCAGGGCTTACTTTGTACTTACACTCTCGATCCACACCTCCTACGAACACACACAATTTCTAGAAATTCGCGCCGCCAACATCCGCTCATAGAAGCAACTCCGGTAAGAAAGACTCCGTGCCTGTGTGGCATGTCGAAATGTCCTTCTCCAGCATTCCGATCCTCGACCTCTCGCTTGCGCGGGACCCCGCAACCAAGCCACAATTACTCAACGAGCTCCGGCACGCCCTGCTCGAAGTCGGCTTCCTGTACATCAAGAACACAGGAATCCCTGAGAGCCTGATCAATGAGGTCATCTCGTTGGGCAAAGCCTTCTTCGACCTCCCAGAGGAGAAGAAGCTCGAGATCGAGATGAAAAACGCGCCCTCCTTCCTCGGCTACAACAAGCTAGGCATGGAAATCACGCGCTTCAAGACCGACTGGCGCGAACAGATTGATTTGTCGACGCCGCATCCCGTACCTGGGCCAAATGATCCCCTGTACCGGAACCTGCTGGCCCCGAACTTGTGGCCCGACCCGAACGCCCTGCCGGGCTTCCGGGAAGTCTACGAGGAGTATATGGCCAAGATGGGCGACATGAGCATGGAGTTCACGAGCCTGATAGCCGAAGCGATCGGCCTGCCGAAGGATGCGTTCGCGCAGTTCTTCGACGACGCGCAGCAACACAAGCTGAAAGTTGTCAAGTATCCTGATTTGGAGGAGCTGGGGGTCGTAGGCGAGGCGCAGGGCGTCGGGCCTCACAAAGACAGCATGCTAACGAGTTACCTGCTGCAAGCGAGCCATCATCGCGGTCTGCAGGTCCAGAACGCGGAGGGTCAGTGGGTCGATTGTCCGCCTATTGATGGCACGTTTGTCGTGGCCATTGGACAGGGCATGGAGGCACTGACACAGGGGGTGTGCCAGTCGACAACCCATCGTGTGCAGAGTCCCGCACGCGGCTCGGGTGCCAGATACAGCATACCTTTCTTCCAGGGTGTCAGTTACGATGCGACATTCGAAAGTATGGACGTGCCGGATTCGGTTAAGAAGCTGAGAGCGGATATCCTGGAGAAGAGGGGAGGCCAGAGGCTCGATGATATAGAGTTCACCTTCATCAAGGGCATGTGGAGTCGATTAGGCGAGGCGACCTTGATGAACAGAATCAAGAGTCATCCCGACGTTGGGGAGAGATGGGTAAGTGTGATACGGGCATCTTTGTTGCCAATGAGGCGGTTGCTGACCGGACCGGCTATAACAGTATCCTGAACTTCTGAAGAAGATCCGAGCAGACCAAGCGGAAGAAGCAGCCAGGTTTGCGGCCGAAGAAAAGGCGGCTTCAACAACATCAACGCCGATTCCGACACAGCCACAGTCCATATCAGCACATTGATCGTTGAAGCTTCCGACATAGATTTGCGAATGGACCAGCTAGGTACGCGTCAGGACAAGAATCGTCCCTGCAGGTTCTCAGCTCAATTCAGATGATATGCCATGCTGAATCAGTGAGGTCCAGTTTCCCTCCCAGCCCGCTCTACCTCACGGCGTACACGTTTCCGGTGACAACGACACTATTTTCCAACCGCACCAAGTCGTTCTCGCACGGTCCACGTTCCTCGAAATAGTCCTTTAGCGGCGGAGTGTTCCATCTTTCGGCACTTTGTAGAATGACCTCAATGGACAACCCGTTTCCCGCAGCCAGAGCGAACCAGAAATGACCTTTTGCGTAGGAAACAGTCGTTCCGCGGAGGAAGTAGACAGCGGTAGCGATTAGACGAGGTGGTCTTATGCTGCCAGTGACGGATGATGCCATGTTGGACCGTATTTCCAACATCACATCCCCAAACGTTCGAGAGACGTCTTGCTCGCATACTCGCCGAAGCCGAGAGCCCATGAACGGCGGTCGCTCAAATCCAAAGTAGAATCACTTTTGAAAGGATCCCGCCCTCTCTGCAACCGATCTCCTTTTTGAACATGAGTCCGCGTTCATCTCATTCCAACAGCGTCTGATCAAATCCGGACCAGGCAGCATGTCCTTGCAACAGGGGCGTGATCGTGACCAGCCTCACAGTCAGAGAAGAATTCAGAAATCGGCACAGGGTCATCTCTGGAGATGATCCATCCCACTTGCGGTAGTGGACTTGCACATGCGATAGAGTCTAGTTAAGGGTAACAGTCCCCGGATCAGGCTCAGAACCTCAAAAGGGGCTTCCAAGCAAAGGCGAATCAATTTCTGAGGCCGTAGTTACCTTGTCGTTGCGGGTCGCGAATGTCGTATCCGTCGCCTGAAGCCCGTCGATGTTATCTGGTTAGTCTTGTTTCGCGATCCATGAGACCTCCTTGTCTCTGGAAGACAAGACATAAAATAACCTCGAAGACAGTGTCAGCGTGGGTGGACTAGTCTTTTTGCAAGGCAGTGAGCGAAGTTTGGCCCCAAACGCGCAACTTGAATACGTGTCTTTTAAACGCTCCTAAGGGGAGATAAAACATGTAAGCAGCTGTCGTAAAGCTACGTCTTAGCGGGCACACTCTCTCAGCTTCTTTTGCAGCTTCCTAGGTACCTGTTCCATGACATTTTGCATTGCCATGTTCGAGATTTCCAGATGCGTAGCCCGAAGCATACTTTTGCTATACCCCGCGCTACGCGCCGAAATCTCAACCATGCCCCTCTCCAGCCGCCACTGTTCTCAGTGCGACAAGCACCTGACCGCTAAAAAGAAGAACCTTTCCAAAAGGCCAAAAAGGGGACGACCACGAGAAGATTCGAACTCCTAATCTCTGGTGTTTTTCTGAACCGAAAACCAGCGCCTTAACCATTAGGCCACTAGAAACTCATTATAAGTATGACGATAAATCCGTTGAGGTGGTGATAAACTAACCGCGGCCGAGCATTTTCTGTAATGAATTTATCACGAATTTCTGCTGCTGCATCTTATATCAAACTAACAAAACCAAGCAGCAGGTGGGGTTGCGGTCACGCAATCCGAGCGGCAAAGAGGCTTTGATTTCAGTCTCCGCAGTTATGCTCCCGTTCGTTCGATCCATCCCTGCTACAGTACCTAACAATCTCAACTTTATGAATGACACAAGCTTGCCTCCTCCACGCGCGGACCTATCAATGGGAGCTCTATCCCGTGGAGGCCGGCAGTCTTTACTTGCTACGAGACAGGATTTGCAGTCGGCAATGTCCCACCGAGCGAGCACAACAGCGTCGATCGGACGCATTATCGCCAATTTATACCTACCAATTCAGCCAGTCTGACATGAACTCGCTCCAAAAGTCCTCCCCACCGAGTCTCGGCTCCGCGTTTGATGTACCTGGAGTCTGCAGAGCTCGAGTTGAGGCCGATTTGTCATTTTCGAGAAAGGAATTAACAAGCTCGTACGCTGAGCCTCGGTGACCAATGTCGGTGGAAGATTCGTCTTGATGTGCTTTGAAAGACCGTGCCCGCTCCGCCACTGCGACCAATATCCTGTCCAGCCAGCTCAGCAAGTGAGGCGCACGCAGAGCAATGTCCGCTTCTGGTTCCGCTTGAGACAAGCTGTTGTGCAGAGATCGAAAGCGTTCAATATACTCATGCACTGACCACGGATGTACTGAATCGGCGGGAGGACCACCAGTGGCTGCCAGACACCCGAGCCGAGCCAGAAGAAATAAAGTCGTGATCAAGTGTGCCCATTCAACAATGCCCATGCGAACGAGGTAGGACAACTCTTGATCGAGGATATTCGAAAGCAGTTGTTGGAAGTGATCGACACAAACTTGGACACCCGCGGGCGACGGTGATTTTGCGGTCGAGGACTTGAGCAGACTGTATGCTGCGGTAAAGTGGAAGGTCGATCTTACGGTTGATGATGTCTGTGGGTGCAGGAACGTCGTCTGCCAGTCTTTGAGCAAGCTGAATCCTGGTTCCGGAAGCTTTGCAGCACAGTTCGACGAAACGCGAGCAGTGTGATAGCGTACCACAAGATGCAGCAGCTCCACCAAGGCCGGGGCTTCTTTGTCTTGCGGTCTTTGCGATATGGTGGCCAATATCATCGCAGCATTCCTCAAACTGTCGATGCATCGCATGTTCTCCGCCCTGTCGTACCCCAAGACACCACCTCCACAGTTGAGGTAGTAGCACAGCAGAAACGCCCGGATTTCATTTGAGTCTGCCTCTTGCTGCGGTGAAGGGATGCTCGCCTTTGAGAACTTCTTGGGAAATCCCAAATCAGCAACCATGCCATTTGCGAGTTGCAGGAACTGGTAGACTTGGTGGGTTTCCAACTCAAAGCGACGGTGATACCAGGCCAAATACGTCAGAAGGTCCTGAAGGAGTTCCAGGCTAGTTTGTCCTCTCACGATGACTCGGTCAGCCAGGACATGCCGGAAAAGGTTGTCTGCTTGTTTTTCAAACTCTCGATCAGAGCTGCTTCCCGTGAGTATTGCAGCCAACAGCAACACAGGATTGGTTTCGAGCAGACGGCTCAACAGCGCGTTCGTGTCCGTGGTAGCATCTTTCCCATTTGAATGCGTAGAGGCAAGTTGGATTGCGAAGGGAACTGCTTGCGCCATCCGGCAATATTGGTCAAGAAACTCCTTCGCCTGTTGAAGCTCGAGATCCCTGCAAGCAGGCCACTGATCGATCGCACCGACTCCCAGCTCCACAAGAAGGCCATGGCCGAATGCCGCCTCGTTTTCCTGGCCGGCTGATTTGGTCCGGACTCGTTCCAGTAACAGCGGTTCTCCCACGGCAGCATTATTTGGGGCAAATCGACCTTTAATCCTGGCGACTGTCAAAACGGCCACCTCGGGTGCGACGCGACGAGGTATAAGTGCTCACCTCTTCAGAGTGGCTGTCTTCTTGATCGCTTCATGATAGACACATGTGACCCCGGAGCGCTCGCATCTGGTGCCATCAATTCAGTCCAAGAAACGTCTCTCCATCAGAGTAAAGACCCGCCAGCATACAGTATGCTCGTGGAGACTCACCTTCTGCACGTCCCCTCACGGCTGCCGGGTAGGCATCGAGACTTACGAGCCCGACAGGACTCACATGCGCGTCTGCAAGAGCCTTGCATTAGCGATTCATAGGCCAAACCCGGGCCCGATCTTTTGTGGACGAAGCACAGAGCACGGTAACAGTGGGCGAGGGATAAAACCCACAGGACCGTCAATTCGTCGGACCGACGGTAGCAGCGCCGGGATTGGTCGGCATTCGAGTCTGGGGCTCGGAGGATTATACTGCTAACTTCTTCCGTGGAGGACCAGCCGATCATATACCCCCTCGCGTCTCTCGACGAGGGGCCGAGAGGTTCTCGCAAGAATACTGACTAGGGATTCAAGATCATCAAGTACAGTACAGTGTGTCTACTTGCGGTTCGCCGTTCAGTCGTCACCCTACCCATCATGCTATGGGTATCTGCATCAATACGAGCACCACGACCGAGACGTGGGTACAGTCATACCGTCTATTTGTCCACTATTTCTCCTGTAAGACGGACAGCAATGATCGTGTCGTTTGTGCGACCGGGACTTGCACCTCATCATGCTCTGCCATTCATGGCACGTAGGTCGAAACCTATGCCGGCGCAAATGCAATCATCAACCTGGCCCCTCCCCTCCAGATCACTCCTTTCAACCACTTCGACTTCGACGGCCTCCCAGAACACCCAACTCAAGCGCATCACTGTCGCTGAGCACGCGTCCCATCTCGCCAGCCAACGCCTCAACCGGCCCGTGAGCCCTCACCTCTCGATCTACCGCCCGCAAATCACATGGTACTCGGGCGCGCTGATGCGCAACTCGGCCATCCTGATCACCGCCCCGGTATACATCTTCGGGGCGGCATATCTGATCGCCCCGCTTGTGGGCTGGCATCTCGACACGGCCAGTGTGGTCGAATGGTTCGGGTGTCTGCCACAGGCCGCAAGGCTGTCGATCAAGGCCGTCTTTGGATTTCCGTTCTGCTTCCATATCGTGCACGGCTTGAGGCACCTGATCTGGGACACGGGGATGATGTTGACGAACAGACAGGTTGCGATCAGTGGGTGGATTGGTCTGGGGGTTAGCGTCCTAGCGACGATGGGGTTGGTGGTGTGGTAATAATGAGCGGCGGCAGCGGCAGCGGCGGCAGCAATAGCTGCAGCAGTAGCAGTACCATCATGCGCATGTCGGGCGAGAAATAATACAAAACATGCAGTACTCCGTCCTGGGTAAAGAACACACGAAAATCGCTCAGTAAGGGCGCAGCGCATGCATGACTGAAACACATGTATCCATATCCATATCCATATCCGTTTCCATGCCATGCCATGTTCATACCGTACCTACCATACCATACCATACCACCCCATATCGTAGCAAAGTATCATACCTACCTAGTTCAAATCAACTCGCCCCAGCATTCTCCTCTTCTGTTTCGGCCTCCACTTCTGCAAGCGTTTTCCTCCTCGGCGTGTCGACCTTGTGCCTCTTCTCCCGCGTATCGCAGCCTAACCACAACAAGTCCGGCCGGCTATAATGGCCACAGATGTCGAGGAAGCTGCGCGCCATGATGGCCATGCTGGGATCGATATCCGCGATCACGAGGCCCTCGGCCGTGGGTTCCAACGGCTGGGAGAGCACGCGGCCGTCGGGCCCAATGACGGCAGAGAACCCCCCGCCGGGACTGTTCATCAGCATGCTCTGAGATGTGCCCATGAGGTCGATACCCCCGGACCCGAGGACGGTCGTGGCGTGCAGGACAAACGTCTGCGTCTCGACCGCGTATGTCTGTGAGAGACTTTGACAGCCTAGATCGGGCACAGAGAGGATGGAGGTTAGATTGGTTCAAAGTTGCAGGTGTAGGTAAATAGATAGATAGGTAGATAGATAGGCGGGGTCGTGTAGGCAGCGCAACGCCTGGCGGCGTCGCGCACGTCATACTGGTACTTACCCTCCTTGGACATACTCCACAGCTCGGGCCCGGCGTGCGGGCTCAACGGCGGCCAGGCCGCGACGTGGATATCCTCGCGCTGCGTGGCCGTGTGATACTTGAGCAACGGCTGACAGTGCTCCCAGCAGGCGAGGGATCCGACGCGCTTGCCGCCGCCCAGTTTGGTGGCCACGACGTTGAGCAGGCTGTTGCCGCTGGCGTCGCCGAAGATGGTGCGCTCCATGTGCGTGGGTTTGAGCTTGCGGCGGTGCATGAGCAGTTTGCCGTCGGCATCGATGATGGCCTGTGCGATGTACACCGAGTTGTGGTCGTTCTCGGAGAAGCCCAGTGCGACGACGACGCCGTGCTGCTTGGCGCACGCTTGGATGGTGCGCATCTCAGCCGAGTCCACGACCAGGGAGTTTTGGATGTATTTTGTCGAGAGCGCCGGGTCGACGGGGCGGTGCCTGAGAGAGCAGGAACGTGGTCAGCGCGCAATTGATTGTCGAATCATGTACGTAGAGTCGCTCTCAGCCACTCACCATATCCACGCTGGGTAGCCCGGGATGAATGCCTCAGAGAAGCCAACGAGTGTGACGCCTTTGCCGGCCGCTTCCGCGATGATGGAGCAGGTCTTTTTGACCGAGGCGGCAAGGTCGAGCCACTCGGGCTCGTATTGAGCTGCTGCCACGCGCAGGGTGGACGAGGGGGGTGTTGCGCTGCCCATGGCTGCGAAAAGGCGACTTGTGAAGAAGGATCGCTACGGTGAGTGAGTGACAAGGAGATTGATTGTTCGCACTCCCTAGGAAGCACGGAGACTCCGGGACGTCCGATATATATGACACGACGTCTGCTAGAGTAAGACGCAAAACAACGCAAGTCCGAGCGGATGCGTGCCTTGCGATGTGAGCTATTGAACGAACGAACGACTGGTGGGTGGGCAGGTGGTGAGCTGTCCCCGATAAGAGTAAGTCCTGTGGCTTGAGCTCACCGTGTCAACCTTCTCCGGCGGTACAATTCATGCTGATAAGTGTCCGGCTGAGCCCATAACGTCTAGATCCTGCGTCCTGTGTACTAGGCGTCAAGCCGTTTCAACCCAGAAGGGTCCATGGACGAGGGGCTAAGGCAGGACACTCGGGCTTCTCGTATCGCTTGACGCGGGGTCGGTAGAGAGTCCCTCAGGCCCTCGTGTCAACCACGGCGCTATTTCCGCTCGCAAGAACTGGACTCTTAGCTGGTTCGCCTTGTATTTTCGCTAGCTTGACGAGAACCGAATCGAGAAAGGTAGCTGCGAGCGCTGACTGGTGTTGTCCTTACCGGCAAGGGACGGGCTAAGGAGCACCCACGCATTCCCCACCTAAGGCTCCCGCTGCTTCTACAGTAAAGTTACAGCTTCTCAAGCAGCATGAGCCCTGTTCCCTCCCGACAGCCGATGTACTCAGCCTCCAGATCGCCCTTCTTCAAGACGCACAGCTCAACCCAGATCGAGAGCTTGCCGTCCTCGCTATGCTTCCCGCCTGGTCCATAGGCCTCGAACGTAGTCTGCCGCAACTTGACGTGATCTTTGAACGAGCGTCCGGCCAACTCAAAATGAGCAAGGTCGAGGAAGTACATCAACTGATTCGTCTCGGCAACGGCGTCCGTGTCCACTTCCAAGTCGACGCCCGGCTCGAAGGTCGGCTTGGGCTTTTCGTGACCGATGTTGAAGGTGAATGAGACTACTCCGTTCTTGTTCCGCTCAGTATCCAGATGGTTCATCCAAGCGACAGCATGCGGGGCCAGCTCCTCTTTCCAGGTCTCGAGCTCCTCCTTGGGCAGGTTGGGCTGTCTCTGGCCCTCCCGACAGAAACACAGATTATCGGGAATGTTGGTAATTTTGACCCTTCCACGCTTGATATCGGCTGACGTGGAGGCTTTGGCGAGATCGACCACTTGCTTCCCAGCGTCTGGCTTCGCCCTGGCAACGGTGACGAGCGGCGATGTAAACGTGTCGCTCGGGTCGGTGTGCTTGTCAGGATTTTCACTCAAACGATGTCGATAGACACCCCAGTATCCTTCATCGGAACTCTGCTTGAGTCCGAGCATGGTTGCCAGGCCAGACGTTTCGTCCTGGTTGGCTGCGAACATGTATCGCGACTTGGGAACGGTCATGACTTCGCGCCATACACCGGCGTCATCCGGCAAATTGTCCCAGAACTGTTTCACTTCGTCCGTTGCCTTCCATTTCTCGTAGTCCGCGGATTGGAGCCAGTATGCCACGAAAACGGTCGATCGGGGACCATCCCGAGGGACACCGTGGCTTTCGTCCTGCAAGTGATCGATTCTACCAGCTGACTTGCCGAGCAAAGTGTAGAGGTCCGAGATTATCTTCTTCTTTTCAGCCGTAAGGCTATCATGTTGCACGCCGAAGAGACCATACGTGAAGACGAGGCCTTCGCCCTCCAAGTTTGCCAGGAATACCATTGTGCTACCGCTGGTGCGCGAGAACAAGCTGCGAGGCGGAGAAAGTGGTCAAACGAAAAGTGGACAGTGCACCCCAAGTGAGGGTTAGTCAACTCGATATAACCTTTCTCTCTTTGTCGAAGAGGATGTTTCCTTGACGCACGCTAGTCCTCGTATTGACGGGCGATTTGCAACGCGTACACTCGCATTGGACTGAGGTTGACAAGACACGAATCGCCATAATTCCGCCCAGGATTGGCGACAGTCTTAAGAACGGGCTGGAACGCTCGTAATTAGAAGTGAGGCTCCGATAAGACTTACCAGTCGCGGTTTGACCGGGTGTCCTGGGGATCGGCCGTGCTGGTGAAGGCCGAGGGGCGAAGATGGCTGGTCTGGATGAATTCTCCTTCCCCGAAGCCATCCACCTACCAGCCGCAGAGTCTGCCTGCTCACAGCACTGTGAGGAGAACATCGTGTGGCGTATGCTCTCTGCAACAGCTGGATGTAGTCATGAGCGTGTAAAACTCTGAGCAGCCAGATGAACGCGTGAAGCACGAATCTTGCAGCCACGCCGCAATGCCGGAGAGGATCAACGTCTTGCCGACTGGTGTCAGCGAACTGCTGTCCTCGGCGAGAGGTGACGAGGCAGCGCGGCGAGCATAGCTTGCACCATCGATTCACTCGTTCAGCCTCTTGGTCAACAGCGGAACGGCTCCTATGCAAGAAGATGGTGCTCGATCAGAGCGAGCAGAGAACTGGTGGGTTCAACGGTGGAGGGCAGCGTGATCTGTCAGAATTGTCGCAGCCGTCTCCCGTGTCAATTCCTGAGGTCATAGCAGAATGAAAGACGTCAGTCCAAGCACGAGCTCCATGTCGAGCCCATGAATACCTACCATACCCCGGACTTCTTATGACCACATCGACATCATACCGAGGTATACATCCACACCTCAAGCGAACGGATAGGTGTTGAACCTCAGATCACTCCTCATTTCTGCGCCTTCTACTGTGTGATAGTTACATTGCTTCCACCACATCTGCAACACAAACATGGCCGGCGGCAAATCCCTCAAAGAGTCCGCGGCATCGAACCCGACAGCCCTGGGTGATCCTGTTTCGCTGAAGGCCGAGAAGTCTGACACCTCGCCCACGGAACAGGACCGGCCGAACAAGACGGGCGAGAATACGATCGAACACGACAAGCCGAATCAAAGTGCCCAGCATCCAGCGCTTCAGGGCGGCGGCGGCGGCAGCGGTGGGCCATCGAGTCGCGTGCAGGGTGTCAAACAACTCGCGCCCACGGAGCAGGACATCAACCAGAGCACGCAGAATCCCACGCTGCAGCCATCGGACAAGCATAATCAGAGTCTGAAGGAGCTCGCGAAGAAGGATCTGGGCCAGGCCGAGAAGGGCAATCGCTCCATGATAGGAGATCCTGTCAGTTTGAAGGCCGAAACGAGCGACACAGATCCAGTAAAGGATGGTGGCGAGCGGGAGGACGGGACTGGAAGAAGTGGGAAAACTGGCAAGGGCCGAGATTCAAAGCTCTAAGCTGTAATTGTTGGACAGCGCGCACAAGGAGGCTGTGGTCTCTTGTACAAGCAAGTGGGCATCTCCTCGACATTCGCAAGTTCTGGGGAGAAGTGTACGCACGGTCACGCTTCGAATGATGGCACGTTCAGGAATTCGCTGGTTTCTGCTTCATTTCACATTTCTTTACACTTCGGGTCCCCCGTCATTCACATCTCAACCTCGTGCTAGGACGGCTCCCTCCTTCATCGTCGTGATGGCCTTGACATTTGCGTATGCCAAAATCCCCAGGGTCCCGAATTCCGTCCCGATGCCACTTTCCTTCACGCCGCCAAATTGGGCCTGAGGTCCCGCAGCTGGGTAACTGTTAATCCAGACCGACCCGGTCTCCAACTTGTCCGCGACTTCCTGCAACTTCTGCGCATCCTTGCCAAACACCGTGGCGCCCAGGCCAGCTCGGGAATTGTTGGCCCGGCGGATGACCTCGTCGATGTCGTCGTATTTCTGCACCGGCACGATCGGTCCAAATGGCTCTTCCTGCACGATCAAGCTGTCATCGGGCGGGTTGTCGACGATCGTGGGGTTGATGAAGAAGCCGTTCGTCTCGGGGACGTCACCTGACCCAAGCGCAAACTTGTATCCTTGTTCCTTGGTGTCCTTGAAAAACGTCTTGACTTTCTCGTACTGCATGCTGTTTTGAATGGGACCGAGCATGACGCCTTCGTCGTTCGAGGGACCGACTTTCAACGACTTGGCCACGTTGACAAGAGCTTCCAGGAATGCGTCGTAAATGGAGCTGTGCACGTAGATGCGCTTGGAGGCGATGCAGACCTGCGAGGTGTTGTAGAATGCACCCTGCAGAAGTGAGTAAGTGGTTTAAACTTCCAGGGGGGAGATAGGGTCACGTACCATGGCAACCAGAGGCGCCGTCTTTGCGATATCTGCGTCGGGCAAAACGATCGAGGGGTCGTTGCCACCCATTTCCAGGGTGACTCTTTTCACGGTCTTAGCAGCGGCGGCCATGACCTTCTTGCCCGTGGCGATCGAGCCGGTGAAGCTGATCTTGTGGATGTCCGGGTGGTCGACCAGCGCAGGACCCAGCTTGTCATCGCCGCCGAGAGCCTGGACCAGCCCAGGAGGGAACACTTGGTTTGCGATCTCGACCATCTTCAGTGCGGTGTATCTGCTCGGCCGTCAGCGTTACGTCTCTGTGAGAGGGGGTTTTCCTTCGGCATACGGCGTAAAAGGACTCGGCTTGACAATAATGGCATTCCCCATCTGCACCGCTGGCAACACCTTGCCCAAGCTCAGTAACAGGGGGAAGTTCCACGGGCAGATGGCCGCGGCGACACCCAACGGCACAAACTTGTTCACAATCGTCCGATCCTCAAGATCGTAAGTCTCGCCCTTGGGCTCCTTCATGTCGACGTGCCACTGAATGAACTGGGACACGCCTTTCACCTCGGCGGCGCCGAATTGGCGGGGCTTCCCGGTCTCCTTCAGTAGCAGCTCGATCATCTCTTCCTGATACGCCTCGATGGCGTCCTTGAAGCGCGCGATGCGTTCAGTGCGGTACTCCCAGGTCGTGGTCTTCCACTCTGCGAAGGCTTTATTGGCGGCAGCGACGGCATCTTCGATATCTTCGGGTGTGGCCACAGGGACATCCCAGTTGGGTTGCTTGGTGGTGGGGTCGATGCCGTGGTACTTTTGCTTTGAGCTGCGAGGAGAACCGGCGACGATGTTGTTGAACGTGGTGAAGTCGATCGTCTCAAGTTTCGAGGGCGCCATGGCGGATGATATGGTCCGTCTGTTCCTCGTTCCTATGTCTCAGGCTTATCTCTGGCGACGTACGGGATAGATAAGAAAAGAGAGAAGCACAGCAGACAGTCAAGAAAGTGCTCACCCTACTTATACCTACACGATCGAGCCCTTGTCGACCTGGCCACCGAGTCCAGATTCGGGACTCTGCTGACACTGGCACCCCCGTGCATAATGGCCGTGAGACGCGTTCTAATCACTGCCGATGTGGAGTGGTTACTTGTGTTCGTACGACTTACTGTGTAAGAACAGGGACCATGAAGGTGGACTCCCCCGCCCCTCCAGTCATTAGTTAGCACGAGTCAGACGAAGGGAGCGAGGGGTACGAGGGGCTGGCACGCAATACACGATCACCGAGGACGAGGAGTGCCACTACGCGTACTTGGGCCCTTACACTCTATCGTGGTGTACCTCGTAATCCCTGCTCTACCGTCGTAAGTGCCGGCTGACCACGTGGAGCAGCGTGCATAAAAACGAGGTTGAATCCGCAAATGGGCCCGATACAGTTTCCCTTGAACAAGGATCGTTTACTAGATACCACACTTTGTCACTGAAGATGGTCTACAGTAGAAACACACGACGGAGCGTTTGAGCAAGACTGTTTTCGATAGAAGTGCCAGCCAGTCAAAGCACTCATAGCAGTGCCAAATACCGACTGTTAGCGTTGCCGAATGAACAGTAATGCGGCCGAATGAGCGCGAGAGACAGGTAGATGATCCAGTATCGCCAGAAGTTGAAGGAGCGACGTGGAATCGCTTGGCCTATGAAATTCGTGAAAGGTTCTGCCGTAGTGCTCATGCGGCCGAATGCGCAGTCAGGCGCCTGCCTTTGTTCGAGTCAGATCCCCAGCACACTCAGATTTTTTCATCTGCTGGCTCCCACGCCACAAAGGATGGGTCTCAAGTCAGCAGGAAATACATGAGACGCGCAAGCCGTCGAACCGTGCCTGGCAGGAGTAGCATTGTGAACAACAGTGCATGCCATCCATTCTGGGTTAATAATACAAGATTACCAGTTATCCCCGATCCCCACCCTTCGCCGTCGGTACGTCGCCCAGTATCGAAGGCGCCGTCAAGTAGTCAGCCCATAATTGCATGGGCAGCTCAACAACATATTCACTCTTGCCGACATGAGGTCCTCGTCGTATCGGAACACCACGTCAGCGTTCATGACAAGCTCAGACGCACATGTCTGTAGAGACTTTCGTCTTACTGCGAATGCCACTAGGATTTGATCGATGACTAAATATGCATTGAACTTGAGGCGAGATGTGGCCACCCCCCGGCGAGACTCCAGGTCTCCGATTTTTCGACCGTCCGTCGAGTAAGGGGCTGCCATCCTGGAAATGTTCGATCAAGCCCGCTTGAGCAGGACCACGAACGTAGCTTTCTTGGTCTTGGTCTGAGCGTGATCAAGATATGCCTCCAACTCCTCGTCTTCGTCGATGCGATAGGGAATCTCGTTGCCACCAGCGTCCTTCTCCACTCCATCGATCCGTTCCGCTGTGGAATTTGGATATTTGTCGGCAATTAGCGTTCGAAGCTCCTGTACAGTATGGTTTGCCAAGGACCCCAGCCAGAGTTTGGTCGTCGTATACATGGTGGACTCGGGATGGGGACGGATGTACACGGGTGTCAGAGTCGAGACCTGTGGAGTACCAAGATTGTCCGCCACCTGCAGCAGATTAGGGTCAATCTGGAGGTCTGACAAATCATTCTGTGGCGCAGGATTGGACACTTCGCTGAATGGGTTGGCGGGCGAGGCGGCTGCGTACGAGTTCGCGGCCGGTGCAGGAGTCGGAGCTGGCGGCCCAGGAGTGGCAACCTCAACCCGCGCAGAAGGTGGTGTCGGCTTGCTCTTTCGGAACGTTCCCTTCTTCTTGGCGCGATCGTCTCGGACGCGTTTCATGACATCGCGACACAAGAGTTCCATGGCATCGAGCTTCTTCTTGTGGTCGGGGTCGTTTTCTGGGCCTGGTGCTAGAAGAGCCTGCAGGTACGCGTTGTTGGCGACCCAACGGTCTTTGAGATCTTTCCACTTCTCGGGGCCCATCTCGAGTTTGCTGGTGTAATGCTCCGACTCGAGGATGTCGTAGAACTCGCCGCGAATTTGGCGACTCTGGTCAGGATTCAGGCCCAGAACATTCTTGGATTCCAGGATGGTGAGTCGTTTTCCCATGGTACGAATGCGCTTGGTGACATCGGTGCAGATGACATCCAGAGCGAGCTCTTTGGATTGCAGGTTGGATGTGTCCTGCCACACCACGCGCTGCAGGAGGGCACTCTCACGAATGAGACGATCTTTGATGGCTTGCCACTTCTCAGCGCCAGCGACAGTCTTTTGCAGAATCTGCTCTTCTTCGCACATGGCCTGGAACTGATCGCGGATAGCGCGATACTCTCTCACCTCGAGACCCAGAATATGTCTACTCTCCTCGAGTGTAGTCTCGGAAGGGAATCGAGGCGGGAGTCCAGCGGGGTCGGCTGGGAGCCCGGCATAACCTTTGGTTCGACGACGACGCTTCCTCTCAGCCCAGCGCTGGTCACTGATTGTTTGCAGCTCTTGAAGTCTCTCCCTCTGGCGCTCAACGAATTCCGGTGGCGGGTCGTCCAAGGCTTGAGGTTCCGCATCCTGAGCAGGTTGCGGACCGCTTTCTTCATCCTTCGCCGCCTGGAGTAACTGCGCTTCGAGGGTCGCGTCAGTGTCATCACCAGGCGCCTGCTTAGCACCATTTGGAATTCGCATGAGCCAGCGATTCTTGGCGCGTAGTCTCATTAGCTCACGTTCCTTGATGTCGTGACCTTCGGCTTGAAGGGTTTGGAGCATGTTGCGCTGACTGTAGTTGGCCTCCCAAAGCTCTTTCACACGTTCGAGAAGGTCATCGTCGCGGAAGGTTGGCTTGCGTTTGGACGGGAAACCCCATCGCTTGAATTGAGTTTGAAAAGCGCGCTTGGAAGGTGCGAAGTTGACCGTGTCGCGCATGTGCTGCATGATGTCCTCGAGGGACTGTTGTTATTAGTGACCGCGACGATGAAAGAAGGGTGAGTGGGGTGATTCCTGACATACCTTTCTCTCCTCGATGTAGAGTTTGTAGCACACATCTTTGTGCGGTTCCCAGTTGTACACCTATGCAACACATTAGTTGAGATGTCTTTGCGCGAACGACGGTGGCCATATATACCATGATGCTTTGCCGTAAAGCCGAAAGCGCGTTTGTTGTGTGGAGCGTTTGATCGAGGTGGTGCAACGAGGCAGGAGTTCAGAAGTGCAGATTCTTGGGCAAAGCAGAAGTCGTCTAGAGCTCCGGGTCGGAAGAACATATTCCCGAGACAGGAGACTCTACACAGTAAAACGAAAGTGAGGTGAACTCGAAGGTCACTTCGGAATTCTAGCTGCCCTAGTTCTTCACCGCGGTATCACCTAGATTTCGAAGATCTCTTTGTCCTATCATCCGTCTCCATTCATCGTCAATTCCGACTCTGTCACTCCTCGGCTTCGTCAGCCATTGTGCCTGTCCTTGACGTGTATGCTCCTCCCAGCGAGCAAGCTCCGATGTCGCGAACGATGCCACCGCAGCAGCGCATTCAGTAGTTCTTTCCATGGGCACCAAGTGACCGCAATTCAATACGACCTCCTTCACCTTGCCTTCAGCCGACCCACCACTTCCACCCACTCCGGTTCCCGTTGTTTCCATTTTCTTTCTTCTCAATTCTGGCGTCGCAAGTTCAGAGTTTTTGCCGAATATGTATAAGACAGGGGGTTTCAGTTCTGGTAAACGCCGGAATATTTGGGCCGACTCAGGGCGATAGAAGGGGTAGTCTTCCTCAATGTCATCTGGGTGCATGTCACCGTACACATCCCAATCCTTCTCCGGAGCAATGCCCGACGTCCCATAATACTTCGGCCTCAAGTATGAGAAGACTTCCTGGGACTTCGGTGTCGTGAGCGTCACAGGCGTCTCTTTGCTTCCACCTCTGTCTGGGTACATCTCAGTGGGAAGATCCCGTAACCCGTACTGCATCCACTTCTCAAACACCCTTGAATCCCAGGCCCGATAGAATTTACTGTTCTCAAATTTCGCCCTTGCTTCGTCTCGCGATGTCCAGATGTCCCGACGGTAAGTTGACGGCTTTGCAAAGCTTCTGCTTGGATTCTCGGTCTGGATGACGGGGTCGATAAGGATCAACCCCTGTAGCAGTCGAGGATGAAGGAGTGACAGCTGAACCCTGCAAAGAGTCAACACCTCCCTGCCCGCACAATCGGAGAATATTACAGTTGTGACCCTCCCATGCTATGGCCAATGCCGATTAGTGGCTGGGGCATCTCATCTTGCTTTTGGTTCATAAGAAAGAGGAGGTCTCTGGCACCGTCCCACCAATTCGCTATGCTTGATCAGTTCGAGAGACTTCTCATGCAAATGCAATATTTTGAACCTACGGTCATTTCCCAATGCCTTCTCGTTGAGGACATAGCTCTGACCTTGATGAGCCAGATCGGCAATCCAGATCGCCCGAATGCTCCTTCCCAAAGCTTTCAACTCCTCATAAAGGTCGTCAAACATTGGCTCATAAAGCTCCTACATACCATCTCAGAATGTTTTAGCGCGCGCTCAAGGAAGCGAAAAGAGCTCATTGCATACTGACCTTAGGAAAGCCGTTCGCATGCGCAGCAATGAAGGTGACATCGCCCAGCGTTGTTGTTCTCTCGTTGTATGGCACATATTGTTTCACAGCAAGCTTCAAGTCGTTTTCAAAACCCACTTCTGTTCCACGTGGCCAATGTCGCGTATGCTGCGCACGCACTTCATGCTCGATAACGCAAAAGTGGGACAGCCAACGCCTTCCAAGGGTTAATTCCCTAGATGCGATTCTCTCAAGGCAGGCGTTTCCCGCACCACGGAGTACCCGCATGGTCTAACGTATCATGGGCGGAGAAGTGCCATACCAGGTATCCTTACAGCAGACTCAGTGGTGTCTTACATTTTAGTCCGGAGTAGCTAGTCTGGCGCTGAGGCAACGGCCAAATCTCGGAAATACTGTCACCCTTGGTTGGTCTCTTGTCTTTTGGGATTCAAGCATCTCCTCCGTGAACTTCGAAGTGATTATTGCTTACTCGGGCCCTGCAGTTTTATAATCGCAAACCACAGCTGTATCTGGCACTGGACTTGGCAGTGGTGTATGAAAGATCCAAACTCCGCGGTAGATTGTTGTCACCACAACCTGCTTGTGACTCGAACGCCTCGCAATCAGGATGATGACTCACTCAATTTCTGCTCGTCAGGATTCAGCAAGCCATTGACATGACCGACCAATTTCATGCACTTCAGCGACCCCCCTGAAGTGATGTAATCTTCAGTGATCCTGCTCGATTCTCGCAGTCACTTCAAAACGATGTGTCCCCGTGAGTCATCCTTCTCAAGCCGTTGCTACGCCTCAACATACCAGTGCACGGAGTCACCCACCAGCGATCACTTTTAAATGACTTCTTCCTCCCTGGCTCAACTTCGGACTCGTTCCAACGAAAATTCAAGGTAATAAGAGGAGGCAACGTCATCCATGGCGCACGACAGTCCGACCGAGGATCACGCACTCGAGTCTCAGTCCAATGCAATCGATCTTTTGAGGAGCGTTGCACAAGAGCACCTTCGGAAAATCGACGAGGAACGAATCCAAGAGCAGCACGATGGGCTCAGGAAGACCCAAGACCTGGAGCGCTACGCAAAACACAAACGACCTGGAAAACAGGGCACGACGGCTTCAAGCCACGACACTCCTCTGCCCAAGATGAGGACCGCCCAAGGCCAGTCAAGCCTTAATATTGCCTCCCGCAACGTTGCTCACTCGTCGTTCTAGATGTCCTTAGCCGGCTCCAGTGGGACAAAGACCTCGACATCACAGAATATGTTGTCGGTTATCTTGAACGATTCGAAGGGATCAAGGAAATGCCCGCAAAGAACTGGATCTCTGAGAGCACCGACGAAGAGTGGATTCCGCAACACCGCATCAAATACTTCAAGAAGATTTGTGAAGGTGGTGATCACGACGTCGTTTGGGATCGCGAAGCGCGGGTTGACAAGATCTTCGGCACTGGTGCGGGAGCGAGCCGGATCGATGAGGATGATAAGGTGGATATGGTCTCCGAAGATGGCGGTGTGAGGTTGATGCCTTGATCTGCGAACGCGGGATCGATCTAGGAATGCTTTGCAACAGCAGAAGGCGCGCAATGGAAAGTCAATTCGAAATTGATACAACCCGAAGGAGGTTCTGCTTGGCGCGATCCTTGCGATGTCACACTGGAGTCAGGTAGATCTCGGGGGCATGTTCAAGAACTTGACAGATCTCGGACGAGTCCCACCTTCGGAATTATCCAATGCTTCACAAAACCGAGTTTCGCCGTCACGGACCACAAGCACCAGCAGATGGACCAAGCTGTACCACCATCGCCTCGAAGCATACAAATACTGCCTTGTCAAGACCTTAACTCTGATAATCAAAAAGGCTACAATCCTCCTAACGAGAGCTATGAGTATCCGTGGACTTCTTCCACTGATGGCGGCAGCAAAAGCTGCCGCAGGTCCTTTGATCTCATCGGTTGGGGGAATCCCAACCCTCAACATCACCTGTGGAGTGCGTTCCCCCTTGGCCGTCCGGACTCTGCTGGATTGACACGACTAGGTTTACTACTGCACCGAAAAGAACTTCACGGGCCAGTGTGAATACCGCATGTTCCTGGACAACTTTTGTGTGCCGCTACAAGATCAATTTGTGAGTCGCTCGGGTCAAGGTTTGCACGGGCTAGCATCTGCCCTCTGTGTTCACTGACCAAGGATCACTCCATTTCTCACCAGCATGGGATGATGTTGTCTAAAGCTGAGCGTTCCGCTGGCTGACGCAATACTATGGATAGTATCATTCTATCGCTTCAATTGGGCCAAACCGCGGGTGTACCTGCAATCTCTTCAAGTATGTCTCAGACTACTGCCATCTTACCACATTTTTAGGGGATATAGGAAGGCAGCTGATGTTCAATCCCGCACCAGAGACAGGACCTGCGAAGTCATAGCCTGGTGGAAGCAGGACTGGATGAAAGATCCTGGTGGGGGTGCAGAGAACGTCACCTATCCAGGGACGAATGATCTATCCCCGCTGGGCATCAATGGCACTTTCGGAGGCGTCAAATGTCATGTCAACCCTTCATCGACCGCAACGGCGCTACCACCGTATTGCTCAGTCGGCGAAGAAACGAACTGGCAATGGCAGTGTTAGCATGGTGGCTATTGTCTGGTCATTGGCTTGGTGTCCAATATGCTCCTTCAAGAGCACTAGGGCACAAGTGAGGTCTCGCGCAGAATCGTCAGAAGAGAACTGGTGTCATGAAGCGTATCATCATCACAAGAACGTGGCCTAAAGTTGGGGCAACTTAGATAAGACGTGAACATCGGTCACTCCAACAGATTTGCTTGGTGCAATTAGCAATGCTGGGAAATTGGCAAGCTTGGGACCGCATGATGCGAAATGTTTCACTGAGGATCTTGAAGCAATTATTTACGCAAACATTCTGCCGTTACAGTGACAATGGTGTGAGAGTGTACTGTTGTGACTGGAAAGATCAATCACAAGGGCAAACCGAATGCTCCGCCGTATTCAGCTGTGGTGGAGTGTTAGCACTTAGCGCGCCTAGGTAGAACATTTTTGGTTCTCTCGCCCAAGTCGCTTCAGATACATTCATTCGCACTTAAGACTTGCCTGCTACTGTATGGGTGACTGGAGTTTCATCCGAACAATATGATAACACCCTAGCCTGCTCGCTCACCTCATTTCCCGGGCACGTATGTCCAGGCCGGCGTTGCTTCGGCGTGCGACAACACACTTGCGAGCCAGAAGACAAATCGCATCTTCCTCCAGGACGATGGCAGAAATATCGCCTGCGGGCACGGGCAACCCGTCGCCCGGCAAATTAACAGGCCGAGCCTTCTACGAAAGCATCGGCAGCCCCAGATACATTGTGGCTCCCATGGTCGATCGCTCAGAATTCGTCGGTCCTCCCTCTCACCTTTTCGACCCACGATTCATGTTGACCCGTTCTCCAGGCTTGGAGACTCCTCACTCGATCCTACCTTGATGACGAGCGCTCGAAGTCCCTCTTGGCATACACGCCCATGATCCACGCCCGACTGTTCCGAGAAAGCGCCAGATATCGAGACGAGCACTTCATGCCGACGAGAAGCAGTCTGGTGTCAAAGGAGATATCCTCAGACGTACCTTGGCTGGACGGGAACCCGGTATTGGATAGACCCCTCTTCGTGCAGTTCTGCGCGAACAAGCCAGAGGATTTGCTCGATGCGGCGCAGTATGTGGCTCCGTATTGCGATGCGGTCGACTTGAATCTGGGTTGTCCGCAAGGAATTGCGAGGTCGGGCCACTATGGTGCCTACTTGCAAGAAGACTGGGACACTATCTACAAGATGATCAACAAGCTGCACAACGAATTGTCGGTGCCGGTGACGGCCAAGATGAGAATACTTGACACTAAGGAGAAAACTCTCCAGTATGCGGAGATGATATTGTCTGCGGGCGCAAGCATATTAACTGTGCACGGGAGGAGAAGAGAACAAAAAGGTCACAATACGGGATTAGCAGACTGGTCTGTGATTCGATATCTGCGAGACAACCTCCCCCCTGAAACCGTCATTTTCGCGAACGGCAATATCTTAAATTCTGGTGATCTGGAAGCCAGCCTGGCTGCGACCGGTGCCGATGGCATCATGAGCGCCGAAGGAAATCTCTCGGATCCCACAATTTTCGCAGCGCCTCCGAAAGAATACAATCCGCGGGAATACTGGTATGGAGCGGACGGGAAGGGAGGATACCGCATGGATGCCGTCTTCAGGAGATATCTCGACATCATTTATCGGTATTCACTTGACACGGAACCTCCGACGCGCCAACCGCTGTCAATCAGAGGCGATGATGTGGATTCTTTTGGAACTACGGAAGTCATGAAATCAGAGGATCAATCCCCTACCAACAAGCGAAAGCCGGACGGCAAGCCAAGGAAACCGAAGTCGGACCCAAACATCAGAGCGATGCAAGGACACCTCTTCCAGCTGCTGCGGCCTTTGATCTCTGTTCACACCGACGTTCGAGATGCTCTGGCAAAGACCATCATTGGTGATATTGATGGTTTTGAGAAGGTCCTGGCTATGGTAGAAGCGGCGGTAAAAAGCGGCCTCGACGAGTACGATCCTTCACCGAAGGTAGACCGGGATATTGCCACTACCGCGGATGCAGTATCGGAATCTGAATTGACGCCGAGGAAGAAGACCGAACTAAAGTATCAAAGGCCGTGGTGGGTTTGTCAACCTTACATTCGGCGTCTACCTGAGGAAGCGATTCAAGTTGGAGCTATGACTGTTAGCAAAAAGAGAACAGCCAATACAGAGTTGAGAGAGAGGCTTCTAGGTGAGAAGCAACCAATCCGAAGAACGGATGACTTAAAGGACCTGGATCGACCGAAGGACCAGACTTCTAGGGAACTTCCTCAGCCTGCTCTCGTCTGTGGCTGAGGTGAAAATTGCGAACGTGGGATCGACTACTCATGAGACAGCTGTGACGTCTTGAGTGTTAGTGACCGCTCCCGGGACCTCAATCTCTTGAACCTGGTAATGGCGAAAAGCCCATCGATCCGAGAACAGCTGGCTCTTCGAGGCCCATAAAGAAGCTGATGGAAAGCGCCTTCTCAGCAGAAGTCCCAGACTGCAACACTTTTGTGCACAGGGAGATATCCCTTATACTTGGCAGTGGTGAGGTGGAAGCTGGCCGCCATGGAGACAAGGGTCGACGCCGAGAGAATGAAAAGCTGCCACCAAGACGCCAAGTTTGCAGCGAATGATCAGCAGGTCCGAATCAAATACGCCTACCGCATCAGATATCTGCCAGGTCAACGAGCGTTGAATGCACGAAACGTTTCCTTGGACAAAAGACACTGCGGTTTCGATCGTTTCTTGCACATAGCAGGTCGGCTAGGGTTCTGCATGCTTCACCCTCGACATTTGGCAAAAGCAGGGGCAAGGGGCAAGAGAGGTGACATGTTCAGAGGCCATAGAGCCCCGTTGGAGCATATGGAACGCAACAAGTCATTCCTGACAAGGCTCCTTCCTCTGTAAGCCGCTCCTGCAGAAGTTCTCCGATCAGTACCTCTGCCAGCAACGGTGATTGACATACGCCCACCACGCTGAGATGAGCTGGTTCTCTGGAGCATATCTAGACGGTGTGTATTTTGAGTTGTCGGTCCGCGCCTGAGTTCCAGCATGTAATCATACGTCCAGTCACTTCGGTGGATCGGGCAAATGGTGTTGGACAGACAGTGGTCAACTGCAGTTGCTATTTGGTAATTGTCTGAGTGTGCAACGAGGAGCATGAATGCCTGGCAGCGTCAATGCCAATGCTGGTGCCTTTGATCTATCGCGTGCCCACTGCCAACAACGGCAGGTGGCGAGTGAGTTAATTATAGGGGCCCCGGGGGCTCGAATTTGGGGTCCCGGGCACGTGCTGGGGCATCCTAGCAATCTTCAGAGATCGAGACCGAAGACAGCCGAGGCAGCACCACCGTGGCACGCTACACAAGCAAAGTTGGCAAAGAGACAAGCACCTAGTCAAGAGCTAGACAAGAACTAGACAAGAACTTTTACCCGAAGGTAAATGCGAACCCGGACGAAACAACTGCCACAGACTGTGACCTGATCGATAAATATTGTAATTAGCATCTGTAGGGGAATGACGAGTATCGTTGAGCGTACTCGTACCGCCTATCTCTGGCTCCTCTGGACAGTCAGATTGGATTGGGCCTTGGGGTGATTTCATATCATTATGACCTTGACCCCCTCCCGGTTTGGGTTATGTAGGCGACCAGTCCGGAGTACTGGCGCTATCTTTCACTTTGTGCTTGGCTGTAACTATCTCACACGCACTATCTCTAGTCTCGCTAAGGCCTGTGCCGTTTAACTGGCGGAGTCCGTGAATCCAGTCTTTGGGTTGCGTTCGCAAGTTCAAGTCCTGCGTCTCGCGATGGATTCCATTGTTCGCCTTACCTTGGCCCCTACGACTGTCCTTCCGAGCATGGTTGCGATGCTGTCGGATGCATCAGCTGAATCCTTGGGTAGCTGTTGTAGTGGCCTAGTTGCAGTCGGGCCAGCAGATAGGTCCGGTGTCTTGTGAGAGTCCAGTAATTATCAAGTGTTTGCAATAACCTCGGCCGATGAATCACCATGGCTGCGACGAATGCGCTGGTCTCTCTCGCAACTGTAGGGTCAGCCAACGTCTCGTACGAGTACAGGTCACAAGTTCGGCTCTGATGGCCGTTTCTCATTTCAGCCACGTAACACAGTCGACCCCCATGGTAGGCCGTATGCATGGAAGCTGCCGCCGAAGCTCCCTGGCACCGGAGTGACCGGGCATTGATCAACACGCCACTGCGCACCCACTACGACATCCTTATCTCTGACAATTTCACTGGGGAAGCCATTCGGGAAACAGCTCCGCACGCCAACCATTTTGTCGATCGCGTGGGCAGCGACGCCCGCAGGCCTTAGGGCCCCCGCGTGGCGAATTCATCAGGGCCGACTTGAACGGCCCTTTCACTGTGTTCGTCTTGGGTCTGGTCGTCTACCGCGCTCCTGCTATATGTGTGCCCGCCTTCGGTCGTCATGTGAGAAACCCCCACGTTGGCTCGGTGATGAAGACCTGAGCCTGATGATGGCATCGTGGTGCAAAGAAGATCTGGCGAAGCCCTGCGAAGCTCGATCCCGAAGACGGCGCCACATCGCTTGGCCCAAGCGACTTGCGTCTGTCGTTTGTCCAGCCAGAAATGGCCCTCCACCTTCCCCAAAGCCTAGTCGGGCAGGTCAGTTTCGCCAAATGAGGGCGCGCCGGCACGATGTCACCTTGCTGTCGCATTCACCAATGCGCGTCGTGAACGGGTCCGGCATCTCTTCCGCCCCGAACCACTCTCGATTCATCTGAGGGACGCCTATCTATGATTTGTTCTCACTGCATATCGCTAATGACTTCCTTCGCAGCGCAAGGGTGCTGGTGGTGATCGCATTGCTTGCGAAAGCTTGGTGCTTTAAAGCTGCCCTGGCCGCGGTCTTTCATCTTCCACCTCGATTTATTCTCCCCTCATTTCTCCCGCTCGTCTGTCGTCAAGATGAGCCTCAAGAACGACACCAATGCGCTCGGCGAGAAGCATGCTAACGATGTCCCGACCTATCGAGCGGGCTCGCTCAGTGAGCATGTGCGCGGTCGGCAGTTCAGTCTCGACCCCGAGGATCGTGCCATGGTGACAGCCGACCAGAACCTGCTTCACCGCGATCTCAAGGGCAGACACATGCAAATGATTGCCATGTAAGTTTGGTGCCACAGAATGCCGAGTCCTCAAGAGCATACTAATCAAGGCTCTTAGTGGCGGTGCAATTGGCGCTGGTCTGTTCATTGGTTCTGGCGGTGCTTTCCAGACTGGTGGACCTGCTTCTGTGCTTCTCGGTTTCATGATTATCGGTCAGTTATTCTGTGCACGCACTGCGGCGTGAACGCTAACGGTTATCCTAGGTCTCATGGTGTATGTTTCCAAGACATCGGAAGACTCCGTCCTCAGCTGACATCAAACATTTAGCTACCTCATGATGCAGGCCCTCGCCGAAATGTCCGTCATGTATCCGATCAACGGGGCCTTCACTATGTACATCTGTCGCTTCGTGGATCCCTCCCTAGGGTTTGCCTGCGGCTGGGAGTACGCCATCAGTTGGCTGACTGTCCTTCCCTTTGAAATATCGGCTGCTTGCAATATCATCCACTACTGGCCAGGATCCGAGGGGATCAATAACAGTGCTTGGATCGTCCCGCTGCTGGTCGCTCTGGTGGCTATTCAGTTTTTTGGCGTGAGGGGTTACGGCGAGGCAAGCTCACCGACAGTCCTTATGGAGAACCAAGCTCATTGGAACAGGTCGAATTCGTCCTCAGTATCATCAAGATCATTGCCTGTATCGGCTTCATGATCCTTGGAGTTATCATCAACTGCGGTGGCGTTCCAACAGACGACAGAGGCTACATTGGTGCAAGATACTGGTAATTGCAACCTCGCAACGGCTACCGGCACGGCTGACGATTTGAAACAGGCATTCACCTTACGAGGCATTCCTCAATGGCTTTCACGGCTTCTGCAGCGTTTTCGTCACCGCGGCGTTCGCCTACACCGGCACTGAGCTGACCGGATTGGCTGCTGCGGAAACGGTGAACCCCAAAAAGGAGATCCCGAGGGCGTCGAAGCAGGTCGTGTGGCGTATTGCGATCTTCTACATTGTCAACCTTTTCCTCGTTGGTTTGATCGTGCCCGAGAACAGTGAGCTGTATAGTGGCGAAGGTTCCACATCGCGCCACTCGCCTTTTGTCATTGCCATTCAGCTTGCTGGCATCAAGGTTCTCCCATCGATCTTCAATGCTGTCATCTTGATCGCTGTCATGAGCGTTGCGAACTCATGCACGTTTGGCTCGACCCGAACAATTCAGGCTCTCGCAGCGAATGGTGCGTGCACCATCCTACAATTCTTTCCGACGCTAACTTGGTATACAGGCATGGGTCCTAAGATCTTGGCCTACGTCGACAGAAAGGGCCGCCCTCTGTCTGTGGTCATTCTCCAGCTCCTTTTCGGGTGCCTGGCATTCATCAACTTGGCCGAGGACGGCGGCACGATCTTCAACTGGCTCCTGTCATTGTCGGGTCTTTCTGTCCTCTTCATCTACGGCAGTATCGCTCTGGCTCATATCCGATTCCGCGCGGCCTGGTAAGTGATAGACTGCAATTTCGGCTCTGCGCTCCGATCCTTTATGACTAACTCCTCCCAGGGCTGCTCACGGTCACACCTTGGACGAGCTTCCCTTCAGGGCCGCTTGGGGCGTCTGGGGCTCGTGGCTGTGCCTTTTGATCAACGTCGTCAGCCTTATGGCTCAATTCTACGTCGCGCTGTATCCAATCGGCGGACCGTACCTGGATGCCAACACCTTTTTCCAGCTCTACCTCGCTGGTCCTCTGCTCATCTTCCTATTCTTGTGTTGGAAGATCTACAGCTGGTTCGCCCGGCCGGCAGACCGCGCGTTATTCATCAGAGCCAAGGATATCGATATCTACACCGGCATGCGGGAGGAACAGCGAAGCAGGATCAGTGGCATGGGGGTGTCGGAGGACGAGAGGCGCGCTAGCATCATGGAGCTGCAGGAGGAAAAGAAGAAGAGAGGTCCTAAGGACTGGCTTATGGCTGCTGTTAGAAACATTATCTAAGCTGGTCATGAGTCGGGCCCGATCATCATGTCCGAGCCAGCGATTTGTAGTCGCATGAGTGACAACAAGCGATGGAGGCCGGAGCTGGTGAGGGCAGGTCACGTGGCACATCACGTGCGTCAAGCTTGGCATTGCGCTGCCTTGGGCCTCCAGCTTCTTGCTCGCACACTCAATAATTACAAACTACCGACTGCAATCGACCACGGTTAAGATTGTCCACTGACACTGCTCGAGAAGGCTTCTTTGCCTCTGAATCTGTTTCCGTGGTGAATAGTTCCCATGAGTTTGTACGATCACGCGCCGACTCACAGTCTGCCGCATGCGGACGGTGAAAGACCCTCGACATATACGCAAACCAAATGATGATAGTGAAGCATTCCCCAACCATGAACAATGAACCCAAACGATTCTGACCCGAAGAATACGCCTGCAGCTTTTTCCTGCATAGAAGGACCTGGTCCGGCCGAGTCCCGTGCGACGCGCCCGGCCATGATCAAACTGACGCGAACTGCCAACTCCTCGAGGCAGGTTTTGTGTTCAGCACAGCACAGGGCACAATGAGGCGCGGCCCATGGCTTGGAAGGCCGGAAGGAATGCCGCAGCGACTGATGAGAATGAATCGTCTGCGGCTTTCATGCTTTGGGAATGGCTACTTCCACCGTCACTTGCCACGATGTCTTCCTTGTTCGGTGTCCAGCTTGCCTGCCCTTGCGCAACAACAGCTTCCTTGCAATACCCGTCCTTGTACAAGCGCGATCAGGACTTTTTCTTGTTTTGGTTCATTTGCTTGGGCTCGAAACGCAGCATTGTAAGTGCATATCCATTGCTTTTTGACTTCTGTTTCAACGATAATTAGGAGGAAGACTTCGTCCCCCACATCATGACACAGACTTATATACACATCCGGCCCCAAATGGATATACCAGCGCCCAGTGTTTCTGGAGGAAGATCTTCACGTTCATTCCGCGATGTTTGCAGCATTCCATCCACGCTGCAGAATTGGTTGTTCCGCCTCAGGGTGAACTATGTCGCCAAGCAGAAGCAGTTGCCGTCGGGCCAGGCTCTCGTCGGACATAAAAACCGTGCCCTGCTTCGCACATTCCTCTTGATATCAACTGCTTGGACATGGTCTTATGCAATGAAAACAGCCAATGATGCTGCTCAACCTCAACTCAGGTTTGTGCGCAAATTCCGCAAGCAGCTACTCGCGAAAAACAACCATCGTGACAAAGACTTTCTCCTCAATGGCCGAATACTGGCCAGAGCTCTTCAGCTATAAGTCCTCGAGCACGACGAGGTCGGTTGAAGCGTGTCCTGACAACCGTATCGACTCTTGATCAGCGTCGGGACTCCAGCAGCAGGGTGTAGTGTAAAGTACTTCCTGTCTTGTTGTCGCACCTTCCAGTGTAAGTCCTCTACCTTGAAAGCTGCCTGCTACCAAGCTGACGTGCCAGAGTTTCCCCCGTGCCCTGGAGCGACTATGGATCCCTCGAGGACTCCTGCTTCGCGGCCCCAACGTAGCGCTCTTCCCGTTAATCGCCGGGCTGCGTTTCAGGCCAACCCCCGCCACGCGCCATTCCCCGTGACCCCTGAGGAGCAACGGCAGCGCCTCACGGCCATGAGGAACCAAATCGGCTATCCTGACATCTTGGACACCACGCTGCGGTTTCATCTGATGCATGTCACGGTCAACTGGGACGTCGATCGTGCTGTGATGCATTACTGGGAGACCGAAAACGCCGCCAATGCACCGCCGGCGAGACCAAGGTCTGGGGTTCGCACGGACTCCACTGTGGAACGAGAACGCCGCCGCACGGTTCATCGCATGCAGCGCAGACTGCGGAGAGGACAGCCGGCGCAGCTCCCGGAAGAGATGCTACTCGCGCCCGAAGATGGTGGGCAGCAAGTCGTGCCCCCGGCCCCGGCACCGTTGTCCGCAGAGCGAGCCACTACCAATGCGGTGATGATGACGATGTTCAATCAGCATCGCTTCAACCGGGCTGACGCCGCCGCCGACATCGACCGCCGTAACGGTTACTACAACGGTATCGTCGACGAAATTGCCCGCCTTCGATCTCGGCCCGATGGTCAGATGGCTCGGGATGAACGTCTGGCTCTGTTCCTCTCCATCACGGCAACGAACAGCGTGTTTGCGGCCCAGGAATTCCTCAGCAGACATCGCTGGGACATCGCGGTCGCCATTGATGAGTGGATCCGCACTGGCAGGATCCCTCTGGCGTTCCCTCCCTTCAAAAGTCTCCGAAGCGGACGCCCCAACACTAACCATGGCCTACGGGGCGTCAATGCCAATTGGCCTCGTCGTGTCATGCACGGCACCATTCTGGAGTCAAGAGCCGAGCTTGACGCCTTCGACCGATACAACGCTGACCCCAACCAACCCATCCGAACCCCCCACCAACCCTACGACGACGAGGATCAGGTGGATTCGGATGTCGAGGACGCTCATAGCGCTCCACTGACAAATGGTGCGCGCACCTGTGGTCGGCCCCTTGATACTGGTACTCCAGTCCCCGGCCAGGAGTACACCGATGTTGGTCGTGGTCGCAAGCGAAAACGGATCCCCTCGGGGTTCGTCATCAACCCCGATCGCACCCCTGCTAGACTCCACTGCCCCGATCCGACCAAGTTGTACATCGAGACCATAACAAAGGGCAAGTACAAAATCCGCTACTTCGAGGGCAAGTGCCGGATCAAGGGTGCCGCCAAGGGGCAGAAGAGAGACTGGCCATTCCTCTGGGACGACGAGAATGCCGACACCACCAAAGGGGTCGAATTCGACTGGCACGACAAGGAACACCTGGCGAAATTGAACAGGTGGAGGAACAATGCCTACACCGAGGTCACCGGCTCCACCGTCAGAGAGCCCGTCGGCGACAAGTTCAACAAGTACGAGCAAGACTGGCTCCGTGAGCAAGAGGCAATGGCCCTTGAAGAGAAATACCACCAACTTGCCCAGCAAGGTGCCGCTGCCGGTTTCCGGAATGGCAACAACTTTCCTATGGGAATGTCCGACCAGGAGGTTCAGGACCTCACTCAGCGGTTCAACTCCACGTTTGCCGGCAAGTCCAAATACGACAAGCTCATTTACCGTTGCAATCGCCTGCCACCGAGACCGGATGGTTCCTTCCCTGCCGGGGCTTTTCGATACACGCCACAAACGGTCACAAAGGACATGAGGCACGTTGGCACCGTGCCTCGTCCCGCTCGCACTGCGACCGTCATCAAACAACAGCGCCACAGAATCCTCAACCTTGCCAAGCACTTCATGTTCAGTTATGAGTGGAAGGAAAGCTATGGCGTTGAGGATGAGATCGACCTGGTCGATGAATCTGATTCGGACTTTGTTGACGAGGATGATGATGATGACGAGGATGATGATGATGACCAAGGTGGTGACGATGATGGGGATGACGATGACGACGACGACGGCACTGGCGCGGGTGCTAGTGGTAGTGGCAGTGGTAGTGGGGCTGCCGGCCATGCGAACAATGGGAATGCAGGCGATGGCAATGAGGACGACGACGACGATGATGATGATGATGCTCCTCCTGCAGACGCCGCTGATGGCACTGGTGCATGTGGTGCTGGCGACAGAGATGAAGCTGTGGATATTCTGCAGAACTTCCTCTCCAAGAAACGGAAGCGATAGAGTGTCCAAGTGGTTGCTTGTCAGTGAGAAGATTTGAGGGCAATATTGTTCAAGAGAGAGATTGTCCTAGTAACGGAGTGATCCAAGTGAGAGTGATTGTTCGAATGAGAACGCGGAAAGGTCCGAGGGAGGCAGGGGTCCAAGTGAGGAACAGTAAAACGACCAAACGCAAAGAGTAGATTCAAGGTAATGTTCGCCTGATGAGACTGATCGAGTATCTATCGAGTTAGAGTTCCAAGTATATAGAGAACGGAGACTAAATTGACTATTCTCTACTCGAGTACCAAGTATGTCGAATGTGTCAAGGTCGAGATGAAGGACGAAGCAAACCGCGTGTGCAATTCGAATAAAACTGAAATGAGTGACCTTATGTACTTGGAGCTGAGCGAAGTCTCAACATTCTCCAGCCATCACGCCTCCGAAAGGTCTCGCCGACGATGGAACCACTGTCACAGTGTCACTTACAGTCCACTAAGCTGAACAGAACAACGTTAGAAAGGCGTGAGAGCATGGCTACTACCGAACGGAGCAGTAAGCATCTTCTAGGTTCTCAGGAATCATAACATTCGACCAACAACCTTGTATTTGTATCGTTTTATCTGTTTGTCTGTCTGTGTCTTTCTGCCGTCGTGCGTCGGAAGGGTGTAAATACTTACCTGTTCGTCCACTTACCTTCTCCTCTCCCTTCAAGCAATCTACCTTTCCATATGCTGTGCTTGGCACTCAGATTGTGGTAATCAAGATCGATGGTTCTTCAATCTCACATGGGTCTGCTTCACAGCATCGATCTCACGGCTTCGATCGACCAGGCGGAAGGGGAACTTCTTGAGTTGCGTCTTGGACAAGGCATCCAAGATATTGGCGCCACAGGGGAGAGGTTTGCGGAGTTTCGGTTCACTCATCCAAATGAGAGGGCGGCGACCAGTCATGCGGTTATCGGGGACTTTGATCGGTCTGCCGCCGGCACGATGATGGTGGGAGGGGCGAATGGGTCGGCTACGGTAGGTCAAGTTGAAGTGTTTGTCGTGACCGCCGTAGAAGTCGAACAAGTTCTCGAGGTCGTCGCCGTCGTCGCCGTCGGCGTCGATGGGGAAGTCGCGACCGGCATCAGCATCAGCGTCAGCGTCAATATCAGCGTCAATATCAGCGTCAATATCAGCGTCAATATCAGCTTCGGCTTCAACATCAGCACCGCCATCAGCGGCTCCGTTGGTGGTATCAGCGCTGCGAGTGGCAGCAGACTTCAATGAGCGTGCAGATGTGTCACGACCACGGGCAGGGCCAAAATCAGCAAGAGGTCCAGGGTGAAGATTTCCAGAGATACCAAGCCGAACGCCGAGAGGAGGGCATGCAGCACCGCGATCATCAGGATGTAGCGGATGCATAGATGCCGAAAAGAGCCAGATGTTGATGGAGGTGTGGGTGAATGGATCGAATGCTTACGAACTCCGTAGCAGCTCGCCGAAGAACAAGACTTGGATCGAACTTTTGCCTGAAAGGTGGATTCAAATCCCATTCCTCGAAGAGATGTGGTTGCTGTTGGTGAGGAACTCGAAAGTCCGGAAAGCGAGGTGTGTCGAGAGGATGTAAGGATTCTTGCACAAATCGACAGCCATCTCATCTCCAGGCTTTGTGCTGACCAGTTATCTGGCAACAAAGGACAAAGATTATTTTGACTGGCGCTGTTGATTGTCTACCGGTTGAGTATATTGTCGAAGTTCTCGGCTTCACAATGCATGATTGCATCCTTGCAGACAAGCTCTGTGTGATGCCCTTTATTCGCTTCGAGTTCCAGACGGGCCTGGTTGAGGGCGCTTCCAATGAACCACAAGCTGTTATTGTCTATGAAAGTCATACCCCGGACAAAGCAAGACACTGACAGTTGAGAGGGACTTACCAAATCCACGCGAAATCCTCTGGTGCCTCTGTGTTGACGACCCACACGCTTGACGTCGAGCATCCATACTAACACGCACCCAACACGCGGGGGACGGAGGTGGACGGCACATGTGGTGCATAATATCTGGAGCTGACTCAGCTGCGAGGCTTCCCTGAAAAGGGGTCCAAGGTCGACACTACAGCCAAAGATGAAGAGATACAACCATAACGTGGGGCTGGTCTGCCTCGAGAAGGCGGAGTCATCGTAGAATGGAGTACAAGCAACGGCTTTTCTGATGTCCCGTCGGACAAAAAGAGATCAAGAGACGGATGCTCTTCAGCAAGTTTGGCTTGGAAGAGAGCATTGCTTTCATGTCGTCTTGCGGCGTTGGCCCTTGAAAACCCTCTCCACGTCACAAGGACCAACATGCTACTTGCTGCATATGAGCATAAGATGGCAAAGGGCAAACCCAAGATTTGTCGGGATTCTAAGTAAAATCAACACTGTATCAGTGCTCCTCTATGAAGGGAACCTATTTCGCTCTCCTCAATGCGCGAAACGTTCCAGAGATGACCCAAGGAATTGGCATCCGGGTGTACGAACTCTGCGTCAGCCAATTCCCACACCGAGGGACATTCGCGGCGTGACGATCGAGGTCGACGCCAAGCAATGCTTCGGCTGACCAACTAATCGATACGACCGGGTCTGGTTACCAGTGTCGACTTTTCGGGAGAAGCGTATCATACATACCACGGGGAATAAAGTGGTTGCGGCGGCCGCGATAAAGTGACCATGTTGCCTCTTGCGCCTGGCGAGTGTCCCACGAAGGCACCTGCCGAACTCACAAGATTAGTATAAAATTCCTTGTGGACAGAATGTCGTAGTCTGGAATGTTCCGCAGAGACGATGAGACATCGACCAACACTTTGGCCCGACATTTGGATTATTTCGTCTCTCAAACGGTACTTTTACCTTTCCCGTCAAAGTTAGTGTAGGACTTCTGATGCCTTATTGTGTGGAGATGCCCGACAAAGCATAGCGATAGTCTAGGCTATTGAGGCGCCAGCGCTACTTCGGCAATACAGTTTTCGTTATGGCAAGAGCGGCGACGGTCCACTGACATTAGCTTTCTGTGCTCCAGCCTCATGCGAGCAGCTTGCACTATGTTGATTGAGACTTTCTGTGTCCGAAAAAGGCATTGTGTACTCTTCAGCCCTACAGCTTTGAAAATCTTGATTAGCGGACGAAGGTTACGCCGTTGGCGGAGGGATATTACACCGTCCGTCGGGGACCACCTCGACCTGGAATGAAGTTGAGAATTTGGACCATTACCTCACCTTGATGCCATCTCTTATGATTAGTGATTGACCGCAGCTTGTCAAGCTCACAAGGCCTCCAGCGACATGGATTTAGGGACTGTTCCGCAGTCACCAGCTTGCCGGGAGACATATGAAGAACCGTGAGAGGTTTCCATGGTCAAGTCATGGTCAAGGTCATATCAATCAAGACCATATTGATCCACGAGTAGTCGGAACCCGCTGTCTGTTACTATCACTCACCATGTCCGCAGCCAGAAACAAGATCCAACAACTCCTTGCCAACAATGAAAAGTTCGCAAGTTCTTTCCCCGGCGCGCCGCAGATGACACAAATACAGGCCACGCGAGGAGCACCAGGGGCAGAAATATTAGTCATTCGTACGCCTCTTAACCCACAGCACATTCATCTCGAGGATATTGACACACGTGTGCTGATTTCCTGCTCAGTGACCTGTTTCGATCCCCGTTGCGTCCCCGAAGCTTTCTTTGGTCCGGACTTGCAAGCCGCAGTTTTCCGAAACGCTGGTGGTCGAGTTACCGAGGACGTAATACGGTCGCTCAATATCTTGCGTGCGGTCGTTAGTCTCGAGCTTGTGGCTATCGTTCATCATACCGGTATGGCCACCGCTTGCGGTGTCCCTGTGGCGAAATTTTGAGATCAATGGGCTGACGCGCCAGAGTACATAGATTGTGGAATGAGCCACGCGACTGACGAAGAAGTCCGCGCCTTTGCAAAGTCCAAGAATCCCGCAGCTGCAGCGGTGGTCGACAAGATTGACTTTGGCATGTGGAAAGAGGAACACCTCGAAGAGACGGTAAGAGAGGACGTCCGCAAGCTCAGAGACGAGACGAGCCTTGATGGTCTGGATCTCCTCGGGTTCGTACTAGATACCCAGACAGGAGCCGTGAAAGACGTTGAAATCTAGCCCTGAGCTGTGGATACAGTAAGTATGTGCTGGAACGGGCTGTCTGAGCAAACATGTTGTGCCTGAACGATAGAGTATGGGCATTTAGTACAGCGCAAGCGCAGGTTTCTTCGCCCCCGCAGATACTTGGCCCTGTCGCTCGAAAAGTTGTCTGAAATGGTTGATTGGCGGCTGCACCTGTCAAAAGAACATATGTAGTGGCGAGTCGATCCCTGGCAATACATATGTGTTGCATGTACTGTACTGTACTGTATGAGCATATTGTACTTCCTAGATGTATTCCCGACTCTCACACGCCTTTTGTTATTCAGGCCTTAAACTCAGCCTTGCCACGAATATCCACCACACCAGAAGAACCACAAGTTGTTCAACCCCGCCTAAGCAGAGATGACAGCTCCATGTACGCATGCAAGTAGGACCCTTGACTGTCGGTGCGACGAAGGCGATGCTCGAGTTTCTAAGCATGACCGTGGCTTGGACGACCAAAGCTTCAGGATAAAGGCGCGTAGATCTCTCCGCCACAGAGTGAAGTCTTTAGGAGATTGAGATCGATGGGGATCATGGGTGGTGGTTTGATAATGAGTTCATGCTTACCATTTCCACACCAAACTCGTTCGAGTCAAGCGACCATTCGAGCGTGGAGTACGCTGAAACCATGAGTGCGACTTGCACGGTGGGCCAGACCAGCGGACATGCTCCTTATGCGGAGAGAAAGTGCTTGCAGAGGGATACTCCTCAGTGTCAGCATCATGGATAGCCTTGGGCACGTTTGCTGTATGTGGTAGATGTGGATGGAGACGGCCTTGTGAGGACGATGCTGGAGGCAGTGCTCGGAAGAGCTTGAAAGAAAGCAGTGAGCGACAGGAGAGTGGAAAATTGGGAACAAAGACTGACGGAGTGTGCTAGTGTAAGTTGTGAAATGGATGGATTCGATTATTCTCCCATGTTTCCAGCTTCGCGCCATACACGGCAGCCGGGTCCTCCTGTTTGCGTCTGGGATACTCTCACTGGGCCAAAGCCGTCTTCTCCGCCAAAATGTCCAGTTCTCTGAGCGTGCGACGAACGGGTGAGAACTTCTGAGGAGACACACAATTATCGTACACACCCCTCAAAGCCGAGCGCGGCCCCCGGAACGAAGCATGTTTGCCAGCGACCTGCTATCCCGTTTGGGATGTCCGTCATCGTCAGTCGGAATCTGCTGCGAGGCAAACGCCAGAAAGACAGCCTCCCAGTGCCCATCTGGAAAGCGGAACAAGATGCCGCCGTCGGTGTTGACTCCGTTGTCTTTTCGGAAGCGGCGGCCTGGACTGCCTTGGTTCATGTGCACGTCATGGATTCCATCACCTGAGTCGAAGCGGGAGCCGTACAGATAGATGTCGGCCTGCTGATGGATAGCGTCATCAAGGATGGGTCGCAGTTGGTCGAGGATGTCGTTGTCGGGCCCGTGCTCGTCATAAGGCAACAGCCTCCCCTCTTGGACGTGAAGCAAGACAGGAGTGCGGAGGTAGTCGAGAGCCAGGGATTGGGCTGATGGATCGCGAGACTCGATCCATTTGAAACCGTAAGGCTGGTTCTCGAGGGCACGGGTCAATGGGTGTGAGAAGTCACGGTCGAACCAGTACACGAGCTCAGATGGACTGGCCTGAGATTTGACGTTGATCGCGGCTTTCAGTCTGTCGTTGTCGTCGTCCTTGAAAACGAGATTGATATGGGGAGTTCGATCGCTTGGCCCATCGACCTTGTACGAGACCGGCTTCGCTTTCCAGAATCCGTAGTCTGGAATCGGCATCTTGGGAAACTTTCGTGACGTCGGCTTGAGTGCAGGCTCTATTAATGAGTGGCGGGAGGAGACGAGCTGTTGGACGCGCTGGGGGAAGACAAGGCAGCATGGCTCGATTTATACCAACCGACTGTGGTAGCGCAGCTGAGGCTGATCACATAGTCTGTAGGAGTTGTGACTGGGTTCAGAGCTTCAGCCTCACCGATCTGGCCAACGAGACCCTTGGTAGGCAGGGAAGTATCAGATGTCAGCTTTGGACGCCTCCAACAGGGGTATCTCGCCATTGGATGTCTGATATTGCGTCAAGGCAAACAAAGGAAGCCCGACGCCACAAAATTGCCGACAGGTTAGTCTGTGTCACACGGTGAGGTGTGAGCTGAAGTAGAGAGTGACGTCGATCGTCAACTCAACTTTCGCATAGAAGCGTCTATTCTTCATCAAATGCACGGTCATGGACTTAGCATAGGCAAACGGCGTCAAGAGTCTGGGGCAGTCCCTGTGTGCTCTGACGGTCTGAGCTTGGTGTAAACGGGGTCTCTGGGCACGATTCCCTCTGTGGCCAACCAAGCATGTGCCACCGTTGAACCCCCTGTCCACAGCACAAGCAGGGAATATCCGCCCAGAGACCATTCCAGATTGACAGCCTGCTGCCTGAGCACAAAAGGCGGACATGTCTTACCTCGTATACAGGCGTGACCATCAAATCGCCACCTGCCGCTCGCCATCACGCAGCTGCGATTCAAGGATTCAGCATTTAACGAGCAGATGGAGGCTGAGGAGTCTGTAGACGGACGACAGCTTCCAATAAATTGGGAAGGCTAGCTGTGCTTGCATATGTTTGGACGGTGTGGGCGGTTGGACTGCCGTTACACAAATCCGGAGGACATCCGTTTGATCCAGCCAGACCAGGTAATACTCCGCAATCAAACTCCCTCATAAGTGACAACCGACGCAATCACAGAGATAGTACTCGTCTTGCAAGGTTTGTCCATGGGCGTTTGATGGTCAATCACTGATGCAGGTGCTCGTCGGTTAGGCTATGGGGAGAAACTCCAGACTCCAGATCTCAGCCTGTTTCCTTCAGCTCACCAGGCAGCACAGTGATTTGTGAGCCTGAAATCTGGAGAAAGGGTCCGTGGCGCTCGTGACGCTCGTCAAGTTCGTGTCCTGTTCTCGGCAGAAGCCTCAACTGACCAATTGCAGGTGCATCCTCGTGTGCGGCTGAGCTTCGACATGTTCCCAGATTTCTCAATCCAGGGCGAAAGCCGTGTAAAGGCACTCGCTGAAAGTCGCTGGGATAGGGTATTCCTCCTAGCTTACGGAGTCTGAGCGAGGAAACGGTCAAGCAAGCAACAGCGGCCAAGACAGCGACGTCTCATAGATCCGTGGCATCGAGCTTGTTGTGACGTGGCGGGGCAGCGCTGAGGTTGCTGGTGAGATGGAGCCTTAGCCAGCAATGCTTCTTAAGAAAACATGTTGGACCTGTGAGTGTAGTCGCAACAACATATCCTCATACGTTGATTAAGAAGAATACTATGTACTTGTTGTCCTGCGCCTTTCGTCATTCTCTCCGGACGGACGAGGCTGCGCGACGAGGGCACGAGGGCCACAGTCGCCTTTCCCCTCACATCGGCGTTTGGTCCTCCAAGTTGGATCGTTCATTTGCCGATATGAATTGGTCGTGGGGTGTAGACCAATTCCATTTGATGCTCAGCAGAGGCTGCAAGTCTCACCGTAAAGTACCTTTCGAGCGATAGAGGTTAGAGTCCTTGGAAAGGATTTGGGTAACAGGAGTCAAGCAGTTGTTGCAAGCAGGTCGCGTCGCTACCGATTGTTCTTCTGCTGCATTGTTTGACCACATCGGAAAGGAAGGCACAGTGAAGAAGGTTCTTGTTTTTAGACACCAGCCCACGATGGAGAGCCTGACCAAGATGTTCTCCCTGGCGGGCAAGACGGCCGTCGTGACGGGTGGTACGCGAGGAATTGGCGCTGCGATGGCGATTGCCTTGGCCGAAGCTGGGGCGGATATCATTCTTGTCCAGGTAAGGAGGGCCACTATCCGAGAGGGACAATATATCGCACGTTTATCTCGTGAGCGGCAAGGATGCTGATGACCGGTGGCTGGCCAGAGGGACGAAAGCAACAGGAAAACACACGACCAGATCCAACAACTTGGCCGTAAAGTCACCATTACCACGGCAGATCTCACCGCCCAGGAAGACGTATCGAAGCTGATCCCCAATCTCGTCAAGGCGGGCCACGACATGCACATCCTCATCACATGCGCAGGGATCCAGAAGCGACATCCCGCACATCAGTTTCCCCTGGACGACTGGAACGCGGTGCTACAAGTCAACCTAACTACGGTGTTTACTTTATGTCGAGACTTCGGCGCCTATCTCTTGTCCAAGCCCGTATCGGCCTCCGGTGCCAGGGGCGCAATCATCAACGTCGCATCCCTGTTGACTTTCCAAGGCGGAATCACCGTCCCTGCATACGCGGCGTCAAAGGGCGGTGTCGCTCAGCTCACGAAAGCGCTGAGCAATGAGTGGGCGAAGGAGGGCATCAATGTCAACGCGATCGCGCCAGGCTACATCGAGACGGACATGAACGAGGCGTTGATTGCGAATGAGACCCGGGCGAGGCAGATTCTGGAGAGAATCCCCGCGGCGCGATGGGGGACGCCGGACGATTTCAAAGGAGCGGTGGTGTTTTTGGCGAGTGAAGCGAGTAGGTACGTCAGCGGGGAGGTGCTCACAATCGATGGAGGCTGGATGGGGCGGTGAGGAGGACGACACGGAGTATACTTTGTCCTTTTGGTTGGTTTGGGGGGGGGGGGGGGTTTACTGGTAGAAAGCGAATATGTGAGTTTCGAACAACGGTGAAAGCTACACGTTTCCACGCGGAAGGTTTGCCGAAGCTTTACCGAGCCGCATCACCATCGAAAGCTCTTTCAACCATCTGACACCAACGAGCGCAGTCATCAACAAAGGATATGAGACCTGCTGCCTCATACGACCTTGATATTCGAAGACACTATGCACCGTCCGCGGCACCGCAGTCCCGAAGATCAAGTGACGTAGCGAGATGATGTTGTTTTCCTTCCATCAGCAATGCGCGAAACTTTCGTCGAAGGCTCGCCCGTTGGTACCAAATGGTCCTGCTCGCAGTCTCCGAGTGGTGACCTCTTGGTGACATGTCCTGGATCACCTGCCAGAAACCTCAATAACGCTCAATAACGACGGCCTATTCGGCAACATGTGACGTTCATTCTGTCCACCAGGTGAACGTAGCCTCAGGGTCACGTGGACACCGCCTGTTATTGCGCCCGTTATTCAGCTGTTCACCAGACCCAGCTATTGAAACACCATGGTTCCGAGTATACAAACGGCGTTTGATCAGTTGTCTTTGGACCTTTCTTTCTTTCATTCCCCTCGTTGTTCCTGCTCCTACTGAGACATGCCATTTCCAGCCTCTCAAAGAACACCTTTGTCTGACTCCATGTCGAAGGCCGACCCTAGCATGCTAAACCGCCTTTCACAGGACCTTGTTGACCGGGCACAAAGAAGTCGGAACGTAACGGCACCGGCATCACTATCAGGGATCTCGTTGGGGGGTGGCAATACTCATCCTTCTCCCTTACAACGAACCTGTATACCTATTCCAACCAACGAAAACAACATGGGTAAATTCGCCAAAATGCTAGGAAATGCCTTCAATGCTGCATCAGAGTTCGTCCACGGCCACATATCGAATCAACCGAAACCGTCGCATCATAAGAGAGATCTGTCGGACGGCAATATCAGCTACAGGGCTGCTACGGCCATGCTTGCAAGCACGAGTACCACTCCGACAGTCAGTCGACCGTACGTGGCAGCAGCGGTAGCAGGCAGTCCTAGCACTCCCCCGACCTCAGCTCCTTTCTACACGGGCTTGAACGGCGTCAATCTCGAAAGGGACCAGAAGCTCGTCCAGATGCTGTGGATGTCCATCGTCGCCGCCGTTCTCGTCGTGTTCGCTATCCGACTGGCACAGCTCTTTGTGTCATACATCCGCAACATCTCCTGCATGACGACCGAGCGGCCGTCTCAACAGAACTACTTCAGCGTCGACCGCTCCAGGCTCTGGGCATGGCTGAAGAGGCACCTCATTTACGCCCCGCTTGGCAAGAAGCGACATAATCGAGAGTTGCAGCTCTCTGGTGCTGTCAACTACGGCACGCTGCCCAGCCGAGTGCACACTCTGATTCTGGCCCTCTATGCCGCCACCAACATCGTCTACTGCTTGATTCTCGACTGGCACAATCCGCAGAAGGGCGCCCTCTACGCTGAGCTGCGTGGGCGGAGCGGCATCCTCGCCACGGTCAACCTGATCCCACTGATTGTCCTGGCCCAGCGGAATAACATCGCAATCCCAATCCTGCGCGTCAGCTTTGACACCTTCAACCTCTTCCACCGATGGATAGGACGCTTAGTGGCTGTCTTGTCGCTCATCCACTTCTTCGCTTGGCTTGCCGCGTACAAGTTGGCCAAGGGAGATCAGGCGACAATCCGGATCTTCAAGAATGCTCCGTTCCTCGACTACGGCTTGCTTGGACTAATTGCAATCGTCATGCTACCACTGCATTCACTATCTCCCATTCGGCACGCCTTCTATGAGACATTCCTGCACCTTCACCAATCGCTGGCGTTCCTCACTCTGCTTGGGATCTACGTCCATCTGGACATCATGCATCTGCCTGCGTACCCTTCGATCTTGACAGCGGTGCTGCTATTCATGGGCGAGAGAATCCTGCGCATCGGCCGCATCGTCTACCTCAACTATTCACGTGCAGGCGGCGTGACCACGGCCTTCGTCGAGGCACTCCCTGGCGAGGCATGCCGGGTGACGTTCCAGCTCCCGCGACAAATCACCATCCGACCGGGCAGTCACATGTACGCATACCTCCCCTGCGTGTCTCTGTGGATGTCCCACCCCTTCTCGGTCGCATGGACGAACGTCGAGTCTGAACCTCCGATTGCAGACCACGATCTCTTACCCCACCGACCTTCCACGCCAAACTCCCTAGAACGACAATCGGTCATGAATCTAGTGAGGCAGGCTCCGACGAGTATATCGTTAGTCATTGTCGCACGCACAGGCATGACGAAGCAACTGTACGACAAGGCCCGCGCCGCTCCAGAGGGGCAGCTCAAACTGCGAGGCTTCCTCGAGGGCCCCTACGCCGGACACGACTCGCTGGTCAGCTACGGCACGGTGGTCATGTTCGCCGGCGGCGGCGGCATCACGCACCATCTGATCCAGATCCGGCATTTGCTGGCCGGCGCGCGGGCTCAAACGGTGGCGACCCGCCGGATCGTGCTGGTCTGGTCGATCCGCGACGTCGAGTGCATGGAGTGGGTGAAGCCGTGGATGAACGAGATCCTGCACATGGAGGGCCGGCGCGACGTGCTGATGATCCGGGTGCACGTGAGTCAGCCGACGAGACGGATCGATCGGAGCAAGAGCAAGAGCAAGCCCACCATGCAGATCATCCAAGGGCGGTGCGATCCCGGTGCTGTGCTTGATGAGATCTTGCCCACCAGGATTGGAGCCACTATGGTGAGTGTGTGTGGGCCTGGGGCTTTGGCTGACGAAGTCCGAGCAGCCGTCAGGAGCAGGATTGGTCTGGGGAACCTGGAGTTGAACGAAGAGAGCTTCACATGGTAGGCGGGTTGTAGTCCTGAAAGTCAAGTTCACACGGACGTTACGACTCGCCTTGTACATAGCCTGGCGCTGGAAGCTGGGATGATGATGAATCAACGTAAATAATTTCACTTCATGCTTCCGGGTTTCGGCTGGTGATGCTCACAGCGTCAGGGGAGATGATGAATCAACGTAATAATTTCACTTCACGCATCCGAGTTTTTTTGATGGTGACGCTCCCAGCGCCAGGACGGACGCCGACCCGACGTTAATGGTCGCCTTTCGCGCACGTACTTTCTCGTAGTGTCGCCGGTGTTTCTCTCAGTGCAGGTCGTGAGCTCGCTGCCAAGTATGCTCAAGCTTCGACAGGAAAGTGAGTACTCCGTACCGAACACCTACTGTAGTACCTCCATCGTGAAGATTAGATCCTCCACATTGGGTACAAATTACCTTTAGGCCGTGAGACAGACCTGACGACTGCTGTGTCGTGTCGCAGTTCGGGGCACTTCGATCACAGTCCCGATGGTCTGGAAGGTGGAAGGGCGCGCGGTCCACGGCCTTGCTTGGTGTCTTTTTACTGTACCTCGTTCAAGCCGCTTGCCTTGACACAGTCCATGTCAACCAATGTCATCTCAGCAGCTACTCATTTCAATTTTCTCCTTTTTGATATGCTTCCAGCAGGCGCTGGCGCTATCGCCATGGTATCAGGAACGCCTGCCCGGCTCTTCGGGTGTTCTCAGAGCTTCCTTTGAATTTGAAATTCATCTCGATCTCGACGTTGATGTTGTTGATGTTGTCCGCCGTCGTCGCCGTCATAAAACAGCAAGTCCTCAAGTGAACACATACATGCATACTGACTGACTGGGAGGTTGAGAAAAGAGAAAGAGAGCCGTGAAGGGGATGTGATCAAATGATCAAGCGAAGCGACCAACGAGAGATGTGGACGCACTGTACGGAGTACATGACACGGTACCAGCTAGATAGCCTACGAAGTGACTAGTACTCCATATTCGTTGGCACTAGGTAGGCTACACTACACTACACTACACTACACTACATCATACTTCACATTCATCCCTACGGTGCTACTGCTGGTGCTACTGCTACAGCCACATCTACGAGTACAGCTCCTGCATAACTACCTACCTACTCCGTACTTGCCCATTAGTTGTGGCATTGGTTACCTCTGTAGCCCACGCAGGTAGGTAGCGTGTTGCATCACTCGACTCGACTCGACTCGAGATGCTGTCTGATTTTCAACGTTGACGTCGACGTGAAGTCACGTCAACGTCAGTCTCTCATAGCAAGATCGGTCTCAGTGACGGTGCAATGGATCGTCGTCAATCATGGGTTGGGTATCTCTTCCCACTCCACACTCGTAGCACATTATTGCGTATTCCGTAGGTACACAAGTAGACCGTTTCTTAGGCAGCCACACCGAAGGCCCCTGGTCGCCACTCCGCTCCGCTGCGAATCGCCAAGGCTCTGCGACACCTCGACCACGCTCAACACGGTACGGAAACATTCTTGACCACGAACATCGCAACGCCGTGCGGCATTATTTCTCCATCACGACAGTACAGAGTACTCCCTGCACACGCTACGACCCCTCCTCTATCTGCCCAGCCAGTTGGGGCGGCTGATCCAAACCCGGGCCCTTGAGCAGTGGGCTCTTTCCCCCCGCGCCGTCATCTAAATTCTGCCCACATTGGACTTTCCAATTCTTGGGCACAAACCCGTCGGCCACGCGCTTGAACGCCTCGAATGTGCATAGACTTTCGTCGTCCGCGTAATGATTTCCTGGTTTGGCGCATGCCGGTATCTTCATCACTTTGTCGTTGTAGCGGACGCGGACGTAGTAGCCTTGTAGCCGCTGTTTCTGGTCTTCAGACAGGGAGGAGTAGGGTTTTCGCGCAATGAGGTCCGCGGGCGAAATTGACGGGGACAGGCTGGACTCTCTGGTCAGCGAGGGCGTGCTCAGTGGATCGGACCGCGAGGTGGCGGTGGACTTGGACGACAGGTCGCGCGACGATGTGAACGTTCCGTTTGAGGGCGTGTCGTCGCCTTGCGACCCGGATCCCGACCCGAACGGCGACCTGAGCCCCAAGAAGGAGGCGAAGAGGCCTGGCTTTTGCGCCGATGATGGTGCAGCCGCGGCTTCGGTCTTGGGTTCCGTGCTCGCGGGTGTGGTCGGACTCAAGAAGTCGGCGTCAGGGGTTGATTGCCGGTCCTGGTTCTGGGGTCCTTTCACCCTGAATAACTCAAACGCAATGTGGCTGGTATAGGGAGGCCATTTTTCGCCGTTGAACGCACCCAGCCCGGTCAACACCCCTGCGAGCGTGGTGTCGTGGCAGCCGCTCAACGCAAATCGGATCCCCGTTTCTCCACCCCTTCCTCGGCCCAGTCGACCGTTCTCGCCTCCAATCTCGTTGATGGAGAGACCAGCGCCCTCGATCTTGGAAGTCATGCGCTCCACGATGTCGCCTATCAGGCTCCCTATGCCTAACATGCGGTATTCCCTGTTCTCGTTGTAGCCGCTGAACCACTCCTCGACGCCGATCCGGTCGATGATCTCCCGGGCTTTGGGGTCGTAGAATTCTTTCGGCAGGCGCGTCTCGGGCCCATGCGCCAGTGTGCTGTTGATTGTGTCCATGATGCCGCTCAGGCGCGGGTGGCTGTCGACCGCGACGCGCTTGTCGCTCGTCTCGGGCATCCATTTCCCGATCAACTTGGTCAGATATGCCATGTCGGAGGTGTCGTTCCAGCGATCGGCGGTTCTTTGCGCAAAGGCCCTGCTCAACTGTGCGAAGCGTCGGCAATTGCCGTCGTTGGGGAACAAAGTCTCGTCCGCGGGCGTGCGGGTGACGATGGTCGGGGAGGGGAATGCCGCGGTGCGCGAGCTGAGCGGATACATGCCCCAGAAGGTCTGCTGAACGGATTCGAGCGCGCGAGGGAGTGGTGTAGCACGTAGGTAGATGAGGTCGGCGTTAGCGATCAGAGAGGGCATAAAGCGCAGTTGCTCGATGTAGAGGTGACGCAGGCGCGAGCCGAGTGTGTACGTGGTTTGACGGCCCTGGTCTGTCAGTTCGCCGAGTTGGCTTATCAGTCCAAGTCAGTCAGTTGCTCGGTCTTCGGTGTCCTCGAAGAGAGTATGGTCTCACCAAACGCCATCAACTTGGCCCTTCGGTCCAGCTGCAATGACAGGGCCATCATCCTCGCCAAACATCTCCAGCCGTCTCCTCCATTGCAGTGAGTTCCACTCCGACATATCTTCCGGCGTCATGGCGACCGAGCGCAGTCGTTGCGCCGCATTGCAGTAGGGCCAGTATGCTGGTAAGCCTGCCTGGACAGGTCTCGTTAGCACATCTCTCCCCTCCTGTCGCTTCCGCCTAGTGTATCGGCGGCACTCACATTGCCAAATCGTGCTGAGACGGGAGCTCTCTCTCCATGGCGGAGCAGGACTTGCACGAGTCGCAGCTCGAGGTCTTTCGGGTAGAGCTTGTTGAGCTCGTCTTGGGAATACGGCGGCCGGAAGTCGATCGACGTCATTTCGAGATACGACGAGTTACTACACCAGGTGTAGCCCGGTCTCTGCAGATATCATAGGGTGCGGGAAAAAGATAGGTATCGAGGGGACTTTAGGAGAGACTCAGGTCAAGCCGCAGTGAGTCAATCGTTTACTCCATCGGGACGAGGCTAAGCAAACATCCAAACGGCGCTGCAGGAAGCGGCCAAGATGCCCGAGATCGGCACTCAAGAGCGTTCAAACAGCAAGCACGTGTTTCTCGATTATGGCTACGAATATCCAACACTCGCTCCAGCTGAGAATCCAAAAGAAATGCCATCAGGGTATCTGTGTCCCGCATCCCCAAGCACGTCACCTGTCTCTATCTCCCAGTAGCTCTTAAATATGCATATCATTCATTCTCCGCCCCACTGCCTGCGTATCGTCGACCGGACTAGAAGGGTGGCTTCCATACATGCCGCCTTGCGGGTGTGACGAACTGCCATTCGTCACTGTCGCCGCGGGAGATGGGCCTCCACCGTGCATTGTGACCTGCTCCGCTGACAACTCCTGTCGATGCATATAACTGGGCGTCGGCTGGTATCCCGCATTGTACGGTCCCGGTCGGTCATGCTCGCTAGGCAACTCGTGCACGTGCGGATTGGCCGAGTGTCCCTGTGCAGGTCGCGGTGATGGTGTATCGGCATTCCGATCCGAGAATAGTGCAGCTGGTCTCTGGGGTGTTCCTGGTCCATAGGCGTCGTCCGCGAAGGGGTTTTCGGCCACACCAAAGTCGCCGCTCGAAGTATAGACATGTGACTGCGGACGGGCGGTAGACCGGGTCGGAAGTGAAGGAGGAGGTGCCGGCGCAGAGAATTGGTTTGAGAAGTTGGCCGCACTCGAGAAATCATAGGGCCCGGCGTTGGGTTGTGGTGGCGCTTGTGTCTCCTGTGCCGGGGCACGGCCTGGGGGAGGTCCTGGCGGGGGCGCGAAATGCTCGTCTTCCTCCCGGCGCAGTGGACTGACGGGTGTCGGAATGGTGTTCTGCCGGCGAGGGGGTGAGGCCGAGTAAGGACCATGATCGGACAGCTGCGGATGAGCTTGACGGTGATCGGCGTACACATTCTGGCCGGGAACGTGCTGTGGCATCGACATGGGATTTTGCTGAGGCTCAGCAGCAGGACTAGGTGTCGTCAGACCCGTCGCCTTCCTAGCGGCTAGAACCGCCCTCTGGTGTTTGGACATGGCAATGTTCAGTTGGTCGTTCGTTTCGATCAGTGTGAGCATCGTATCTGGGTCGGGAGCAGGATCCTGAGCATTCATGTAGCTCTGTATGCTCTTCTGTGCCGCTCTGGCGCGGTCGGCGAACTCCTTGACCAGGTCATTCGCGAGCAGTTCAGCTTGAGGAGTTGACTGCACTGTCTGGACCAGGAGTCGAGCGGTGGTCTTGGCCTCCTCTATCCGGCCGACTAGCTCGTCAGGTGGTGGTAGAGTGTCACGTCGTCGAGGCTGCTGCTGCTGGCGGCCCGCAAAGGCAGCAGGAGGGTGGCCGTGCTATTAATCAAAGACTCAGCATCGGCAATATAACCACTGGCTACTACAACTTACCGTCGGGCGCAAAGCATTACGCTTGCCTTTTTCCTTCTTCCACATCTCCATCAGAGGTCCAAGGCTGTCATTGCCCGGCGCCTTGTCAAACTCCATGTAGTCCAACGTCTCGCGCAGTATCTGCTGTACGCTCGTGTCTTTGCCCTCGCGCAGTAATTCTTTGACCGTCGACACAAATTTTGCGTCGAAGTTCTGGGTGAAGGCGTGGGCAGGATTGTCGGTCAGGATGCGCAACAACATGATGGCATTGTACTGTGCGAAGCCTCGGTGGTAGTGTTCCTTGCTCAAATAACGACGGATGGTCACAGCGGCTTCTTTGGCGGCGGCAGGACTCGACTCTGCGGCGTCGACAATGGCTGGGAGATGGAGATATTCTTCGCCGGCTGCGTCGGAGTTGGGGGCGCCAGATTCACAGAACGATGTCTGTATGACGATTCAGCTGATGATCGACAAGGGTGTCCAGACTGTTCACTCACCACTTCGCGGACGACGACGGCTTCGGGCGAGTCCCCTTGTGGTAGCGAGTGGCTGGGGCTTCCATTGCGATCGGGACCTGCACAGCGCAGGTCAGCCTCAGGAAGCGCAAGTTATTGGTGATCGCGTACTGCCGCTCTTCTTCTTGATATTCCCTAGAAGCTTCTTCATCGCGCCTCTGAGACCTGGCTGCGACGACCTCGGCCGGTTGTGGCGGAGAGGTTCGAGTGGGCAGGTGTGGGAAGGATGAAGGCCAGCGGCGATGGGTGCGGGAATCAGTTATTGCGCTGAATGTGTAGGCTGGACTGGAGCGCGATCCAATCAGTGGATGGAGCCTCAGTGGGCTGGATGCACAAATTGTACAGGGAAACGCAGGCGATGCTGGAGATGCTGGAGATGCGGGAGGGTGGGATGCGAAGATCTGCCCGCACCGGCGCTGAGGCTTCTCCACGCTACGAAACAGTCTCTTCTAAACAATCTCGGGTTTCGAAATGCAGAGCAGTAGGGACACTGATAAAGCACAACGATCGGGGTCGCGAAGGTGATATCGAGGCAAACCCTGGCGCCAGCATCCGAGTTCTTTTACCTCCATGCGCTGTGCGAGGCAAAGATGGCGCGTCCTTGAGTGACGACGAGAGAGATTGTCGGCGGGAGGCCGCGTCTGATCATCACTTGGCTCTCAGCTCTTTGTCAGGCGCCGCCTCCAAGTTCTATTTGCCTGGTGGTAATGACTGGAAGAGATGTTTCCCATCCTCCGAACATCGCCTGCGATCTGGCGCAATTTGCCGCCATCACGCATACCCGAGACCGATTGCGCGGCAGGTTGTTGGTGCAACGAGGCTGTGTCAAAGCTTTATTGTTCGAGCGCCCATCAAGAGATCCACATGACATGGTACGTAAGCAAGTATTTCGTCATCTGCTTCGCCTTGTATCGGAGATTTCGCGTCCTACTTCGCCCGGAGATGATGTTCCTTTGCCTACGTGTTCTGATGGTCGACCAGGCCGGCGCAATCGTCAGAGGACAAGCTCATGCTCGCGTCCATAATCTTTCTTTGCCACACCTGGTGTTCCGTCTATTGTGCAGTATGACCTGGAGATCTTGGTGGAATAGCTGCAGCGTTTCGCCGAGCCTTCCACATTGCGAAGGGGCTCCCTGGTCGAGGCATATCAGGGTCGATTTCTCTGCGATCAGGACCGCTATCAGTAATTGAGAACATCGTCAATATGGCCATCTAGCAGAGGGGGTTTCGAACATGCTCCGACCTGTTCGAATGCATTTGGATCTTGAAAACAGTGACATGAGCATTCGCTCCATGCGACATTTCACCGATCTGTCTGCCCCCAGCACCGGCGGCCACGGTTTTCTCCAGTGTAGTGACTTGCCTGTTGCATCCCATCAATCGGCGTCTAATTTATTTTCTGAGTGGTTCACTCATAACTCGAGCACCCACACCTGTATCTGCGCACCAATGTTCTCGCTCTGCTCGGCTCTGGACAAGCGGCAGGCCGCGCACGCTTGAAGCCACTGCGGCCGGAATAGCCCGCCGTCACCAAGCGTGGCCGTACCCAGCCTGCTGATGGAGGGAACCACCCGGCATGTTCTTCTCATAATTCTCATACATATTGAAGCGGGCTTTTTTGAACACTTCACTCTCACTCTCTCCAGGTTGGTTTTTGCTCGGCCGACTCGGCGTATCGATGATTTCTGTTGTCGACTCATCGGCCTTCATGTCTAAAGTCAGGTCGCCGTCTTGTTGTGAAGGGCGGTGCAATATGCTTTCAAAGACAACTTGTCCCTGATCGCTGGAGAGGTAACCCGCTTCAAACGCCGTGTCGGAGGTGAAGAGGAAGGGACATCTTTGGCAATCACCAGCGGTCGTGCTGTTGGGCCGGGAGGAGTCGGTGCGGCTAACGCATCCAGGCAACCAGGCTCCACAGAAGTTCGTTGATGAAGTTGTATCGATAGGAATCAAGCCCATGATGGGGGGTAAGATGGGTTGACACCATGCATATATCCTTGGATACTTGGAACTCGTGAGGATGGTAAGGACATGAGGTAGGTATGGATGGAAATGTATTTGCCGTATGCCGTGTCTAAAGACAATCACGGCATGGGGATGTGTGGTATCATGTGATCTCCACAGGAAGAGCATCCGAGGAGAAGAGCGCAGGCGTGTTGCCACGATTGTCTGGGTGCAGTTCGGCTCGATGATATCAATCTGGTTGGGATCTTGAGCTGGAGCCTGGGCATCAGATCTGGGTTGTGACCTCGAGTCAGCAGTAGCAGGGGACGTTTGTGCGACTTCAAAGGCATCAATCTGCCTCGTGAACTCTGTGAGCTTGTCCGCCGTGGCTCTGGTGGACTCCAGCCATACAAGAGTTTTTGAACCATCGATCGAGTCTGGGTGGACAATTTGCGCTCGTGGGCGTGCTCCCCTGCTGTTGATGGGCTGGGACCTCACCAGAACCTGCTTCTCTCCATTCGCCAGGACTTGAAGGCTAAGGTGGTCATCAGATTGGCTCGCTCTTCTCCAACTCCAGTAAGTCAAGCCCACGCCTTCTGACTGACGTGAAGAAATGAAGCTGTGGTCCCATTGGAAGGCCGACTGGCCGATATCGAATTGATTCAGAGCATGGCCTTGAGCAGTCACGAAGGACACCTTGACTCCGTAAGCTGGTGAGTCACAGATAGCCAATAGAGGTTGCCCAGTTGGACACCAGGTTACGCTCTGGGCATCGGAGGTATTGCAGTCGAAGGACTTGTAGGACAGCAGACTATTGTCATCCAAATGAAACACCGTCACTTTGTCTTGTGCTTTGTCACGCCGAAGGAGAGCAAAATATCTTGAATCTGGTGCTCGGGCCAGACTCCTGGCGTCAGGAAATTTGACGTGGGGAATCTCGTCGCGTTGAGGGCGAGACAGGCTGAGGATCGCGGCTGACGAGCCTAACTCGAAAATCACCAAAGCGTGGCGATGGTCGAAGACAAACTCAAGAAGACCAACTTTGCCGTTTTGGCTTCCGAGATCGTAGTCGGCTAGAATCTTCGATTTGATACCCTCCTTGTCCTCTGTCGGCATCATTCTCGGATTTCTCAGATCGGTGCTCATGGCAATGACTCGCCTCGTGTCAGAGAGCAGAAGCCAGGAGTTTCCGAGCTCGCATTCTGATGTGGTGCTCGATAGGACATCGAGATCGTCGGCGCCGGTGGTGAACATGACCTCTGGAGACCATCGGAGGACAGTGCACATTCGAATGAACGGGCGGACGCTCTTGATGATTCTGACACCATTGATGAATTTCCGACCCTGGGCGGCCTCAGAGAGGTTGATGAGGTGGATCCGGTCATCTGGAGCAATGACTGCTAAAGACTTGCCATCTGGCGACAGCACAGGCCGCCGGAGAGCTTTGCCATTGCTCTTGATTAGCATGGTGAAGATGAAATGGGATGCGGAATTTTTTCTGGCTGAGGTGGCAGTGCAAGAGAATAGAGTCTGCGCTCTTCACCAGAGCGCAATTGCTGTTGATGGTGCGGAACTCACCATTTCTAACACAATCGTCTTCCATGGCGCCCTGCCGCATGTTTAACACACCTTTCAGAGGATGCCGGTTGCCTGCACAGGAAGTGCTCGCCTGTTCATTGTTGATATTTGCGTTGACCTTTGTTGCACCATCGTCGTTGCTTAAAGGAGCGAGCGCCGTGGCATGATTCATGTCACGCGCGTCGTGCCCCGCGCGCAGTACGCGAGATCACATGACCTTAAACAAGCTTGAGTCAGCTCCGTACCAAGTACGGTGTCCTGACACCCAATTCAATTCTCGATGATCTGATTTTCACTGTCCTCTCTCAAGTACACAGTACCGCTCACATGCAATCTACTTTCGGAGTCATGCTCGAGACAAGTACGACAATCTCACCTTTCGTATAACGGCCGCTATGTGCAAGGCATGTCTCCACGTATGGCCATAGGTCACTCGTTGCGTGAAGGTGATCGTAGGGATATCCTCACTACCGAACCACTCTCATTGCATAACCCTGGCGACGGTTCAGCTTTCTGGTCACGACATGGACACTGTACACAGGACAACCAATTCTTTTTTGGTTCGGCATTCAGAAGTCATATCGTGCGGAAATACCTATTATGCCCGAACAATGATAACGAGTGGCTGTGCTGACAGATATACACAGCAACTCCGCCAGCCTTTGTGATGTCCCTCCTTGAAGGTGATCAAATCCATGGGGTATTTGGTGCACTGCATACCTCTCCTGTCGAGGCCAAAAGCCGGGCTCCGATTCTGGCTGTCTTCACAGGCACTTGGTACAGGACCCAGGCAGTATCTTTCCCAGTGGTCATGTGGTGCCGCTGAGGTCGTTGATTGTTCATTTGGTCAATGAAGGCAGTCGTGGTCAAAGAATCACCGACGCAGCTTGGGGCATTCACATTCGAGAGGCGATACCGCAATTCTCACTGCCATGGGACAACTGCCGCTGCGTGGAATTTACTGCTTTGGCGGACTATGCTTTTCTTTACCTCCACGTACTCGTTCCTGGCATCTTTTGCACATCTAAGCTCTCCAAGACGAACGAACTTTGGCATTGAACAACAAAACAGCACTACCATTTGAGCTTTCTTTTCTCGCACATACGACCTCACCTGTATCCCCCTGTCCTCACCTGCAAGATGGTTTCCTCTGATTTGACGCTTCGGTCTTCTGCTGAGCGCCCGGCCGTCGAAGGTTTACTCCTCTTCTCACAGACAGAAATCGTTTTCGCACAGTCAGTAAGTTCAAAGCAAGGTAGGGACCCAGATGAGACCGATACCGACCAGGACCTGCCAGCGAAGCGCAGGATGAACCCGGCTGCTAGGGCTCTATACACTCTGCAATTCGACACAAGAGTCGATGGAAATGATGTTCTCAGCCCTCCAGGTACAACGATCCCCAACACGGCATCTGGGAAGCCATGGTTCCATGATCTTCTGAAGTGCAAGCCACTGCAGGACTTTGTGAGATTTGGTCTCCGAGCCACGACGCTGGACCGCGAGGCTGATGAGCGTATCACACTGTACCGCCACGACGAGGCGATGCGTAAAGCGACGCAAAAGGTCCTGCCACAGCGCAGCCAACCGCTTCGCCACCCAAGTCACTTCTGCGAACTATGACCCCGCGATTCTCAACTTCCAGACCCGTCAGGTGGATGGGCTCATCCGGACTGCAGCCACGTTTGCCAGGCCCGATGCCTTCATGAAACACAATGGCCAGCACATAAAGGCACTAAACCAATGGCGCAATGACCTCAAGCGTCTGTTTGGGGGATCTCCTAGCGCGGACCCAGCATTCACAGACTTCCCTCCGACTCTGGCAAAATATACGGAAGCAGATGACAGATTTCTGCTCAACCGCTTCGGGAGTAAGATTCCGGACTTCGACGTCCAAGGCAAGGGTCTTGCAAAGCAGGAGATCACAAAGGAGTTGAACGCCTTGTTTGTTGGCCGGTGGCTTCCACAGGCACACTCGCCGTGCGGGCCCAGGAAGGTCGAAAGCATCAGCGAACACATCCACACCACGCTGATCGGAAGAAACACAGGCGATCCGTCATATCAGCTGGTCGCGCAGACGGTCCAACGTATCCAATTGAGGGAGCAGGCGGAGTTCGAAGCCTTCATGAAGGCTCCTCTCGCTTACCGAGTCTGCGATGTCGAGGGCGGTATATCAGCAATTGATATCGGTAGCGAGAGGCGCGGGTGCAACACCAACAACGCAACAGGGCATGGGGTTTGAGAACGAAAGCAACAACCATACAGGCATGGATGTGGACATTGGATCAGATGCAGTCGCCAAAGGTCAAGTCCTCTCGGAGCTCGAGATCCCAGACAGTCAGGGTGAAGATACCGACGCCGACGCCGACGATGAGGTGGAGGACACAGGCGGACATGCGGACGCGGACAAGATGGATTGGGAAGTAGAAGTGAGAGGCCTTCCCCTTCGCTTGCACTCTTCATATTGAGGCTCGAGCGCCTGAGTGAGTACGCAGCAGTGAGCGCGTCTGGCGGTGTATGCAAAATCGACTGCATTGTCTCGTGGTTCGTAAGACCATTCCAGGAAATATTGAGATGCACTCCTCCATAGGTGGGTACGCGTGTGATGGGTTGTACTCGAAGTTCATAGACTCGACGCATTATAGAACACAGACTACAGAACGCAGACTGCAAACTGGAAAGGAAACTACACAAAGCAGGAGAGGACTCGGTTTCACAGCTCCGCGGACCCGACAAGGCATCAATTCCTCGGGCTCTTACTCGCGCTGCTACTCACGCCCCGCACCTCGTGAAGGTGCCTCTCCGGAGCGTCCTCCTCTTTCCAAGGCCCCCTGTGACCGAAGGGTAGCCCGTGCTACAGTATCGGCGGCTGTAGGACAGTCACGCCACACTCTATTTCTGATAAATGTCGCTGGTTTAATGCTTTTCGAGCAATTCGTGGACAAGTGGATATCCACGCTGTTCCTTTCGTTGTCCCTAGCTGGTCCGAAGACAAATTAGCGGTTCATCCACCCATCGGTCATATTCAGCTTTGTTTTTGCTGTCGTCGTTGCTGTCGTCGTTGCTGTCGTCGTTGCTGTCGTCGTTGGTTTGGAAGGACATGGCAGTATCTTGATGTCCATTGAGAAGGATGAATAGAGACCAGTCCGGTCCTATCCCCAACGCTGATCCAATTATATCGCGTTCTGCAGAGGACGTCAGTGATAACGTGCATTGGAGCTTGGGGTGCGAGTCTTGTTAATTGATGGATAAATACCTGATTGTTGTCGCCGTTGTGATATACTTATTTCCCAAGAAAGTTGTCGTTGGATATAGTACCGTACTCAGAGCATCCTCCAACTATGATGATGAATGAGATGTAATTTGAGGGCCCGAGGTACGCTGGTGCATCTCGCGGGAGTGACAAACCCCGAGGATGGCTGCAGAGGTTGAAATTGAGGCGGTCCCCATCGCTGCGGACACAGTGGGACGTTCTCCCGCCAAGCAGGTGATGGTGATGGTGCTGTTGAAGGTGTTGGACGCGTCGATGGCCCTGGAAGTGGTTCCAATGGTAATGAGGGATGAAAGGCCGACAGGATGGCTTGGAGTATGCTGATTCCGGGATTCCAGAATGCCAATGCCATTCTGAACTGTGTTGCCGAGTGTTCTATGAGATGTGGTGGATATGATGTCGCTGAATATGGTGAGGAGTGCTGCGGCTGCTGTGCTGGTAAGTGCGTTGTATGAGGGAAGAATTAAGCGCAAAACGGATGGCGGAAGGCGCTGACCTCCGCATGATCAGAATATTTCTCACCTTAATGCTTTAGATCTGGTTATCGACCGCTTTGGTTCAATTAGAGGCAGCCTCTGTCGATTGGTCCGGCGCGAGTCGAACCCATGGTTCGTGATTCTCGATTGAGCATAGATGGCGCCGATCCCATCAGACATTGGCTGGAGCCGTTACACTTTTGAGTCTCTTGTGACTTGTCTGTGTCCGTGCCCCGTCCCCACAGCTCCCTGGCTGAATTGCTGTACCATTGGCAAGAGTGGACTTTCGGAAACAGGGATCTGCATCTGAGGATGTCCGCCGAGCATGATTTGCTCGACTGATGAAGGTTTTGCAAGAACAATGGACGGAGCCCTATGGTGGGGTCGTGTTCGACGACCACCCGGTGTCGTTGCAAGCCTTGTGACCTACGCTTGTGGCGAAGATAGTTTGTCGGCAAGGGCATTCCGTGGTAGCTTTGGTTGTCCCAATGCCATTCTTCGACTTGGAAGGCTTTCTACTGGTGGCCGTGCGGAAGGGTGGGGGAGTCAGTTGTGCAATCGCGGTCCTGACTTGCGCAGTCAGGGGGTTGACCAGCGGTCCGGCCATCATACTGACTGCTCGAGCCGTCGTCAGCACTCAATCTTGCTCAGTGTTTAGCGGCGTCGAGTCGAGATCGATATCCATCCGAAGTCATATCTAAGTAAATTCAGCAAGATTTGAACGCGCCCGAAGGAGGACATACCAGAGCCAGGCATTAGCACTCCGCCGCTGGCCCAGCAAGTAGGCCATGGCACCGTCTCATTTCTCGATGCATCATGCGTGTCTGCAAACGCTGGAAAGTCCTGGCGCGGGACTGTGACCCACGTGTAGTGAGAGAAATACTGATGAGGGCGTATACCTCCTTATCCCCATATCACAGCGCGAGCAGCCAGGGCAGCGCAGCTGCCACCAAGGTCTGGCAGTATTCTGGCTTCCTCCCCGAGCATCGCCCAACCGCAATCCACCGGTGTTTTAACTGCACATGTTTTTTCGATTCACAAATTCAGTCACAATATCCTCCCGGGCGCAGGTCAAACTAGCACCGGGCTAGAAGGCGCGTTCGAGACGAATTGTGTGACACAATCCCAATCCCTCTGTTCGACTCCCGCTGTGGCTCGAAATCCGATCCTCCTCGACTTCCTCCCAACGATACGAGAGACAAGTGGTGGGATAAAACAAACAGGCACAGAAATAACATAATGGTTGCATACTTGACAAGTCAAATCGGCGACTTCATCGAACAGATGACCGCGAGATGGGAGTAGATCGGTTGGCTTGCCACCACTGGATATAGCCCAATCAATGAACAATAACGAGACCACAACTTCTACCTTCGAAGTGGAAGTTGTGATGGAGTTATTGTTTTGGGTTTTGAGTTTTTCTACTCTCTTTTTTTCTCATTTTTCCTTTTTTATGTTGTAGCCTTGTCGCTTTGACTGCGCGCGCGAAAGTTGTGTAGTGGACTGTGCTCGACGGGAGAAGTAGGGGCCAAACCACAATCCTGAATGCCGATAGTATAGTGCCTGAATTGGAGCTCTCTCGACCTACAATCGGCACGAGAGAGCGTCTATCTTTCGCAGCGGCCATAGGCAGCTATAGCTAGAAGTGGTTCGATTAGTGGGATAGACGAGAAATTCGTACCTGCAAGCAAGTCCCGCAACGGAGAGATCCAGAACATTCGGGCGTTGCGAAGGCGTCCGTCATGACTGCCTTCTCCTTCTCGAGACAATGCGCGAGGACAAGGTTCGTCAAGCGAGTGGATATTCGCTCGAGTGGATGTCTGTCTGTCTGTGCGCAAGCTTCGTCAAGCGAGTGAATGTTCGCTCGCGTGGATGTCTGTCTGTCCGTGCGCAAGCTACGTCCAAGCTCATGGCGGAAGCATCCCACAACGGCAGGGACCAGTCCTCCCGAGGTTCGGTAGTCAAATCGCTGTACGTGGTGAACGAAGAAGATAGATCCTAAGTGGATAAATTGTTGCGCAGGGCTTTGCGGAGAGGAAGTAAGGTTGCCCTCGATGCTTTAGGAGGACTGTTGATTTCACATGTGTGAGGAGGGCACGAAGTAAACGAGGTTTCAATTGCAGTCTGGGTGGCCAGTGGTGGGTCCAAGCCCTCCTCGTATCTCGTACCCGTGCTCGGATCTCTGGCCATCGTCTACAGCGTACTCGTAGCCCCGTACTCGTATCTCGTACAGGGGTTTGTTAGGTGGGGGCACGTGCACATTGAAAAAGGCGACAAGCACCGGAAAAACATTGTTCCAGCGGTTGCCAAGTCGGGGACGAACAACAGGGATGTGAGCCTTGTCCGTGGAAGGAAGAGGATCACGCGAGGTGTCAGCCGTACGGACAATCCTATCCACTCTATTTACAGATTCAAGATCGGCGGGACCGGTGCCCGTGGAAGGAGTGATGGAGTGTCTAACGTTTGCCGGTTGTCTTGAATTTGATCCTCTTTTTTCTCCCTCTTCAGTATCTAGAATATGTACTGCCTAGAGTGGTGTACCCGAAGGTTCAAATCAAAAGCCACCCCATTAACTAGGCATCAGAAAGTTCATGTATGCCGATATGGTTCCCTAACGCCACAAAAAAAGACCATAGGAAGATTTTCTTCCCCAAAAAAAGTACTCATGATTAGTTTACTTCCAGAACCAGTAGACAGCAGAGTATTCCACGCTGAATTCCGCACCCATGTCCGCGCAGGTCTCGGGTGGCTGTCCGCCTGCCGTGTCCAATCGGTAGACAGCCTGGGTTTCACCCGTGGTGGTTGATCGAGTGGTAAGGTAAAGCCAATCGACAGCACCGTCGCCGACGCCGCCGGGACCTGCAAGGGCGGTTGCTGGTGCGTCGGAAGAGTTGCCCCTCTGTGTGAAGACCGTGCCTAGGTCGGGACCACCCTCGACATCGAACGCGAAGACCGGCGTGGTGGTGTTGGAGAAGAAGTGGTGCGCCGACAGCTCGAGATCTGATGGCTCCAAGACTAAAGCTGGTTCGGCGGGAAGAGGATTTTCCAGCGCAAGGTTGGTGATGGGCGTGAGTAGATCTGGGTAGTCGGCGGCGATACATGAGACGTTGTAGAATTTGGCAACGGCACCGGCGGCGGCGGGCGTTGCTGTGGCGTTGTCGCAGGTATAGTTCTATCATGCCTGTCAGTGACTGAAGGTTCTCAACCCCGGGATATGGGGGCCTTACCTGCACACCCCTGCCGAGGGCGACATGTTCAAGCACCAACCCGGGAGGGAACGGGAGTGGTGTCGGGGCAACTGGCATGACAGCTTTCGAGAGATCGCATGTCGCCGATGCTCGTCCTTCGGTCTTAGCTTCTTGGATGTATTTGAAAACGACATCGAAATAGCCAGCTAATGCAGGCGTCCAACTGGTTGGGGTAGGTGCAGCCATCAGAGTGGTGGCCATTGAGGCGAGTAGTATCGAGTACTTCATCGTGGCGAGGAAGCGATATCGACTTGGTGAGATTTACTTTGGTCAAAAGAAGGGATTGCCGGGCCTTCAACTACTTTGGACTGCAAAGGAGCGATGCGAAGTGATTGTGAGTTGAGCTGAAGAGCGGCTGCTGAGAGAACGTCTGTATTTGATGATGCACCGGGTTCCGTGACCATGGTCGCGACCAGCCGCCGACATTTATATCACTTGTAAAATGGCCTGCCATGCTGACCCGGGATAGGATCGCAGGGAATGTGGAACATGCGCATATGCAAGCAGGCGATGTTGCTAAGTCAGGCCATAGCCCGGTAATTGGCTCGCCAGTTTTGGTGGAGGCTCTTAATCGCATAATGGCTGCACGAGGCGGCAAGGGAGATTTCCCGGCTGCGTGTCTATCGACGGGGGGTCGGACATGGGGGGGCATGGGTAAATTTAGAAGAGCCATGGGCCATTATTGGCGCGCGTGGAAGAAGCTTTGCCTGGGGAATTTGGCGCCTATGACGATTCCGGCTAGGCTGCGCGTAAGAGCCTGAAGAGCCTGGGAGAGCGACAGAACGCCTGGAGCACCCCCGCTACGGCTAGACCAAAATAACCGTCGTCCAGGCACAATCCTTACCTAGGTACCCAAGACATTGTCTCTATGAAAAGAGCCGGAAGAGTACCTACCCGGTACCCAGGATGCAGTTATTTACAGAGTGCCCGACTATTACTGTTATTGTTAGGGTCATTTGATGTGATCGAGGATGTGCATTCTTGAAAATAGTGTTTTTCGGGAACGATTGCGCTGGTGTCCCAGGTGTTACAGTTGTCGACACTGTTCCTGAGAAGCAGGTTTCGACCCGCTCGTGTTGCTCGCCTGATGGCTGCTGTTGGCCTGGACGCCAGCGCTCGTTCTTCCTATCGGCTTCGATCAGGCCTCTTGCGGAAGTTGGCTGGCTGTCTTACTGCCGCCCGGAAGCCACAAGTCAGCCAGTTAGGACCGTTAGCATGTCACTGCCGACCCACTTGACTCATGACGTGCAGCTGCATACAGCGACGGACTCATTCTGAGTTGTCCAGGGTCCCCATTCCCCAGCTCGTTCTCGGCGCCATCGTCTGCAGTCGAGCCAAGATGCTCCCGTTTCAGTCAAAGCCGACCTGGTGGTCGTTTCATGATTTTCAGAAGCTCATGTCCAATCAACCCAAGTCGGCGGCTATCTGAATGCCCACTCAGGTCCAGATCGCTTGAAGATGGAAACGTTCGATCTCGAAGGGCGCGTAAGGCGCGTACGGACACGAATTCGAAGCTTGGCCCAGCGCGTCGCTGACTGTGCCGAGGAGCACGTCGTCTCACTATACACCGAGTGCCACGGGAGCAACTTTTTGGTGTTGGCCACCATGGATCTGAATCTGAGAGCACTACGGACTCCTAAGTATGATGAGGAGCGAGCGATTGCCTAGTGAGGGCGTGGGACACGCAAGGTCCGCCTTAAGCTTGCCCCTGATAGGGTGCTGGGGCACCGAGCCACCCAGGATGCCGTAGGAGTACATCCTGCCCGAGTGCGGCTGCACGGAGTGAGCAGCCGACTGTCGTTGCCAGCCACACCGTGTAGAACGGGACCATGACGTGCTGCTACAGTCCAACATACACCAGTGGACCTACGGATTATGGTTAGTCGGGCAAGAACAATATTTGAGGCATGTTCTAGAACAAAGTCCGTCGGGAGGATTGATTATGGATCCAAGCGGCCAAATCTGGCTGCGCATGTCCCTGGACTACAACGGTCATGAGCAACCACCACTTTCGGCGGCCTCGAATTAGAACACTCAAGCAGACGGTGTTCCGCCACGAGGGTTCAGACCTCAGTGTGAATCCCTAGATGCTATATACGACGCGGCTTTGTCATCAGATGACGCTAATGTCTGTGCGGCGCTGCTGTGCGAAAGAGTAATCGTAGTATATATGGAGGTCTTCCTTCCTACACTCCGGCTTGGAACGAGAAGTTGGCCACGTGTTCAAAATCCGCGTGGATACCTGGTGCAACTGGAAGAGGAAGTATCAACGCGCTGAGTACCTTCGGACGCGGTCGTTGATGCGTTCGCCCTGCCGGGTTCCGAAGCCTGACTATGGCGCATACTATCCAAATCCTTCCTGCTTCCAATCTCCGGCCAGAGGATCAGAAACAGAGCCGGACCGAAGCCCTGCAACACCTGCTGCGGCCGCCGCTTCGCCCAAGTGGACAGCACTTCGATCGATGTCCGCGGTGCCCATCCAGTAGAGCATGACAAACACCAACATGTGCAGTGCAAGGCAGTACCCGGCAAAGAGGTTGCGCGAAAGCCTGGTGGCAAGAACCATCCTCGTCACCGAGAAGATGATCCTCTCGGGAAAACTCATGCGCTTGTAAGCACGCGCAGCTTCTCGGCCGCGGAAGGCGGCAAAGGGTGAAATGTTGGCTTCATACTGCGACTTCCACCGATTCGTCGTAGTAGTATCGTCAGCATACGCTGCAGTATTTGGAGGCGCCCCAGAATAGGATGAAGAGGAAGTGGCTGGGGCGCGATTGTAGGCGGAGATGTAGCGAGTCTTTTCGTAGAGGCTCAGGTTATCCTTTTGCAAGGACGCAATCTCTTGCCGTAGCGACGTGACTGTCGCATAAGTCTTGGAGAGCTCTTCCTCCAGTTGCTGGTTTTTCTGCTTGAAGCGATCCCTTTGGCCTTGGATCATGGGGAGTATGCCTGAGCCGCCTCCCACCCCTTCTCCTCGAAGCGAGTCAAGAGTGTTGGTCCGCCGTTGTGTGTCGTAGCCGGAGATGATCGAGGATGTAGGTGATGCCCTTCCTCGCCGTAATGAGCCAGCCGGATGTCGAGAGATATAAGTCCCGGCAACTGACATACCAGACGAGGGAAGAACACTCTCAGCCTCTTCTTGCACCCGCATCAAATCATTCTCCAGCGTCGACGACAGTTTTTGAGATTTCTCAAGCTCGGCATTGGTGCGTGACAACTCCTCTTGCAGGTCTTCCAGCTGACGTTGCAGATCTTGGTGGGACACTCGTAGCAAGGTAAGGTCGTCGCTCAACTTTTTGTTTTTGGCGAGCAAAAGTTGTTCCAACGAGTGTTGAGTAGCATGCTCCGCCGACCCGTTTGCAGGAGTCTCGTCGCCATCCTCCTCGACGCCCATGGATAGTTCTATTGATCGAAGAGTGTCAAGCTCCCGCTTCAGGTCTTCGTAGTCAGACCATTTGCTCACTCTAGCACGCAAGTCGTCATTGTCTGCTGCCAATTGAGAGCGTTGTCTATCCGCTTGACGTAGTTTATTGTCCCAATCTCGTTTTTCTGCTTGCCTCTCAAACCTTGCTGCCTCGATTTTCCGAAGTAGTGATGAGTTCTCTGATTGGAGGCGAAGGAAGGCAGGATCATCTTCAATACCGTGATTTCGAGACGACTGGGAAGTGGCGTGAGCGAGGTCGACTCTCAGTTGCTCATTCCTCGCCTCCATGTCAGCAAGGCGAGCACTTGTCTTCTCAAGTTCGGAGGTCATCATTTCCAACTCGGCTGCCGCGGCTTTGGAAGAGGCAGCTTCGCCAGATCCATCTTGAAGTCTCTGCGATACTTCGTAGCTAGCTTTCAGCTCTTTAAGCAACCTGTCTTGATTCTCAATCTTCTCCTCCAGGGACCGTTCTTTCGCCGTCCAGTTGCTCTGCTTTTCCTCCAACACCTTCTCCCATCTTTCTTCCACCTCCTGCACCTGGCTTCCTCTTCCGGCCTCAGCATCTTTTCTTGCCTTGCTCTCGTCTTGGAGTCTTTGTTCCGTCTCCTCTAGCTGGGCAGTCAACTTGTTCACTCTGGCCAACAGCTGCTCGTTCTCCGTGGTAAGCTTAGGCACGGTATCTTCGGACGCAACGAGAGAGTCGACAGACGCTTCGAGGAGAGGGAACGGATCTGGAGCTTCAGAGAGAGGCTGGTATAGCTGAAGAAAGGCGGCCGACGAGGTCTTGCCATGGCCGGTAATCAGATCAATGAATGTCTGATACGCTGCAGATAGTCAGGATACCGAGTACGAGCGCAACATGTGTGGGACGTACATTTCAAGAGCGACTTGTACTCTGTCAATTTGGCCGCATCCTCCAGCTTTCGGAACTCTTTCGTTTTTTGAGCTAGTTCTTTCCTCTCGAGCAATGCCTCCTTCTGCTGCGCAACCAATTCTGAGGCCGTTGCATCTAACTGCGGCATTAACGACGAAAGATCGATGTCTGGGAGAAGTCAGCGACAGCAGATACATGACACCACCAAAGATCCTACTCCGCCATGCGGCTATCGCCTTCTGGAACTTGTTCTCTGTCGAACCCATAGCACCCTCCCCACCGGTCTCTCGTTGAATTCCATCATTCTCCGCGGTCGAGGCAGGGGCCTCCGAAACGGCCAGCCCGTCCATACGGCAGGAGACCGATCCCTAATGACTTGACTCCGGGCGACTTTCGGCGTCCATTAGTATTTCGGAAGCTGTGTATTTTCTAGCCGATCCAGTCGCAAACGCGTCAACCTGCAGTCGACGGCAAGAAGACGTGGCCTCCGTTAGGTATAAGACTGCGGTTCAGGCCGCATGATCCACCCGAGCCACAGAGCAATCATCCGCCCGAATCCATCCGCCTGATCGAGGGCCACCAAACAAAGTAGTGGTTGCAAACAGATTGTCCCTGTTCTGCTCGTAGGAATGGTCGGCCGGCTCGACCAAGCCCACAGAGCTCGGCCCTAGCAATGGACGAAGCAGACCAACCTGAGAAGCGGCCGGCGAAGCGACAGAGGCTGACTGCACCGGAACCCGGCCCATATGTCCTTCGTCCCGTCTTGGAGGATATACCCTTGACGACAGAGGACGGGAACGACCAAGTGTCTATTACCTGTGTAGAGTATTGGAGTAGGTAAGGACGCCATCGAGGCGCTGAGGTATCCCGCTTACTCAAAACAGATAACAATCTATATATTGGCACCTCGGCCGCTGAGATTCTGCACCTCGTCTCGATACCCCCAGAGCCTGGAGATGAGAATGCCTCTCCGACCTTCATTCTAGCCTCCCGATTACAGCCCAGTGGCCATGCTTCTTCAGTTGACCCTCCCAATGCTCCCGGCATCCAACAGATACTCGTCCTGCCCGGCCCGTTGAAAGCATGCGTTTTATGCAACGGGGTCGTCTCATTCTACTCGTTGCCCGAATTCAGCCCAGCTTTTCCTAACAGGGAGCCCACCGGCGTCCAGTGGATAGGCGGCATCGACGAAAATGAGGACAAGGACAATCCGGAGGGGCCGGTGGTCATGATTGCGAACGCCAAACGGATCATGCTGGTGAGAGTGGGCGAGAGGCTACGACCTATCAGAAACAACATCGAATACCCGGGATGTCTAAGATCCAGCAGGAGGGAGACGATTGCCTGTGTGGCTGACGATACTGGGTATGCCCTCTTGGAAGTAGAACATCAACAGAAGATCCCCCTGTTTCCAATATCCTCATTACCTGCAGAAGAGGACCCGGTTCCGGACAGTGGAGTTAGGTCTCCTGCGCGATCTACTCCACCTCTAGACGCTGCCAGCCATGGTAGAAGTACCAGCATGGGCAATCTTATCAGCTCTACAAGAGACGCTTCTCAAGGTCGTCGCCAGGAGTCGTCTCATCTCATGCCACCGGATACGGCTGCAGCAAGGGACGGCCAGCCAACATTGCCACTCCCTTCTGGAGATAGAGAGGCGACTGCTCGTCCAAAGGCTCGTCCACGGGCATCAACCGAAGCCCTCCCGACCAGATCAGCAGCCACCACTGACAATAGGCATGTGAAGAAGCGATTGAAGCCCCATATTCTTTCACCTTTTCCGACCGAGTTCATGCTCACCACTGGCACGAATGAGTCCGAGCCAGGTGTCGGGCTGTTCGTCAATCTCGACGGTGATGTCGTCCGGGGTACCATTGATTTCGCGAGCTACCCAGAAGATCTGCTTGTCGACAATTTCAATGTTCCAGATTATGATGGCGCTCCGTACTCGGAAGATGAAGGTAAGATCATCTGTGCGCTTCTACGACAAACCGAGGAGGGCGTCACAGAGAGAAGATTGGAGATGCAACACGTCGAGAACGCTTCCGAGTTGACTCATCCTCGCACACTTGTTACACTCCCCGCTAGCAAGTTGGACAACCCTCGCGCAGGTCTACGCCACACGCTCAGCACGCATCACCATTTTTTCAAGGTTCCGGGAGAGCTTCTGCAGCTTGTGCCATTATCTCTTGGCTTCCTGGCGCATCGAAAAGGCGTCAACCGGGAAAGCGACCCGCGGACGCAGTCTGCAGTGGAGCAAGTCGAGCAGGAGCGCGCGTTGTTTGATAGTCAATCTCTTGCCACGCCGGTCGAGCCTTCGCTGGAGCTCGTAGACAAACGGGCCGCCGAAGAGAGGTCACTTGCCCGTCGCTTCGGCAGAGCTTTCACGAGAAATGTTGTCTGGCACGGTCAGCAGCTTCTGATGGTTCTACAAAATCCACTTATATCGCAGCTGGAATACCGGCTTAAGCAGCATTTGGTGGATGGCAACGCCGCCGAGGTCAAGCCTGGGCATATATTTGGGTTCTTGGCGGGTATTCACGGTCGCGAACCCAAGGACGAAACGGAATTTCTCACGCTCAATTATGTCAGGCAAAAAGCTAGCTTGATTCTGTTCCTACATCTACAGACACGGGTTTCGGTCTCCTCAGACCTGGAAGATCTGCTTCGAGCCGTGGAAAATACGCTGCATGACGGAGGTCTGGACCCACGGATTGTGCTGCTTCTGTCACCGCCACTCTTCTCAGAGGTCCTCTACGGGCCTGAAGGTATATGGCTCCACCAAGGCATGGCGGATTTACTGCATGACTATGAATGTCCAATTTCAGGCTTTGAAGATGCACCTATCGAGTTCTGGATGACAATAAGGCACTTTCTCATGCTCTGGCAAGAAAAGCGAGGCTATGGTAGCATTACAGATGACCAGTATGTCTTTAACTCTGTCGATGCCGCGCTACTTCACGTCTTGCTGTACCTGGACCAAGCCCTGCCGGCGGAAAGTCCCGCACAGAAGTCAGTCAGAGCCAAGCTTCACAACGTTGTCGACCATTGGAAGGGTGATTTCGATCGCGCGGCCTCGCTACTGGAACGATATAGTCGACTCTATGTTCTAAGTCGCCTGTATCAGAGTAAAAAGCAGGCACGCGAAGTGTTGACGACATGGCGACGGATCATCGATGGTGAGAAGGATATGGATTACAGTTCCAACGTCGGATATGTGGAGGGACAATTGCGCCGCTACCTGACGATGATTCGTGATGTCGACCTCGTACAGGACTATGCCTTATGGCTTGCACAACGCAACCCAGAGCTGGCCGTGCAAGTTTTCACAGACGATACCGCTCGCGTCAGATTCAGTCCCCAGGATGTCGTCAAACTACTCAAAGATCATGCTCCAGGTGCTGTCCAACAGTATCTGGAACATCTCGTCTTTGGCAAGCATCTCGACCAGTACGCGGATGACCTGATCGGCTATTACCTCGACTCGGTGCTTACAGTGCTCGAGAAATCCGACGCCGCGCGGACGTCACTCGCCGAGAGCTATTCGACCTATCGAGCTCTGGAATCTCCCAAACCAACTTACCTCGACTTTATCCATCAGAACGCTCCCCCTGAGCCGTGGTGGGAATCGCGACTGCGTCTCCTTCAACTCCTCGGAAGTGGCGCATACGCAACTGGCGTGTCAACAGTCGCGGGCAAAGACCTGACTTATTCGGTTGACATGGTTCTTGAACGCTTGGCTCCGTTCTCAACATACCTCGTTTCGGAGTCTATCATCCTCGATGCTCGCCAAGGTCGCCACAAGGAAGCCCTTCGCCTCCTCACTCACGGGTTAGGCGACTACGACACAGCCATGCGGTACTGCTATTTCGGCGGCCCATCATCCTCGTCGCCCTATCCCATCGACCCTTCGACACTTCCTTCCCGTGATGTGCAAACCGAGCTATTCAACTTCCTTTTCCGCGAATTCCTGACTATCGACGATGTCGAAGATCGCCTCGAACGCACATCCCACCTGCTAGGAAAGTTCGCGGTCTTCTTCGACCCGGTGGCTGTCATCGCAGAGATCCCTGATGACTGGTCAGTGGAGATGCTCGGCGAATTTCTGCTGAGAAGTTTCCGAGCCGCCACTACCGAGAGGAATCAAGCCTTAGTCATGAAGGCCTTGAGCGCGACACAGAATCTGATCCGGCAGGTGGAGTTCATCGAGATTACAGAGAAGATTGGCGCGAAGATTGTGCGAGAGGGGCAGGATGGGAGAGACGAGGTGGTGAGATAGAGCAGGTACATATACCATTGCGCTGGGGCTCGTCCCCTCCAAAAGGTCAGAAATTGCTGTAACGCTCAATCGATGTCGACGGGGCCTTGCTACAGACGGCACTGTAGACACATGGCGCTGAAAAGCATAAAGGCCCAGTCGGGCCAATGAGCCCTAATAGGGCCTAATAGGCCCTAGTAGACGTCAGACTTAAGCGGCTTAAGCCCCCGGAAGCCACCCAAGTGGCGCCGCGTCATTCGGCATAATCCACGCCGGCAACTGCGTCTCGTACCCACCGTGCCAATCCACATCTTATCTGGCTGCTCAATGTCGCGCTCCACCAGTGTCAACGCATCCCGCACCCATGGAACCGCGAGAATCCAGGACAACGGCACATAGCGCCAGCCGGCTTCTCACTCGAGCACCATCGCCGACATGGCTCGCCCGCGCCGCACCTCGGCGGCATCAGACCTCAGCTCAGTGCCGGATCAGCACCAGGTAGGTGCCCCGGCTACCCGCACTCCCATCACTCTCTCCACAAAGCTACTGTTGTGACCGGGGGCAAGCAACTGACGTGGACATGTGTGAGTGCGCTAGGAGTTAAGCAGCATGTACGACTACCTCGCCAAAGTCGTGCTCTTGGGCCCCTCCGGCGCCGGCAAATCGTGCCTCCTGCACCGGTTCATCAACCAAGAATGGCGCGTCCTCTCCTCCCAGACCATCGGCGTGGAATTCTCCTCCAAGATCGTCAAGGTGGGAGGCTCGGCCGGCCAGCGCGCCAAGAGAATCAAGCTACAATTATGGGACACGGCGGGGACGGAGCGCTTTCGCAGCGTCAGCAGGAGCTACTACCGCGGCGCCGCGGGTGCGGTGCTCGTCTACGACGTGGCCAGCCTGGCGAGCTTCCACGCGCTGCCGACCTTTCTGAGCGACGCGCGCGCGCTGGCCAGTCCGCACCTGACGGTCGTGTTGGCGGGGAACAAGGCCGATCTGGCGGATGGGGCATCATCGCAGCCTGCGTCGGGTGCTGGACGGACGCAGGGCGTTCACATGAACGGCAGTGCGCACGCTCAGAGGACTCCACGAGACCGAGACCAATACCGCGACGACGACGCTTCGGCGGGGTTGGCCACGCCCGCGGCGTCGAGCGCCTCGAGTCGAAGATCCTATTTCCCCTACGATTCCGGAGGAGGTGGTAGCGAGTCGCTCAAATCGGCGACCTCGACCTCCACGCCTACCGCAACCACGCGATCACGGGGCGACAGTATCAATCTGCTGGCCTCCCAGAAATGGACCGCCACGCTATCCGCCGACGGCCGTGAGGTCACTTCACATGCCGCGTCCGTGTGGGCCAGTAAAGCGCTCATTCCATACACGGCGGAAGTGTCTGCGCTGACGGGCGAGAACGTCGACACCCTGTTCTACCGCCTCGCGGCCATGATTCTTACGAAGATTGAACTCGGGGAGATCGACCCGGACGATCCGAGCAGTGGGATCCAGTACGGCGACGGCGGCGATGTGGAGAGCGTGACGACCGATGGAGGAACCGTCAGGAGAAGAAAGGGCGGGACGGTAAGGAGAGGTGTGTTGCCCAACTTGGGCGAATGGGAAGATGTTTTCCGCCGGCCTGCATCGAGAGGGGGGCGATGTTGCTGAGACTTGCGCATGAGGTGCCTTCATGTCTCCTTGGTTCGCCGCCTGGAAGCGGTCTCGTGTCCCCCTTGAATTTTGGTCTACCATTTGGGGCGAATGTCGGCGTTTTCTGTCCTTCTGTCTGGGGGTGCGTAGCAGAGTGGGTGTTCTGAGCAAGCCGGTGAATTGAATACTTGGTCCATTACATGTTTCGGCGCAAGTTTACTGTGTGCAGAAGAACACACTCCTCGGTGTCTGTGTTACTAGAGATACAAGCGAATCGGCACACGCACACGCACGCGCACACGCACGCGCACACGCACACACATATTCCCACGCCTGTTCCCACGCGCGTGGCGGTGCTCCAGTCAGTCAGACGCAGCGTCGTTCATCTGACAAACATCGGGAATTAATGTCTAATCGAGCGAGATACATACTATGCTTTCTAATTTTCAGACAGCAGCAGCAGCAGCAGTCTGCCTGTTCGCACTCGTCGCTACGTCCGCCCTCTCGACCTGCTTCTCAGCAGACTGGAACGCGGCGCCGTAGATGTTGCGCATGATAGTGGTGCTCAGTTCGCGAACCGTCATGCCCGGCCTCAGCTCCACGCCATTCGTGAAGTACTTGTTGGACGTGCTCTCGCCGAAGATGGGCTGCAGTACCGTGTCGGGACTCGCCTTGGCAAAGTAGGCCATTGTCTGCCTCTCCTGGTCGTGCGACAGGCTGCCAAAGGTGACGCGGTGGAGCGTGGCTTTCAGCCGCCCGGAGGACCAGAACGAGAGCGTGTCCCCCAAATTCACCAGGATGCAGTCCTGGATGTGCGGGGCGCGGACCCAGCAGCCAGAAGGGGAGAGGACCTCGAGGCCCGGCGCCCGCTGAAACAGGAGCGTCACGCTGCCGGAGTCGGTGTGCTCGGCCATTCTGGACCCCAGGCCTTCAAAGGCCGGCATTTCCGAGCGCGCAGGATACAGGATCATGCGCAGGGAGTTGTCTTGGCTGGCGGATTCGTCGTGCGCGGTCGCAAAGAAGTCCCGGTCCGGGAGGTGCAGGGCCAGCGCGAAGCACTCGAGGAGTTTGACGATCAGGGCGTGGCACTGGTGTTTGAACGCCTCGACTTTGCGCGTGTGCTCGTGCCAGAAGGGTGGGAGCATGGCCTTGTTATCGTCAAGCGTGCCGGGGGGCCCGCCGCCGAACCACATGGACATCTTATCGTCTTTGCCTCTGTCTTGAAAACTTCCCACGTAGCCGATCGTCCGAGAGGTGATCGGGTAGGGAGCCTTCTGGTCTTCTGGGAGCGTGAAGAATTGCTTTCCCAGGGAGAACATCTCGTCGATGTCCGACGGTAGTATCGGGTGTCCTTTGAGCAGGAGGAAGCCCCATTGCTGGCAGGCCGAGGTGATTTCTTGGGCGAGTTGCAGTTGGGACTCGGGGTCGTGGATGCGAGATATGTCAATGATTGGGAAAGACGTGCCGGTCGCTTCTTCCATTCTTCAGTCGTGCACTTCTGACACTTTCTCTGGCCAGTGTTTCTGTTTCGACGAAGCGGCGAGGCTTAGGTTCGTCGGCTCAAATGTGGTGTACTATGGTAGATTATCTTGCTCTTCTTGGGGCCTGGACCTACCACGATCGAGTATCAACTTAGGCTTCAAGTTCGACAGTCGCGCCAGTGAATCGTCGATCGATGTCCGTATCAGAGGCAATAAAGATGTGGAGGTGGAAGGTGACTACAGCCAGCCATTGGAGCAATGAATGGTATCAAAGACGGGCCGCCGAAAAGGGTGGGGGACACGACGGAGATGGCCGGACCGCAGCTGGTGGTAACAGCAGCGTCCTCAAACCAGTGTCGATAAAGCCACTGTCGTGATTGATTGATTGATTGATTGACACGACACGACACGAGTACATCCGGACGATGGAAGGCTGCACGCGTGAGAACAAGCAGGAATCCAAACAGTTCCCTGACGACCTTCCTGGTGGTGCGAAGTGGCGCGGGAAGTCTGACATGTTCACAAGGCGGTCTCGCTGGCAGGAATCAGCATCAGACGTTCCAAGGCACAAGGCGCATTTGTGGACGGAGGCTCAAATCCTGCTGAACCCTTCATGTACGAGTTAATTGCCCTGCATATCAGCCATCTTCGTCATGTCGTTGCCAGGCACGCTGTCAAGCCTGGGTCCGTACAGCGGTCTCCCGAGCACATTGAGTTTGGGCGTGGCAATCGCTTCCCCATTAGAAGCCGCTGGCGTCGATTAGCGGACTCGGAGTTTGGGGGCGTCCACTGCCGGGCTTCCGGGGTCCTTAGCGGTCCTTAGCTTGCAGATTTCGGGCTTTACACGATCTCAGGGTCCAATGACCAGGCACAATCGGAATATGAAAAGGCGCCGCGGATGACGCTGGCGAAGGTCCAGCAGCTCCCATAGTGAGATGATCGACAACGGCCGCGGTCTCACTGGGCGGACTGATGAACTACGCGGAGAGATGATGTCCTCTCTAAATCTCCTAAGAGTGGCTTTCGATCCACGTCGACGCCGTTGCTTCTACCTCGTATACTTCCATCAGCCCTCCGCAGTTTGGTAAACGGCCTGCATATTTCTCCGGTGGCAGCTCTAACAGCTGTAAGACGTGTCGTACGCTCTTCGAACTTTCGCAAATGCCCGAAGAACGCACATGGGATACCCAGTACCGACCGCTTTACCGATTGTAGCACGGCCGCCTCTCCAGTAGCGAGATTGCGTCTCTGATCACAGAGTACGATCTTCACAACAATTTACAAGCTGACTTGAAGACAAACAACTCAAAATGCCTTCACGTCCCATACAGGCCACCGGCGTGGCCCGTTCCCGATCTCCATCACCATCAGAATCTTTCGACAGCACATTATCATCTTCAAGCACACTCTGCTCCCCGACCACAAACTCGTCGCCTCCTCCGTCACCACCGTCTACGGCTGTCGCAACCCCGCCTTCCATTATGTACAGCAATTCAGGCACCCGACCGCGGCGGCTGACGCCACCTCAAAGACTCCTTGGTGCCATCGACGAAGACAGCCCCACCGTGCAACCAGATCTACCGCTTTCGAGCAGCAATCAGGACCACCCGGTCGCTAAGCTACATGTTTACGCCGCTGTTGTCAACTCGAAACATAGGACGACGCTTGCAAGGACTTGTGCTCCGCCTACCGACCAATTTGACATGGTAACCGGGCCACATGGAGAAAGGTTCACCGACTTACGCCTAAACCGGAGGACGGTTGGAAGCAGGGGGTGGAAGAAGTTCATGTGCTTTGGGTGAGTTGATGTGGTCTCGATCGCAGCTCTTCGGTGAGGACTATTCTAACAGCCATTCAGGTGAACCCAACTTCTCCTCTGATTCCCCAATTGTGGACATATTCGGACTCGCGATCATGGAGCACCACAGGGTGTATAAGTCCGAGTACGCCAGCCGCACCGCGACTTGCAAACTGCACTGGGTCAACATACTGCATTGAGGCCACACCAAGTCGAGAGCTTTCTTGGCGGTTAGTTGTCGTGGCTTGTAACGACTTGCATGGGCACTAGAGACGGAAAACAGGACCCAGAAACAGGACCTGGATTTGAGGACTATCAGTGTCCGCCAGGATACGACGAGCATGTAACATTATTGCAGTGTACAATACCTGAGATCGAGCGAAGACCCCGGCTCCGTTGCTTCTTCTATTTCAGCCAGGTGCAATTTCAATACCGAACGCACCACAAGTGTGCTACGTTGCACGCCCTGCATCTTTGCAGACGTGTATCATGGAGAGATACGCGGCTTGGCGCGTAGACTACTCCGTATTGCTAGCGGAAGATGATCGATGTCCTCGAGCGGGACAAGTGAAGCGAATACGCAAGCGATGGGGCACGCAGAGGCGAGCAGAGGCGAGCCCAAACATTTGTCATTTTGGGGAGGCTTGGGCGCCAGCGAGAAGTGGCGGAGCAGCAAACCCGAACAGCCGACTACGTCCATGACTTCATGACTGGCCAATAGGTGGCAACGGACCACAAATACTTCACGAACATGGCAGACGATGCGTGTAGATATATACTGGGACGAGAGTCGCGGAAGTAACAATATCTTGCACACAGCAATTAGTCGAGCTTCTCTTCTCCATCTTCAAGCGCCACCGAAGCCACAGTTGCGCACCGCACCACACCAACAGCACCCAACACAAGTTCTTTCTTGATTGACCCCCGGGAATCCTTGTATCTGCAGCTCTCTCAAATTATCGATATGGCCTCTATCATCGTCGGCTCCGCCCTGCTTATCGGCCATGCCATTCACGAGCGCAAAGAAAAGAAGCGAGAGAAGGCACGCCTCACCGAAGAACAATTCTCAGATGTCCATGGCAAACCCGCCCTTGTCAGTTCTCGTCGGCTGCGAAAGCAACAGCAGGTCGAGGTGCCCGAATTGCCGAGTTATGAAAGTGTCGTCTCAGAGCGGCCTGGGTTTTCTACTGCCCGGGACGGGGACGAGAAGCCACGTAGGAGTTCTGAGGACAATTCGAAGATGGCCTGAGAACATCGAGTCGTTCGCCAAGTGGAGCTAGGATGCGTGCTGCGATCAAGCTTTGGGGTTCCTTTAATACTGTGTATGGCGTTCGGGCGCAAATAGACCATACGATGGAAATCGAGCATCCGTTCTGTAACATTTCCCAATCTGTCGCCATAATCCAGGGTCCTGATGTCTGTTGCTCAAGGGTTCAATGCCGATGTCGCGTTTGACCCTCGGTCTGAATTTCTCCGCACGCACCAACATCGGAGTTGCGTCAGCTCCGTCGAGAGTTTCTTTTCTCCATTGAATGAACTTCTCCATTTGTCCTTTGCCGTCATAACCGATCTCTCCACCATTTTAGGTGTATGTTCTATCTCAAGCTTCGTCTTCATTAATATCAGTGGCTTATCGAATAACACTACGCGGTCCGTCGCGATGACGGATTGGTCGTTGATCAGTCTCCTTGCGGCATGGCGTGACCATGGGTTCACCTCGTTCAGAACACCGATGTACATTTCTAACGCTTCAGTGGGCGGACTTTTGCACCGTAAAATGTCACAGTTTCTCTACCTTTAAAGACGGTCTGTATTTTCCACTTCTGATCACCTCGACTTTTGTTGTTGCTGCTCGTGTCTGAGTTGTGTCCTGAGTTCCCTGTTGTTTCGGGGCTACCGTGCGATCTTTAGGTGATTGGACTTGGTCATGGGTCTTGTTACCCACGATGAGGAGCAGATCTCCTCAAGAAATCCCTTGAGGGTTTCTCAATCTCCACAGGGTAATACCCCTATGTGCTGGCGGGAGTCAGACCTCTGACATTGTCGCAGACGTCAAGCCCGATTTCGACCCTTCCGATGCCTCCCAAGACACTCTCACAAGCGGGCAGCCGCCCAGCGTGGCACCAGATGAGACCCAAGAAAAGAGAATGGACACGAGGAAGATCATATCCTTCAGCCCCACGGATCCCGACAACCCGTACAACTTTCCACGACGCAAGAAGTTCTACGTCTTTTTCACTGGCATCATGGCCGTCATGAACAGCACCTTCTCCTCTTCTCTTCCTAGCGGGGCGATCGATTTCATCGCTGCTCAATTCAAAGTGACTCAGAAGGTCCAGATACCTCTTCCTATATCTTGTTTCCTCGCCGGATATGTCATTGGACCGACGCTCTGCGGTCCCTTGTCCGAGAATAATGGCCGGCAGCGAGTGATGCTACTCTTTTTCTCCATGGGAACGCTCTTCAGCATGGCATGCGCGGTCGCTCCGAATTGGGCTTCTCTGCTTTTCTTTCGCTTCGTTTGTGGGGTTGGATTTTCTGGCCCGATCGCAATCACAGGCGGACTATATGCGGACGTGTACGACGATCCACGAGAGCGCGGCCTTGTAATGGCCCTTTTTATGAGTACCACGGCCATAGGGCCTGCACTGGCACCAGCCATCTCTGGGTTTATCGCTGAAAACACATCGTGGAGATGGGTGTTTGCTCTTGGGACGCTCATGGCTGTGGCAACCATACCAATCATTGTGTTCATGCCAGAGACATACGCTCCTCTGCTCCTGAGCCGCAAAGCAGCGAGACTGCGCAAAGAGACAGGGGATCCGAATATCGTCGCCAAGTCTGACATCCAGAAGAAGACCTTTCGATACGTCATGACCGTTGTCATGACTCGCCCTTACCGCATGCTGTTCCAGGAGGTCATTGTCATGTGCATTTCGGCGTACTGTGCGTTGGCGTACGGCATCTTCTACCTCTACTTCGAAGCATACCCATTTATTTTCCTAGGGCCAAACTCCGTGTATGGGTGGTCATACGGCTTGGCTGGTCTTGCTTTCATCCCGATTGGTGTGGGGTCTGTTCTCGCCACACCGGTATATATTTGGTGGGATTCTTATCTGGCAAAAGCGAGAAAGAGAAATGCAAAATGGGCTGAGCAGGAAGAGTACCGACGGTTGCCTCTCGCCTGCATCGGTGGGCCATTGTACGTCGTCTCACTGTTTTGGATCGGTTGGAGCGCGAGACCGGGGACCTTTTGGTTGGCTCCTGTGGCCTCTGGGATCACATTCGGGGCCGGCTTTACATTGATCTTTATGGCTTTGCTCAACTATCTTAGTGACGCCTACCAAACGTTCGCGGCTAGTGCCCAAGGCATGGCAAGTACAGCCAGAAGCGTCTTCGGGGTAGTTCTCCCGCTCGCCGCGCATTCCATGTTTTCCAACCTTGGCATCGCGTGGGCGTGCAGTCTGCTCGGGTTTTTGAGTCTCGGGATGTGCATCATACCGTTCGCATTCATCAGGTTCGGCGACCACATTAGGGACAACAGCAGATTCTGCAAGGAGTTGAAGGAGCTGAAGGCGAAAGAGGCTGAGGGAAACGAGCAGACGGAGCAGGACCAAAGCATGAGAGATCAACGCAGTCAAGGAGATGAGAAGGACTTTGGGAGTAGAGAGACAGTGCTCGATGGAGTCTCTGATCGGGTGTGAGGGCAAATGTCCCAACTGCAGCATATCAATGGCGGCAAGCCGTGCGTCACGTCGCATCCGTTTCTCCTCCTCTACACCGGGCTCCACAAATTTCTAGACGGCGGATAAGTCTAGTCGAGGTTCCGGGGTCTCCAGCACACAAGCTGTCGGAAATTCACCCGAACAAACGGATTTACAACGTCCAGGAAGATGTCGCGACGGACTTGACCATATCTGTCAAGAAGGCTACCGTTGGTACACACCGGAGCCTGATCCTGGCAATGAGGATATCCGGCAGGACACCCGCATCGAAAGGCCCGTCCATTCGTCCCAGCCTGTAAAACATCAGCAAGATTCTCAGATCAGACGCAAAAGCCTGATTGCTTCTAGAGGTTTGCTCAAATGCACTGCATCGCCTGCCAACAGCGCTCGACCAATGCAGAACGTGGTGGCGCAATGCCGACGGATTTCAATGAGATGAAGCGATTCCTCAGTTCACATTTCAGCGGTCCGGGGTCCCCAAACAGCTTTTCATTTCATGGGTTGCCTTTGCCGAATTCGCTCAAAGGTGAGATTCTCCATCTCGCCCGTCTGAGACCTCCTACAGATTTGCGCCATTCATCTTTGTGATCACAACTCGATCGTCGTTGGTACTGCTCCTTGTCAACATCGAGATGTTTGCGTGCTTCCAGATGGGCGCGGACTCACCATGTCAGTTTGTCGCCCCGTACCCATATTATCGAACGAATACACGCTATTTGAGGCGACAATCGCTGTGGCAAGGTGAATTATCGTCGCGGCCCTGCTGGCCCAAGCGATGTCATGCTGAGGTCGAAGCCACTCGATTTCTCCTCGGCCAACAATTCACACTTGGGCTGATACCAGCGCTGGGTCGCTCCGTGTCCTCTATGGGCAGTGGCTTTTGTGCTGAAATGGAAGAAAACCCAGTTCAACCCATGATGGATCCTGGTCTGGAAAGGGGATCTTCTGACAATTTGTGCTTGGGAGACACATTAAACGCACGGGGAAAACCGGGTCGAAGGATGTGAGTGACGGCTGCTGGATCAAATGAAAGCAAGTACGGGCTAGGACGGGGTGCTATGTACCTATGTAGTCGAACGCTGAGCAGTCCGGGATCCCCCGTCTCGATTCTTTGCCGTTCACGTAATGGAACGGTGGACCTCACTGGTGCTCACACTCATCGCTTTGTCAACAACGCCGTGCTGACATTGGGACGACCCGCTCGAGGATTTGCCTGGCTCAGGGTTCCATGATTACCTATCGCGGTGCAGAGAGTACGAGACAGTCAGGCTTGGAATCCGAGTGCATCTGAATTGATACCGTGTGTACCCCGTACCGCAGTATTCCGTAGTGAGTACGAGGAAGTGAGATCGACAGTACGGAGTAGGGTGGAAAGAACGCGTCATTGGGCTCGAGTCAGAGGCTATCCATTTATTCGGGGCTCTTGATGCCTTCGTCCAGTCTGGTTTAATTGAGCCGTGAAACACAAGTGAGGTGAGGCCAAAGTGAAAGTCGGTGGGGGGAATCCACGTGATCACACTAGACTTGAGGTGGATTGTCAGGAACGGACGAGGCGATGCTTAGTTGGTGCCTACGTGGTGCCCGTCTTCCTTTCCTCTTCTGTGGTAGACGCCCCTCTGTGTCCATGTCGGCCGCATTCTGCTGATCGGTGGGCCGCTTTCACCTGATTCAGCGACAAGTGCAATTTCGCTTCCGAATCAATCTGCATCACCTTGCCCCTTGTACCCGTTAGGCCCATATCAGCGTCGCAGCGACATGGACGTTGGCCCGAGGCCGGATCAAGACGATGGATCTCGACTCTACAAGAGAGTGCGACATGGCACTCATAAGAGCGGCGGCGATTCCTATCGACGCGCGAGGCAGCCTCGGAGCTTTTGCTGGCAGCTAACAATTTTGGCGATTCCTGATGAATCTCCGTCCACTCGTTTCGTGTCTTCTCGCGCTGGTCGCCGTTCAAACTTGCCCAGTCGAGTCTCTTGCGGTGCCCAGGCCATCGACATTGGAGAGCCGTTCACTCCTTCCGCCTTATTCTTTGCCGAAGAATGGTCTACTCTCGTCCCTGACAAGATCATTAGACATCACGGCAAAGCAGGTCGGCTATTTGTATGGCCCTCCAGTCGCAGGTGGTCCTTCTTTTCCAAGCGGCGCGTTAGGTCTGGTCAAGGTCGCCGCGGACCAGGCTCTCATCCAGCTCGATGAGGCGCCTATCCTGGCAGCCATTACGGTCGATAGAGCCGACAGCACGCTGTCGGCTTCACAGTATAATGGCTTACAGACGCTGGACGACTATACCCGGATATACGATGGCCACTGGAAGGAAACCCTCCCGAACGGCCCCGTCCCGGGCGTCTTGACCAACTACACCCAAGACCTGTTGTTTTCCATGGAGCGCCTATCGATCAGTCCATACCAGGTGAAAAGGCTCAACCCTTCCTCGGATACGTTACAGTTCAATGTCGACGATGATCTTGCGACGAATATCACAGAGATGACTCTCGAGCAGCTTTTCCAGAGCGGTCGCCTTTTCTACGCCGATTATCGAGACCAGAAGAATCTCACACCAACGGAACGATTTTCCGCCGCGTGCGACGCTTTCTTCTACATCGATCAGACGTCTGGGGACTTTTTGCCGCTCGCCATTCGCACGAACGTGGGGTCCAACCTGATCTATACGCCCATGGATGAGCCGGACGACTGGCTGCTCGCAAAGATCATGTATAATGTCAACGACTTCTGGTTCGCGCAATGGAATCATCTTGCGAGCACCCATGAGGTTGTCCAAATCGCATATCTGGCCGCGATCCGCACCTTGAGCGACGAACATCCAGTTCTTGCTTTGCTGAACCGGATCATGTACGAGGTTTACGCAATCCAACCACTGGCCGAGACTCTTCTGTTCCTTCCTGGCGCCGCCGTTGATCAGGTCTTCGCGTACACGGGCAGCTCGGCGAGGGACTACACCACAGGCTTGTATAACAGTGGCAGCGGCCGGTTCCAAGCCAACTATTTCACCACCGACCTTCAGTCTCGGGGATTGATCAACTCCGACTTCGGCCCTGCCTTGAAACATTTTCCCTTCTACGAAGACGCCTCGACGATTTACAATGCGATTCATGCTTTCATGACATCTTTTGTCAATTCCTATTATGCCAAAGACTCAGATATTACTGCCGACCAGGAAATGCAAGCGTGGGTGAAAGACGCGCAAGGACCAGCGAAAGCGATTGACTTCCCGTCCATCACAACTAGAAGCGCCCTGATTGATGCCTTGTCGCACATGGTAAGCCTAAGAGCCACCTCACCTGAGCATAAGCAATCGACGGGTCTGCTGACAAAGTTCTCTACAGGCTCACCTTGTCTCCACGGCGCACCACACAGTCAATACCAACGAGCTATTGTCTGTCAGCTCCACGCTGCCATTTCATACCCCATCGCTCTACCAGCCACCTCCACCAGCCAAAGGTGTCACTAACGTGGTGGATTTCCTACCGCCGCTTGAAAAGGTTGAAACGCAACTCAGCACGGCAGCAATTTTCGTGCGCCCTTTCTTCGTCGGCACGGACCGGACGCTGATGCACATGTTTGACGATTCTGCGATGCTAGGCCGCATGAATACCGCCACGCAAGCGGCGGCTGCAACTTTCTACAGCAGCATGCAGGCGTTCAGCCAACAGGTTGCGGCACGGAAGTTTGATCAGAATGGGCTCTCCCAAGGCATGCCGTTTGTGTGGCAGGCACTGGATCCCAATGTGGCACCCTATTCAATTACTTCCTGAGTGGATCATCGAGCACTACGGATGATAGATCGGTACTAGTCTCGACATCGGCTGTTATGTAAATGAGGTACTGGTTGCTTCCGCGGGATACTCGTGCCATCCCGAGCGAAATTCGTTTTTCCTTTCCGTTTTGAGCGATCATGGAACTCCTTCGCTATCATGCTGGCAAATCAGAGCTGTGAAAGTGGAGAGCTCGCGCAGCTGAGGAGGGAGCGCTCATTGGGGCTGCCTTGTCACTGCTGATAAGTGCCTCACGAGTCGGGGGCCGTTGGAATTGCCGCAGACTTTTGCGAGTCGCACGCCTTCTTGCTAACACACCATCAATGTCTCACAGTTTCTATCATCCGCACGCGGCACGTTATCGAGCTACTTATTTGGCGAATGACCCAGATGTCGCAATATCAACGTGTCGTTGACCGGTCCCGACTACGTGCTCGTACTCGTGCCTGACGAGTCGAGTCAGAAAGGCTAAGTCTCCAAGAGCCACTGCACGCCTGAGATTGGGGGCGGTTAGTGGATCAAGGATGCGCCAGCCACGAAAGGTGTTCAACAGCCCTTCGGGAATATACCCATCCCGACTACGTAATGGCGTCTGGTCCAGCACTGACCTAGTCCTCATGGAGTGGATTCCAACCCAATAGCGAGGTTAAGAGCGGAGCCCGGTGTTTTGGAATCGAGTTCTGCAAGGCACAGCCGTTGTAAGATTCCCACTCTCTCTTAGGGCACTGCAGAACGCGCCTAGTCAGCAATGATCCTCGGTGGCTTTTTCTTTCCCCGCAGACTTTATCCCTGACGCTCGCTGATCCCCCATGCAGGTTCCAGGGGGCTTGGGACGGTTCCATTCGCTGCTCAAGGCTAGCGCCAGCTCCCGACCGTTTGGAGCGGGGACCTGGATGTCCTCTGATCTCCATGGGAACTAACTAATTTGCACGACTGATTGATCGGGAGAGGCCAGCCTTGCAAGCTCAACCAAGCTGCATTGAACCTCAAGCCTAAACCGTCCTTGTCGAAGTGTCGAAGAGGGCTCTTTTCGTCCTCGTGGGCGTGGGCGTGGGCATGGGTACTGGGTACACGGGTACCCGGTACACGGTTCCTGCGTGTCCAGTGCGCAGTAGGCGTCCTGCATCGGTGGATCCATAACGCAAATCCTTCCCAAAACCTCTGCCTGAGCAAGTCCCGAACCCCTAGTCAGAGCTACCAGGGCTGCCAGGACTATCGGGACAGAGAGCGTGTGGGAAATCTCTGTCCACGGGCTGGAGGTAGGAAATGACTTCTCTCACAGGGTTCGTGTCTCTCTGCTGGCCATTGCATTTGCGTTTGCATTTTAATTCACCAATTCCCACTCCTTTTCTCCTCCTTTGTCACATATTTGCTTCATCGTCTTGCTGACTTTAGTTGCTGTCGGTGGTAGGCTTGGTGGTACCGGTACCAGCAACAGCACCAGTACCGTCGCCACGTCCACTGTGCACACACTTCTCCATCCTGGAGGGGATTACCCGTCGCGCATTCTATTCACTGAGGTCTGCGATCGATCAATCCCATCTAATCCCTCCCAACGAGCAATGAGGGTCTCGTGACGGAAAGTCCACAGTGTGCGATTCCACACGCCCTGCCCAAGGCTTCTTCTATCACATGCACCACGGTGGCCAGGGTCTCGCCAAAGGCCCATTGTTGGCACGGAACACGAGCGACAGCACGAGCACGAGTACAGCACACACTCTTCACAACGAGTCTCAACCACAGTCAGAATGGTCGACACCTTGCACCGTGAGTTGTCCCGCCTCAGGATCCCGACAAACACGTGGACTCCATAAGTAGCGAGAATGTACTGACCTGACTGGCCCTCGATCAGCGCCCCCTTCAGTCATTGCCACCTGGCCGAAACCGAACTATGTCGATCCCGATACCAGAGGCCCCGGGCTCATTTATATTTGCATTGTTTTCGGCGCCATTGGCATCATAACCGGCATGGCCAGACTATATTCGCGACTGTTCATCACCAAGGCGCCCGGACTGGACGACCTCCTCGTGATGATCGCGCTTGGCTTCCTTACGGCCCTCACGGTCCTCGTCATCATAGGCAACAAAGACTTCTACAGCGGCCGGCACGTCTGGGACATCCCGCCCAGCAGCTTCGTCGGCGGCCGCATCAACATCTGGGCCAGCCTGTGGTGCTATGTGATTGGCATCACGCTGATTAAGATCTCCGTGCTGCTGTTCTACCGCCGACTGAGCGTCAAGTTCAGCAAGGCCTTCCTGATCGCCACGTGGATCGGCATCATCTACAACTTCTTGTACTTTGTCTCCTTTGGCCTCACGCTGCTGCTGCTCTGCCGCCCGCTGCACGCCTACTGGGACAGCTTCAACCCCGTCTGGGCCGCGACGCACCACTTCCACTGCGCGTCCGAGAATGCCGCCCTCCCGGCGTCCTCGGCGTTCAGTGTCGCCGGTGACTTTTACAGCACCCTCCTGCCCCTGATTCTGGTGTACTACCTCGAACTGCCGCGGCGGCAGAAGTTCGCGCTGTACGCGCTCTTTGCGCTCGGCTTCATGGCCGTCGCAGCGGGCGTGGTGCGCACGGTGCTGATGTATAAACTCCTGAACGTCGACTACGACTTCACCTGGGAGCTGTGGCTGACGTGGGTATGGGCCGTGGTGGAACTCTACCTGGCGCTCTTCGCGGCCAGTGCGCCCAGCTTGAAGCCTTTCTTCCAGCACTTCTTCGTCGACTCGATCAGCAGCTTTGCCCGGAGTTCGCGGCGGCAGCGCGACTACGGCCAAACGAGCGGTCCCGGGCATGAACTTCCAGCAAAGGACGTCGAGCAGGGCATGTACGGGACGGAGGGCCACCACCAGCACCAGCACCAGCACCAGCACCAGCAGCACCCGAACCGTCAGAGACCCGACGTCGACAGGGGGACGAATCGACTCACCTGGATCACCAGGGACGAAAGGTCCGTGTCCCAGCAGAGTTGGTTTCGAGGGGACACATCCACCACGGGCGGGGACGGGACGAGACATCTCGAACTCCGTCCCACGGAGGACGGCAAGAAGATGATCCCCATGCGGGTGTACAGTCGAGACGTCCGTGGTGGCGTTGCCGAGTCCGAGTACTCGTCCAGTGGCGCCTCGGGAGCGACTGCCAACCCCTTTTCAGACACCGACACCGACACAAACACAGTCAGGGAGGCGCTGGATCGGGACCGGGACCGGGAACGCGAGAGATCGGACTCGAATCTGACCATGACCGCGCTGCCGCAGTCGCGGCACGATTGGCCGTTGCCTGCCCTGGGGTCCGAACCACAGCATCAGCCGCGCGAGTTTCTGGCCAACCCTCGTCTGTCCATGTATGATAGGAATATATGAAAACATGATGTTTTTGAAAAATGAAAACGAAGATTAAAAATGACCATCAGCATGAACGTGAACTTGAACCTGAACTTGAACGCGTACATGGATGTGCGATTTCTGTAATTACAAAAGCCCTGCCCGGCCTGCAGGTTATATCTCTCGAACTGCATACCTCCTCATGTTAATAACAAGCATAATTGTGCTATAGATGATCCATAATCCCAGCATACAGAAAGGGCTCGGATTCTCAGTCTCGTCTCTTTTCGGGCGATCGCCCCCCACCAGAGGCTGTGGACCTCTCCTTGACAACCGACTGGCAACTGACTGACTGACTGACTGGACCTCTCGGCGCTGATGATGTGTTCATTCTCGAGGTGATGGTACGAGTAGCAGTGGTGCATCGTAATCGGATCGTGCACAAGTGTGTAGGCACGTAAATTCGTAGGTAGTACAGAATACGTATGTACTCAGTACGAAACCGGTTCATATATATATATATATATCCCCTTTTCCCGCAGTTTGCAGACTATACAGCGAAGATAGCATTTTGTCATCACACGGAGGGGCGGTGTCATAAACTGCGTACGCCCTGCGTTCAGAACAAGCGTATAAGCTAGGATCCCGGTCTTTTTTGGGCGATCCCCCAGAGGGCTGTGGACCAAGGACTGGAAGTTTTAACATCTGGACAGTTCCGACCGCAGGTTGCCCACCGCAAGCACGCACAAGATACACCTTGAAACTTCAATGGCTGCTGTGCTTTACAATGAAATTTGGGTGGTCAAAAGACGTCAGGTTGCCATCTTTTGCAAAGACAATACAGAGTACTTCTTTGTCATTACACTAGCTGGCCAAGAAGGGATACGAGGTGAGTATTTGAAAAGCAAAGAGGAGCGGAAAGCACTGATGGATTGAAAAGGTCCAGGGCGGATCTAACTTCGATTGTCATGTTTCCGTGGCGATATACCTTCGGGCTCTATGCTATCATATACTCCGTACGTCGCGCAACGCTTACCATGCACCCGAATCTATCCGCGGTCATTTGATCTTCAGCACAGCTCGGAGTTCATGACCGAGTACTCCGTACTCCGTATGTGACAACTACTTTAGGTTAGAACATGCACAGAACGCATCGGCTTACAACTCCCATGCCTCTCCGTCAACCATCACCTCCGGAGCGGCAATGTACGTAGGTTCCTCCTTGACGACGATGCCATCCTTGTTCAGCGTCGTTGCCTCGTCGGGAATGCGCGTCTCGTGAGTCTGCGGATCTGTCAGCGTGAGTTCGGCAAGGGATGCTCGCAATTCCCAGACCGCGTCGTTTCCACCATTGTGCATGTGCACCGTTTCGAAACGCAGATACTTGTACATATCTTCGGCACTTATCTTGGCCTTGCCATGCATGCGCTCCCCAATCGCTGCGGCAAGAGGTCCACGTTGGATATCGACGATCCGCGAGTTGGGAAACTCGGTCGAGAGGTCGATGTCCAGGCCCTGGAGCCATCGGAGATCATTGTTTTGATCGAAGAAGAGGAAAAGAACCTCGCGATTGTTGTGGTAGGGTGTGTCTTTGTTGTACGGGGGATGGTCGCCCAGTAGGGTGCGGATCTTGTTCACAAAGGCCTTCTTGACATGGAATCGGGACACGTTGTACAGGCTGCCAAAGTCGAAGTCCGTCGCTTTGACGCCGGCATTGGCGCCGAGTAGCCACTGCCGATCTTGGCAGTGCCGGGCATGCGATCCTACACCGGGAATGTGCGTGTTCTCAGTGACAGCAAAATTGCAGGCTTTGATCGAGCCCCAGGTATTTTTGGCCCGGTCGCCGGCATCTGCGAAGCGAACGCGACGGGGGTCGAAAGAGGCAACTCCAATCTCGGAGACACGATCTTGTGGAGATCCAACCTTCGGGTAATGTTTTCGACAATGGATCTCGATATCAATTGCCACAAGGACTGCGTTTCCAAAGGCCCAGCCTGGTGTGTTAGTGGTGGTAGCGGCCATTGCGATGTATTTCTGAATATACTGAAGTTGATGGGAGTCAGTGGAATGCTGAGATTTCAAGGGAATGATAACTTGCTATATGTAAGACGTCGACTTTGTCGTGACAGTTGCAGAAAGAAGTGTTATTGCTTTCCGTTCAGGCGAAGATGAACACTTGGGTCTCCGGCCAGAATGGAGGGCTCGGTACTTATGCATGTTGAACATAAAGCGTATGTAACTTCATTGTTTGGTGTCTCAATCTTGATCAAGGCACGGATCGTGTAGACAGCGTGAAACAAAGGCTCCTCTCTCGGACGGTGAACATAGACCGAACAAAGCAGTATCTGGTACTCGCCGACTATAGGGACAAACTCCAGGACCGCCATTATTACCCAGTGTTTGGGTCTTTGTTGCAGCGGAGACAGAGCGAGGCGTCAACGACAATGATGCTGGATGTTCCCAGCACCCGCGACGTCAACAAGCGGCCAAGAGTTCAACAAGACTCTGGATTGTCATCAGAGGCCGAGACGTCAACGAAGAGGTAAGAGGTTAAGATTTTGCTGGATATCCTCAGTGCCCGCGACGTCGGCAAAAGGGCAAGGGCCAGCATAACACCGGATGGTCCTGGCAGCCGCGACGTCGACAACAAGGAACTCCATCGACGCCGGGTCCACCTGGTCATAGAGTTAGCACCTATTGTACCTCACGACCCGTCGTCGTTCCCACCTGCGTCGCTGCAGCTCTGCAGCCATCGAAGCCGCTGCATTCTGACCTCAGAGGGATTTCATCCATCCCACCGCGCCCCACCCCCCGGGCCCCCCTAAACAGCCACTGCACGAGTCTCTGCCAGATGTAGTCTCCGTAGAATTGGGTACACAACTTCATCAAGGTAATTAGTTGTGAAGCACGAGAAGAGGGAAATCTGGTGTTGAGAGCGGACAATCTCTCATCACTCTCTTGCTTGTCTCTCACTTGTCTCCCCAATAACGGCAATTGCTCGATGGGGCTGAGTGCTCCGCCGGACTAGCCTAGGTCGAGGCAGATGACTTCGAAATTCAACTTTCTCCTTTACGTCCACACGTAGACGAGCTACTACTTCGCAAAGGTGTTGCAGCTCAAACAGATATTTTTTATCAAGAATTACAGCTACGGTCATCACGAACTGCTCAAATACCGCCGGCAATGCCAATAACTTGCATTGAGCATATGCGGCAAGCGCGAGACCAATGCTTGCAAAACCACGCCATCTGCAGATTGCTGCAGCTTGCCACACACCGGCCAGCTACCCAGCAGAACAAGGCGGAACTGTGGTTCATAACTTGAACAACTTGTCAACAGCCTTCCAGTCCATCGTCTTCTGCTCCTCGAAGTTCTTCTTGTCCTGCTCTTGCTGTTGATCCGCTGGAGGAAGTGTTGTGCAGTTCGCTTGCAGCATCAACCAAGCGTCTGCGGCTAGGAGCGTCGATCGTAGGCCAGCCACATCATTTGTGTCTTCTCCAGACTCAATCGGTGCGATGTGAACGGTGTGCTGATTAATATAGGACCACGGGTTGTCGGAATCCAAGCGACCTCCGATGGCGATACCGTGTCCATGTAGAAGTTGGACTGTAGAAGCTATCTGCCTTTTCCATTTTTCTTTGCATTTTAGGACCTCAGCAGAGTCTTTTTGGTCCGCAAACATTCCCTCCACCACTGCCCACCTCCTGGCTTTTGAAACATAGGTGAGAAGGACGCCGGCGACCAGCAGCTCCTTCCCCGTCTCCGCGTCGGCTGACTGGTTGGTTGCTGATAGATGGCCTTGTGCGCGCCAGTGCTGAAGTCCTCCACCTGCATCGCTGACCACAACACCCAGAAGCTTCGGAATGTGTCCACCTACGCCATCGTTCAATTTTGAATGCAGTATGGAATATGCATTGATCCTGTTCAACGAGGCATTCGAGATCTCACCATTTCTCGCGTTCCTCGTTGGTTTGTTGCAGGACAAGAAGTATAGCACCTCGCCATCTTGCGTCTGCACCTTGGCCGGCGGGTGGCGCCAATCCTTCTCCTGTCCCAGGACACGCAGATCTTGCGCTCGGTACCGAGGGAGATCCTCTGGCATCGACTCGAAGTCGGAGAATGGTAGCAGGTGGTGTTCGTAGGATGGTTTCTCTACCGGGCCACTCGTGATCTTCGCCACCGCGTCGCCGGTCTCCTGATCTGCCACCATTTTCAACTCGTACGCCGGAGTGCGCAAATGGTCCTCGAGTGTCTTCCATTGCCGAGTAGGGGGAGCCAATTCTTGCAGCACGGGCATACACTGGCTGATGATGCAGTCACACAGCTCATTCCATCGCTCAACCCACTTCTTCATGCCTTCAACTCTGGGCGCACCCTCCTTGTTAAGCTCAAGCCATTTCGTGGCAAACGGGGTGTCATTGACGTCCTCGCGCGAAACCGAGACGCGGAAACACACGGCGTTGCGCCAGAATAGTATCCAGCACTTGCCCTCGCGCTCGTTCTGCATGCCATAGCGGACGATGTGAGGGATCGAGTCGAAGAACCGGATAGTTGACATGGTTGAGAAATCGCTTCTGGCTCACATGAGTGACCTTGCCATGTGTCGCAGGGGCAGTAAATGAGGCAGTGAGATATGTCACCGCCATACAATGGCACAGTGCATTGTACAAAGAGGGAGATGTACCAGCTATGTCTAGGCAGCAGTAGTAGTCTCGTTGTTGCCTCACCTTCGCAAATCCACTCCGCTCTGCCCGTTCGTGGCTTGAGCAGGCAGCCGCAACGGCGATCGCGGTTATCAGCTATTAGGCTGTCCTCACTGCTGTACGAGTAACAATGCGGCCGTAGTACCTCGTACAGAGTCAGGTAGTCAGCTAGGACTCGTACAGGTGGCATCGCGGGGTTGACCAATTACGTCACCTGATAAAGGATTCACCCATCTTTCATACTGTGGTCACCTTACGCTCAGTGCTATTGGACCTCGCTGTATCCGCGTTAAGGAAAAGGAAGCCTCATGTCCACATGCTGGTGTATATCTCACTGGTGCCCGTCCAGGATGCGGGAACGGGTCCAGGTCCAAATCCACCTTTGTCGACGAAGTCTTCCTGACGGCGGGCCATGGGAAATTCAAGAAATGCACCTCAGAAGAAGCTTTAAATAGTTTCCATTGCAGCCTCCTACGTACGCACGTACGCGCTCGAGTCTGGCTTCGCATGTCTCGCAGCTTGGCACCTGCTTCAAGTTAGGCGTGGAAGCCGGACAAGCTTTGCTCCCCGGATCGAAGGCCTTTGCCATATATTGCAATCATTGCTCGGTCTCAGGCGCGCCATGATGCATCAGGCTCTAAGCCACAGCATGCGTCCTGACCATCTCAACGTCAGGCAGCACTCAAACAAAGCTGGATCGTGGTCACAAAATTACAGATATGGACTGTCCGCTCCTGAAATGATGCGATCCTTTGCGAGGCAAGTAAGCGATGGTCGGGGTTCCAGGAAAGTCTCAAGGCTGCAACACTTGCAGGAGGAGAAAAGTCAAGGTATGCGGGTTACAATCCAAGATATGCACTGAAAACAAGCGTCCTAATATACTCTAGTGCGATCTCGAGAAGCCACATTGCCGACGGTGCGTCTCGTCCGCCAGACAATGCGAAGGCTACGAGCGGTATGCGGTCTTCATCAATCGCGGCCAGCAGGGACTCCAGAAGAGAGAACGACTGGAGGAAGCGAGGATCCCGACGACTAGCATTCCATCTGCATTGGGCTTTCAATATGCGAATACGCCGCTGAATTTCAGTCCTTCGCCCCGTCAAGCCAATGAAACCCAGCTGATCTCCTCGTTCTGGGAGACCTACTGCGCAAGCGCCACTCGATACCCAGCTCCAACCGAGCCGGCCTGGCTCTATCGATCAATTAGCAGTGCGACGACCCCAACTACAGTTACAGCCGCACCCTCAATGCTGCTCAAGCAAGCGCTACTTTCCCTTGCGTACATCCGTATTGGTAGACTGAACGATGACCAAGCGTTGATCATCAGGGGTCAGCAGATCTACGGCCAAAGCCTGCGCTTGATGCAGCATGCCCTACGCGACCCGGTTCTCGCCCACAACGACGATATCCTCGTCGCTGCGCGATGCATGGTCTTGTACGAGTCATTCGAATCCACGTCCGGGGACATGGCCGCGTGGGAGAACCACATTCTGGGGATCGCGCGCATCATTCATCTCCGGGGTGTGCACCAAACCCGCGACCCCATCTCCCGCTCAGTGCTTGAGTCGATACGCTACAACGTGATGATTGTGTCATTGATGCGGAGCACCTCCTGCTTTCTTGGGGAGTCAGAATGGTTGACTGTGCCGTGGGCGGGAGTGTCCAAGTCCCTCGACCAGAGATTGTTCGACTATGGTTTTACACTGGCCTACATGATGCAGAGGAGCGAGACCATCTCGATGTCAACGTCACTATCAGTGCCATCCCAGCACCGGCACCAGGAACTCCACCAATCAGCATCGAAGCGACAAACCATCATTGACATCCTCGAGCAAACCCTATCGTGCTATATCGGCCTCGCAAACCTGCGCTCCGAGCTGTTAGCGACGCGGAGACAAAAGTTGCGAGTCGTGAATCCACCATCGATTCAGAGTCAACAACTGTATGACGAGGACACCACCACCGACGAGCAGCATATGCACCTCGCGCGTGCCGATAACGATCCTCAAGCCATAAGCTTCGCCATCCTCCTCGCTCTCGAACTGTCATTCTCCATCTTCGCGACCGCGCTGGTCCAGCACCTTCCTGACGATCACGATCACGATTACGCCCACGGTCACGGTCACGATCACGGTCGCGATCTCGGCCACGACCCTACCCGCCACTCGCCTCGCGACCTCTTCGCCCAGCTCGCAGAATATATGGCCCCCGCACGACGACTACAACTAGGCCAGCAACTTCTCCGACACCTGCAACTCTGCTGTGCAGTGCGATCGGAACACCTGCGCCCAAGGATCATTTTCCCCCTCAACGTCCTGCGATGGGAGATGCGGCATCGTCCGGCCGAGGCGGCACAGGTGCGGGCCTTGTTCGAGGCCGTCGCGTCGCGAGGCAAGTTTCGGATCGCCAAGGGGGCGCAGAATGCAGGGACGGAGATTGTGCCCGGGATTGTTTTGGAGTCTGAGAGATAAGATAATTATTTGTATTCATAGAATGGTGAGAGAGTAGCGGCCAAGGGCCTGTACTTCGTTTGCCCGTGTCGTTGTCCAATGATATATGAAGAGGAAGCGAGAGTGAGCAAGACAACGCAACGGGCCCGAAGGAGAAGAAAAAAAAAAATATAAGGATACTGCTGGTGAATTGGTTGAAATCGAAACTGGGATTGGAATGCTGTGACCGCACTGTACTACACGCTACACTGTACACATGGTATACCCACGTCCCGCAGTGTATCAGCCCCAATGGTGTTCCGCATATTGATTCTGGCCGTGTGGATGCAGCAGAGGAGAGCAAAGTAGACGAGACCAGAACGAGTCGAAGGCAGACAGATGGGCAGGCAGACAGGCTGACAGGCAGACACGTAGGGAGGTAAGCCATGAATTTCCACGGGACAGGCACATCTCAGGAACTCAGGGGGGACAGCAACACAGGTATCCCCGCAACACAACAATTGTGATCTATCTACATGTCGTGCCAGCTACCTCGCTGGCTTGCTAACAAATATCAAACTAATCAACAACAGGGACCCCTCATGATTTCCGGTTGGGCTCAAGAAACAGCAAATCCGTCATGGTAAACGCTTTAACATCCAGCACAGCCCGGCCCAGTTGGCCCAGCCCGGCCCGGCCCAATCCCGGCCGAGTATACGCAGGGAAACGCAACGCTTGAATCGTCTGTATTGGAAAAACTGATATTTCCGGTCGACTTCCTCTCTTACATCCTGATGACCTCGTTGGAGGAAGGTCCAGATGAATTGCTCTCGGTCTTCAGGCCTTTCTCGGCGATCCACTCGTCAGACGCAAGGTGTTCGTCACCGGTCTTGAAGACGAGACCGGGATGTGCGATGATCAAGCAGTAAGCTGCAAGGACGACCATGCTGCACGAAAAGAGTCGTCAGCAACGGAAGGTGCATGGAAGGAGCAACATCAGCAGGGAAAGGCTAAGTAACTTACACTGACTCCAGGGCAATGAAGAGGGGCTCGTCTCTCAAGGCCTCGCTGTCCCGTGAATATCCTTCGCTGAGCTCGTAGACCCGATAACAGCATCGGAGCAGGATCAGGACCGTCGCTGCGGTGAGGAAGGCGCAGAAGAGCATGAATCGTCGGGGCCAGCGGACGGCCATCCACACTGAACGGCTGCGGACGGCATAGTCGACGCATAGGCCGGCAAAGGCCACGAGCGTGATGACTTGCAGGATCAAGCCTGCCAGGGCAATGTCGACGCCAGTTTGGGACCTTCCGTTGGAGGTCGAGGACATGGCGCCGCCGACAGCTTGGAGGATGAGGGAGAGGATGTCGCATGGGATGAAGATCCAGTAGAAGTATTTGGGGGGGAAGCGGGAGTGCTTGACGCAGATGTATTCGACACTGAGGCAGGTCAGGTCAGCTTAGGTACGATAGACTCGGTGTGAAGGGGAGGAAAGTAAGGACAAACATTTGAGCCAACAGCACGTATATGGCGGCGGAGAAGAAGACGGGTCCGATTGTGATCAGCACTGGGGACATGTTAGTGAGCATGACAAGAAGGCTGGTGCAGGCAACGTACCAATCTGCATGATGAACCCAGCTTCACCCCATGGGTTCTGCCAGTACAAGATCCGTCCGACGTATCCGAGGATCTCATCGAGGCAGCCGAGCAGCATGGCACTCATGAATCCCCATTTCTTGTAGCGGAGACCAAGTACAGCTTGAATGCCCATGCAGATGGCATAGAGAGCGATGAGGGTGCTGCTCGCGGCAATTGATGGTCTGTAGCCATAGACGCTCAATTCAATCGGGCACGCCGAGACGGTGCAATTGGAGTTGTCGCCGCTGGCAAAGTAGACCACGCCGCTTGGGGAAGTGTAGACGAGGGTTTCGTCGGGAAGGCGGCTGACGGACATGGCGGTGGATTTGAGATGGGAAGTGAATTGTAGCAAAAAGGTGAAGGGGATTGCTGCTGTATTTGGAGGTTGACTGCGTGAAGATTGGGTCGGTTGGTCAGATTGCCTGCGATGGCCAACTTCTTTGCTGATGTTGAGGTTGACAGGCTCCGAGGGTTCCTGGCGAATATATAGATGAAAAGGCACAGAATGTTAGCTGGCAGACCGGATGCATCGCGAATGAATACCTGCGAGTGGTGCATGAGCTCGGGGTTGCTTGGCCTCGTCTCAGTATAGCACCTAATTAGGCAAGGCTATAGATCCCGCCATGGACATCACAGCACTAGCGATAAGGCCGTACGTCTCCGGCCGTGGTGTCTGGACCAATGGATCAGGGTAGGAGGCGGTGCAGACAGGGCTGAACAGCATCTTGCCTTCTGGTCCTGTTCAGTGCTTGTTGGGAACCCGGTGTCGAATACGTCGAAGACAACCTGTAAGTGGTCTGGGTCGAGTCCTGGAAAGACCCAAGCATGATACGGCAGCGGGCCTTGTCGTGGTCCAAGCCTATTCGGGTATTCATCTTGCGAGTGACTGGAATGAATCAAGGATGGGTCGAACACTGGTCGAGTTTCTGTGTGGAAACTCACCGGCCGTAACGTGGAGGCGCAGGCAGACACGCAGATCAGGGCGATCGTCCGAAGCCAATCACGACATCGACCACGCGTCGCAGTATGAGCCCAAGAGAGGGAAAGCGCGGTCTTGGCGTGTTAGTCACTTCACTTCCACAGCGCGACATCACCGTTTGTTGCGCCCCACCAGTTTCCTCACTGAGCTTTCACTGAACTTTCATTGAGCTTTCACTGAACTTTCACTGAGCTTTCACTGAGCTTTCACTGAGCTTTCTCCGCGCTTCCAAAAGGACTACCACCACTGCTGTCCTGAGCATGCTGTACTTGGCACGAACAGCACAAATAGTGCGACACACCGCGATAAATTGGGAACCCTGGATCATCTGGCCCGACTGCCAAGACTGACAGAGTCGCAGGCTGGAGAGGTCCAATCTGGTCTACGGAGTACACTGGGAGCAGAGTTCAATCTCCAGTCCTGGCTTCATCATGCCTGCCACTGACCAAAATAGCATCGACCCATGCACCTGTTCGGACGAGTAGAACTGCTCCTGTTCGATAGAAAGGAGAAACCACACCATCATTGTGCCGGCGGTTGGCCATGAACTCAAACCCTCACACGACGGAGCAATGTTGCTCCGAGCTGCCAGTCCGGGGCCATAGCCTCGGAGCTGCGGACGATGGCTTCACGAAGTCACCTGTCGCACCTCCAGCGTGGTGCTTCTCAGCTCCCTCACGGAGCGATATGTCCGTCTCAACTCGCTATATAGCGACGACTGATTGCCTGTAGCAGAACATCGCCGTCTATGTCATAACGCTATACTCACCACATCCTATCACTCCGCAACTCCAGAACACGACCCAAACATGTCTCGGCCAGCAACCATGAGAGCCTGGCAATATTCTAGCACGAAAGGCGGCCTCGAAAAGCACCTGCACCTCAACGAGTCCGCCGCCATTCCCTCGCCAAAGCACGATCAACATCTCGTGCAGGTGCTTGCAGTGGCACTTAATCCCATCGACCACAAGCCCGCGGAGTTTCAACTCCTCAGCCGTCTGGCCATCCCGAAGCCAGCAACTCCGGGCCTCGACTTCGTGGGATACCTCGTCACACCGGCAGCAGGCTCAGCCTTGAAACCGGGTCGGCTCGTCCATGGCTGCACGGGCACATCACCCTTGGCGGGTGGCGGGCTGGCCGAATACGCAGTCTGCAAGCCAGAACAAGTGGTCGCTGTTCCCGAGGGGATTGATCGCACCGACGCCGCCACACTGGGTGTCGCCGGACTGACTGCCTACCAGACAATCGTCCCCTACGTCAAAGCCGGGGACGAGATTTTCATCAACGGCGGGTCCGGCGGAACAGGGATCTTCGGAATACAGATCGCGAAGGTGGTCGGCTGCTCCGTCACGACCAGCTGCTCCACGGCGAACGTGGAGCTCTGCAAGAGCCTCGGCGCGGACAGCGTCATCGACTACAAGAAACAGAGCGTCCTCGAGGCACTGAAAGCCAGTGGCCACAAATTCGACCACGTCATCGACTATGTGGGCACGGATTTCGAGCTCTACTGGAAATGCCACGAGTATACGAAACCAGGAGCGGTGTTCATGAATGTCGCCGGACACATCACGTTACCTTACTTCTGGGACTCGTTCCTGCGGCGCGTGTGGCCGCGCTTCCTCGGTGGCGGCCAGCGAAAGTCGCAGGGATTCTTCACACAGGCGAAACCCGATCAGCTGGCCCAGATCACAACCTGGATGAGGGAGGGCAAAGTGAGGACTGTCATTGACCAGACGTTTCCCTTTGAACAGGCCCGGCAGGCGATCACGAAGCTGAAGACTGGACGCGCGAGAGGCAAGATTGTCGTCGAGGTTTCTTCAAAAGGCTTCGAACCTCCGGAGGGGCGCTAACTCAAGCGTTTCCATGGCTATCCACATATATATCAGTATGTGGGCGAGGAGGTGACGGCTTGAGAGAAATCTCGTGGATTGATTAGCACGGCGTACGGTTTATGGTCGAGGACGGGCGTCTACTCAGGGACTGACATTTGTCCTCGACTTGTCTCCCTTTTCAAATCATCGACGAGCATTATATCGGAGAAGCAACTCCTCCACTACTGATCAACGTACTTACCCTCAACCCCCACTCGCCACGACCGAACGCCTTCCGTGTCATCTCCTGTGGACAATAACTGCGCATTCATCCACGTCCCTCACTCCCGATCAGGCTACAAGTCAAGCAGCGACCGCAGCTTTCGGTACATCTAGCCTCCGGGAAGATCACTATACATGTGCAAGCCGGTGCCAGCGCCCATGCCGCATATCTAGCCTACCTCATACCATTCAGTACAGGAGCCGGCACAGTCACGATCCAGCAAATTCGTTATCCATCACAATCTTATGAGCAGCCAGTCTACAGAGTGCCTGATGAGATCTCTACCGCTATGCCTCTTAAATCCAAATATTCGCCTCGACGCTCTTTCGCCCCAGGGCAGCCTCCAACGGTAAGGCCATTCCTCCGAGTCAATCTCCCCCTCCAACCAGCCCCCTTGTCACCTCCGATACCATCGTGACATTGGCTTTGAGTGAGCATGCTACAACTTACGTGCTGGTGAAGGCCAAGGCCATGCCGCCTGGGGAAACATCAAGTTCTTGAAGGAGCACAAGGAGAAGGAGAAAGAGGCAGAGTTGCGGGCGCCAGGAATTGGGTCTGGAAAGGAGAGATTGACATGGGGGCCGGTTAATATTGTATGATTCGTCGAAAACCACAGCGAGTCTCCGCTACGAGGTCCAGGCGACAGACACGGCGTAGGACGTACGGCTCTGGGCAACAGGTGATCGAAAATTCTTCCCCTGGATATCGTTGTTAGCCGCAGGTGCTGTTCCTGTCTCGCTATATATTCAATGTATTGATTGGCTGAAGTTAAAACTGATCATTGCGGTCGACGCGCCCTCTCAAGGCCAATTCTGACCCCAAAGCGTGTCATCACCAAAGTTGAAGAAATCAAGAGAGTCCATCATGGTAAAGTCCTCCGGTAGAGCCGTGGCCAGCTCGTCTGGCACTTGCAATTGATCACCGGGCAAAGTCGCATGCTGAGATTGTCTCCTCGCAAGATCAGCCTTCCTCGCATCATGCACGGCTTTGACTTCTTTGATCTTCGTCTCGACGGTGACGAAGATGAGGGGGACACTGCGCGCCAAGGCACTGTTGTGGGGAGGGGCGTTCTCGTGGGGAGACCGTGTATTACTACCACTCGTAGTAGTGGCCATTTGGATAGCCTCCTCGACCTTTGCAGACAGTTTGTCCAGCACGGCGTGGAAGTTCAAGGTCTGCGAAACGTAGTCGTGGTCCCAGCCATCGACGACGCAGAGCGACAGCTTGGAGAGCACGACGTTCAGATGGCTGACCAGCGTCCACGTCGAGTATGGGAGGTCGAAGTATGTCGACGCGGGCAGGGCGTAGAAGGTGTCGAAGAAGTGCTTGGTCGACTGCAGGCAGGCGAAGAGCAGGCTCAGCCGCGTGAGCGAGAAGGACCCGTATCTCGAGGCTTCGACCTTTTCGTCCAGGGCGATTTCGAAGAGATACGTTTCGACGCCGTAGTAATGCATGAGCAGCAACACTGTGTCGGACGCGTGAATGAGTGAGTGAGTGAGTGCCGTATTCCTCGAGCAGACCCCCGGGGTGGGGGGAGGAGGGGGGGGGGAGGGGAACTTACCATTCTGGAGGGTATCAGGAGGAGGGAGGAGGACCGGCGGTTTCAGCTTCAGTAGCTCGGCTTCCATTGACTTTACAGCGGCGCCGACGGGGACAGAGATGGTCGGCGAGGGATCCCACTCTTGTTGGTTGAATGTGCGGTTGACCTTGTCGCCCAGGTAGAGAAGCCTGACGACGTGAACAAGGTACGTGTCGGTCGGGTATTCAGCCTCCTCGGATAATAGTTGACAACATTCCTCGGTGTACTTTGTGTATCGAACGGGCTCAAAGTCACGGGCAGTCATCGAGATCCTGTTTATATGGAGGTCAGCGGGCAGGCATGTCCTTCTAGAGTAAAGGCGCATGTTGTCAGGGGCACAAGTGTCGAGATGGGCACATACACTACAGTCAGACAAAAGCAACCCAAGTAAGTCCGGCGCTCCTCCAATGTTCGTGGCGCTACATTCTCTCCGCGTCCGTCCATGCGGAAATACTCCCTCTGCGGCTTTGCGTACCTCCTCGGCGCTGTCTGCTTGTTCAACCCCAGGTCGATCATCAAGGACATGGTAAGATGAAGCAGGTTGGTGAGTTGCGTGCCAAGGTGCAAATGGGTGTGGTACCTGGTCGCATTGATTAGTTTTTGGCGCGATTCGCATGGGCACCGGAGGACATCTTAGGTACCAAGCCAGGTAGAAGAGCATGCCCTGCAGCATGTCCAAGCTCTGCTCGCTCTTGATCAGCATCCTCTGGCTGATAATCTCCCGGATCGCCTTGGCAATTGCTCCTTGCCGGGGGATATCATGGCGGCAGGTGATCATCATGACGCTCAAGAAGAAGAATGGCTTCCTGGCCCGTACGTCGCTGGACGTCACCCACGGCGATATCACGACAAACGGGAAGTGCGGTGTCAGTTCATTCCGGAAGATGTCGAGCATCAGATGTGCCTCGTCGTCGCTCTGGAGAAATTGGTCGACATAGCCGCCGATGGTGGGTGGCGTTTGGCCGCTCGAGGTCCTGGCAAGTCCGACGTTGTCAGAGGCGGCCAGAATCGCCGCGACGCCATCGAGCTTTCGCTCCAGGCGCGAGACATCGCTGTCAGTGCGTTAGCTCGATAACCGGATACTCATGGCCCCAAAGTGTTGGTTGCTGACGATTTCTGCTTCGGTTTGCGCTTCTGCGCCCCCGGCGGCTGTGCACGGCATGTCCTTTTGAGCCGCAGGCAACTGTCGGCTAGAGTCAATCGAAACACTCTCCACGAGGGCGTTCCATGGCGTACCGCTTGCAGATAATCTGCCCCTCATCGGTCTCGCATCGTACTTTGGCAACCGCGCACGGGACGCAAGCCTTTGGAGCGCGGATGCCGACGGGCTCGTTGGGCGGCGTTGCTTGTTGCATTAACGGCGGCTTTCGAGGACACGATCAGATTATGGAAGGAATGGCAAGCCCGACCGCTCCGTTCAGGTACAAGGAGGAGGGAATGACTGGACTGTCGTGTCGGACACGGGAATCCCATTCAGCCTTCGCCGGTCGCGGCCTCTGTCTAAGCGAGCCAATGACCAGGCCAGGACCTTGGCGGATATGATCCCCTAGAGGAGAACTTGCCATTGCTCGGGGCAAAACGAGGCAGTCTTTGGACGCGGTCGCGAAGGTTTAAAGAGCCAAGGCTTGGAATCATGCCTACGAGGTATAGCAGCGGCCGAAGACAACAGCCGATATGGCAACCTCAGGGCAGTCACAGCGCTCAGTCAAAGTCGCAGAGCCGGACGAGGTTGCAGACTCGTCGGATCACCCGTCTACCATTAACAAGTCCACGTCAACAGGTACAAACCATGATACCACCACAGGCCCCCAGAACACAGACTCGCAAGCCGCAGCGAATCTGGCTGCTGCGAAACCGATTGTTCTTTTTGCCGCTGTCTTCCTCTCCACCTTCTTGATGGCCTTGAATGGGTCAATCATCTCAACGGCATGTCGCAGACTTCCCACCACACCACATGCACATCCGGTTATATATGTTGACGGGATAGGCAGGCGATTCCGGAGATCACCACGCACTTCAACTCCCTGAAAGACATCGGTTGGTATGGCAGCGCATATCTGGTCTCCACGTGAGGAGCATGTTTCCTATCCGAACGGCAGCACCCCTAACAAAGACCGGCAGATGTTCCTTGCAACCTCTCGTGGGTAGAATATATACACACTTTCCGACCAAGGCAAGAGTTGTTCCTGTATTGAAAACATCATACTGACGACGATAGTACACCTACATAACCTTCGCCAGTATCTTCTCAGTCGGAGCTCTCGTTTGCGCAACAGCCCCTTCTTCCAAGGCTCTTATTGTCGGTCGGGCCATTCAGGGCATTGGCGGCGCCGGGGTTATCAATGGGGCCTTTGCAGTGATTGCTGCTGCAGCCTCACCACAGAGCAGACCGCGTGAGGCATATCTCGGGGTGTTTGGATGACAACAACTGACTTCGGCCTGCAAATAGTGCTCGTTGGGATCGCAGTCAGCCTTTCATCGTAAGTAATCCAGTCGACCACTACCCTATAGATCAGGCTGTTCTGGCCCTTGGTGTCATCTGAGGGGCGAATGCTAATCGAGGTGAATCTTGAGGTTCGGAACGATCATTGGACCTTTGATCGGTGGCGCGCTGACACACAGCGTTTCCTGGAGGTGGTGTTAGTGACCCTTTCGTCTTGTGCATAAGCGTTGACCCGCTAACAGGACCAGGCTTTTACATCAACCTCCCTCCTGGGGGACTTGTGGTCTGCACTCTCGTTTCGCTGGCAGTTCCAGAACAGATCAAGAAACAGCCGGTGAGAGGCAATCTCACGAACATTGTCACTAAAGAACTTGATCTAATCGGCTTCACACTCTTCGCGCCCGCCTGCATCATGTTTCTCCTGGCAATGATCTGGGGAGGGGAAGACTACCGCTGGGACTCTTCCGTTATCATCGGCCTCTTCTGCGGCGCCTTCGTCACCTTCATCACATTCGCAACGTGGGAGTATTTTCGCGGAGACAAGGCCATGATACCGCCTAGCATTGCCAGGAAGCCCCTTGTTATGTTCGGAGGCTTAACGTCATTCCTGCAGGTGGGAGCCTTGTTGTTGCTGAGCTATTACCTTCCGTTGTGGTTCCAAGTTGTCAAGGACGACAGTCCACTCATGAGTGGGGTGATGGTCCTCCCGACTGCCATCTCCCAGGCCATCGCGGGCATCACAGCGGGCAAATTGGGTAAGACATTTCAAACAGTACTGTGAAGGCCGGATGCTCACTGAAAGAAAGTCCAAGTCATTGGCTATTGCACCCCATGGGCCCTTCTCGGCTGCGTCTGGACCTCCGTTGGCTCGGGGTTGATGACAACGTTCACCGGGTCCAGTGGCGCCGGAGCCTGGATTGGATACCAGATCCTGGCCGGCGCCGGAAGAGGGACTGTGGTCCAGATGGTATGCCCCCTGCGAGAATCTTCATGCATATCTGGCTGACTCGAACGACGCCCGCAGCCTATTACCGCCATCCAGAATTTGTTACCTCCAAAAGAAGTTTCCATTGCAAGTTCGCAAATTTTCTTCTGGCAATATCTCGGAGGGGCAACCTTTCTCGCCGTTGGCGAGACCATCTTCACCAACACTTTGCGGTCATCATTGAAGACTTATGCTCCTGGTGTCAACCCGCAAGACGTGATTGACGTCGGAGCGTTGGCGGTCCGGTCAAGTGTGCCAAAAGCCGATCTCGAGAACGTGCTCCATGCCTACAATCATGCCATCGTGACGACATTTGTAAGTTGAATCTCCCATCTGTTAATTTGTGCTGAGCTTGCTGCAGTATCTCGCCGTCGGCGCATCCTCAGCAGCATTCCTGACCAGTTTCGGGATGGGGTTCCAGAAGCTGCCAAAGAGACAGGCGCCAAAGAAGTCGAAAGAAGGTGAAGCTTAGTACGTCCAAACCGACGCAGAGAGGAGTTACGCATGGCAGCATTCTGGCGGCTTGAATAAGGTCCTAGGACGTCCGTTTGACGCTGAGCGTGGTAGCCACCATCTGCATCATGTATAACAGTTCCGATCGTTCGAAGATTGAAAACCCCCGTCTCCACTGAACAATGAAAGAATGCGTCAGCCATGCGCCTGTACCCACAGATCTCAATCTAGACACGCCAGTGGTAAAACATCCAAGGAGGCCAAGCACGACTTGCCTCAATCCAGAACGTCTTTCAGGCCCATTCCAATATCACACAACACAGTAATCTTTCTTGTTCCTGGAAGCGGAGTATGATGGAAGGCTCATTATCGCGTCGGTCAAAAGTCACCTCTCTTCCTGCATCCAACTCCTCCACTCTGATGACATGGCATCCCGACGAGTCATAGGAGTCGTTCGTCTTCAAGGTCATCATTCCCACCGCAGGTGATTGGATCTCCGCCATTATTTCCAAGCCTGTTACCGCGGCAAAGCGAGGTACGTTGGGGAGGAGCCGTACTGGACGCGCGCTGCTTCCTGTGATAGTTGACTTGCTCGACCCGCTCTCCCACCACTCATCGCTCGATGTTAGGTTGCTTGCCACCGAGTGTTCCTGTGCAGGAGGTGCGACGATGTCCTCCGTGGGAGTCCGGACGCTTCGTTGCATTGGTGTTTCTGACCCATCAGTAGTTGTGGCTTCTTTGTCAAGCCCCGCGGTTGAAAGTGTCGGTAATGGTTCGGAAAAGTCTACAACATCTGGAGAGTCGCGAGGGGCATCGTGATTGGGACTTATCGGCTGGATAACGCTTGGTTGTGAGGCGTGCTTCACAGTCAATATTGTCGTGGCAGGCGAGAACTTTGGAAAATTCTGTAAATTGTGTCTGCTCGTGAGAGGATAGGGGCGCCGTGGATGTGGCATCGTCCGGAGCCGCGAAGCCTTGTCATGCATGCGCTGTATGATGGCTCTGAGAGTGGCAACACTTTTCGGAGTATACTCCGCCAGGTCAGGGATAGTCCACTGGTCGAATAAACGTCCATGCCAAGTCGATACTGCGAAGCTACCATGTTCAACGATGAGGAGATGGCACAGAAAGCACGCCCCTTTGCTGCTGCCGATGAACCGGGGCGGCAACGTTTTCGCTGACTGTAGATAATGTATGACCAATTGAACTTCCGCATGGACATGGCACTCGACTTTCTTCCCGGTAAGCGACACAGGGCTCAGCCGAGACTGGTAGGCTTCAATATACTCGATCTTGATGCTGGAAAAGAGCGGCCTTGTTGCTTTCCTGTAAGCTGCTCGAGCCAGGGTATCCGGGATTCGATGGTATGCGGCGAGCTTGTCGATTTGCATGATAAACTTGTTATTGAACCACTTGCGACAATTGAGACCAGCGTGCTTCAAAGTGGTTCGAAATGGCAGAGCTCCGTCAGAAGTGGTGATTGAAAAGCTTTCATTTACAACTTCTTTCATCTCGTGTGTCGACAGCGGCTTGTCCGGGCCCAATATCTCTTCGAATCTCTGTGTCAATGCTGAGATTCTTCGCACGAGATCTTTGGCGACAGGTGTCGAGGCTTCGGCTCGCATACGGGTTAAAGTGTTCGTGAGCTTTTGCTCGTCTGTTCTTCCACGCGAAAAGTTATGAGCAGGCGGCCGTCCAAGGGCTAAACGCATGCGTGACTTGATGCGCTCTTGCGAAAGCGAGAGTATCAAGGCCGACATCCGTGAAATACAGCTTTTCAATGGGAGCTCTTGAGTTGGATGTGAGCAAGGACACGCCATATCAGCCAGCATACCACTAACCATTTTGTGCGCATGACATCAAGCAGCCACAGATTTGCTCGAAATCGTCTCTCACTTCAATCCGCACTCCTTCATTGGCAGCAACGCGCAGTATAATGCCAGGGGGATCATGGACCTCCTCGATGCATATCGCAGTCACCGATTCTACGCCTTCCTGCGCCGCCAAGATGAAGGCGAGGTCGTCAGCAAGCCGCTTTTCAGTTTGAGAAGGGAGCATTCGGTTTTCGGCTGCAGATGCTAGGTGTTGGCTACTATTAGACATCGACCACCAATGTCTTGATTCGTCAGGCACGCCATCCGTAGCTCGCGACAGGTCAATGACTGTCCGGCGGAAATCTTCTTCGGGCAAATCCTTCCATATAGAGCGTTTCGGTTCCGCTGTGCGTACAGGCTTTCCGATCAACATCGTATGATAGAAGTTTCGAGGGAAAAGACAGCCGTTGCACACACTGAATTGTCGCTGATATACTCGGGGACGCAATGGAGCTGGAACCTGGAGCTAATGTCATGTTGTACGACCAGTAAGGAAGCGCCAACTGGCGTTCGGTGATGCTTGGTTTCCCCTGTCCTGATTGGAGCGTTTCGGCAGGAGGCTTGCATGCTGTCCGGGCCTGCAGCGCGGAGTCTATGGGCCCAGAGTTGCTGCTGATGGCCATTGGTAGCCCTCCTTGCGCATGGACACTGCCCAAAGACCGCAGGGATGAATGCCACGCGGGGCTGAGCAGCTCTTGAGACCGGGAGTTGGTCCTTCGGCGGCGTCCCCAAGTTTTGTGAGAATGCTGTCGAGAACGCTCTAGCCAATTAATCTGATTGCTGTTTTGTGAGGACCATCCGCACGAGCAGCGTGGTCGCGGGATTGAGATTGAGCCCAGCATTTTGCAAGGTCTTCAGCGAACAACCGGAAGACATCGAAGTATAATGTTTCTTGAAGTAGCTTCAGCTTTTGCAAGACGAAAGCTTGATCATTCTCGCAAGTAAGCTCAGGACCAATGATTCCAAGCGGGAAGAGTAGTGCGCTGTTGAACACGGAGTCGCAAGGCAAAGCGCGTAAAATACCCATGGCGAACTTAGTGAATTTCCGAATCTGCGCTTGTGCCACGAACGGTGGGTAGGCTCTCGTGGTATTCGAATGGATCAGGTCGACTCGATCTCTCAGCTGACGAAAGAAATAGATACGGCTTGAGGTGCGGTAGATTTCCTGGACGGTGGCCTGCTCATCCTGTGCATTCGCGTGAATTGTGCCGGCCGCAGATTGGAAGATACGTCCTCGCACATAACCTTGTGCATCTAGGGGCCTAACTGATCTAGTGCTGAAACTTGGCAGAAAGTTGAAATCTCCGTTCCATGAGTCAAAGTCGGCCAAGCCAACGTTCTCAACATCGTTGCCGGCACGCCAAAGGAGAGACACAAAATCCTGGGGAGGGCAACGCGACAAAGGAAGGAAAGATGGCACTTGGAGTCTCCTGTCGACCATAGAAGGAGGCTGGGTTATGGCGATCATCGCTAATAGATGATTGTAGGTGACCAAGCTGTGGAGGAAGAAAGGAAGTGTTGTTGTGAATACACCAGCTAATGTTGAATCAGCAGTCGTCTTGCATGTGAAGTAGTATTGAGCAAACTCAAGGTACGGTCGGAAACTGTCGTAGTCTTGGCCGGAGAGCTTGCCAAATAGTGCCAACATGAGGGCCGTGGTGACGAGGCACAATTTGTCCGCCTCGTCCAGCGTCAGCAACACCTGCGGAGAGCACAATATGAAAAAGTCTTCGGCTGATTTGGGCTTGTCGCGGCTCCGACTGCCAGAGCATATATTCTGGCAACCTTCCAGAGCTCGGAGTCGGAAAACCTTGGTTGACAGCTGCAGTGATGGAAAGTTTCTGGACGCGGCGTTGAGTCCAGAAAGGGCCAGAAGCGCGAAGCGCACAGGCTCATAGCGCACGGCGACCGGTACCAGGCATGACAGGAATGGGTTTTCTGAATCGGAGCATGTTGGATAATTTCTTGCGAAGCAATTGATATAGTGGTCCCAAAGGAGGAACTCGAGCGGAGACTTCAAACCTTCCGCATTGACGAGGTGGGACAGAGAGGCTGTGGCTGATGGTGTGCTTGGGACGTGCTTCACTTGCGACCTCGACGTTGTGGTCGTCCCCTGGATGCCACCCATAACCACCGCGGTCATGTCTCGGTTGTCTGCAATAGCCCCAGGCGGCGCTTGCTCCTTGCTTTTAGGTGGTCCTCTACGTCTGATTCCTTCCCGGACTGGGTCATCCTCCCAGAGTAGTCTTGAGAGGTATCCCTCGCAATGTAACCCTAATCGCTGGCAAGCTCGACAAGAAGGCCTGGTCAAGTCGCACTTCTTCTTTCTAACGGGATAGAAAACATTCAGCCAATGCATCGACAGCCCGAGAAGGGGGCGTTTCGAGTACTGGAACACCCACCTTCGTTTGCATGTCACGCACCCACCTCTCGTCCGTCGGACCTCAGTTCTCCTAGCTGACATGGAGGTTGATCACGGGTCAAGCTTCGAACAGGGAATTTGGGTCGGCCATTCTTGGGCCTCGCAGTCAACATAACCATGTCCATCATAGGACGGAGTTCCCATGCTGCAGGATGGAGTTCGGAGGCAGCATCTTCAGATGTCCAACTGCAACGGCATCTACTTGGACTGTGAAGATATTGGCGCCTGGGTTAGTCGAAGGCGAGGACAGAGGCTTCCGCGCGTAATATATCCCCTGTCGGACAAACCGAGCTACGCCTTGACTGCACCCGAGGACACGCGGAGGATATCTCCGCAGATAAGCAGACTTTTGATGTGCCTCCCTACAGGTAACTGTTCCCGTAGAGTGGCTTGCCAGCCAATAGAATCATGCCTGTTCCGTGGCGGGCTGTATGGCCTTAATTAGGCATGGCCTGGTTTCCAGAAGCGTACACAGTCACCGAGTCGAGATGGTTTCCGAATGAGGACATACAATGAGGGCGCGCACCAAGAGGTCCGCAAGAGTCATATAACATGCCGTGAATCCTCTGTCCCATCGCGGTGATGTTTGGTCCAGTTGTGCAGGTGTCGAAGAAACTGACAGAACATTGCACGAAAACTGACAAAAGGACCACTACCAATAATGGCGCCCGGCATTCTCGTCGAATCCCACACAGAGAATGGGCCAACAGGTTTCGCGAAGCTCAATCAGGCGAGCTCACAAGCAGCGACCTTCGACCCAGTAAGGCATCTGGCCTACGTGCCGCCCAGGAGGATCCATACCTTCGATGACCTTTGCTTGCCGGCTTCGCCTTTGTCCAATGTCGCTTCCACGGATCCATTCCCTCTCTTGTCCGAGGAGGCATTGCTGGAGCACCGCCGAGAACTGCTTTCCGACCGAGTCCTCGAGAATTGTATGTACAAAACAAGGCCAGGCTCGGTCCAGCTCCGTGGCATGGCGCCGTATTATGCGCCATTCATTCACCGGTTCTGGACGTCCCCGGAAGTTCTCAAGATCATCTCCGGCCTAGCTGGTGTTGACTTGGTCCCTGTGTTCGACTATGACGTTTGTCATACCAACATCCAGCTGGACTCTGACGATGCAGAAGCGGTGAGGCAGATTCCAGTTATACCTCCAAGTGCTCCTGTGCCTGAGGGAACCGATGAGAGCGGCACAAGCGTCGGGTCTCAACCCAATGCCACAAAACATGCGGTCGTGCCCTGGCATAGGGATTCATACCCGTTCGTCTGCGTTGTCATGTTGTCGGATGCCAGGTATATGACCGGCGGTGAAACCGAGATCCAAAGAGGTGACGGTACAACCACCAAGGTCCGCTCCCCACAAATGGTAGGTTTAGGTGCCGTCTTCTGAGATTGCGACCGGAGTGACTGACTCATCCTCGCATCTAGGGCGGTGCGGTCGTTCTTCAGGGCAGGCATGTGTCTCATATTGCCATCCCTACGGGTAACATGCCCGAAAGGATCACCATTGTGACTTCACTGCGCCCGCGCGACCCTCTGCTTCTGGAAAGCTCCTCCCTCATGAATGTTCGGAACAAGTCTCAACTGCCTGAACTATACTATCAGTGGTCCAGCTACCGCCTTCACCTTCTGAGCGAGAGATTTCGGCTTGAGGCAGAAAGGCTCGACGTTGCGCACCGCACAGAAATCCAAGCGACTGAAGGAGGGAAGGGTAATTGCAGAACGGACATCGTGGATCTGGCAAGCTTGCAGAAGTGGATGGACGAGCAGATGATGTACATGAAACGGACCTTGTTTGAGATGAGGCCAGTGACTGCCGAAGACAGTTTGCACAAGAATGAGATCCAAGAGATGACTATGTAGCACTCGTGAAGCAACATCAAGCAAGGCGCAATTCGAGCTCGATGCAGGCGGCGCTTCACAACCACATGCGTTACCGTAATCAGGCACGTGCTGGGGTGCGGAGTAGCGTCTCGGCATTGCGTGTCACTTGACACGGCAGAACTTTTCGCCGCATACTTCCGTGAGAACACATTTCCATCAGATCCCGGTCATCGTCAAGTCAGATTGCGGTTGTGGAATAATTCACAGACAGCAAGACTTCACATGTCCTTCGGCGGCCACTGAGTACATGAAACAGATTTGCACTCTCTTTTCGGGCCTCATCTCGAACACAACCCTGAGTTGGTGTTGCGCCGATGATATTGATGATTGTCATCATTCTGAGCCAGCTGTCTGGAGCAGTGGTTTGATTGTCCTCGCCTGCGCTTGTCTGGCTGTCTACCCAGAAAGTCCTGAGCTCGGACAGCGCTGCCTCAATTCCAGCGCTGGTCTTTTCGAACGCCCGGTTTTGTGATATGGAGCCCATCGCTCTCTTCGACCCGTACTTCATACTCATGCTTGACTGTGATCCCACTCTCGTTGACGAGAGCGTGTTCAGACCCGTGGAGACTTCCCCCAGGCGCTGAGTCACTGATCTCATCCGTCTCTTGCATGTGGATGAAGCCTTTATTCCCAGATTGTTTCTGTGACCGGCCATGGGGCAGGTTACTCAACTCGGTGGGTTGTGCGCCTGGTTTTGAGCCGAGCCCGCCACTCCCACTGCTGTTATACCCTTTGTCGGTCCCCCGCTGGTCGATAAAGGTACGAATGAAGAGACGAAGGATTGGCGCTGTTGTCGCGATGGGAATGCAGTAGTTCTCGATTCTGGAGTCGGCCCAGTCAGTTTACTCTGAGTGGTATGGAAGGGGCATTGTGGCGCTTACTTGACCCATAGGATGAAGGGAACGATGTTCCATGTGAAGTCCAGCCTGCTTCCGATGGCTGAGAGAAGGTATGTCTTGATGATCGAGGCAATGCCTGATAGCAGCAGCGGGACGCACAGCAACAAGGTTTGCCAGATTCGTTGACTGCGAATCCTAGGATCGAGTCTCTTGAACCTGGTAAGAAACGAGTTCTCTCTGATACTATGTGCGCCTCGGAGCATGAACTGCCAGAGCTCAAAACCGGCCAGATAGGTCAAGGTGAAGTCGATGATGCAGTTGAACGCTGCAAGTCGTCAGTTGCAGACGCGGTCAAACACGGGGCTACTTACCGCCCTGCACATATCCCACCATCGCCTGGACTGTGGGCGCTTGACAGATGACCGAGCCATCTTCCGGCAATGGGTCCCACATGTAATGGAAGTAACTTGCTCGGTTGACGAGTCGGTACGGATTCGGTCCACATTGGAGGAAGATTTGCAGTATGGTGAAGAGATTTGCGACGATTTGGACGGCCATGCAGATGACGACAATAACGCGCAAACTCCTCCTGTTCTGCGCGAAGCAAGTGTACAGGAAGATGATGACGCCTGTTCGAGACCACATGGCCGCAGACACGGCCAGAGGCTGGGATATGAAATCCCACTTCATTGCTCGGTTTTTCTCAATCGGAGAGAGATAGAAGAAGTGCCTTCCGAGACCCCATTCCCAACTACAGAGAATCAGCATTCGCAGCTGGAAAGAGGAGGCGGGCTGGTATTCGAGCTCACCTCTTCCAGATCAGGGCCATGTGCCCAATGTCAAAAGCATACCCCAATGCAAAGAAGAAATCCTCCAATCCCCATACTCGTTCGGGCCTCGAGACACTCGGCAGCAGCCATGCTATCCAGGCCTTGACACCGAATCTAAACAGCAGAACGAAGAAGACGAAGCCAGTCAACACCCAGCATCCAATGAAAATATTCGTCCCTGGGGGATAATCAGCCTTGGTCTGGGGAACATTCCAGGTTGTTGGTTACCTTTGTTGATGTCCGGACCGTCAGGTCTTGGGACGTCCATCTGGTCGGAACTGAAGGGTCTGGGGCTGGGCAAGAGTAACACTGTCGTGAAAGTGAGGACGCGCGCGTCTTATTCATTCGACGTTTGGCCCCGTGCCCGTACGGGGCAAGGATCCGTGCCTTACAGATACTGGCCGAACCAGCACTGTGATATCCGGGGTCAGATGCGCATGAATGGAGTACCTGACACCCGGCAACATTTACGGATGGTCAGACAGGCTCCTATACTGATATCATTACGACAGCACTTGCAGAGAGAATCAAAGGCTGCTAGCACGTTAAGCGGAGAAGAAGTCGATGTCTTGACGAATCCTACTTGCGTGGCTAACCTTTGAGTCGTTTGCGCCCTCTAACTTTCTCCTGTGTCTCGCCACAGAAGTGGGTGCTGATCCCGTTCATGGAACAGGAGAGCTTCCGCTTGCTCTTAACTGGCCATCTCGACGTTGACGTGGCCAAGCGTCGAATCATGAGAGCGGTAATATTTCGAGGTCCCGACAAGGGAACCGAAGTATGCTTGACAAGCACTCCTAATTTCATTAGACGACCTATTGTTCCAGCAATCGCGGTTCGCGCTCAGGCGGATATTATAGTTCTACGGAGTACTTTTTGTCAGCTGTCTAAATTGAAGCCAGTGGCGCATTGCCGCCAGACCGCGGTCTCCCCCTTTCTCTCAGGACGAGTTGGTGGCGGCGATCACGGTCCTGGCTGAGCCAGTCTGTCGAGCCGAGTTGTCCAACGCACCACCGAAATCCGGGTTTCTCTGTCTTTCTGGCACACGAAGTTGCTGGCGCAGACATGCAGATACGAGGGCATCTTGTGCCTCTGATTTGGGCCAGCGAATGGGCTACGGTCCTTTTGACTCCAAACCTTAATTACCGAAGGCGCTATTAGTGTGTGAAGGTCTTGAGGATCCCTGTACATCTATCTGCCTCCGGGCCGCAGAATCCACCGAGGCGTGCCGATCGCTGCATTATGCTTTAAGCCCCGTCAGAAAGAGCTAGGTGAGTCTGCCCCCTTGTGAAATCCAAACCGAGTCACATCCGTGGCTACTCTGGCACAGCTGGTGTTGATATCGAGGCGTGCCTCATCGTGTTGAATGTGCGACAGAGTTAACGCAATACATCCGCCACAGGAACAAGGAGTTTAGCTAAATACTTGCTCCGTCGCGGAATCTCAAACGAGCACAAGTGTTTCGCAGGAGGCAGTGACCCGACGATGGTGTTCACTAAGCGTAACAACGTCTCTAGCATGGCCTCCACGCACGTTTATACCGCCCCGTTGGCAGTCGAGAGCTTCCTCATTTCCACGAGACCCTCCCCCGCCACAGGATAAGCCTCGAAGGTGACTTCCAAACCGGCCAAAGCCGCCAGCTGTTTCCATTCGCGACTGCTCCGGATCCTTCCAGCATACAACGTGATCATTGTAGCATGCATCTTGCCATAAGTCGAGTTCTTGGCAAACTCGTGGATCAGCATCCTTGAGTATGGGGCCATTGCGTCGGCAACCTTCTTCATCAAACGCAATGCCTCGAGGTCGGACAGGTTGTGATATATGTGGGTGAGGCTGTATACCAAGGCCCCCTTGACCGTCTCGGGCGAATCGTCCTTGAAGTCCCAATGTTGGATGGTCAGGTCGTCCTCATTCACCCTGTCCGGTTGAAACTCTTGCAGGACGAGGTTTGCCTTTTTCAGGTGAGGGTACGCAGCCTTGACTTCTAGGAGCATCTCGCCTCGGCCTCCTCCAATGTCGACGACAACCACATCACTTGCCTTGGTGTTCATGGCAGAATCCAGATCATAGCCCAGAGATTTGACCCTGTCTGGCATGGTGCCGAACTTGCCGAACTTGCCCTCCATGAAGCGAGCGAAACTTTGCATCCGACCTTGCGAGTACATGATAGAGTATGTGTGCTGGTTGGCGAAGCTCTCCTCGCCCATCAGCTTGTACCCGTACTGCGTAGGTGTCTTATTCTCTTGGAATGGGTACTCGAAGTTCGTATCTCGAAGTTGCTTCATCAGGAACGCGGCTGCCCATACAGGCTCCGTGGAACTCGGGGATTTCAGCAGAAGAAATGTTCGGCGCAGGAGGTTCTCTTACAAGTGCAACATGCCATCGAGCGACGAGGGCACGGCTACCATGTGAGCCGTGATTTCATTGACTCGGTACGTCGTATCATCGACCAGGTCAACAAGCCCTAAGCCGGCCATTGCAAACATGGTGTCCTCTGCTGAGGTCAGGCTCATAGCGCTGGGTTCAAACGGGGATTCAGACCTGTCAGCCGCAGACCTTGCCAGAGAGTCAGCTACGTGCACCGCCACTGATGCACAACGACTTCTTACACAGCGGAGAACTTCGTTTCTCTTCATCGCTTCTTTCCGCGTCAGATGCGTCGGTCAGTTCCTGAGCCGTCACGACCGGGCCCAAGCGGTTCATCAGGGGGAACAAGTCGAAATGGATGGCCACCGAGACGAACCCCAGAGCGGCCGCCTAGATCCGTCAGTTCCATACGGTCGAGGATGTTATGGAATGTGTGCTACACTTACTCCAGTGACCGCGGAGGCCAGCTTTGCTCCTGCGTCGGCCATTGGTTCTATTACGCTGAAACACGATATAAGGAATAACCAAGCCGGCCAGTTTGCATCCAACAGCGAACCATCGATGTTGGACGACCGAAGTCTCTTGCCCGAAGCCGAGACTGAAATGGACTTGACGAAAGCTAAGCGAAGCGTCCCGGCCGTCAACAGTGGCTTGAGTTTACTGGACGACCTGAAACGTCAAACATGCATCGCAATTACTCCGTATTGCCCTGACGCTTGACAGAACTCAAGATAAAGGTCAAGAGACTCCACTGCGGCAACGCCCCCGCGGCGACTCAGCCGACAAGATCAAGCAAGAGGAGACACGGCTGGATGGGCATGCCGACCATGCCCAACAGAGGCCTTAGGTGGCGCCATTCGAGCCTAGTTCACGATCTCGGGCGTCTTCTCCGCCTGGAACACGCCGGTGGGAACTCCCGCCGAGGATCCGTCACTCCCGTGGCCCGAGACTCGCCTCCGCACCACCGCACACAGTAATTGAATACAAGGGAAGAAGCTTTTAAGCGTCGATTCCGCAGAGCACTGCCTTGCTCCCTCATGGATAGATCTGTCTTCGGCCAGGTGACGCTTCTGCTGAAGGTCTGGCCATCTCTGCAGCGACTACAACGCACTGATCAGCTGCGTCAATCCTGTATGTTCGGTTCTTTTGACGTGAGGCCACGGCCCAATGGTTGGGAACCTCTCGCAAAGTGCATGAACGTGCCGCTGTCAACGCTGCGATGACAGCAGTCTACAAGGCTCCGATATCTTCGGTAAACCGAATCGAGTGAATTTCTAACTTTCTCAAGTGTCAAAAGCCCCTGATCTTGAAGCCATTCTGCATGAGGGAATTCGCCCCTGACAATCAGGGCCCTTGCTGAGCTTCCTCCCTCGATCACTCAGCTATGGCCTTGCTCCTAGGTTCTGCAGCTCGTGCTCGGCATGCAGAGCCACAAATCGAGGCTTCATGCCTTTCTCGGCAGTCGTCGCATGCCACGTCCACGCATGACGCCAACGCCCCCCAGACTCGCTTCGAGGCAACCGACCACGCTATCAAGACATGGCCACCAGCTCGGCAGCGTGTACCGGCACCACATCTCTGCACCATCTGCTCCTGTCGAGCGTCCCTAACGCCAATCAGCACGCGAGCTACTCCATATGGATCCCCGGGAAGCCCAGATTAAATTCTGCTCGTCCCGCGTTACACATTACCACGGCTCGTGGATGACCGGGTTAGGTTTCTGAGCCGTTGACTACTGCGAGACCACGTTGCGGCCAATGCTCATGGCATTCATGCCTCAACAGACAGTTTCTCGATCTCCTGAATCCGAACCTCCCCTCGTCATCCATAAAACATAGCTGCCACCCCCTCCCTGCTTGAGCCAAACCATCGCTCTCGATATTGCCAAGGAACCATGAGTACTCACTCCTCCTCCTCTGATACATATTACCGGCTTGAAATGTCTGAGAAGACCAGTCCTGCACGGAGCACCGTCGTTGCTCTCAGCAATGACTGCGATCAGCCCAGCATCCTGGAGGGACAAGATTCCACGGATAGCCGCAATCCCAAGAACTGGAGCCCGTGGAAGAAGAGGCTACTGTTTTTGGCGTTGATGTCGAGCTCGATCCTCGCTGACGGGTACGTGGAAACCATCCGTCATTCTTGTCCATCCCATACTAATCTCGTGGGAAGTGGCATGACCTGGGGCGCAACACTGGTGGTTCCGCAAGCGTTCGAGTGGAACACGTCCATCAACCATTCGGCGACTTCGCTCAACTACGGGATCTTATTGCAGGGCTTTGGTGGCATTATGGCGGTGCCGTTCATCAACGCCTATGGCCGGTCAGTGTTTTCCCTGCGATTGTGCAAAAACCTGAACCCCTGCAATCCTGCATTGTGCTAACTTCCCACCTACTCTCAGCCTTCCGGTCTGGCTATACCCGCAGATCGTCACCCTCGGCGTCGTCCTTGGATGTGTCTACGCGCAGTCCTGGTCCGTCTTCACCGCATTGCGCGCCCTGCAAGGTCTCTTCGGCACCGTGCCCCAAGTGATCGGCCTGCCCATCATCCACGACATGTACAGCCCGGCCGAATGGCCACGATACATCAACATCTGGGGCACCACATTTCTCGTGGGACCCTTCCTCTTCCCCGCCCTGGCCGGCTATATTCTGGACGGCACCGACTCGTGGCGCGACTGCTTCAAAGTCCTGACCGCGCTGTACGGCCTCTCGACGCTCCTGATTCTCTCGTTCGGCCACGAAACATACTACAAAAACGGCACGCACCAACCCCACAGGATTAAATCCTTCTTCGGCATCGGGAACACCAACCTCCCCAAATCCCGCGCCCTCGCCGCATCGACGCTCGACATCATCAAATTGACGTTCACGCTCCCGATCCTGCTCGTCGGCCTCTCCACCATGATTAACTTCACCTGGCCGATCGGCATCACCACGACGGTCGACGCGGTTGTGCGCGCCCCGCCCTACCTGTTCGACGACGTGGAAGACGCGTCCATCCGATTTGCCGGCGTCATCGGCGCCCTCCTCGGCTTCTGTTTCGGATACTTCTTCAACGAATGGATCTACAACGGCTCCGGCGGGCGACGCAAGGCTCACTGGAGAAGCGAGTACCGCCTGCACGGCGTGTGGTTCCCACTCGGGAGCATGGTGTGCGGCCTGCTCACGTACGGGCTCACGTTGCACTACGGCAAAAGCTGGGTGGGCCTCGCGTTCGGGTGGATCATGGTCAACGTCGGGCTCGTGGGCAGTATGGTGGCCATCACGGCGTACGTGCTGGAAAAATACCCGCAACACTCGGCCGTCGTGTCGGCCATTATCAACATGTGGAGAACCTGCGGCGGGTTTGCCGTCGGATACTTCCAGCCCAGTTGGATAGAGAGGGACGGTGTCGCGGCCGTGTTTGCGACCCAGGCCGCCGTCGTGGCTGTTTGTGCTGTGCTGTTGATCGGGTCTACCATTTGGCTCGGCAGGAGGGCGGCCAGAGCCAAGCCTGGATCGGAGAGCACCACTGAAGCATGAACGGCGGTGCGAGGAGACGAGTAGGTGAGAGGAAGCGCTAAGGCCTCTGTAAGATACTTACGGTAGTTGGCGTGCTTTATGAGGTTGCATTGTACATGTATATGGGTCTGGTGATGATAGCCTGGTATGTGTGTGTATATATATTCTAAATTTCAACACCACGGCTCAGAATGGTCCCTCCTTGATCCTACTTCCTGGGTGAATCTACGCCGGTCGTCGCCGCACCGTAGTAACCATCAAGTAGATATTGGTTAGCGGAGGCCTGGTTGCGCCTGACAAGGGCTGACAAGGGCTGATAAAGGGTCGTTAGCTCTCCATGATCGAAGGCACGGAGTGCCAATGTCGGGATAGAAGAAAAAAAAAGACCTAGGTACTAATTAGGTACCCTGTAATAGTGGTAAAGGATAGTAGGGAGTCGCGGCGTGTCAGTAACAAACATCTATTTCGTAACATTGAACTGGGGTGAGGCTTCATGGCCAACGCGGACACCCCTCTACGGCGGCAGGAGGCACTGCCTCTCTCACACTCAACTACCCCCTACATTTTCAAGGACCGGTGCGGCTGAGTGGCGTGTATTGTCTGTCCTCTCTATGGACCATCGAAAGCAAAAGGCAAGACAAAGGGAAAGAAGCGCAGCGTTGCACTAAAGCTCCACTCCAATTGGAACGCCAGGTTGCTTCCTTCTCTGTACACATGTTCGAGTACAGGGAAACGGCAGCCTTGCCAAATCACAGACTTCATCAGCCCCCTTGCAATATCATCCCTCATCGAACGACTATGCGTATCACGGTTCGTCCTGTATACAGTACATATTCAGGCGCAATACCGTGAATCACCCGCTGGTAACTAACTAGCTACCTAGTACCTAGCTAGCCTACAGTAACAATACATCTCAAACCTTGCCCAAAGTTCTCGCGAGACGCACCATTTCTCCATCGATATGCAGCCATATGTAGCCCTTTTTTATATGACTTCTTGCAGTAGACGAGGCATTCGTAGATGTAATAATTACCGATTTTCTATACCACGTAAAAAGGTATACCACTCAAGAAGGTATACAACTCTCATCTACGACTTTAATATTAGGTCAAGGTAGTTGTTGAGTTCACCAGCACGTACGTAGGAGGATCCTTAACTCCCATTCTAAATTAGTGCGCAAGTTCTTTTGACGCAACCTTGTGTATATAATAGTCCATGAATCCATTCGTCCAACGATCGTGATCAATCACCTAATTAGAGTACAGCACTATACAGCATCACGACGTACAAAGGAGGTACACACCGCCCACAGCACCCGACGTACCTGACGAACATGATGTATCTAACGCACTTACGGAGTACCCGCCAGTAACACATCGATACCTCCATCAACACCATCACCAACATAATCATCATCATCATACCTAGGCAGTAGGTAAGTAAGTACAGTATAAGTAACTGCGACGCACTGCTTCGCTACACTCCGCTCTGCTCCGCTCCGCTGCGCTGCGCTGCGCAGGATCAAGCCCCCAAAAACTCGGCAATCTTCTCGCCAATGCCCTGATCCTCCTTGGGCCTCTCGACCGCGGCGCCCCCAAACCCAATCGCCCCAAGGATATTCTCTCCCCGCTCGCCTAACTTGCCCGGCGCGTTCTGCGCGACACTGTGCCTCCGGATGGTTTCGTCGCCGCCGAGACCTCCCGGGGCGCCGTGGTGTTCATTCTCACCGGCGGCGGCGGCGCCGGCGGCGAGAGAAGGCCGATGGTGCGCTTGGAGCGGGTTGGCTTCGTCGGCGTGGTTGATCGCGTTCGTGGTCGGGTTCGGGCGGTCGGGGATTGCACTGCTTGTGCCTGTGCTTGTGCCTGGGCCTGCGCCACGCATGGCTGTGTTCGGTTGGGTCACGCTGTCGTATGCTGTTGTGGCGGTCGTGGCGGTGGCAGTGGCAGCGTTAGGGCCAGTGGTAGGGTCAGGGCCATTGACTTGGTGCTGGTGGTGCTGGTGGTGGTGGTGCTGGCCTCCCGACGAGCCGAACGGGTTATTGTTCGAAAAGGAGATGGCCTCGGATTTTGTGGGTTGGTAGGTCGAGCCCGTGGCGGGGAGGTCAGATCGGGTGCCGGTCGAAGACATGATCTTGAGTAACTTGTACTCGTACTTGTGCCTCGGTAGGTAGGTAGGTAGGTAGGTCGCTAGGCAGGTAAGTGGCTAGACACTGTATATTCGATTGTGTGTAGAGTGGAAGAGTAGTGCTACTGGTCCTCCTTCTCGTTCTCGTACTAATAGGAGCAATGTCACAAGTCAAGTCAATGTCATGTCTGTCTGGCCAAGATGTCTTGTGTGAGCCTTAGCAAGGTAGTCAAGCATTTCTTGTCCTGGGTGGAGGTCGGGTCGGCGCATCCTATATCTACTCATACTTGTGATCCTCGAACCGTGAATCGCAACCCATCCCTCCGCCCCAGATCTACGAGGTAGGTAGATGGCATGCCCGATTCGCTACTCGCTACTCGCTACTCGTACGATTGGCGTCATACTCCAGGCCGTTGTGATGGTTGACTGTCCCGATACGTCACGATGTGAGCGAAATGGCTGCATATCGCCGCGTGGGTATGAACCCTTTCGGACACGCTGCGCTGATCCGTCGGGAAACGTGCACGGAACGGGCGCCGGGATTGGAGCTAGACAGTCCACGAGGTTCACGAGTTTGATCATGGCTATTTTGTGGAAATCGATGGCTATCAATCGCCATCTGCTGAGTTCATGAATAACGGTTAAAGGAGGCGAGATGAAGAGGCCGCCAAGACGAGACACGGAGGACAAGCTGCGTCATGTTCGTCATTTGCGTTCGGTAAGCTCTGGTGGCTCCATGTCGAGAGTGCGTGCAGGCGAGAGGATCGAGTAGTAGATGTGTCCCGCGAGCTGCCGCCAGATGTCACTACATACGAGTGATTAGAGCATTTCGTCCATGCCAATCGAGGAGTGGTCCGATCTCGAAGAAGCCTTGAGAAATCAGGGTGCTCGAACATCAAGGAGCCTGGACGACAACCATGTGGATGCGTATTTCGCTCTACGCAGCTATCAACTGTCATCCACTTGATGCCTTGTTGCTTTTTCACATGTTGCTTCACGTACAATAAGGACACCAACTTGTTGCGATGGTCCATCATCTCTCTGAGCGTGTCGAAAAGCCTTCTGATTCTGTGTTGACACCAGTGGCGGGCAGCTGATATAGCATTGGTACGTGGTCGCCCATTGGAAAAGCAGTCAGAAAATATGACTCTGAAACGTCGGTCAGAGCTCTAGATTATATGGTCCGTGCTGCTTCGAGATCGAATTCGGGAGCAGATCTTCCATGCCAACAGTTGACAACAAAACCCGTGAAATTGGCAAAAGGCTGGACACAGTGGACCACAAACGATGAGAGTACGAGTACCTGGAGAGTTCCGCCTTTGTGAGGGTGGTTAAGGTCCATTGCTAGCTTTCGAAAGGGGTCGTTCATCTCTCCTTCCATTGCTCTGGCTGCCGTCTCCATGTTTGTGGATGGTCGTCCCAGAATATCGCCGCATGAACGCATGAACATCGAACTCGGGTGCGCACCATTCCTTGCACTTCTGGCAGTTCTTTGGTGCATTAGCCGAGAATAGTATCCCACAATGAGTTGGTGAGAGCCGGCAAGCGGTCGTGGTCATTAGTGGTTGCGTTGGTGGTGGAGGGTCCGGCTCGGTCTCGATCGGTGCTGTTCATTTCTGAAATGTGACTCTCTGATGGGGCAGCTTCGTCCGTCGTGGCCATGTTTCGTAGATCTGCTTTGAGGTTTGGTTTCGCTGTGTTTGCTGACCGAGACCTGGCTGGCGGAACAGGCACAATGACTGAGGAGTATTGCCAAAAACATGCCAATGAGAGGCTGCATGTCAGAAAGAAATCTCATTTCTGCTGCCGATGCTGGCTGTGGCTCGAAGCCGAACGTACTCAGGTGCCAACATCATCAAGACCACCTATGTCGTCTTACCGGCCTCGGTCTCATCAATGTTGTTCCCACCAACGACGGCAGTCCCATCGGCCGCCACCTTCAATCCCTCCTCCCTCAGGGCGGCTTCCTGCTCCTCCGTCAACTGGCTCAAGTCGATCGTAATCTGCGGGCCCTTGAACCACTTCCGCGCGTCGATGAAATAGTACAACAACGCACCACCCCAAACCGCCGAGTTGATTACGCAAGTATAGTTCATCGTCTCGGCCGTCGGATTTGGTCCACCGACAGGGAACATGCTCAACAAAATCCCAAACACGAGAAATACAATCGCCATCCAAGCGAGAGGGATGGACGCACGACCCGTGTAGATGGGCCCGGGGGAGAACTTGTGCTGGCCCCAGACCAGGCGACAGAGTATTGGAGTTCCCCAGGCGAGATTGTTGCCCGCGACGGCCAGGGAGAAGAGCGCAGACGCCGCGGCAGGAGCAATCAAGCAGAGCAGACCGAGGACCGCCGCAAGGAAAGCGCAGCCAAGGGTCGTGCGGACCGGGATATACCCAAACTTCTTCGAGATGTGGCGGAAGAAGCTAGAGAAAGGGAGCGCGCCGTCACGAGAGAAGGCCCACGCTTGACGGGAGGCGGCGACGAGGATGGAGATGCCCATCTAGACCCCTATCAGCAGATCTCTTCTTCAAATGGTAACGAGGAAAAGGGGCTTACCAGGAACTGAACAATCATCAGCAGCGCCATGAATCCCAAGGCACCATTCTTTCCCAGTGAGTCGTAATAAATCTGAGCCATCGGCTGACCAAACGGCGAGCCCAGTAGACTCTCGACATCATGAACCACAGTGGCCGCAATGACGATGCAGCAGATCCACCCAAACACCCAGCACGATCCGATCGAGAAGAGAATGCCAAACGGTGCCGCCTTCGTTGCGTTAGTCGCCTCCTCAGAGATATGGACTGCAGAGTCAAATCCACCGATCGTCCAGATGGGACTCAGCCAAGAAAGCATAAATGTCCATCCGGAGGGCCAGGTGGTGAGGTTCTCAACTCTAGTGAAGATGTAAGAAGCACTGTTGAGTCTGTGTTTTGCGCCGATCGGGAGCGCAATGACCGTGGCGAAGATCAAGACGAAGTTCATCACAACGAAGACGGTCTGCATCTTGCCCATCACACGGGCCATTGTTGAAGCGATAAGGCCGTGGCAGGCGACGGTGGCCAGAAAGACGCCGTAGATGGTCCCATTGCTGGGTGTCCAGTTACCATCACGGGCGATTACTATCACCGAGAGAAACATGAGCGAGAATCCGTCTGCGTGTTTTGATTAGCCTTAGGACACTGGACGAAGCTTCCAGAGACACTTACAATCAATGGAACACAGCCCGCCAACCAAGCCCAGCGTGTTGCTGTATCCCACCAGGAAGCTCAGCGGGTTGCGCCACTTCGGAGATGCATAGTAATGCGTCCAGTAGTAAAGGCCTTCACGTCGTTAGATTCACCATTGTTCAGATGGGAACGGGACCACTTAACACCGCTCGTCGGCATCGAGCTTGCCAGGTCCGACATGGCCAAACCGACGATGAAGATGAAGCCAGAAGCAAGAAACCATCCCCAGACTAGCCCAACGGGCCCAGCGGGAATCGAATAACTCAATGTACTGGCGATGGAGGGCAATAAACCCATGATGCTGAAGGCCAGTCCGGCCACTTCCAGCGTACTGAAGTTACGACGGAGCTCTTGCTTGTACCTGTCGCCGATCAGCACTCGGTCTGTCAAAGCATACTGTACGAGGAAGCCGACGAACCCCATCTTGGCAAGGACAGCGGCATCTTCTTCTCCCGCGAGCGTCGTATCGACGACGAGAGATCCGCGGCGCTCGGAAGGAGGCTTGTAACCCGTCGCATTGTGGCTTTCGCCTTTGATATCTGTTGCCGGAGACATGGCAGCTTGAGGGATTATGAAGCAAGAGATCTCTCAGATCGGAAAGGACCCCTAATCAGCGGGCTGACAGATTCATCAAACAGCAAGGTCGGACGTTCGTAGGGGGAGGGAACATTAATGTACGTTAAATGTAGGCGACGAAGATCACGAACAGGGCAACGTCTTCCTCTAAGCAGGGTCTCTGATTAATGAAGGCCACGCCAATCTTTCCCTGTCTCCTCCGCAGATGCGGGAATGTCAAGCTGTAATCGCAATGGGGCCATCTGCTAAGGGTGCGAGGTGCAACATGGATGGACGGACTTGAGCGAGCCATGGACTGACAGAACAGCGCTGGTGCTCGCTTGTCCTTGCAGCGCATTAGCACCAGGTTCGTTACATGCTGGTTAAAGCGCTATTGATGCTGAATGGTTGTGAGGTTGGAGGTGGCCAGTGGTCGATGAGCATCGAGATAAGCGTCTCGAAGCTCGGGATAAGCATTTTATCAGGGCACACGATTTGCCCAAAGAAGCCCTGGCACTGGGGATAAGGCGCATCTCTAGCCGGGCCCAAAGCAGCCAATGCCTGCTTATCCCTCTTTGTGGGCAGGACCCAAAGCTGCCATTCAGAGAAGGCCAAAGGAGAAAATAGAGCCGAGGCTTGAAATGTAATGCCTTGTCCATCGTAAGTCATGCACGTGGAAGACAAAGAAATGGGTAAGTCTGCGTTTACAGAAATCGACCATGGCATTCATGAGAGGTCAACAAGCGTGTCCAGGTTAAGGCCCCGAACCACGCGGATCATATTTTGTATCAGTTAATCAAATACGACCCCCCACAAGTGCGTACCACTGGTGTGATTATGGACCATCAGCCGACGGTCGAGGCAAGCTCTAAAGAGCAGCCATCAAGCAAACCCATCCCAAATTTCGTTAAACGAGTGTCCTCGGATTCAACCTATGCCCACGTGAACCAGTGCGCCATCGAAGTGCTCAGCTCCCTTGAGCATCAGAGTCTGGCCTCCGCTGCAGCACCAACCACATCTCCTGTTCACGTTTTGTCTCCACAACCATTCCGGTTCCCCCAAAGTCCATGGCGACGGTAGCTTAGCAGACTGGGTTCGGCCCATCAAGCGGCCCACTGGCGGAGCTCAGATCACAGGTGGGATAGAAGAACGCGGCGACAGCGATGATGACATACGCCGCAATGAGTAGCGCCCCTTCGAGATAGTTGCTACGCCCATCAATCATCAGGAAGCTGACGATGAAGGCGCTTGCAAACAGACTGACGGTCTCGAAAAGGCTAAAGTACAGACTCATGTCCGTCTTGATGATCCATCCGAGTATGACCATCAACGGAGTAACAAATAGTGCGATCTGGATACTGCTCCCGAGAGCGATGTTGATGGCCAGATCCATCTTGTTCTTGGCAGCGACAGTGACGGCCGTGACGTGCTCCGCGGCGTTACCAACGATGGGCAGGATAATCAGGCCAATGAAAGCCTGACTGACGCCACTGTTTGCGATCAAGTAGTCAATGCTGCCGACCAAGAACTCGGCACACAACGCAACAAGACCCGTGGAGCACAACAGCAGGACCACTGCTGAGGTTTTCGACAAATGACTTTGGGGCTCAACAACAGCATCGGTCTGTACCTCAGTTGGAGCTTGCACTGTCGACGCGTCATGTTGCGGAGGTGCAGAAATTGAAGGGGCGAGTCCGTGGTGAGAAACAGTAGGACGTAGGATGTCCGGCATTGACGCAGTTCGACGTACTTGCTGAGAGAGGGCTCGTGGCTGGGACGTAGGCCGGATCGGCATTGCAAGCGGTCTTCCAGTGGCCTCATGATGGGGGAAGTTGGCAGAGCTGAAAGCTGGCTTGACGGCTTCAGAAATATTGCGAATGTTGAATGGCCGTTTAGCGATAGCGTCAGGAGGGATTTCTTGGGTTTCTGCAGCAAAACCCACTTGGGGTTGCACGGAATCTGCCGTCGACAGAGAATTCTCCTTGGTAATGGTTTCTACCGTCTCCTTTTCTTTCCCGTTGTCTCTGCTCTTTTCCTTGTCTTTCTTCGAGCGTTTGGACTTCTTCGACTTCCTGTGGCGTCTTTTCGATTTGTCCGAGCCTTGGTCGTTCTGCACTCCGCTCTCGAAATCGCGAGAGTGAACAGTGTGTGCGCGTGAGCGGTGTCGGCCTGATCTTCCTTCACCATCAAGATCGGCCTCATCACCACTAAAGACTGGCTCTAGCTCGGCAGAGGTCATCCCGGTCATCATGGAGCCGCCATGCCCGGTGAGGACCGAGGAACTTCTAGTGAAGGTCGGAAGAGAGGTATTGTCCTTTGTACTAGACGTTGACTTACGGCGCTTCCGGCGGAGAGCACGTTTGATGCGCTTCGCGGTTGTATTCGAGTTGGAGCTTGAGTCAGTGTCGCTGGAACTGGAACTGGATGAGTCACTCGAGGAGCTGGACGAGTTTAGGATCTCGGCGAGAACTCCAGGATGTGACTCTTCGTCGATGAGGTGCTGGGGGGTGCTCTGGTACATGAAGGAGTGCGACTTGAGCGAGAAGAGCAGGTAAAGGACGTAGACCAACAACAGGACTACGCTTGTACCGCGTGAGACTTTCAGCACCACGTGATCGGCTCTGTCAGTGTTCGAGAAGGAGGCATGGAAGGCCGTCTATCGACGAATTAGTACGCCACGCTGATCAAAACGGCTTGTTGTAAGCACTTACTGGTAGTAGAAGACTGATGACACTCAAGCACAGTAGACACGCGCTCATCTGCGAAACTGTCGAGTTGTACAGTTGTTCTCGGAACCGGAGACCACCGGCAATGAAACACATGCCCAGAATCAACAAGAGGTTGGAGAGAATCGACCCAAGAGCAGCGGCTTGAACTACGCGCACCTCCTTTGCCGCCAGAGCAATGATGAAAATGATCAGCTCAACGGCGTTACCGAAGGTGACATTGAGTAGAGCTCCGATGGTGTCACCCAATTTGATGGCGACACTCTCGGTCGCAAACGACAAAAGCGACGCCAGAGGGATGATTGCCACTGCGTTAACGGCAAATACGGCACTGGGACTCACGACGTCGGTGTGCACCCAGTCGACCATGATGCCCAGTATGATGCCAATCGGGACAAAGACGAGAAGCCAGTTGACCCAGCTGGAGAAGATGATGCGCTTGACATCGCGGAAGAATCGGTTGACCAAGGGCGCCTTGCCCTTGGGAGGAGTAGTCCCTATGGCGGAAGATTGCGTTCCTTCTCCTTTCTCGTCCACAACTGATGCAGTTTGGTGGCCTGTATCCGATCCTCCGTTTCGAGGGTGGTCTGTTTTTGTTGCAGGACCAGCTGCAGAGTGACTGTTCCCAGCATCCTGTCGGCGGGTACCTGACTGATGGGGCGCAGAGGTAAAATGACCCGAAGTCTGGGGCTCTGTTTGGGGGGGATTAGGGGACTTCGGTGTGAAGGGAGTCTTGGTTTTAGCCCATGAGTGTAGACGACTTGACAGCGGAGGCTCGTCGGCGGAGTCGACCATCGGCGTCTGAGTGAGCGTGCAAGAGAATGATGAAAAGTGTAACAGACTCGCTTTCAAAGCAGGTCACGGAGAGATGTGGACGAAAGAGAGGGTACAAGGCGGGGAGGCGACACGAGTTAAGCCTGAGAAAGAGTGAGCGCAGACGTTGCGAATCGTGGGATAAGCGTGGGAGTCGGTGGCCAACCCAGTTCTGGGCGCGCTCTGGGTAAATCAGGGAACACTCCAGTGAACGGGCGTCGCGGCGAGGCAGTGGAGTTAGACGGCTCGGAGCCCGCAAGTCGGCCGTCCAAGCTCGTTTCTGACTCGCCCGTTGCTCTTGAGGGGGACGCGTCAGGCTAACGGATGATGTGTGCCGAGTTCTTGGTGTTCTTCCAGAAGCCTGGTTGATGACAGAGTCGATTGTGGTAGAGGAGCAGGAATACAGAGGACAGTGTGTGAGAGCACTATAGTTTTGTTGATCCCAGAACAAAGTGGTCTCGTGTATATGATGCTGTGCAAAGGGGGACCTTTTTCAATGCTCTGAAGTGAGAGAGAGCAGCCTGCAAGCCTGAAAAAGAGATGCCTGGGGCTTATCTTATCTTGCCGCACTAGTCCCCATTTGGTCAAGTTCTCATCTGTGGCTTGGCATCGACCGGGGCTTCGTGGGGTCTGGCCGCAGGCTCGGAGACGAACCAGATCCGCGAGTGCCCTGAATACGAGTACTGCCGGGTAGTTAGGACACAATAATGTGCATTTTCATCAGAAGCAAAGCTCTTGCTCCAGGTTGACAAGTGCATCACGATCTGGATGGACAAGCAGCAGCATCCCTTTGGGACACATGGGAGACTCCAAATCCGGTGCGGAGAGTCTGTCGGTTCATGGAACGCAGGGAACAATATGAAGGCGTCATCTCGATCTTGCTCAGTCTTTGAGATTGTTACAGATGCAAGCACGGTAAACGGCACTTCAGAGCTCACTGATATTTCGTACCGAATCGTTGGCACTGGGTTTTGCGATTAGACACACATGGCTACCCCTGCTGGTGCTGATGCTGATGCAACTCTTCTCCGTGATCAGTTGAAAGGCTCGTTCGAGCGTGCAAACGATGGCAAAGTGCCAGTCCTGACTCACTTGAATGACGATACATCTTGGCTGTTGTCCCTCGCATACCCCGACCAAGTCTCGCCACCAAAGGGTCGTTCGCGCTACAACATCTTGATCGATCCGTGGCTGGACGGGCCGCAAGAAGATGTCGCGTCGTGGTTCTCAAAGCAGTGGCACCTGATGGAGAGCAGTGTGCGGACTATCGACGCGCTCAATGCCGTCCTGTGCGATGCCGAGAGGTCGGAATCCCAGAGCACCACTGAAGCAGGGAGGAAAGGCTGTTCTTTCATCGATGCTATAGCCATCTCCCATGAGTTTACAGACCACTGTCACCAGGCCACACTGCTCGAGGTCGACCGTGCGGTGCCTGTCATTGCGACCACGAAAGCAGCCCAACTGATCAGAACATGGCATCATTTTGACACGGTCATGGAGATGCCGAACTTCACGACGGGCACCAATTGGCGAACAACCAGCATTCCTCCTCTACCCTCTTGGATTGGCATAAGTCGATTGGTCACCAACTCTGACGCTCTGTATTACCATTCAGCAGTAATGATCTGTGCGCAGCGGCCTGACTGTTCGGCAGAGGCCGTGGATGCGTTGATATACACCCCTCATGGCGTGGAAGCCTCGACCCTGTCAGTGGTTGCTACAGCGTCGCCTCCAGTGGATGTTTTGGCTTTGCTGCATGGCCTTCATGACGTCTCCATCAAGTGGAGCAAACAGTTGAACTTAGGAGCAATCAACGCGGTAAAAGCACAAAAGATGCTGCATGCAAAGTACTGGATTGGTACACATGACGAACAGAAGCGAGGCTCTGGGCTGATAGCTCTTCTACTCCAACGGAAGATCATAACAGTTCAGGAAGCGATTGACCGAGTCCAGGCTGCAGAGAAGGAGGAGTCTGGGGACGCTTCTGCCACCATAGAAGACATGACTTGTGTGGAGCTGAAAAACGGGGAGAGTATGACGTTAGGCTAGGTACGGGCATGCGACTCTCTACTCGTAGATATATTGCGAACATACCTAATTACACTGTGTTTCGTATAAAGCACTCGATACAGTACTCCATACTCCGTACTTTGCCCGGGATAGAGCCACCACGGCCACCACGGCCTTTCTGCGCTTACGGAGGTGATTGCCCCTGCTGTGACGCTCTGGGGCTGTTGCGGGCTGTAACGCCCCAGCGGCGGCCGGGTACGAGTCCCCGTCGTTTGGGGAGGGTTCACATCCCTCTCCCCCCCGAATCATCGGAAATCACAAATGCCATGTTGGCTCTGGGCGATCCTCGCTGCTTCGGTGCTTGGAGTGAACCGCCACGCACACTTTCCACCACTTGCAGTAAAGCTGTTTTGTTCTACCACAAGCCACTCGAAGCATACTCGTACTGTACGTCCTTCAATGCACTAACCCGCACGGGCGAGTTACAAGGTCTTATCGACCCCTGCGTCCATGGTCCACACACCGCTGTCTCTTCCAGTCTCTCCCCAGCTGCACTGATCGACGGAGCCGTTTCCATTCCCCAGTCACCCCTCGGTCTCTCCTCACTCCCGCTCTGTAATCCGAACCCATCGCTTCGACTACTCGTATCAATTTCTCCTGAGGGCTATTATTACTCGTATTACCCGGTCCTGATTCAAGACCCGAGCCCATCTTCAGATACTCGTACCCGGACCTTTGATCCGCTCGAGACTCTTTGCGCTGATTCGCCACTAAGGACTGCGCAGTTCTGAACGGCCCTGGCTTCTGCGACCCTGCACTCCCGCAACGCAGGACTGATCAGCCGCGGTTCCAAGCAAAGCTCGCTTTCCCATGGTCACACTTGCAGCTGGTTATCCTGCCTGCAAGTTGGGTTTCTTTATTGGTGGCACGGAGTATTGCTGTCGGTGCTCCCTTGCCCGCGACCTCGATCGATCTCCCGGCCCTGCGCACCTCCCATCACCCGCCCTGTCCTCCCTCACTAGATCGAGTCTTCCACTGTTCCAGTGTCATTCTTGCCTGCCTATCGAGTCTAGCCGCATTCGGGCCAAGAATGTGACTTGCGAATGAGTGCTACATCGGACACAAATGATATCCCCTTCGGTTCAGTTTCGCAGCACCCCCTCACCACCACCGAAACCGCACCTCAGTCCTTGAAGCGCACCCATCGCTCCGCCATCCGTTCCCCCACACCCGACCACCCTACCACAAAGTATCCGAAACGTTCGTCGTCCAGTGGGCTGCCGGGCTTAGACCATGGTGACCTGAACGAGAAGCAGCGAGGTCGACGGGGTGGGCAGGAGGAGGGCGAGGATATTCCCGTCAACATCAGCCCAGGAATGCAGGACCCTCAAGCAGGGAATAAGATTTCCCTCCTAGAAGCTGCCGCAACAGCTCTCAGCCAAGGAGAGGACGTGCCCTCCATGCGGATATCAGCACCAGAGAGGAGTGTCGCAGGGAGTGCAATACCAGTAAGGACATCTCCTCATGCAAGCCGAGCGGGAAGCGAGAACGGAGCTCGCGCACCGTCAGATGCAAAAAGACCAAGCGGGAGCCAATTGATGCACTCTGTGGCCCTGGCAGAATACCTTCAGCTGGACGAGCGACCTACCTTGGTCGTGGACATTGCCGATGAGGTCAACACAACCTCAGCTGGCCTCAGCCTGGTGTTCGCGAATGCAGCACTGAGGGCTCGCGCTCCTCTTCTGGAACATGTGCAAGGACGGGCGGAGGATCCGAGTGTACTGCTTGAATTGGGGACGCCGTTTTCGGATTTCAAGGCGTGGGCTCTCAACGCTCTGACAGAACCAGATATTGTATCGACTTTCCCTTTTGCAGGGTGGCTATGGCATGGCGCCCTGATACGAAAACGGTTGAAGGTCATCCATGGACGCCAACACCCTTTTTCGCCGGCGCCGATGGCAGAGGGCAATACTCGGTCCGGCATGCAACAGTTTCAAGGTCTCGGATCGGTCTCTGGTTCCACCACCCAAAGCGGTAGCCGAGTTGAATTCGCGTCGCAAAGCTATTTCGACATTCCCCCACGCACGAACAGCGATGCCCCTCGAGCTCTGCATAGCCTGGTCACTGACCCTTTACCAGATGCTTCGCCTAGCGCCCTGGACCCAATGTCCCCGGTATCGAGTGGAGATATGAAACATGCGGAGCTACTGTCGGGATCTATTCCACCAAGCACCGGTCAGAGAATCGGTCAATTCAGCGCAAAGAACGATTCGGATCCGGACATTATGGTTGTTGATGATAAAGCCTACTTCGATTGGACACGTTTGCCCGTGTCACCGTCTCTTCCAGCGCACGTTCAGTTCGCCAGAGGGGTTGACTGGACTAACACTAGTCTGGGTCCAATTCAAGACTGGTCTGTCGAGCTTCGCGGAATGTGCAACCTCATCATGGCGAGTCCGCATCCGTCGGCAATGTACTGGGGCAAAGACCACATTGCTATCTACAATGAAGCTTATGTTCTGCTGGCGGGACAGAAACATCCAGCACTCATGGGTGCTCGTTATCGAGATGCGTGGTCAGAGATCTGGGATGCCCTGGAAGAGGTCTTTGACAATGCCTTCAAGAACGCACAAGCGACCATGAAGGATGACGACTGCCTGTTCATTCTGCGGAACGGCTTTCTGGAGGAGACATATTTCTCTTGGTCAATTATCCCTTTGATTGGCGCTGACGGTGGAGTGGTGGGTCTGTACAACCCAGCTTTTGAGAAGACGCGGCGCAAAATCGCCGAGAGACGAATGTTGACGCTCCGTGAGATCGGCGAACGAACAGCTGCGGCTCGACAAGTGTCGCAATTCTGGGGTCTGCTGCTTCAGGGCCTCGAGTACAATGAATATGACGCACCCATGGTGATGGTTTATTCCCTCAATGAAGACTTGGCAGATAGCGATGCTGCCTCTTCCGGCTCCAGTGGTGCTGCCTCTAACAAAGTCTGCTATTTGGAAGGTACATTGGGCGTTCCTGCTGGCCACCTAGCTGCCCCTCCCATCATCGACATGAAGACAGGCACGAAAGGGTTTGCCAGTTCTTTCCGACAAGCGTTGACCACTGACAGACCGATCGTCCTTCGAGTTGACGACGGCACATTGGACCCCCACATGTTAGAAAACATTGAATGGCGCGGATTTGGGGACCCTTCACGAGTCGTGGTTATCGCTCCAATCCATCCAACAACAGGCGAATCGACGCTGGGCTTCCTGGTTATGGCCACTAATCCGAGGCGACCCTACGATGAAGACTACGATTTGTTCGTCCAGCTCTTGGGACGTCAACTGGCCACATCGATTGCTTCGGTTGTGCTCTTTGAAGATGAGATCAAGAAAGGCGAACGAGCCGCTCAGTTGGCCGCTCAAGACCGCATCGAGCTCAATAACCAGCTTGTTGCCCGGACTCAACAGGCCGCCGAGGCAGAGAACAGGTTCACGAGAATGGCGGAACTCGCGCCGGTAGGTATCTTCATTGGCAGTGTTGACGGCCAGCTCAACTTTGTCAATGACGCGTGGTATGACCTGGCGTCATACCCTCGAGACGTCCCGGTCAACAATGAGTGGATGAACTATGTACTTGAGGAAGACCAGCAGAAGGTCCGAGAGACGTGGAGCACCATGTTGGACAAGAGATGTGCAATATCCCTGGAGTTCCGGTTCAAGACCCCGTGGCGAGACAGGATTGGCAATAAAGGACACACTTGGGTGCTCACGAGTGCTTCGCCGGAGCGTGACGAGGACGGACGGATACAGCAGATCTTTGGATCAATGACCAACATCAGTGCACAGAAGTTCGCCGAGAACTTACAGACCCGAAGGATGAGGGAAGCTGTGGAAATGAAACGGCAACAGGAGCGTTACATTGATACGACCTCACATGAAATGCGCAATCCGTTGTCTGCCATTCTGCAATGTGCTGACTCGATCACTGGATCTCTGAGCGAGATGCGGGACGCAAACGGCTTGACCAAGCCCCAAATGGACATTCTCGACCTTACCATCGACTCTGCGCAGACCATCACACTCTGTGCCCAGCACCAAAAGAGGATTGTTGACGATGTGTTGACCTTGTCAAAACTCGATTCAGCCATGATGACGGTGACCCCAGTCGACACCCAGCCAATCAACGTCGTGCACAGAGTTTTGAAGATGTTCGACGCCGAGCTGAAGACGGCGGATATCAAGATGGAGCTAAGAGTCGATCCGGCTTTCACAGCTTTACATGTCGATTGGGTCCGCTTGGATCCCCATCGCCTGTCGCAAGTTCTGATCAACCTGATGACTAATGCGATCAAGTTCACGACCACCCAAGAGAACCGCATGATACGTATGCACGTTGGGGCCTCAGAGGAAAAGCCGTCACAGGAGGACAGGTGGGGACTGACGTACATCCCATCCCGATCTTCCAAAGTCAAAGATGTTACAGCGGCGGCAGAATGGGGTCTAGGCAAACCCTTGTACATCCATTTTGCCGTCCAAGACACTGGCCGTGGCTTAGACGAGTTGGAAAAGAAACAACTCTTCCAGCGGTTTTCTCAAGCCAGTCCCCGGACCCACGTCACATATGGCGGTTCAGGCCTCGGTCTCTTCATCTCAAGAGAACTCGTTGAGATGCAGGGAGGTGAGATTGGTGTTGCTTCTGAGAGTGGGAAAGGAAGCGTATTTGCATTCTATGTCAAAGCTCGCCGAACTCAGGGCAACAGCAGCAGCACGGAGGACAGCTCTTCATCGCCCAGAAGCAGGAAGGGCTCCAAAACAACACCGTTGACAGGTCTAAGCACCCAGCTTTTCTCCCCGTCGTCGAAGAATGACCACTCGATGTCGAAGCCCACCACAGGTCAAACCACGCTATCCGGATCATTCCACATCCTGGTCGTGGAAGACAACCTCATCAACCAAAAGGTTCTAGCGGCTCAGCTACGCAAAATCGGCTGCTTCGTCCACGTCGCAAACCACGGGGGCGAAGCCATTGACCATATCCGCCAGTCGAAATTCTACCGCGACCACGTCTCTGACGGCGTGGATATTGACGTGGTGCTGATGGACCTCGAGATGCCTGTAATGGATGGCCAGACTTGTGCGCGCAAACTGCGGGAGATGCAGACCACAGGCGAGTTGGTGGCGCATATACCTGTCATAGCCGTGACCGCGAACGCGCGGGCCGAGCAGATCGAAATGACGTTGAAGAGCGGCATTGACGATGTGGTGAGTAAGCCTTTCCGCCTACCAGAACTGGTTCCGAAGATGAGGGATGTTATGGCGAAGTTTGGAAAGTAGCAAGGGTGAAGGTTGTGATGAAAACACACCCACACAGCATCTTCTTTTCGTCATGTTGCACAGCTTCGCCGCCGCCATTTCCAGAACTGTCTGGATGCAAACGCAAGCGAAAGGAAGGGACAGAGGAGAAGAGTCGAATTAGACCAAAGTCGTCTCTTCCTGGGCAGTGCAATCACTACAATGACGACTACAATAACTCAAGTAACAAGGCCGACGCAATGTGCTGGGCCTCATCATCTGGTGATTAATATCAGGGACCGGTTCGCAGGACTGCGTAAGATTCTGGACATGGAAGCAATGAACCCCCTTTGTTCGTGTAACGCAGCCTGATAGAAGGTACGGGGTTGTAAGCATCGACATAGGTCGGTGCAAAGACATGGATTGAGCGGCCAAGGCTCCCTTTCAAACACAAGCGAACATAAGAGTTCATCAATCAAATCACAAATCCCAATCTGAACCTGAACATGAACCTGAGCATGAACCTGAGCATGAACGCCTGTAACGATGAGACAAGTCATAATGGCACGGCTCGTTGTTTTGCCGTTACTATATCCCGCATGTTGCATGTTGCATGTTGCATACTGCCTGATGTGCCCTGCCTTTCTCGTTGAGCTGTGTCATGACTGTTAATTTCGTGTCCCTTGTTTGTATCGCATCGCATCACATTGCATTGCATCGTATCGTATCGCATCGCTTCGCATCCCTGCAGAATACACTCCGTACATGAGTACCCAGAGGATTAACCCGCTCGTCGTTTGGTCCGTGACTATCGATTAGGATCTCATTAGTCGGCCCCCCCGGAACCTTTGTGAGAAGACGAACTGAAGGCATGCTCTTCCCCCAGAGGATTGTGGCCTAAGAATCAAGGAGCGTTTGTTACTCGATTGGGTCATGTAGTAAGAATTGAATCCACTCACTGGCCTATGGACGCGCTTCCTCCTTTTGGGAGACCAACACCTTCTGGATACAGTACCCATGCAGTGGAAGAAATACTTTAGTACATTCTACTATATGTGGGCATGGAGGCCCACTACTATCGCCATGGCAGGGAGCTCGCTCGCACTGTCCACAATATTTCGTTGTTGGGCGGCCGAACATTATGAATCGGTAGGGTTCTAGGAAATGTATCCCAAAGGGCATCTCCGCGAAAACCTAAAGACACATTGATAGACTGATAGACTCCGCAGTGTTCGCAACGGACGAAGTAGCTGCGCTTCTGTGCAATGTGGCCGTCGCGGCAGAGGTACCTTTGGCCCTCGAGGAGGTCGAAGTTCAGGTTAATATGTCCCCTCGGCAAACCCGCCGGTGATTTCGCTGGCAGGGAGATCTAGTCTTGTGGCGGGGTGTCATCGAGGTGTGAAGAGTCGAACTGGGGCGTGATTGATTATCGGTTGTGAGCTCGACAAGGATATCCACGTTCCGCTTACGGAGGATTGCCGTCATCTAGATCTATGGTGTCAATGTGAAGAGAGTTGCTTGTGGTTGAGTTGACCCCTCGCGCGTCCTATCTGTGTTACCCTGTGACAATCCGGAAACCGGCTCTTGTGTGACTGTTGAGGGCGCGGGCTGTCTAAATTCGCCGGGGTGGCCAACTACTGATATCCCTGAAGCAGTTTCGTGAGCATTAGAGGCGGGATGCTCGCATTCGGGACAGCCGTCAGGTAGAACCGCGGATTGGAGTCATGGGTCTAGAACCGTTGAAGGTTGCTTCCCGAGCCCGGAGCTGAGAGACAATGCGCTTCAGCTCGGTAACAGTCATAGATTAAATTTCGGAGGAACCGTACTTCGATGTCTCTACGTCGTTGTTCCATTGTTCAATTTCGTCCCGCCGTGTCTTCGTCATAGAAACAACGTCGAGTTTGAGTGAGGCTGCATCAGATAGAGCTGGGTGATCGACCTCATAGTCATTGGCGACAAGCTGCAGGGTCTCAAGCTGATCCAGCCACTGTTTACGGGTACGCTATGGCTCGTAGCTGAAATTTGACTGGTTCGATGTGGTTCGTGATATCCTGCAGTCCGACGATCAGGACCTTGACTTTCGAAACCAGCGCCAGGAATTTCTTTCGGTCTTTGAGGAGCCATTTGAACTTCTTCTTGAGGCTGATATGTCGACTTCGCGCTTTAAGTTGGAAGTTTGAGATGCCGATAGATTGCGAGATGGTCTGCATCAAGGGACGTGCTTCATGTCTCTGCCGATGGAGTCTCATCCGTGTCTTTCCAGCAACCGTACTAAGATCGCAACTGCTCTGTACCAGAGAACAGCTTCAAAAGTGCTTCGAGCGTCGTGATGACCAGGCCTCTAGAACCAAATGTGTCGAGTGCGCGAGGCTGGGCGTGAGGCTGGACAGGCGGTGGAGTCAGGCCCATCGCCTCACCCCAAGTGTAGAGTCTGCCTTTTCCGATATTGGGCTTGACCAAAGCCTCAAGGAAGTTGAGTTCCTCCGATAGTGATGCTTTGAAGAACTCAAATGCTTCAATCCATGCTTTGAGCAACCCAGCACTGGTGACAGTACCGGCTAAGATGCCTACGGCCGCAGCCATGAGGGGCCTCGAGCACGTATAGATGTGTTGAAAGAGAACAACGAGGGGTATGGAGGAAATCAGCCTGATGGGAGTCATGGACGCCAGGTCTTGCACCGCCAGCTGGAGAAAATCAGGAAAAGCCGTTCGTTCGCAGCAAATCCACAGTAGTGAGTGTGCTGTATCTCTGTCCGATCACGCTTGGTCCGACTTCTCTGTCCTCCATTGTTACATCACCTTTACGATGCACTGCAGAGCATTCTGCAATTCCTGCGGTGATCCTCTTGATGTCGGGTCATAGCTCAGAAGCCTGGAAAGGACACGAGATAGAGCGTGCAGCTCCTCGTCCGTAAACTCGCATTTGGGTTTCTCGTACTCTTCAACGGGTATTTCATCCTCATCTTCGCAGTCTAATAACTGATCATCATCCTGGTCATAGTTGAGCTGGAGATATCGGTCGAAAGTCATATCCCTTGTGCGCGCCTGGCTGACGAGTTCTCGCGTCTCGGTATCCAAGTCCCCCAACCATTTTGCGGGTGGGGAGCCGAGAACCATTTTCAGTCCCGTCATCATGCTGCTTCTGTCCGCCAGAAAAGCATCCGTGAATGTCCGACCTGTTATTGTCTCAAAGAACTGCATTCCACCGTCTGTCAGCTACAGTATTTGATGACGCCTTCAGAACCAGGTTTTACCAAGCATCCCATGCTCCACATGTCCACGTATTTGCTTAGTCGTTGGCTGTAGATGGCCTCTGGCGCTCGAACGTGCCAAGGAGTGGCGAGTAGCCGTGGTGGGCTGTTGTGGAAGAATGCTTCGCCAAGGTCAGTCGTCGGCCAAGACGCGCTTCACAGTCATAGCACCAGTCGTACCATTTCCCAGATCCATAGTCTTGATCTCGCTATCACTCCCCCGAATAGACTTCGGACTGACCAGATATGATGGCATCGAGGGCTCTAAACACTGCCATCCCGTCTGCTGACTGGACCAGTTCTCGGCCTTCCAAGGCGGGGATATTATTTGCTCGTCTGGCAATGCAGCGATCTCCGGGGCCGTGAAGAGAACATTCCTGCTATAAAGATCTTAATTTATATCAGTATTGTCGGTTAACAGAGAACATCGTAGTGTTTCGGGAGAATACTCACCTCCGTGCGCCACACCACATTTCCAAAGATAGTCCAACCCGAGAGTCACTTGCTGAGCTACACTAGTGGCTGTCGTCCTTGACAGTCGGTGTCCAGGTTGAGCATCAGCCCGGGACTGCACGTCAGCTCCCATGACATCCAGCACCAGACCTTTGTGCGATTTGCTCAGGTCGAAGTCGTCGAGAAGGTGTATCACCGCATTACGCCCTGGATGTATAAGATTGTCCTGGGCGACGGGTGAGGTTCAAAGGTGCTGTAGGATCTGCAGCTCACGGTCGTTGGCGTTTGCATTGATTATTTTCAACGCAACATTCGATTTCTCCCTGTCCCCTCCAAGTCAGTCGTGGCCATTGCACTAGGATGTAGGGTACAACACACTGAATGTCTCTTGCCAGCCAGACAGTTGCAAATCCACCCCCTCCAAGCTTATGTACCACTCGGTATCTGCCATCCTTGAAGAGGTCGCCAAGTGCCACGGGAAGATAGCGGCCTGTGTGGTAATTGTTCGGGTCTTCCGCTTCAACAATGCACTCGTAGGATCTTCTGGACAGTGGGGCGCGAGTTGACACTCTGACGCACCGGTTGCGTGAGAGGAGAAACGGCGGTTTTCGACCAAGCAGCTGCCGATGATTAAAACCATGCATATGTTAATCAATTATGCGTATCATCAACAGAGATGGGGTGGTACAGTGGTGTGGACTGGCATGGAGGATCCAGGCGGCGAAACGGCAACGTTGAAAAAGAGTCTTAGAGACGCTGCTTTTGAGCTCCTTCGCCGTGCCCGGGACTCGTGTTGTTGAACTTCAGAGACATATATACATGGTTCGGAGTCCAGGGCGTGTAGTACATACCTACGCTTATCGTATCTGTATTTCACGACGTAATGCTTTCCTGTCAGCCTTGCGAAGCCTCGTTTACAGTACGAGTCGAGAGCTTCTCTCGCGACAGGCAGCCACCATGACGGCAATCGACGCTCATCTTAGATTGAACTCAACCCATACTAGTTATGCCGTCGTTCTCAACGCTTAGGTAAATACACGCTCATCTCAGCTCGAGATCCCCGCCTCCTAGTCGACGAAGATACTGGCTCCTCGATCCTGATCGCGAAAGAGACACCAATCCCTTGCCCTAGGCCATACCGCTTAGACACGCTTGAGTCCCTCGTCAGCCTTCCACATCCAGCACCTACTTCTTAATCTCTCTACTCTACACCCCGTGCCACGACGACCAAGGCAAAGCCCAACGGAACAATGCAAAACATGGCAGACTGCAGGTCCGAGGTCAAACCATCATTCAACTTCACATCCCACGCATCACTCTCGCCCTTCACCGTGCCATACAAGACATACATTGCCAACCGGCTTAACGCTCGGTCCACGAAAACGACGCCCACGTCCCGACACGAGAACCAACGCCAGTACGAATACCAGCACGTCGCAGTCGGAGCGTTGGTCTTTTCTCGGTTCGACCCTCGACTTCCCTTCCAGGTCGATTCTCACGTCGACTCTCACGTCGATTCTACCGCGAGTGCAAATGCAACTATCACCTCCAGCAATCAACCCTCCGAGGCAGGGCCAGTATTAGACCCAGACCCAGAATCACACCTCGACCTCGACCTCAAACTCGACCCACGCATCCTCCTCCTCCGCCGCTCCTCACACGACAGCATGCCCCTCCGCTGGGAACCCCCGGGCGGAGCCTGCGACGTTGATGACCCAAGCATCCTGCACGCCTGTGCCCGCGAGTTATGGGAGGAAGCCGGTCTCGTGGCGAGGTCGATCCTCGGTGTCGTCAGCACGGAGGGCCGCGTGTTTTGGACGAGAAGTGGCAAGGCGGTGTGTAAGTTTGAGTTTGTCGTCGATGTCGATGTCGATGTCGATGTCGATGTCGATGTCGATGTCGAGGTCCACGTGAATGGGACAGCAGGACCGCCACCACCATCATCGCCCCTGCCGCCCCGCGTGACGTTGGATCCCAATGAGCATGTGGATTTCGTGTGGGCTACGGAAGGAGAGTGCCTGGCTGGGCGGACGAGGAGGGGTTCCCAGGACGTGGAACTGGTGTTCACGAATGAGGCACAGAAAATGGTCATCTTGGAGGGGTTTCGACTTGTAAGGAACATGATGCATCCAAAGCACGCTGAAGAAGCAGAGAGACCGGTTGTGTCATGACGAGTTACGTGGCAGTGAATCCGGAAAGACAACCGTAGAGACAATTAGAAGTGCTTTTCATTATTGGTACACGCTGCTTCACTTGATGCTACACACGTCCATTTCCGAATGGGTTGACTGCATGCCGCAAAAGGCTCCTGTTTCGCTCCGACTTAACTCCATATGCTCCCTCCATCAAGTTTCTTCATTAAGACATTTTCAGTCGTCAGACAGTATGGGTATGCGTCGAGGTGGGCTCGATCAGACCGTGGTAGGGACAGGCTTGCGGCCAATGCTACTGGTGTTGTAGTGCGTCCCTCCGGTCATGGTAGCATCAGAATTCCTAGCAGATGAGGTACCATTCGTGAAGCCGTGTGTTCCATGAAGACCAGCATTGGCTTCTACATCGCCTTCAGGCTTGTGCATATAACGCTCGTGCTGCATTGGCCCAGTGTTAAAGCCAGCCGCTTGGCCTCTAAGCCCGTGTGCAGCATCGAAAGGAGCCCCGCCATAGTGTTCTTCGTAGCCCCAGCCAGCTTGCCTGGTGAAAACAGCAGTCTCGAATCCTCCAGCTCCAGCAGCGCCGGCCCCGTAGGAAAATGGGGTGTGGCGAGTCAGCGGAATATGGTTGAATCTGAAGTCCCAGACGGAGGCGTAGACCATGCGGTAGCTGGAGATGGCAAAGACTGAGCCGATTACGGCACCAGCCAAGACATCGTACCAGTTGTGGTATTCGTCAATTGTAAGGGCACCACCAATCAGGCAGGCACCAAGAATAGGAGCATAGGTGGCAATGAGCTTCCAGAACGCTGGGTGGTGGTTGCTGAAGACCTTGAGCTTCGCATTAAGGTAGAAATAAAGGAAGAGGAATCCGGCAAAGGCGGCAGTGGTGTGGCCAGACGGCATGGACTCAAGCGAATCGTCAATCTCATCGACATCGCCACGGCAGATATTGCGCTGAAACATGATGCTTTCAAATCCTGAGCCCGGGTGAGCACCCATCAACGCTGGGTCCGGGTCGCAGACGGCCAAGAAATGCGGTCGAAGGCCACCGATGAGCCACTTGATGAAGACTTGAAAGACGGCAGCTCCGATGAGCGCGTAGAGAAGACCGATAACCGCGTTATTGACGTCCCAGAAGGAGCGGATGCGGAATTGCATCACCAGGAAGACGAAGATGGGAATCAACGAGGCAAGAAGTGCGGCAAGCCAGATTGGGACGATCTCGTGACGGAGGGGATAGGCGAAATCAGGGAAGACAATCTCTCCGTCGGAAAAGGTCACTGGGAATGAGCGGCTGGGTGCTGGTTTGGCTTCGTAGACACCCAGGCCGACTGCGCCCATGGCGGCCATCGTCAAGAGATCGAGCCAGGTGAACTTGAGCCTAGAGAGCACGATTGTCAGATCGTCCTCTTGCACTCGCAGACCAGGCCTGTAACTCACCATTGTCCGAAGCTGGGTCTGCGGTTGAAGTTGCCGGAGTCGACATCGAAAGGCTGCCGGCTTCTCTTCTCGTTGCGGAGAGCGTGGCCGTTCGTGGTATTGCCAGTTGCGGCTGTGTCATGAGTACGTCTGGAAAAGAGGCCCATCTTGACAATAAAAATCGCTATCAGGTACAAGCGGAGAAATTGTGCAGTGGTTTCTGTTTGGACAGAGTATGAGGACGAAGAGAGATGAGAAGAAGCTGCCTTGATGTGGGCTCACCGCAGAAGCTCACTGCCGCACCTGCTTGCCTCAGGTGAAGCAGAAGTGAAGGCAAGCGCGTTGGTCGAGTTCAAGTACTCGTATTTACCTCCGACGGTGCTCTCTGTCAGTATGACGCAGTGGGAATTATGCTAGCGTGCCTCATGAAACTGTTCTACTGGAATGAGCAGTCCCCTGCCTTGTTTTTGGACATTCAACCCCGTCGCTTGCACGAAACTGGCAACGGTCTAACGTGCGATTGGGGTTGGAATGCAGATCCCTGCAGCGCACCAGCAAACTTGGAAATCTTGTCCCACGCTACGTGCTCGCATGACGTGGAGTTGTGGCTAGTGACATCCACTGCTACAGGGATCGCCTGTTGAGGTCTGAACGGATCGCGATGAAGGAGGAAACAAATGGAGGAGCACGCAGAGAGGCATCTGACCGGTTGGTGACAATGACAAAGAGTTCCTACAGTGGACTACCTACTCCAACATTATACTAATGATTCTTGACTGGTTCTGGCGAGTTTACCCTTCCAGCCCACCGAGTTATTGGGACGAGCAGTGCAAGAACAAGCATCCCAAGCTTGCGTCAAGCTTTCACCATCCCGGTCATTTGTGGCGCAACGCCACGATCATCTTGCGTCACCTCCATGAGCGGTGGAGTACGCAGGTCAGCACACCAAACAGACAGGACGATACACCTGTGACACGCTATCCTGGTGAATCTTACATGAGTACTGTAAATTCCTAGTAGTACTCAGGGACCAATCTCAATGCTGGTGACGCCAACCGTCGCCAAAGTGGCGCATCGTCGAGTCTCACCGATGTGGTCTCGATCGTTCTTTGATCCGATGGCAGGCGTGGGCGCTCCAGCTCGAATAAACCATCGAATCCACGTAGAACGGGATGATCGTTTCCAATGATGAAGCTCACGGAACTCCGTCATGCACATACCCGTACTCTGTCAACAAAGACGCGGACCACCATTATGGACAGCATCCCGGTCTTGGGGCCAAGGGCAATAGAATCGGCATGTGTACTGTACAAGACTGCATAATCCAAGGACGTCTTTTTCCAATTTGAATGATCGACTTTCTTTGCCATCTGTCCGAGATACAGCACCAGGCATGGAACAACGTACGAATAGTCCCATCCACATTATATCCATATACTGTCACCACAATTCGTCACATTGAATTCACATCCCAAGCCGATCTCCTCGCTCAATGTTCTGAGCTCTGAGACGATAATATCGCCTGGGGCGGGTCCATCCATCATTGTGTCTTTGACATGGATTATATGCACCGTTACCCCTTGGAGCGGCTGAGGCAATCTCTCTTTGGCGTAGGTGGCTGAGCCTGGGAGTGAGGAAGAGCGCTGATGGGTAGCTGAGGCCAGAATAGAAGGTGCCACCGAGCCGGTCTGGAAGCTCACATTGCGGCCCCGGGCCGGCGTGTGGGGAGGGGCCACGCCGCCAGACTCACGCGGCTCGTGAGACTGTTTCCTGCGAGTAGAGGAGGCAGACCTGGTGCCCACATAGCTGCTAGCAATTGGTGAAGGTGGTGTGGTGTCAAAATTCGTGGGTTCCAGTTCCGGGGTTATTGTCAGGTCGCCGTTCAAGGCTCTCTTGCGTTTCCTTTTCAGTTCCAAGGACGTCGGGGGTTGCCTCATGGTCATGTCAGGGCCTTTCGTCGAGACGTCGACGGCGTTCCCGGTGATCTGACCATCGGCAGTGTTCGAGCCATTGGTGGTCCTCTGTTTCCGCCTGTTAATCACACAGTTGGCGAGGAAGACAAGTTCGGCGATGAGATGTCTGGGACACAAGTGGCCATAAAGATCCTCGTTACGGGTACTGTCATCGTATGAACATTCGATAAAGAGAGCCTTCAGTTTTCCATCCACCACCTTCCCAGCTGCGTCATCCCAGACGATGTGATTTCGAGGAGAGAGGCTGACGGAGTCGGGCTCGACATCTCCGAAGATGAGCAGCTCATTCCCTGTGGCATCGTTCCGGATGAAAAATGCTGAGCTCGGCACAGGTTCAAACATGTGGCTGCTGTCTATGTGACTCGAGGCGAGCGGTCCTCCCCCAACGCCTGGGGTGACAGGGCCCGCGGACATCGGTATTTGATTTGGTGCAGGGACATATGCACTGGCGTTTTGGGACGACTGTTGGGCCACAGCTGCGAAATAGCCATGATCATCCGATATGCGAGAAAGTCTTCTAGACGGGAAATTGTAATCGGGCATGTACCCAAAAGAGTCGCTGTGATGGTGCGAAATGCTGTGTGATCGCCTATGGCATTTGCCATGACTGACGCTCCAGCACTTTGTGGCGAGTCCGTCACACACATTGACATAACCACGCGACTCGCCTAGACCGAGACGAGGATTGCCTCCCTCAATCAGGCGTCTGTACGTGACGAAGCCGACGCCATGTCCTTCGTCGGACAGGTTTGGCCACAGCCAGTCATTGAATATGTGGTTCTTGATAGCCTCAATTGTCGAGGGCAGCGCCACAATTGCTTTCGCTTCTCGCCCGTATTCGAGGGCTGGGGTGTTGATGGCCATTGCCGACAGATGGTCGAGATGTGGGTGCGTAATTAAGAAGCCATGAAGGATTTCTCGAAAGATGTGGAGTGCATTGGCCTTTGCGCTGATATGTGGGAAGCGAAGGCCGGCAAAGGGCCCTTCTTCAAGAATCTTCGAGTATCCCGAGGGCGGGAGTTTGTCTGATCTCAATGGCATGTCTCTTTGGAGGATGCGAATCATACTGGCAAGGTGGGCGCCTGCATCGACGGCAATCATGGAACTCTTGCGCCATTCTGTCTGTGGCGCTCTCACAAGCAAGCCGGTGATGTTGTCTTCGCGCGGTCCGCCGGTAGATCCCTAATGAGCATGGTAAGACGCTGCGACACATTCCCGGCACAGTCACGATGGAACTCACCAGCACTATGACCTGGAAAGAAGCACCATCCTTGGCCCCAAGTTCGCGCGGCTCAGGGCCGGTGTCGAGCGAAGCATCATTGTTCCCCCTCATTGAGTTGTTTTGCCCAAGATCCTTTGTTCATTGACGCCGGTGTCTTGTTACACAAGCCCTTTGTTCGCGGCCCCGGGACCCAAGTACCTGGACGATCGGTGCGGCAGCGGTCTCGGCTAAGTGCTTCTGGCTGGGGCCAAGGTCGTGAGAGCAGGCGAAGTCGATGAAGACGAACAGAGATCAGCCGATGGTCCTTGGAGTTTGTTTGTCAATCACAGGTATGTAAGCTCATTTTAGGTTCAGTACAGAGACACGCATTGGTATGTGAGGCTGCGGCCTCAACGCAGACATTGTCTAGGTTGCAGAGTCTGGTGCTTTTTGGGTCCAGAGAGTCAGAGGATGATGATAAGAATGATGCGCGGGTGCTGAGCGATCCATGTTCGTGTTCACAAGCTCGAGCAGACGAACCGGAGCCAGTGGTTCGCAGGTGTTTGCCAAACCCCCATCCTGCCCCAGCCTGCAAGTCGGAGGCGCTTTAGGGCTCAAACGGAAGCTGCAGACGAGCAAAATGCGAGCAAGCCCACCAGTGATCCAGTCCCCGGATTTCCAGGGGGTTACTCCGTACATTCAGATCGATTGGCTACGGGATGCATCACCCTGCACCATATGCATGACGGATGTCGTTGACAAGCTCTAAAGAGTTCTGGATGTCTCGTCTGTCCTCGTGCGAATACGCTGAGTTCGTGTTGATGGCTGATGACTACATAATACCCAGCCCTGTTTGCTGCGTTTCAGCCGTATCTGGAACATTCTAGCCCAGCATTGGTCGTACGAGGCTCGTCTCGGATTCTAGTTTGAGATGGAAGTCATATACAAGTCAACTGTCGTCAAGGATAATCAATTCATGCTCGGGGTATCTTCATCAAATATGGCTGGGTCCTGCTGCTTCGCCTATGGCAGCATCATAGGTAGGGATCGGAGGTCCCCCAGCTTGCAGCAAACCTTGCCGTTCATCATCGTCGCCGTCACCGCTGCTTCTCCGACTGCCAGTTGGGCTGGAGTACTCTGGAGGCGGTATAATCTGTTGACCCGCCGGCGTGTTCTCCACGGGCTGGTGCTGTATGTCACCGATGTCGAAATAGGTGGTGGCCTGGCTGGGTAGGTCCTGCGTCGATACATGGGCAAGTTGTGCGAGTGATATATCTGTGGGCGATCGTACCGGACCTGGGCTGCCGGCTGGCAACCCGAGCCTCGCCAAACCACTGCGGGTTCTTGAGTGACCGGGTTCGTATGTCGACTGTCGGGTCCCTTCTCTTCCAGTTTCGAGCAGAATACTACCTTGCTCACTGCCATATGGCGGAGGTGGTGCAAGACTCCCAGTCATTGGCGCCAGTCCCCACTTCTTCACATTTGCTTCAATAAACACGAAGCCCATCTGCCCAAAATTTACATGCACATGGCAGGGCCCATTGGCACCAACGGTTGGGAAGAAATTCTGGCTCTTTAGGTTGTGGGCAATCTCGTCCAGCTTTTTCCCGTTCCTGGTGAAGAAGATGCTGCCGGTTCGCGGCCGGTAGCCCACGCCGATCACGTCACCTTGCACATAAGCAGGGCCATACGTGCTGGGAGTGAACGGTTGGTTGTACCGACGGTGGCCCGTCGAGAGATAAGCGACTGATGTTTTGTGGAAGCCTACCACGATTAGCGCTCGTGCAATATAGACGCGTCCATATCGACTCACCAGGTAATCTAAACAGAGGATATGGTTTCGTGGTCATTCCGATGCTGATCAAACTGTTCTCCGGTTTATCGTAGATTTTGGCCTCCCAATAGTACACCTCGTTTTGTTTTGGGACCGGCAAGTTGCTCTGGACGCTGCATTCGGAGTCGAAGAACTCGATCTCTGTCCTCGCCTCGACGAAACAGTTGGCGATCTCTAGCTCGGGTTCGAATTCCCAGGCCGATACGCCTTTTTCTTGGATGGCGAGGAATTGCGACAGTGAGATATCCGTCTGCACGGACTCCGGAGGATTCGCTTGAACAAATGCTGCCCGAAGGTAAGACTTCCCGATAACAACAGCGGGTCAGAATGATTATGCCTACCTTTTGCCCTTAGATATTCCGTCCGTTGTAACTCGTCCATCGTCTCCAACGCCTCAGCCTCCTCATGCGCAAACGCTTGCTCATCGTCAAACTCGCCAGGCCGACCTATCCGATCTAACAGGATCCGACCTCGAGATGTATATTTGAAAAAGAAGAAGACTGCAAGAACCAGAATTGCAATGCCGGCGGAGCCAAAGGCGGAAAGCAGACCGATGAGGATCCCCCGGCCTGTTGACCCGCCATCACTGATGTTTATAACGATAGATGTGGGCGACCCATCAGGATTTGATCTGAAGGGAGGGCGCATACCTCCCCGCCATCCATCGTGATCGGCGAAGGAAGATGAGGTGATGGAGGTCGGATCTGAGGATATGGACGTAGGAGATGATGAAAGGGCGGTTTCGAATGTCATCGCGAATAGCTCATGTTGAAGCCGTTCGGCACCCGGACGCATCGCTCAGAGAATGAGCTTGCTGATGGGAAGGAGAGGGAACAGTGCGAGGTAAAGTTGGAAAGACGTCAAAGGGTGGCAAGGTGGTGATGTGGAAGCCGAAATGCCAGGTCTGGATCGAATGGCGCAGGCGGGGGATGCGGTTGGTCAGGGTCGCCTAATCGATCGTTCGACGGCTGCGGCAGGGCAGAATTGGGTGCTGTAGTTGCGCCTAGCAACCGTCTGGGTCCCGTATAATGAGACTAGACGGATCGATTCAGTCAGGTGCAATGCTGTCGAGACGGGAATATAGACACAATGCCACCATTCTCGTTTGTACTTGGGGAAGAAAAGTACCCAGCAATGAGGAATCGAGGAGCCCAGACAGAAGGTGCTTCTGTGCTGCAGCGGATGAAACACAGCGGGTGACGGCCGGCCCAGAAGGAAACCCAAGCTGCGGCGCTCCGTCACTTCTCGGGGCTAAACTTCCGCTCACCAACCAACGACTATTGCCAAGAAGGATCGCTTAAAGGGTCTGCCGCAGATGTCCCTCAGGTCCGTCTTCCGTCGAAGCCTGCGAGACTGCAAATCCTCCTTGCCCATGTCTATTTTCCCACTCTGCAAGGCTCAAACCAAGTGCTGCAATGTCCTTGGAGTCTATATCTTTGTATCCCTCCTCTTCGCCCTCCATCCGGTGAGGTTGCTGCCACCATCGATCTCGATGACATTACCGGTCATGTGAGCTGATGCAGCGCTGCTAAGGAAGAGCACCAACCCTGCAAAGTCTGATGGCTTGCCCACTCGTCCTGTAGGCTGTCGCTCCAACAAAGTATCCATATACTTCTGGATGCCAAAGTTTGTCATGCGCGACGGAAAGACTCCTCTGCATATGCATATTAGCGGAGAGGGCCGGCTGTAGAGCCTGGGGAAACTTACGGGCAGATACAGTTCACCATGATGTTAAGAGGAGCCAACTTGGATGCCTGTATCTTGGTGAGGTGTATACAAGCAGCTTTCGAAGGACCATCTAGACCGAAAGTCAGTATCGTTGCATCGCTCAAGCCCGAATCAAACGTACAGCTGTAGGTTCCGTGGCCTGGAGCTGAAAGACCTCCGTCTCCAGACGCTGTGACATCGGTGGTCTGAATTCCAGCCATCGAGGCAATATTGATGACTCGTGACGGCATGTCGGCATTGGTGCCCTTGAGCAAAAGGTCGTGCAGGCCAACGGTCATATAGAAGATGGATTTGACATTCAATGCCATCAGTTTGTCCCATCCGCTTTCAGGGAAGTCGTCGTATGGGGCACCCCATGTAACGCCCGTGTTGTTGACCAAGACTGTCAGCCGGTCGGTGCGCTTCTTGATCTCCTTGACAAGCCCGTCACACCCAGCTTTGTCTTTGAGGTCGGCCACAATGTATTCACACTTGCCCGGCCCGATGGCATTTATACGATCCGTGGTCTTCTGCAATTCTGATTCTTTGCGGCTGGCAATGAAGACTTTCGCGCCGTTCTGGACGAATCCTTGAGCTGCCATCTCTCCCAGCCCGGTGGCTCCTCCAGTTACCAGGACAACATGGTTGCGAAAATCAAACAGCGACGATACCCGGAGATCTGCTGTGGAAGTCATGGTGTTGTCCTATGGTATCCTACACAAACGTGAGCTTCTGTGTGACCAGCTTTATAAATGAATCCAGATTTCTTCCTAGGAAAAGACAGTAATGAACGATTAGAAAGAGAATCATCCTAGAATTGGCTTCGGCAAAAGACCGTTTAAGGATGATGATCAAATGGCCAACAGCCTCGGCTGTGGATGTGGAGCTTATCTTTCCCCAGCTTTGGGGGGACCAGTGATGCTGCTGACGTACCTGCCTATGTAGCCCCTTGATCCGCCCTACTGCCCTCAGGATTGCGGAAGGTTTTCCTGCAGGCACAAGCAGCGTGGCAAAGATTCGTCAACTCAACCAATTTCATTGCCATGTTCCCACAACCAGGCACCGTAGCACACCTGTTTGCCGGACTTTACGAGTGCTCGACCTGCTCAGGCACCAGATCTAGACTCCAACGAGTAGTCGGGACTGCTTCCTTCTCCGGCCGCCGGATCACGCGATGCAGGCGTTTGTGGCTCATACAAGAGCTCTCAACCTCTCGTGACTCATGGACACTTAATCGGCCTTCTCTTCGGCCTGGGCACGCCACCCGTGCTAAAGCCTCGCACAACGAAGTCTCGCTGTGCCTGTTTGGATGTCGTTAAACGCAGGCATACTCAACATTCAACACGCTGTTCTGACTTGGTGGTCCTATTTTCTGTGGTTGAAGGTTTGTTCCATGTGACTCATGCCGTGCATGCACCACCAGACACACCTGCCAGGGCTTGCCCAACATATATCTTTCCTTTGCTAACCCTGCTTTCTTGTGCCATCCTATTCGTATTCCTACTAATTCAACCAGCTGCCGCTCATTCAACCCAAAAAACAGCCTTATCCCCAATTCCTTGGAACCAGAAACGGTCAGCTCGTCATGGCGCACAAGCACAATCGCAGACGGTTTCGTCCCCGCAATCGCAACCACAGCACTTTGAATCCGACCTTCGACATACCAGACGATCTATCAACTCTATACGAGTCGTCCATTTTCCCTTCAGCCTCGCCCTCCCGTACCGGCTCCAGACAGCCTCCATTGCCGGCAACATTACGAGACCCCAACGCCAATGTCACTTCAAAGCACTGGTATAACAGATATACAGCCTGGCAGAACCGAGAAAAGGCTCAAAAGCGAGAGGCTGCCACGATCGAGGCTGAACAGATCCAGTTGTTTGGTGGTGAGCCAGGAGACGACGTTGATCTTTGCTATAAGATGATGGAGGTGTTCGAGGGCATGAATTGGATTGATACCCTTGAGTAGAGGAGGAATTGGTGGTCTTATCAGTACTACACCATGGTTGATGCTGGCAAAGATGCTTGGAGGGACGACATTCGACATCGACTCACAGTAACGGAATCAGTTCAGGTTCGGCTCGCAACAATGAAGGCTACAGATTGGCTGGATTGGCCCAACACGCTTGGACCCGTCACTGCTGAGGAGGGTGTGTTCACTGGCAAGCGGTGATTGGTGCTCGCGCAGTATCAAGGGGAAGGCAAGTGCCTCTGTTTTCATACGCGCTGGAGCTCGTTGCCTCGTTGCCACATATCGATTCACTCCCAGAAGGATTTTGGAATTGTCCACTCATATTATTATGTACTTAGTCATCTCTCGTCTCAATAAGGAAATGAGACTCGGCCATCGTTTGTTCTACTCTTTGAGATTCAGCGGAGACCTTCTGTTCTCGAACTCCCTCCATACCTCATCCGAGGCTTGCGGCATTATCGCCATCCCATAACTCTTTGCGCTGTTTCACGTAATGAAAGTCCGACCCGTCATGAAAACCAAATCTCTCGCCCATAAGCCTATCGGCCGATCAATCGATGTGCCGTGCCACTATGGCAGGACTGCTAGGCGTACCTTTTACATGCCAGGGTCTTCACTTTCTTGTTGCGACGACTTACCCATCCCAAATGCGTCCGGCTCCAGGCTCTTGACTGCATCATTGATTATAACATCATTCACCGATCCTGGAGACCATGTAGCCGGTGATGCCAGAAAGTTCAACATGCTCGACTACGTGTATACTAGGAAGAGGATGAAAGTGCACCGTTTCATGTCCCTCACTCGGGCGGCAAGGTCTTATTCAGGACTGGTATAGATGGTGGATGTGGTGGACCTCTGAGTGAAAGGACTTGATGCCATGTGAGAGGCAAGTGCGCAACTTGTATTTCTGAGATTTCCTGCCTGCCTTCTTCGTTCTCGACACGCGAGCACAGATAACGTCCTTTTGCACAATCCGAAACCATTATCCTCGCTGCTTCCGGTATTGCCCTATTGCCCGTGGCACACATCCTAACCCCTGATCGCCTGAACGTCTTCTCTTAAATCATGGTATACCGGAGCCCCCTCCTGTCTTATCGTCGCTGTCCATACAACTCTCCTAAACCCCCTGTATTTTCCATGGCCTGCGCAACTGCCATCTGGACTTGGAGAGGCCTTTAGTATGGTTGCTGTGTTCCACCCAGGTTGTGAGCAAGGAGAAACAAATGCGGCGTCAAGTGCTGGAGAAAGGAATACCGGCAAATGGTAAGCATGTCTCCTATCCCGCTTGGATAGAGGCATCTCAATTTGAAGCGATTACTTTTGCAACCACTGGGTCTAAGTAGACTGGGAGAGAAGAAAATGATTAGCTACGTTGCAGAGAGAAATGGGTTCAAGAAATCCCGGGGACATTGTCTTGTGGCCTGCGTTGGTTCCTGGAAGATTGTGGCTGGCAGATCCAGCAGGACTCTTGTCGGACCAGATCTTCCGCCTTCCCCACCCTTGATTCATATGCATTGATCGCTCGCGAATGCTGCACTTGATCTGAGGGGCGCCCGTGGCTGGAAGGTACCGTCGAGGGCTCAGAGACTCACTTGAGTAAGTCCAAACCGATATGCTGCCTGTTGTTACATCGTTCGTCGATGTGGTAGAGATTTGCCCTGCTGAGGCTGACAAGCCTGGCTGAAGAACCGTGCCATTGATTGCCAATGCGAGCAACAGTCAAATGTAGTCAGATCAGAGCCAATTGCATTTCGCCAGGTCCTCAATCCGAGAAATCTGCTCTGCGCAAATTGACATCGGATCCCATCTCCGTGGCCCTTGTCACAGGGATCTGACCAACCTGATCAAGATCATGCCTATTCAGCCGCTGCCATTGGGCACCCTCTGATCCGATGAAGAGCAATCGCGGCTGCAATTCACTGCGCAGCTAGTGAAATCAATGCCAAGAGCTGGCCTTTCTCTCGCCCTCAAAAGGTCTGCTCGCTCTCATTCTTCCTTCTCCCGTTCTCCCCTTCTCTCTCTTCTCTTCCAACTCTCTTTCTTTTTCTCTCCCCAAACTCCACCTCTGAGGCGGACTTCTGATCCAGTCGCTCGCGGCAGAACATATACCTCACCGTACTAATCTCCATTGTTAGTTGTAAGTTGTCGCCTGATCAATCCCATGACTGCGTGATTCTGACAGCGACACAGGGCTCTGCGAGTGAGAATATGTTCCCCGTGTAGCTGCAGGATTCAGAAGTCCGGGTGGTGGCGGGTCCTCGGGAGTCTCTGGATGAAGCCCAGGTAAGTCTCAAAATTGCTCGAGGTGCACTCTCCCCCGTGCCAGTAGAGGTAGTGGGATCCGGTTCTCCTGGATCCTGCGCTCTACTGGGTCAAGGCCGCGGGCAGCTGGGAGTGTGGGTTTGGTGGAGTGCGTTACAGCTCTGCTGGCGCCGGGATCCCTCAGCATTGTCGCCCTTCGTTGTACTGCTGACCGTGTACAGAGACTCTGCTTGTCGTTGCCTTTCATGCTTTTCATCATTGCTTGGGCTTCATGCTCATCCTTGGAGAAGAGACTTGTCGACGTAGTAGGCTAATGACGTTGACGCTGCGGTCGACTGATCGTCCTGTCTGCGTGCTCCGCGGATGTGAGTCGCACCCACATCTTAGTCGTTTTGGCTCCAGAGCAGCCATCCCCGATGCCCCTTTCCTGTTTCTTCAGTGCGTAGGAGGCCTGTCAAGCCCTCGCGCCGCCATCGCCATCGCGATTTGCGGTAGGGTTGTCCAATCTCGCAGGCCGAGGTGCTTGCCTGCGCAGACGAACCCACCGCAGTCGCCCTCCAAGCGTCATGGGCTTGCACGGATTCGACATCGCCCTGCAAAAGACCGTCATCATGCTGAGCTTCCTGTAGCTCTGGCGACAGTCGTCCAATGAGATGAATCAAGGGACCCTGAGAAGATCGAGCGGAGAATGATACGCATTTGACATCCTGTCAACATGTCCGCGAACGAATTCGAGCAGCATACTAGCAGAAACGCAAAGCAGCAAGCACATCTGAGTACCCTTCAATCGAGCAAGCACCAGAGACCGCCGACTAGCCAGACGACCATCCGCATTGTGTGCACTCGAGCTGCATTCCTCTCCAAATCCCCTTCCAGACCTTCCGGCGCCGTCCGGTAGTTCACCCATGCGTCTACTACGGGCGTTAGAGCTCCCACAGTGATGACCACGCCCAGGCATCGTTGAACTGTTAGACGCGCAAGAGGAGAGGTTTGACACCTGGGAGAAAGCTGCCAATATGCTGTGAGGATCAGGATGGACAGTCCTTGACCAAGGTTCCGGACCCCGTGAGGGTATACATATGCGAAACTACTGGGAGTGCCGTTCGACATCTGGGTGCCTTCGTGCGTTGGCGATGACTGCGCTTGCGCCTGCAGAACCCGGACCATGTACCCGCCAAAGGCGTTAGCAGCCGAAGAAGGTGAGACGAAGCTCCAGATACCGATGATGAGACCTCCACATCCAATAAGAGCTGTCAAAATAGGCAGAGCTGACCTTCGTAGCTGATGGAAAGACATTGCCGGCAAAGGGTAGGGATGGACACTTGAGGCATGTCACATCAAACCGAACGAGCCAGAGACGGGAGTTTTGCTGGGATCGAACCAGCGGAGATGGCACACACCACTTCACGTTTACATTCAGCTTTCACCAGGCACCTGATACCATTAGTGAGGTCTGATATCCAGGCAACGAAAAGCTCGAGGAACGTCGTCACTACGAACCAATCAACACCATGGGCAATTTCCGGCTGAGAACGGCTCGTCTTCGTCATCTACGTTGCCGTATTTTTGTACTGTGGTTGAAATCATCAAACGCGCGGAGTAATCTCCATATTTATGGCGACATCGGGCCTCGGAACAAAAACCTGAACCACGATCTGCTTTGCAATCATCACACAGCGGTGGCATAGGTTTATGACCAAAGACAGAAGACCTATCTTTGACAGATCGAGGACCTCAATAGGCACAACAAGGCTTTGCAGAACCCGAAGCAGAACGTTTAGCACCCAGGCTGTGACAGAATTCTCCCAGGAATAACGAGAAACCACGGTGGAGATGTCCGAACAACAGCACTCTCATTCTCACGACCATTCCCACGACCATTCTCATGGTCATGACCACTCTCATTCCGGGCCTGCTCATCTCTTCCAGGCCACCTCGCCAGACGATCAACCACCCGATGATTGGAGAGAGAGTGGTGTTCGAGTGATCCCCGCAGGCAGTTTAGATACCAACACGCCTCAGACTCCAGGTATGAACCGTGCCGCTGCGATCACGAACGCCCGTGTTGGGGCGCAGAAGCTCTGGGCCGGCACCGTGAAAATACATGCCAATGCTAAGACTGGAGCGCATCACCACGGCCATTTGGAAAGCGTTATCTATGTCGTCAAGGGCAAGGCGCGGATGAGATGGGGTGACAAGTTGCAGTTTACCGCGGAGGCTGGGGCTGGCGACTTCATCTACGTGCCACCGTACGTGCCACACCAAGAAATCAACGCCAAGGAGGACGAGGAGCTGGAGTGCGTCCTGATGAGGAGTGATGACTCGGCCGTCGCTGTAAACATCCCAGACCTCGTCCCGGTGGAAGACCCTGAACAAGTGAAGTGGGTGGATCCCACTCATCCCACCGGAGGGGTGTGACTTACCGGGGTACATAGCGAGGATGAAGAGCAGCACTACTCATGACGTTCAAGCCAATTGTGAGGCTTGTCAAGTCCAGGATGAAAACATAACTGCCCAATCTTTGCTCTTCCTGCTCTTGATATGCCGAGGACGCCTCGGACATTGCAATCTGACACCTCATGTTGTCCGCATCCGTCCGCCTTTGAACACTAGCTAGTGTACTCGTACATTGGCACATATTCATCTCACAGCGTACATCTATATCCGACTCTCTTGATCTGTGATCCCGCATACCGGTAGGCACATAGTCGAACCGCTTGCATTCTGACTTGAGATTCACATCCTGGCAGAGGTGCCACGGTGGCCGGGCGAAGGAGTAAGGATGCCTTTACCGGTTCACCCAGCCTCGATGCTTCCAAGCGATGACGCAATACCCCGCACTCCGTGTTCGGCACGTCTCTAATGATCTACAATGCAATGCAGCCGTCCACCGGGATCCGGGTGACGGGTGCCTGCAGCGTTGCACTTCACTGCCAAGGCTACAACTAGCTACCAGCTTGGTCAGGAACAGGTAAGGAAGCCTGGGAAGCCTCACGGTCGGAATGCTCCTATATAGCTGAGACCGACCGAGCTCTGGAGGGCTCGTCGAGTCACTCGGTTCGACAACCGTCACACAATGGCTCGAGCGGCAGCTCTCACCGCCACCTTACTCTCATTTGTCCTGTTTCCCTTGACTACTTCTACCCTTCCTGCCAGTAATGGCCGTCCCACGGTTACGATTGACTCTGGTGTCGTGGTAGGCATCACCAAGAATGAGAACTCTACCGGGCTGGAACTCAACGCCTTTCTGGGCGTTCCTTTCGCCGGACAACCTGTGCGATGGGGTCCTCCCAAGTCACCAGTGCCGTGGACGACGCCATTCGACGCATCCGAATATGGCCCTGCGTGCGTTCAGCAGTTCAACTATCCTGCCGCTCGCCGAAACCTGATCCTGCAATGGTTCAACACTCCTGCACCGCAGGAAAGTGAGGATTGTTTGAACGCCTGCGTCTATGTCCCCATTGCGAAGGACAATGCAAAGCCGAAGGCCGTAATGGTATGGTTTTACGGCGGTGGCTTGCTCTACGGCTCGAACGCGCTTCCACACTACGATGGGTCTACCCTGGCTGCGCATGAGGATGTCATTGTTGTGGTCGTGAACTACGTGAGTTTCTGTTCGCTCTGGGCCACTACCCCGGGGCCGGCTGTCGAAGCTTACACTTGCTCATCTTGATAGCGTACAAATGTATTTGGTTTTCCGGGCTCGCCTCAAATACCTCTTACGCAGAGAAATCCGGGGTGAGTTCTAGGACACGGGAACGGTGCATGCTCCCACGCTGTCGGATGGCTAACATTCCGTTACAGATGGTTGGATCAACGACTCGCACTCGAATGGGTGCAGCGAAACATAGCTGCATTTGGAGGCGACCCTGACAGAGTGACCATCTTTGGCGAGAGTGCCGGGGCTCAGAGCGTCGATGCCTTGATCACCCAACCACCCGATCCGCTGACCTTCCGGGCAGCAATCATGCAGTCCGGAACAGGGACATACCGCAATGCTCCGGCAAATTACTCGGCAACCTGGAACACTCTCGTTGCTGCAATGAACTGTTCGTCTGCCACAGACATTCTGGCCTGCATGCGTGCGGTGCCGGCAACCACGATCAAATCGTACAACGAACTCAACCGTTTACCGTGGATACCAGTGTTTGACAATGTCACCAGTGCGTACGCCGCGCGCTCGAATCGCCTGAGCTCCACCCCTCAGAATCCCAAGATCGCTCGCGTGCCTATCCTCGGCGGCAGCAACGCGGACGAAGGTCGGCTCTACTCCATCAGCGCGAATGATTCCTCGTCATTCATCCGTGGTCTTTTCCCAACAGCCACGGACCAGCAGATCTCCGATCTACTCGCCGCATACCCGATCGGCGGCCCGCCGGGTTCGGGAGTATATACCGGCACCTTCACCAGTCCACTCGAACAACTCGGCGCCCTGTACGGGGACTTCATCTTCCAGTGTCCAGCACGGCTTGTCCATTTGGAGACGTCTCAGGCAGACATCCCAAGTTGGAGGTACTACTACAACGCCAGTTTCCCCAGTAAGTCCATGCCCCTTGCGTCCTGTCCTCTATCCGCTCTCGACTTGGTCATCGTGGCGACAGCACTGGTTGTTGGTGCACATTGCCCCCACGCTAATGATGACGATAATGATAACACGAACTCTAACGTTACCCTTCTCTTCCCCAGACACGGACATCTTCCCAGACGCAGGAGTCTACCACAGCAGTGAAATCGGCATCGTGCTCGGCACGTACCCGGTCGCCAACGCCACGGTCTATCAGGAAGCACTGTCGCGGTACGTGCAGCACATTTGGGCGAATTTCGCGAAGGACCCGTACAATTGGAACGCATGGCCCGAGGGACCCAACGCGACAGGCGTGCTGGGCGGCGGTGTGAGGGCAGAGGATGGACCGAAGGCGTCGGGCCCGTACTTGACGGTGCTGAATCGGACGCAGACCGACTTGCTGGATAGGCGGTGTGGCTTGTACCAGGCTATTTATGATACTCTTGGGCATTAGCGTGACCGTAATGATTTAATGATTGCATTAATGAATGAGCCAATGGCACGCACGTCTCTATGGAATGACTGTCAAAGGTTTAAGGTCGTACTGTACAATGTGTTCTGATCTACCGTGAATCACAAACAAGAGCTGTATAAAGTGATAAGGATGCCTTGCGGCTCTGAATGGTGATTGCGCTGCGATATCGCTTGAGGAAGCCATTGCACCCGGGGATATCGACTTTGCGACTACGAGGACATGACCTCGAGTGGGCAAAACATTGACATGCAGCAGCGCCTATCTGGCGAATTATGGCCCCCGTTCTTTTCCTGACAGATCACCTCCATTGCCTTTCCTAGATACTATATATGTTTACACTTAGGTGACGGTGTGTATTTTGTATGTCGCATGGCGTATATCATGTATTTTGATGCACGTCCTGCAAGCATGCGTGCATCCATGCATGTACGTAGTACTCTTTGGTATTCATACATTGCAGTCATAGTAGTTCATGCGTATCGTGTTACTACCCGTGAGGCTACCTAGGCAGGATGGGCTGAGGACATCACCACGTGCGGCCTACTACAGTATAATACTGTACAACAACGATACCCGATACCGGAATCTACCTAGTGACCAAGCTGGCAGGACATGAACTGCCCCTGTTCACTCGTGTGCAGCCGAAGAGCAAGATGAAGATGAAGTTCTTTATGAAGAAATATCGCGCCCAGGCCCTCCGTACGGCGTGTGAGCCGCTCTCCTCCACCGAATCGTCGAATGATTGACTATAAGACCGACCAGACCAGACTAAACACTACTTCATACGAGCATGGCATGAACCTATCTACAATGGACCAGCGGGAAGTACTTTTACCCAAAAAGCCGATATATATATGTATGTGTGCGTGTATATGCAATCTACGCCGCACCCTGTCCCTTGCGGTCCATACAGAATGCCTCGCCCGCCAGATCTCCCATGGCGAGATACTTCCGGTAGAATCCCTCGGTGGGGCTTCCCCTGTCGGCGATGAGGATCATGCCCCGGAGATGGGTCATCGAGGCGAAGACCTTGTCGATGCACTCCATCAGCCAGAGGCCCAGGCGTTGGGACCGATGGTCACGCAAGATGTAGACGTCCGTCAGGTAGTTGACTGTGACGAGGTCTGTGATGAAGCGGGCGAAGCCTATCAGTCGTCGTTGCTGTTGCGGTTGCGTGCGCTGCTGCGCGTGCGGGTGATGGTGGTCGCATGATGATTCTGGGTATGGGTGTGGGTGCTGCTGGTGTTGAGATCCTTCCGACGACGACGACGAACGACACCCGCATTCGGAGGTGATGGCTTGTGGTCTTTCCAGTTCATACAGTCCGAAGCATAACGATCTGTGGACCAACGTCCGGAGTTGCTCCTCTGGTAACGGGCCACCCCATGTGAAGTCACTGGCTCCAAAGATCTGGTCGTTGAGTGCCTGGAGGGGGATGAGCGAGACGTCTGTCGAGATGAGGTATTTGTCGTCTTTGGTCCAGGTACGTAGAGGCATTTCCGGGTCTGGAACAGAGGTCATGATCGCTGTGTCGGGCACACAGAAGTGACGTGACAATATAGAGTTGAGTCTGTGGTAATCTGGATGCAGGAGAGGCTGGACCGGGCTGCAACGGAAGGGGAAGACAGGTACTATGTTTTATAGCTGGATGATAATGGACGTCAACAGGGAGGAGTCTCGACATGTCGTGACTCATAATCAAATCAACACTGCGGTTCCACATAATGTCGATCATTGTTTCGTAAGACAGGCCAGGGCTTCCCAATGAACTTCCAAAAGCCAAAGCGTGAAAGAGGAGGAAAGTACATTCGTCGAGTTCCTTCGACGAAGATGTAAAGGTATGAGATGCAGAGTGGTGTCCGTGGTCCATCAACCTCGAAACGCGTGGAAGCTCTGTAGCGGCCGACAACGGACCGCCATCAGGTGCGGCCATCAAGTTGCGCTGTGGCCTTGGACGGACGCCTAATTAGTATCGCCGTGCTTATCATGTTTCCTTTGTGATCCGGTTTGTGAAGATCCGGGCGAGGGTGCTCTTGACGACCAAGGGATGGGCATTCACTAGCGTTCGCCGCTGCTGTACTGCGGCAGCAGAGCCTTCACTCGGGGACTCAATTCTTGCAAGAGAAGGACCTGGCACCTACGCCTGATTGACTGCCATGTCAAAAGCAGAGGCAGTCTGACCGCTGGTAGGCGCGCCAGCATGTGTGCATCGCCCATGAAGAGATGCTGGACGCTGTCTGTGCTTGGACTACAGCCGAAGACGCCGAAAGCACTTGTCGGAGCAGAGATTTTCGCGATCAGAATGTCTAAGCCGACACCTGGCTGTCGAGGCTGTATACTACTATGATGAAAAGGCAAACGTCCGCTTGATGAGTTCGCTTACCGCGACACCGTGGGAGAACATCGAGTCATCCAAGGTTACAATGTTCTCATCTCAACTGTCCACGAGCGGCGAAAGAACATTTTGCGCCAAAACACCTGAGAGTCGCGACGATACTGTTGGAATATACCAATGTACCAGTGTGATATGACGCCGCTTGTGTTGACTTGGAGTATTGGTGGTATCAGTACCTAGATATATTGACATTAGACAAAATCATAGCTGCCTGCTGGCCGGCTGTCAGCCATTATGACAAACAGGCCGAGGTGCTAAACTCTCGGGTGACCTTCACCTGAAGTTCTTCCGGGCCGATGCATTAGTCATCACAAATAATTGTACGGATATATACCAAATGCTCAAATTTGACGGTCAAAAATCGGTTGTATAGTGTAGTGGTTATCACTCCGGATTTTGAGCATAATTTATTCCGGCAACCCCGGTTCGAACCCGGGTACGACCTCTACCTCTTTGCTCCCGCACGGGAGCTATGATATTGTTTTTATTTTGCCGTGGCTGTCGGTGAAGTCTGGTTTCTAGGAATCCATTTTTTTAATCCAGTCATGAGGCGGACTACTACCGGAAATTCTGGTTTGGGCTTGCGAGCGTGGCTCACAGGACCCCATTTCGGTCATTTCTAAACCGACAACTGCGCGACTGTCTAGTCGTGGACGACTACTGTGTTAAGTACTTCGTACTCAACTCGTTTTAGCAGAATGGTTCTTTCGCAATATTTGTGCACGCAGGTTGGTCGTTCTTGCAGCTTGCGATTCCATTTCATCTGGGAAAGGCCGTGCTCCCATACAAACGGGTTACTCCTGAAATCTCTCGGTCAGACCTGCAGCGAGATAGAAATAAACTCGATCTCTGGACACTTGGCTGGCCAAATGCTGCGGAAGACGCCTTTGAGGAGCTTTCCTATTCCTGTACATCCCTGCGCGAAGTACTTCCTTCAATCATCAACACTGTTTACCATGCAAGCTTTGTGACAGCTTTACCTTCAATGTAAGGCATCAGGTGACAGCGGTATAGGAAGGTTGTCACAAGTTTTTTGGCATTCTATATGGATCCCCTGACCCACTGATCCGTGAGGACTAGCCCTTGAGCCTCTTCACTGACAGCAGCATCTCGATTGGAATGCGTGTCCGCACTCGGGCAGGTTGAACTCCGACGGGAATCGTCCCATCGCGTCGTAGCATTAGGATCCGATTCGACTTGAGCTCGTCCGCGGCCAAGGTAACCGGTACAACACTCCCGAACAATCATGCGGCAAGGGGCCTGACGCCATGTTAGCACGTGTGGACAGCCATGCAGGAAGCGAGAAAGAAAGTTGCCCCCGGAATCACTACTGCAGGCTGGAACCGTTGCGAATAGCAGAGTCGGCCGATCCTGGTACAGTATCAGGATGCAAGAAGTCGTTCGTCAATAGAGATTTGCCCATCGAAGTCCAGCGAATATGGTCCGGTTTCTTGAAGTCGTGGGAGAGCCTCCGCCTCAGCCATCTCATTTTAGCCTGACACTTGAGCCGAGCGATTGTAGGGGTACGCGTGCGTGTGCAGCTCTGCAAATGAACAGAGATCGGAACGACATCTCCGAGTTAGTCACGTTCTTCCGCGGGTTGGCCGTGGACTGTTGATAGCTTGTCGGAAAAGGTGCCCAGATCTGGTCCCACGCATGCCGCAACATCTGTGACTTATGCTCCCATCTACCAAAGACTGCCGGTAAGAAAGACGGTCGTGGTGAAGGTGGCCAGTAAGCCACAGCTGGAATCAGCCGCTTTCCCGATAGCAGAGACAACCCACTGGAATTTGTTAACAACCAAGGTGTGCACGAAGGACAACGCGATTGTCGCTGTAGCTCGGGGTTGATCTTCTCGGAGGGACGCGAACGAGGATTAGTACAATTAGTACGGAATGCCCCCTGTGTGGCTTAACTGCTGGGTAGTTTCTCCTTATCCACCACAGTTGCGCCGGTCTTTCCATCACCATTCGCTCTCTTCGGCGGCAAATTCTTGAGGCAAACCGCGTAGAACAAATCTCCGCTCCATGCTCCCTTGGCTGTTCCTGTCGCGACGACGCACCACAGTAGAATAACAGCGACACTCAAAATCGTCCCAAACACCTTGAAAAACATGCTCGGAAATTCTACCCCGAAGGTCATCGTGGAGATGGCGTAGACGCCCAGCGGAAATGTAAAACCCCACCTGTAGAGAAGTTAGAAATGAGACTGTTGGGATGGGATCTCGTAACTGAGGTCTAGGACAAGGCGAACTTACCAACCCATATTGAAGGGAAACGGCCTTGTTGAATAGATTGTCGCAACAGCGAAAATAAGCCAACAAAGTCCAAATCCCCACATGATCAAGCCGAGGAACACACCCAGTACATATACGATATCTCCGGCAATAAGAAGATCGTGAAAGAGCTCGACTCTCGGGAAGACCTCGCGAGAAACCTTGCCCAAGTACATGATCGTGTAGCCGCCCATTCCCAGGGGCCCGATGGGAAGGAACGACGAGACCACAACCTCCCTGGGAGGAAGCTTGTGGAGCGCTAGCCGTTGGTAGTACATCACCAGAACGGTCATCGAAAGAGGGGTAGCCAGCCCCCAAAGCACGTACGAGGCGAGGATGGTGCCGAACGCGTGGTCTGGAGACGATAGCAGCTCCGCGACCTCGCTCCCGGTTCCGGATGCCACGATGGTGGCAGCAATGGGAAGCAATTGTGCAGCCGTGATCCTTTCCAGTCCGTGATTGTCGCTTTGACTCATCAGCAGGAAAGGAAGAGACACAGTGACCGCAACGGCGATGACCACGTCAAGCATCCAGGCCAACCAGGCCACCCAGACGGACCAGTATCCCCAGTAGGGGCAGCATAGAAATATCCAAGACTCGACCAGGGTGGCGAAGCCCATCGGGAAGGTGCCGAGGAACAGTGACATGGTGGGGTCCTTGATCATGACATGCCAGATTTCTGGGTAGAGGGTATATCGGAGGAAAGAGATGATGAAGGCAAGGCTAAAGAGGATGGAGTTGAGGATGAAGAACGCGACACTCAACCAGTAGAGCCATGCTGCCTTCCAAGGGATCGTAATCAGCAAGAGCGAGCAGATGCCAGTTCCCATCGTCACCGAGAACCACGAGGGGCTGAAATTACGAACAAGCCTTCTCCAACCGACATCATACTTCGACGTCGACACGTCCGTGTCGGCATCGGCAGGAGAAGGTTTTCCTTCTTCTGCGGAGTCGCCAGTGGTTATGGGCGAGAGACCATCGCCGGCGGGATCTGACCTCGAAGTGATTCGTCTTGCGAGGCTCTGGCTCGTGGCCGTGGTGTTGCTTCGTCCAAGGCGGCTTGCAGAGAAGTCTGAGCGTGTCGCCATCTGCGAGGGAGCGGTCATTGTCATTGCTGGGTTGTTGGATGCCATGCGCTGCATCAGGGTCTCGTCGTCTTCAGCGAGATACGCCATCGTGGCGAGGGTAAGACTTGAGGGCTTTTCGAAGGGGCGATGAGGAGCTGATGTTGTTGTAATCTGAACCTTTTGGGGCGTGTCATCGCCTAGAAACTGTGAACGTAAGAAGGCCAGAGATGTCTCTGCAGTTCAAAGATATAGAACCCTGGATATGACTCTGCATCTTGTTGCCGCCGTCTGTTGTCGACTGTGGAGAATCTCATCGATGACGTCGGCGATGTCTCGGTGAAGTCACTAACGTCGCGGTCATCTAGCCGTGGTCACATGCTTTGCTTGATGGCGGACATGCTCCTCCGTAGCGAGAATAAATTCCTCAACCCTTGACAAACAACCACCAGCAACCATCGATCCCTGGCCGTCAACCCATTCGCATTCATAGTAGTATGTAGTACCTCGACACGACTCGTCACAGCCATGACGGCGATGGGTGCTTTCCGAAGCAAAACCAGAGGATATGCGGCGTACCACCTCGACCGCCTACCGAAGAATCCTGGCAAAGGACAGATCGTTAAGATAGGATTGAAATCAGGAACACTTTAGATGCAGACTATGGTGTGTCTTTCGTGGCATCATGACGCCCATGCAGCCGCCTAGCTCTCCTACCTATCCGATATGTCGCAAGCCAAAGTCAGTCGCCGCCCCAGATTCCTCCAAGAGAACAGATAGGGCACCACGAAAGCTCCTGAAGCATTGTAGCTACTATGCTTCCTTCCAGCCATTACCCTTTCTGCGGGATTCCTAGCGACACACCCATATTGCGGCAGAGCCGTGCCCTTTCTGGATCGCCCGACGCAGATCCTGTCCAGCATCTTGTGATGCAGGTACCGACCACTGGTAGTCAGCTCATCGTGTACCTGTCGCCCCAATTAGGCATGGGTCAGTCTTGAATATTAGTCCAGCTCAATCTTGATCTTCTTTTTAGCCAACCCGAGCTTGACCGTGTGCTCGTCACCCTTCTCGTCGACATAGACCAACCATTCCTCTCCGTTGATTGTGAGAATCCGTCCATCGTCCTCGCGCTGTCGCTGTCGCCGTCGCTTGGTTTTCGTTGCCGCAACAGTGGTGGCTAACCTGTCTTGTAGTTCGGACTTCTCGTCCTCCAGCTTGACGATCGAGGATTCCGCTGGCGTGGACGGGCCGGCCATTGTGTCCTTTGGTGGTTCAAAAAGATTGCCCGATAGAGTGGGTACCTCGACAGCAATGCTTTCCTCGGCTACTTCAGGTACAGTGCCGTTGCATGCCTCGCAGAGTAGGGTGCCGTCATATCGGACGCTAATGTCGCTGAATGCGCCTGAATGCGCATTCTTTGTTGCGCTTTGTGCATTCGACTGGGGGGAAAAGGCAGGTTTCCGACGAGGGCGAGCAGAACGTCTCGGGCCCGGCATGTCCCCTCCTCCAATGCCCAACTCGTCACTCTCCAGTCTTTCATCCATGGTGTCCACCTCAGATTCGAATTCTGAATGCTCTTCTGCGCCTGGCGTTGCAGTGGGTGTCGAGGCTACATATGTGCTCTGAGGCCGCATCCTCTTCTTTTGTTGTTTCGGGCGCCCTCGCCCTTTCCCGCGAGTCGGTTCTGCGGCATTAGAATGGATCTGTAATCCTCGAGTACCTTCCACGACATCCGCCTTGATTTCCAACCCAATTCTCTTGTTGATAGTACCTCGAGAAATGTACTTTTTGAATTGAGTCCAGAACAGGTTCGTCTTGGTGGCTTCCGCCCACCACTTCTGGCTGAAGAGTTGCGCGTCCGGAATGTTGTACTGCACGGGAATTGAGACTGGGCCTACGACGATCCTTGCGAGGGGCGCCATCGTGTTCGGACGAGGCAAGCTCGAAAGTCAGTTGCGGTGTTTGGCCTTGACGAGTAGAGACGTGAGAAAAAACCCCTTAGATCTGAGAACTGCATGTGGCGAGTCGGCACAGATTCAGAATTGAAGTGTTGGCGCCGTACCCAGTCTTGTTCGCAAAGACGAGTGAGTCGCAATACGTCGAGATGTTTGAGCAAATAGACAGCACTGGTAAAGGTCGAAATGAAGTAAGCCAAAGAGATGAGACGGATGAAAGGACTGCCTATCCAAGGATTGGACCTTCCGAGCAAGGAATCCTGTTGATATGATCTTCTCTCTACGAGAGATCACAAAACGGGTTCACATTGAAAATGATCGAGTAGAGACACTTTGTGAACAGGGAAAGGACGGGAGAAGGCCCGAATGAAACAATCTTGACTCGGGACGACGTGGCATGTGATAAGTGACGGGGTATCATGTAGGTCTGAATCACGGACTTGAGTCCAGATTCTGTTCCTCGAACTCCTCGTCCTCGGTCTGACCCTCGCTCTCGGTTTCTTCATCATCCAGAAGAGGGACAAATCTGAACTCGACGTAGGCGACATTCGCTGGGTTCGGTGGCGCATTGGCAGCCGCAGATTCATCCCCACGTGAACCAGAACCACCATCACTCAGGTCAATCATAAATTGAAGGCTGAGGACGCCTTGCTCATCCTGCCGGATGCTGACTTTAGTGGCCGACGCCATCGCCCTCGATGCTCTCTTGATCATGTCAAATTTGTATCGTTGCCTGATCCTGCCGTGGCTCCCTGCAGGCGCACTAACCACGAACGTCTCCGTGACGACTGGTTGCCGTTTCACTCTTGCTTCGTTCGGCGTCGAATCGTTCTTCGACTCAGGCGTGAAATCTACCGTGCTATTTCCGAACGGGCCACCTTCACCCTCCAAGGAGAAATACGGAGCCGAGCGTTTGGAGACATTGACGACCAGGATGGTGGGATTCATCCCAGAGAGCTCTGCGATAGCATCGCTTAACCAGGTGCTCCTCATTATGGCCTTCAAACAGAGATTGCTTCGGTCCAGTGGCACGCCACCGTCATCGCCCTGAGAACCGTAGACCTCGTAGGTGTTCATATCACAAATGGTTGTCACCGACCCTTCTTGTATTGTGATGGTGAGAGGCGCACCAACCTCCTGGTATGATATTCGACATGTGCCACCCAAAGCCAGAGCAGGAGTGCTGAACGCATTTCCGTACGAAGACGAGAAACCACCATATGGGTTCCGAAGCGAAGACGATGCTTCCGCCGTACCAAAGATCTGTAGAGTTTCGAGCAGCGCAGTAATTGAGATTGAGAAGGTGGGCAATGCGTCGCTGTTTTCGTTTGGGAGTTTACAACTATATGAGGAGAAGAGGGCCTTGTCCAGGAAGGTCAGCCCTTGGACAACCCGTGCTTCCTCCACCGAGAATTGGATGCCATGTGGACTGATCTGGACTTCTGCTCGCTGGGAGAAGGCAACGCATCGGAGTAGCAGATACAGCTGCCTTGCTGAGGTCGAGACCGCCGTGAAAATCGGAGTGCCGTCCATGTTGCAAGCTCACGCGGCAGTGTTGTGGTGTTTCCAAGCTTTGCGAACCGGTGACACAACCGACGGGGAGATTTCAGACGTATACCCCAAATCCACAGATTGCATAGACAGCACCAAATCTACTGAAGTGTTACTGGTTGTGTAAACTTGTTTCAATCTTAACCTACCCGAAAGCCACTGAAGCAGGTACTCCGAAGATAGGTAACGACAAAGGGCTTTTGTTCAAGGCGAACAATCCAGTGAATATCACGCCTGCGAAGATCAGTACAGTATCCGAGAGCTCGAGAGGAAGACGCTCACCGATGAGCAACAGTGCCAGTCCAACAAACAGCTGGCTCTCCTTCCCAACCGTGGGCTGGAAAGGGCTGCCCGCAGCGGATTGCCAGACCTCGTAAAGCGACATTGACGTGTTGGTCAGGAGATCTCAGGTTTGACTGAACAGCGACTGGACTTTCAATACGCGCAAAGGTTGGTGGTCAGGACGTGGGCAGCGTCGCAGGGTGCAACGTGGTCTCTCACTCGCGAAGGAGACGCGACGCCGGCGGAAAGTAATTCCGACCCGGTCCCCATGTCCCTCCTCACCTACTCCTCATCTTGTTTCCATCAGACTGGAGTCGAACGCTTTCCATTGCCACAAGAACAAACCACGGCCAGTATATCGACTAGGCCCGCCATCATGGCGCCTATAAACGGTGAACGTGAGTGGTCTGGGTGCGGCAGCATTGTATGTCATGGTTCACTGACCGCCTGTGATCACAGACACAAAACGCAAGGCTTCAGAGGACGCGGCGTCCTCCCGCTCGAAGAAGGCAAGGACTGAGTCGCCCGTCTCACACGACGGTGTCAAGCACGAAGAGGTAAATCTACTTCTCTGCCATGTCTCTTGATCCTCCGCCATGGGGCAGTTTCTCCCCCGAGGGCGATAGTACCCTGTATCGCTTGGATTCCAACATCTCGACCGACACAGATACGACACTGTCGGTCTCGGTCATAGAAGAGCATGGCCGTATGCGCCGTCGCTCTTCTCTCACCCAGCGATTTGCACTGCAGACTACTGGTACTGACATCTCTCTACAGTCCGACTCTGACCCTCCCATCACTCCTACGCCGGTCGATTTCCCGCTCAAAGCCGCTGCCCTCGAAGAGAAGCAAGGACGGATCGAATTTAGAGTGGTGAACAACGACAACTCAAGAGAGAGTAACATCATCTTGACCGGATTAAAATGTATTTTCCAGAAACAACTGCCTAAGATGCCCAAGGATTACATTGCTCGACTCGTGTACGACAAGACACATCTCTCCATCGCCATTATCAAACAGCCACTGGAAGTCGTTGGAGGAATCACCTATCGACCCTTCAATTCGAGAAAATTTGCAGAGATCGTGTTCTGCGCCATCTCTTCCGACCAGCAAGTCAAAGGCTACGGGGCCCATCTGATGGCGCATCTGAAGGACTACGTCAAGGCGACCTCTCCAATCATGTATTTCCTAACCTACGCCGACAACTATGCTATTGGCTATTTCAAGAAGCAGGGGTTCACCAAAGAGATCACGTTGGAGAAGTCAATCTGGATGGGATACATCAAAGATTACGAGGGAGGCACGATTATGCAGTGCAGCATGATTCCCAAGATCCGGTATCTCGAAGTACCACGGATGCTTCAGAAACAGAAAGAAGCAGTAATGGCCAAAATCCGGGCTGTGAGCAAGTCGCATATCGTTCATCCACCTCCCGCTGCATGGAAGAATGGCGTTGTTGAGATTGATCCCATGTCAATCCCCGCCATCAAAGAATCGGGGTGGTCCCCATCGATGGATGAGCTGTCCAGACAACCTAGACACGGACCGAATTACAACCAGCTCCTTCATCTGCTCAACGACATGCAGAACCATACAGCAGCCTGGCCGTTTGCTCAGCCGGTCAACAAAGATGAGGTGCCCGACTACTACGAAGTCATCAAGGAGCCGATGGACCTGTCGACGATGGAAGAGCGTCTACAGAACGACATGTATCCGAGACCAGAGGACTTCATCAAGGATTCCAAGCTGATCTTCGACAATTGTCGACGCTACAACAACGAGACGACCCCGTACGCTAAGAGTGCGAACAAGCTGGAGAAGTTCATGTGGCAGCAGATCAAGAACATCCCTGAGTGGTCGGTATGTATCTGTTCCAGCATTCATGGTTTGGTGCTTCTTACTGACAGAAGGACAGCACTTGGCTGAGTGACGAATATGGCTAGATACCTTTAAGAATCGACGGCGTCTGCTAGGTGGTTCGTGTGGGGGATTCGGCATGACTGGAGGGTTGATGACTTTTTTAACCTGCGATATGATACCCAAACTGCATCACGGCGTTGAATTGACCTTAAGTCATGAGTGAGCATTGGACAGTGTGACTTTCCTCAATCTGCTTCTTTGTAGCACAAGGCTCGCAGAGTCCGACTTTGTGCCTCATCAGTGCAACCCTTTCGTTGTCCTCTGTAGTAGCAGACACAATCACGGAGTGTGTGACGGAAGTCCGACTCACAATTAATCGTCAGGTGCCGGAGCCTGCAAAGTGTTTGGCTGGCAGTGAAGAATAAGTTCGGAGAGGTGCAGATTGTGAGAGACGCGGACCAGCCAACCAGAAGCGGGTGTAGCGTTGTCCGGGCCGCGTCTAATTCCCAGATTCCAGCCTCCGACCCAGTGGTGCCAGTGCTCTCCTTCCGTGCTTGCACCCTGTCCACCACAGTTGGTCCACACCATCTCACCGGGATAGACGATCAGCCTCTCGCTACGGGATAGACATCACGCTGCCGCTCGCTGCAAGCTCCTCGGTACCACCCCTGCACCTCCAAACCACCATGGCCGCGCTATGAACCAAGATCTACCCATTTGCACAGCGATCTCACATCAACCTCACGTCACTTCCGTTCACTTCAACCTCGCCCAACCCGAAATTGTCTACAGCACTCCGCGTCCAGAATCACCACGTCTAGGTAGACATCGACAGTACATCAAAGAAATCACGCGAGTTTTCCGGCACCACTGGGTCACCTGCTGCAAGCAGCGGCCTGCTTAGAGCGCAAGTAACAGTGGCTTGGCTGCGCGTCGGGACAGACATCAACAATGGCGCACCACCATGGGAGTCGAGGCGAAGACGTCGAGGCGCGCAACCGCCTGCCTACATTGATGGAGGTTCTGGGAAGAAGGACACTGGCGCCAGTGGACCTGTTCTCCTTCTACATCTACATGCGCGACCAGCAGCGCTCAGTGGACTACCTTGACTTCTGGTTTGTTTTTGGTGGATCTGAAGCTCCGAATGCAGCTAACCCACCTGCAGGCTCGATGTGTCCCAGCATATGTCTCTGTGCCGTCACTATGTCCGAGAACTACGCCGGTCCATGCTCGTGGATACTCCGGAGATGGAAAAGACCACCAGCAAAAGGTCATCAGCTTTGCTGGAACAATTTGACCTTGGCGAAGGGGTGGATTCGAGAAAGAACGGGCAAGAGTCCAGAGTGTCCGCCATTCTGAGGGGCGACAATTCCGGCGCACCGAAAACACCAAGAAGCAGAGAAGGTGCTGCTGGCGGCCCGACCGACCGCTCGCCCTCCCACAGCATGGGTTCGGCAAATTCGAGAAATCTGAGTCGACCATCAGGTGACAGACCAACACCGCCGGAGATGCCACAACCCAGCTTCGCCAATTCTACTCCTGAAGTGAGGACGGACTCGAATTCTCCGGGACACAGTGTCGCTAGAGCCGACATCAAAGCATCTGCGGAGAAGATTCTCTACACATTCGTTTTACCGGGCTCCGAAAGGGAAATTGTGCTGCCGGATACGATGTTGAACAAGATCATCCGCGCTATCGAAGAGGAAGGACGAGATGACCCAGAGGTGTTCGACGATGCTAAGGACTACGTCTTCCAGGCGATGGAAAGAGATGCCTTTCCCGGATTTTTGCAGGCCAAAGCCCTAGGAAATCTGGTGCCCTTGAGTGTGCTAATCAGGTTGATCGTTGGGCTCATGAGCTTAATGGCAGGGTTCTGGGCTGGCTACTACATGATCTTGAGAGACAGGTCAAGAGCTACTCGTTGTTGGGTAAGTTCATTCTTCCTCCCTCCAGCCTCCGACTCCTGTCGTATGCTAATAAGACTGCCAGATTATCCTCCCCTTCACCATCGGCTCATACTTCCTCGTCTCCTACCAATACAAGCTCGACATTGTCGCCGCATACCTGGGATTTAGTGAATACACCTGGATGAACTGGTCGCGGATCAAGGAGCCCTTCGTGCGCAGGTTACTGCTCACGAGGGCGACCATGGCGCTGTTTATGTTCGTAGCTGTTGCGGTCGGGCTGTGTGTGCTTTTCATCTTTGTGCCGGGGACGAGGTTCTAGGGTCGCGTCCAGAAAGGCCCGATGATAATCCATTGGTTGTTATGGAATGGCAGGCGTTCAAGGGAGAGACGACCAGATACGTGGATGGGATTGGGCTGGCTTGTGTCAAATTCATTGTCTTCGTTTCAGCGAGCGTGTACAGGGTTAGGACGGGGTCTTACTCGACAATGACCGACGGTTGTCGACACATTATTCACAAGCTGGACGAGATCAATGACTCGAGCCAATTGTGGAAAGAACAAGCCCGGCCTACACAAAACGGGGGGTACACAGCGCCAGCGGAAACAAACGCAACCAAATCTTACAACATAAAACCGAGTGTGGCTCAACGTCGATTCGAACGGATGCAAGAGCAAGGCACATAGAGGGGCGAGCTTGGATATGTACTTTTGTTAGCTATGCATCGATTGTGCACACACGTGGAATGAACATGGTCTGTGGGCTTTGCGACTTGACTCGAGGCTGCGCATGAGCAACCTTTGTCGAGCTGTGATTCATCTCCTTCTCATTTCCTCAGCACCAAGGGCAGCATGCTATCTCGAGCAGCGAACAGGAGGTCGGCACCACAATCCGCTGTACTGTAAGCCTGGGTCGCTGGGAATTACAAGCGCATTGACCCCGTCGTTCTCGCTCAGCCCCGGACTCTTCTCGCTTTTCACTTCATGGTTCTCTGCGTGCTCAGTGCTTAGCAAGGTGCCGTATGTGGAAGTAGTGGTCTCTTCGTGGTCGTGCAATATTACATTAACTCATGTTCTCGTCGCGGAGCCCATAATTCGCCATGGGGCTTTTGCTTCCGCCGTTTACAAAGTGGCTGTTTCGGAAGCAAGTCGGGCCCTGTGCTGGCTACGGGGATGGGCGTCCTTCCTCGTCAGTCCTGCTGGCTGGCTACTAGGACAGGAATCCTTCCTCGCCGGCGACGTCTGGTCTGTCCCGGCCTGTCGCTGATGGGGCGACCCCTTTGATGCATGGTTCACGCCACCAGAATAGGCGACTCCGTGCGCATTTCATCTCATCAACAGCTGTCCAGCCGGAGCTCGCCTCATTGTGAGGTGCGCCCTCGGACGCATTGCTCACTTCGACCCCCGTCCACGATTCCTCTTTGCACCACGCGAACCCCCTCCCCCTCGACTCCCACTGCCGGTTCCACTTCCCGGGAATCCAACACTTTCACTTAAGCCCTCATCTAGATCCATTCCCTCGTATTCCTCCTCGTAGTCATCGTCTTCACCCTCGATATGCTGGTCCAAATCCCGTTTGCTGCCCAGCTTCTGTCCAGCTCCCCTGGTCGCTCGTCCTGCGCCAACGCCGTTGCCGTTTGAGGGCTTGTCGGTGCTCAGCACGAGCGAGTCAACGAGATCCTGGCGTTTCTTCTCCTTCAGCGCACGTTGTTGGGCAGTGGCGCGAATCGTGGCGATTTGGGACTCGAGGTCGGAGACCACAGAGACGCAGCGTGATTCCCATGTTTGCAGGATTTGGAGGAGAGTCGGGAGAGATTGTGGGCGGAGATCGCGGAGCGGGGCGACCGAGATGATGTGAACGGCTGGTGGGGAGGAGGTAGGGTAGAGGCGGGCGGTGAGGAGGTTGCCGTCGATGGAGGCCGTTATCAAGCCTTCTAGCTCGTCCGGGTTGCTGAGCTGGAGGCGGGACAAGAGCGCGGCGTAAGTTAGGTTGTTCGTGGTGTCATCTGGCGTGGGCGGAGAGAAGGGGGAGGCGAGCGTGAGGAGGGTGAGTTGGCGAAGTTTGAGCGTTTGGTGGACGTCCAACTGGGGAAGGGACGGGTTGGCTGCAGAGAGTCGTTTAGTTCTATAGTGGTCTCTCGACGTGGGCCTCGCGACATACCCTTGTATTCCTCGTACGTGCCCCAGCTGAATATCTCCAAGAGTGTCAACCAGGGCTCGAATTCGGTTCCCCTCAAAGCCTGTACGGTGGGCAGTTGCAGCAACTCTGTGAATATATACGCTCCGCGGTCAGAGATGGCGCCCTTGATCAACTCGGCAACGAAGCGTGGTGAGGCATTCTTGCTGGATGTGATTTGGTAGATGATAGGCTGTATCGCTGCCAGGGCTTTTGTCTGAACTTGATCCATTGTCGAGGCGGGGCTATCGGGAGCACAGGGCGGACAGAGAGATGGAGGGAAGAGTGCCTTGACAAGCTCAGGCAAGGCTGCGCAAGGCTGTCATTGCAGGCGGTTGTTCTTGGCAGGCACGCGGAGGCGATGAAGCGTGGGAGGCTACTTAGCACAGAGCCACAATGCGGCTTGTGAGTCCTTCCCGCGAGAATCAGTCGACCACGGCGTACGAGTCCAGCGGCTATGATTCTGTTAGGCGGTGCTCCATAGTCATTTAGGCCCTACGGTGGCGTGATCAGCCCCGTGGCCGTCGTATTGTGGCTGGTGATCGCGCGACGCTGACACGGACAGTGTGAAGGAACAGCCGGAAACGGAGATCGCGTCGGATTCGGTTTCACCCCGAATCGCTTGTATTTCTCAGCTTCATCCCCGTCTCACCTCTCGCTCTTGCTTTCGCGTCCTCTCTTTGCAGCTCGGTGTCCGCTGTACACACTAGATGACTCGCTTACAGATCGCTCTCGCTTTCTTTCCCGACACTCATTGAGCGTTGTTCCTTTCCCACCTCGACCAGCGTGGTCTCCTCCTTGTCCATTTCCCTAGCCGCCTTGTCCTCGTGAGCGTATTGTCGGAACCATGAGATTATAATCCTTAGCCCTTTCTATAACGCCACAAAAACACATACTCGTTGAACAGGCGTCACGATGAGCCTCATCGACGATGGCAGCGACCAGATGCTGCCGCCGCAACCGACTCCGGCGCACATGGCCACGACCACCCTCAAAGTCGATGGGATGACCTGCGGGGCTTGCACATCTGCAGTAGAGTCTGGGTTCAAGGACGTGGATGGCGCCGGTGCCGTCTCAGTCAGCTTAATGATGGGAAGAGCAGTGGTACACCATGACCCGAAAAAATTATCACCGGACAAGATTGCCGAAATCATAGAGGATCGTGGCTTTGACGCCGAAGTCTTGTCGACCGATATGCCTCGGCCTCCTGCCCTGGCCATCCAAACAGTGCCGGTCGACGTGGGATCTCAGATCACGACAACCACGATATCGGTGCAAGGTATGACCTGCGGCGCCTGCACTTCCTCCATCGAAGCTGGATTCAAGGATGTTCCGGGTGTAAAGAGCATGAGCGTCTCGCTTCTGGCTGAGCGGGCAATCGTGCAGCACGATGCGAAGGTCATAAGTGCTGATGCGCTCGCCGAGATCATCGAAGACCGAGGGTTTGACGCTACGGTGGTGGACTCAAAACTCCAAGACGCCGGGAAGGCCACAGATGGCGAGGCGGAGGGCAAAGACCAGTCGCATACATGGACTACCACGGTCGCCATTGAAGGCATGACCTGTGGAGCTTGCACTTCTTCCATCGAAGGCGCCTTCAAAAACGTTCCTGGCCTGGTCAAATTCCAAATCAGTCTTCTGGCCGAACGAGCCTTGATTTCACATGATCCGGTGGCCCTGCCCTCGGAAAAGATTGTCGAATTCATTGAAGATGCTGGTTTCGATGCCAGGATCATCTCCTCTCAGGCTGAGACGAATGTTCTTGGCTCTACAAATGTATCCCAGCAATTAAGGATTTATGGCCTTCCAGATGGCCAAGCCGCGACCGAGCTGGAAGACACTATACGATCGAAGCCCGGCATCGCCAGTGCAGTCATCAGCCTTTCCACTTCTCGGGCCACCATCAGCTACGATCCCGCGGTCATTGGTCTTCGAATGATCGTGGCAGCTGTCGAGGAGGCCGGATTCAACGCTTTAGTTGCTGATTCAGAGGACAACAACGCCCAACTAGAATCACTCGCCAAAACCAAGGAAATTCAGGAGTGGAAGAGGGCATTCCTCACATCTTTAGGCTTCGCTATCCCCGTCTTTTTGATCAGCATGATTATACCCATGTTCTTACCATCTATAAACTTTGGCGCCATTGAAATCATCTCGGGCCTCTTTCTGGGCGACATTATTTGCTTGGGCCTCACGATTCCTGTGCAATTCGGCGTCGGGAAGCGATTCTACATCTCAGCGTACAAGAGTTTAAAACATAAATCACCCACCATGGATGTGTTGGTGGTACTCGGTACTTCCACGGCATTCTTTTTCAGCTGTTTTGCTGTCGTTGTGGCAGTTTTGATCCCCCCTCACAACAAGCCTAGTACTATCTTTGACACCAGCACTATGCTTATCACGTTTATTACCCTCGGCAGGTGGCTGGAAAATCGGGCCAAAGGACAGACTTCCAAGGCTTTGTCGCAGCTGATGTCTCTGGCTCCCAGTATGGCGACCATCTACGACGATCCGCTATACGCCGAAAGACTGGCCGAATCTTGGACCGCTCCATCCTCGCCAGTTCTGGAGAAGACTCCAACAACGGATGCGAATTTGAAGAGAATCCCATCCGGTCCTGGCGCGTCAGGTCCATCAGGTCCATCGGCGATTGAGAAGCTCATTCCCACCGAGTTGCTCGAGGTCGGAGACATTGTTATCCTGCGCCCCGGGGACAAGATCCCCGCAGATGGTATTGTCACCCGTGGGGAAAGCTTTGTGGATGAGAGCATGGTCACGGGGGAGCCGATGCCTATCCAGAAGAAGAAGGGCAGCGCGCTTATTGCGGGCACCGTGAACGGTGCTGGGAAGATCGACTTCAAAGTCAGCCGAGCTGGAAAGGACACGCAACTGAGCCAGATTGTAAACCTGGTGCAAGAAGCGCAGACGAGTCGGGCCCCCATCCAACGGATGGCAGATCTTGTGGCTGGCTACTTTGTCCCGATCATCATCCTGCTCGGGTTGGTCACCTTTATCGGATGGATGATCCTCAGCCATATCTTGCCGAATCCACCAAAGATTTTCACCGACAAGCAAAACGGCGGGAAGTTCATGGTCTGCCTGAAATTGTGCATCTCGGTCATCGTCTTTGCTTGTCCCTGCGCTCTTGGGCTGGCCACTCCTACGGCCGTCATGGTCGGCACAGGAACTGCATCCCAGCTAGGTATTCTTGTTAAAGGTGGCGCGGCACTCGAGACTGCAACAAGGATCACTCATCTCGTCCTCGACAAGACAGGTACCCTTACATTTGGCAAGCTCAACGTCGCCGATACGAGCTACGCGTCTCTCTGGAACCAAAATGAATGGCGTCACAAACTCTGGTGGACGCTGGTCGGCCTCGCCGAGTCAGGATCCGAACATCCAATTGCCAGATCTATCGTGCTTGCCGCCAAGGAGAAGCTTGAGCTCGAACCCGAAGCCGCCCTGCCTGGCCAAGTTGGCGCCTTCGGCGTCACGGTCGGCCAGGGCGTCTCAGCCATCATCGAGCTCAATAATTCAGGGGAGCAAACCCAGTACAAAGTCTATGTCGGCAACGCCACGTTCTTGGCGAACAAGAAGATCGATATCCCCCCAGAGATCGAGAACGCCGTCAATGCCGCTTTATCACCCACCACGCGCACGAAATCCAAGACCGGAATCACCACCATCTACGTGGCGATCAACGGGCAATACGCCGGACATATAGGCCTATCTGATACGCTGAAACCGACAGCTCTCGCGGCGGTCACCGCTCTCCATAAAATGGGCATCTCCACATCCCTCGTGACGGGCGACACATACAATACGGCTCTCTCGATCGCTGATCTCGTGGGCATCCCCCGCGAAAGCATCCGAGCGTCGGTTTCCCCAGGTGAAAAGCAATCTATCGTCTCAGATCTACAGGCTGCCGGCGAAGTGGTGGCCATGGTTGGCGACGGGATCAATGATTCCCCGGCACTAGCGACCGCGGACGTCGGCATCGGTCTCGTCTCTGGCTCCGACATCGCCGTCGAAGCCGCCGACATCGTCATTATGCGGGCTGACGATCTCTTGAATATCCCCACTGCACTTCATCTCTGCCGAGTGATTTTCCGCCGGATCAAGATGAATCTGATCTGGGCGTGCGCGTACAACGTCATCGGATTGCCCTTTGCGATGGGGATCTTTTTACCCCTTGGTTATCATATGCCGCCTCTGATGAGTGCCACGGCAATGATGTTCAGTTCCATTTCTGTCACAGTCAGCTCGTTGGCCTTGAGGTGGGTGGCACGACCGAAGTGGATTGACGTCGTACGGCTGGAAAGCGAAGCGAAGGTTCTCTCTGCGCCCACGATGGGTGGGAAGCTCAAGAGGAGGATGACTGGTGGAGTATTTGGACATATGAAAGACGTTGTCGGCAGTGTATTTGACGGTCGGATCATAAATCGGCGAACGGCGGAGAGGGACCGGGGTACGTACGTGGCGTTGCAGAACGTAGATGGGGATGCTGTATGAGGAGAGGTAGCAGACTTTGTCATATACTGATATTTGACGGCGATGCATGACGATGGTGACCATTGGATATAGTCCCACGCGGTACATAGTAGCGGTTGCTGCTGTGTTTATAGCTCGACCAGTGGTGTTGATCAGACGTGGTGTATATTCCGTCGAGGTTTCAGAAATGTGCTGTGATGCCTTGCTGTATCTATCCCTGAAGTCGTCAAATGAAGCTTAGCGCAAAAGAATGCAAAGTATGAGCGGCGGCCGCTCTTTCTTGCCCATCAGAAAGGTCCTGATCTGTTTTCAGGCATGCTCTAGGTGTTGGAGAGTGTATTATTAACATCGGTGTATTGGGTGTCTAGGGTAGCGGAGGACCGTATAGCGTGTTTCATCAGACGACCTTCGGGGATAAAGAGAGTACATGACAGGACGTTGCGTGAAACGAACACGTCGACACAGTAATATATACAGTACTCGGTATGGTTGGTTGCAAAGACGACTTTTTGAAGTAAAGAGGCATGAGAGGCCCCCTAACCACTAACCACTAACCACTACACACAAGTACAGAGAACGGAGTACGGGGTAGAGGGGCACTACTTGTAATTAGTCAGCCCTCGAGGTGTATGGATCACGAAACCGTATCACCCAGCTATTACTGTACCTACCTTATGTGACGACGTGTCTACTACTATCCATCCTCCGTACGTCCGTCTGTGTTACAAGCTGGGGGTGAAGATGACTGAATGGGCCGCTTGGGCCGCGGGGTCCATACTCGTACGTATCGGTCGCGATTTGCTGGTTGCCATGAACCCGTGAATTCATGAACCCAAGGAGGCGATGATCGAGTGCGAGAGAATCAGGGACTTGTATATGTAGTAAGCGAGGAATGAACCAAGCCGACCCTTTGCGGCGGCGGCGGCGGCGGCGGCGGTGGTGGTGGTGGTATGTTTTTGTGACGCAAGCGGTGTGCTGGGAGACTTGTCGTTTCGTTGTGACAGTGACAGTAACAGTGACAGTAACAGTGACAGTGCTATAGACATGCGCCGGGAGGAAGAGTGCCCCGTGTAAGGTACATATCTTAAGGTATGCCGGATCACATATCAGTTACCTAGGTATGTATCGGTGGAGTGGCGGGAGTAGGGGCAGGAGCAGGAGGAGGAGCAGGAGGAGGAGCTGGAGTAGGAGCAGGAGTAGGAGCAGGAGTAGGAGCAGGAGTAGGAGCAGGAGCAGGAGTAGGAGCAGGAACAGGAGGAAGTAGGCAGTGTGTGGCAGTGCTACAGCCGTGCTTGGTACGTAGTACTTAGTACTATAGGGAGAACTGTGTGGGAAGGACAGTACATAATCGAGGAATCAGTGGGAATAGCGATGTACTGTACACATGTGGCGATACCTGGTGATACCCTGGCCTACCCTGGCCTACACTGGCATAATTCGGTCCACGCACATCAACCATTATTTTATTCGTCTCTCCGGTGAGTGTCTGTACGAGTGGCCATCTTGCTGCGTTCAAACACAAACGGAGTACGTTATGGAGGACTGGGCTAGGCTGGGCTGGGATACCTACAAGTCGGTATATACACAGCCTTACCACAGTCACCCAACAGTAGTCTGGCGATGGTCCCGAATCTGCTCACGAATCACGCCTTTGGAAACACACCTTTGAAAACACATGCATGTAGATGCTAATGACAGAAATATGTTCTCGCCATCGCAGGGGTATCTCTCGTCTATGGTCTATGGTCTCTGGTAATCTACTTTTTCAAAGTGTGCTGGACACAAATGGTAGCTTCACCCGGTCCTCTTACACAATACACAACACGCACGGTCCACCCGCCTCGTATACGGCAAGTACGTATGTATGTAATATGCTCGCCAGGGGTATTCCCTTCCCCCACAAGGGGGCAGTAGATGATTATGGAATCTCCGGCTATACCCCCGGCTATGGTCCCTTCTGACGCTGTGCATACTGCCGGACGGAGCGAGCGGTACAGAATGCTTGTCTGAGCTTGGTGATCAGGTCGTATCCGGGATGAGGTCAGCTCAGCCTTCCTTGTTCGTCACCTACCGACCCCTGCCCTTCCGGTTGCGGTTGCGATGGCGGTTGCGATTGCGGTTCCGGGGTTTGGCTCGTGGTCAGGGCCGAATTCTCCGCCCAGATTCCACCCACGACGGCGAACCTGCTCTTTGCTCGTAATTTGGCGCCGAACATCCACAACGCAAACATGCCCACCACGCCGACAATGCCCAGGCCGGCAAGGAGACTGCTGCCAGGTCCGACGCCTAGGTTTTTGAACATCGGCCTGGAGAACTCGACGCAGCCGGCGGCGAAGAGCGAGCGGAAGAGCGCGTTGGACGCCATCAACGAGGCCGTGTATTGAGGGTACGACATTGGGAGGTAGACGAAGATGCATTGGAAGGTGATGAAGTTGCAGATGACGACGATGACGACGCCAATGAGGGACACAATCCAGTGTACGCCGTGGCGTGACGTCCAGCCTGGACACGGCTCTGTCAGAATACGGTGAATGGTCAATAACACGGAGTATGGGTACGTACCGAACAGGAAAAGGCCCCCAGGCAAAGAGCAAACAGAGAACAGAGCAGGTACCAGACGGTGCTCTGGCGCTCGCAGACCCCGCTTGGCGATGTCCGGACCCAGGTACAGTGCCAGGTAGAGGACGTAGATGACGAGTCCGAGCACCGTGGCCACGCCGATCGAGATGAAGGTCAGGCCTAGCTCGCCGAGGTTGAAGCCATATATGGCGACATAGACGAGGGGAAATGCCTCGAAGAATGAGTAGTAAACGCCGTACACGAGGGCGCTGTATATATTGGTGTACGCCACGGCGGGATCTTTGATCATGATCTCCATGGGCTTGATGATGGCGTCCCAGAAAACCGCCGAGTACTTCATGTGTTCTTGGTCAATCTCGCTCTGCGAGCGCAGATCTGTCCTGCCCGTGAGCTTTCGAAGACGTTGGGCTCGTCGACGCAGGATGTTTGGTGCAGATGTCTCTGGGAAGGCGATCAGGTAGACGGCGAAAATTGGTGCGCAGAGCCAGAGGAGCTCCCATAATGACCATCGCCATCTATTCTTCACCGTCAGCATCGTTCAAAGAGATGGAAGCGGAGGAGGGATGGGGCGTACCCTTCGGCAGCGACGGAATAGGCAGCCAGAACGGGACCAAGGGCTGGGCCCCAGAAGCAGGCTGCTGTCCAACAAGATAGATAAAGAGCGAGCAGTTGGAGGGGGAACTGTTGTAGTTAGGCCAAGCTTGCCTCTTGACAGGTCATGCGTCGGATGCGAAAGACAGGAACTCACCATATCCCCAATGGACGCAGCTCCGTTCGCCAGGCAAGGACTGCACAGAAATCCCTGCAAGAACCGAAGCACCAGCAAACCACCAAAGTTGTCGACCACCGCTGTCGGCACACACAAGATGACGAAAAGCGTGAAAGTAGGCGTGTAAACGCCACTCCTGCCGATAGCCGGGATCTCGCAGAGTGGTGCGAAGAGGAGCGGTCCAAGCCCATATCCGACGACATACATGGACAGGCCCAGTGCTGATGCTGCTTGACTGACGCCGAATCTCGCCATCACCCCTCCTTCGCTGACGACGTAGATACTGGAACCACCATACATGGCGAAGGCGTAGAGGCATACCTGCACCAGCACAAACATCTTCTTTCCCTGGGACCAATTTTGCGGGTTGTCTGGGTCGGCGGTGGTATACCAGTCGACGAGAATAAATCCATCGGCAGACTTGGTGAGGGAGATTGGTTTACTCTTTGTCTTTTCCAGTCCAAGCTGCTGATCGAGCGACAGACGGTTCTGAGTCCACGGGAGGCTGCGTTGGCGCGAGATTGTTAGGGACAAAGGTTCTTCGTCGTCCCGCGTCATGAGTGGTGGCGTCGATGAGCCTTCAGCCGGCTCCATTTTCTGAACATCGTCTTTCTCAGGCTCAAGCACGGGCTTCTCGGGCTCCTCTGACTCGGACCCGGACTGTTCGAGGTCTGGAGCAGCCCTCTCGAGTGGTGCACCAGAGTCCTGCGGAAACTTTGTTACCTCCATGGCCAAAATGGGTATGAGGGAAGCATATTTACCAATCTCGGTGGCACAAAGCCCTCCTTCTCCTCCGGGTACAGAAGTATCCTATTCTTCGTGACCCAGCGGAGAAACTGGCCCACCGGCGCGTCTCGGACGATATCGAGCATCGTGTAAAGGAAGTTTCACCTGGAACGTCAGAAGGGGAGAAAGCACACACGCTCACAGCACCGCAACTAGGCTGACAACACGATTCATTCGAGAACGACATCTCTTTTAAACCGCGTACCAGCTGAGACTCAAGGGGCGACTGGTTGAGCGCAAACCGACCCACAACATGCATATCATGCATATCATGCATATTCCCACGGTATCACAGTAAGCAGCGGAAAGATCTGTCGACGTTGCTGGGTCGGAGATTCGGCTGTAGCAATGCTCGTATATCGTAGTAAGTTGTGGTCTCGTTGGGAAAAAGGTATCCATTGTTCCTGGGATCAAACGCGGCGGCTGACCACCGCTTCGAGAATCACCTAGAGAATGCCTTCACTTTCACTTTCTCGACCTACCTTTGCCTCCTCTTGACGGCAGAGTCAGCACGACCAAGGGCAAGGCACGGGGACGATGCTGTCGCGCCGTTTCGTTCAGCTGCGGCAGAAGGAGTTGTGAGCTAGGCCGATCCCTTTTGTCGCTGATCAGTACCCAGTAATCATTTTGACGGGGAGCTCAATGATAGCCTCCGACCGAATATGGTCATTGCAGATCGTCGTGGGCATCTTGGCAGCAGGCCAAGACAGGCGAAAACAGGATGACATGGTGCTTAGGCCAGTGCTGGACTGTGACCCAGGCGGAAATCCCCGGCCTGCAGCAGTGACTGGAACCGGCGCCTAAAAGCGACTACCCAAGTACCTCGAGTACCTGGCCTTAGGCGTGCTTACGGGCCCTGCCTAAGGCTTATCGAGTTCTAACTAATAGCGGCCGCGACACACCGGCAACAAGCTGGACCAGACCGTCGGTGTCTTTGCCCGTACCGTGACTCTTCCACAGGGCCCGCCACTTGACACCCACTGAGTAAATGCTGGCCACGATCTTTCCGCGCTGATGAGCGACCGACTTTACCGACTGGCTACAGTAGAAGAACAATAAGCTGCTGTTTGATCAGCTCTACTTCGGTCCTTTCCGACACATGCAGTCTGATCAGTGAGGAATATCTCTCTTACTGCCCGGCGCCACTGCCTCACCCGCTCCCTCTCCTCTCCGCTCCGCGCGGCCGCATCAAACCGCGCAGAGCCACTTTGCGCATCACATCGAATGATGTCGCGCCACCGAGTCTGGCTTTTCCCCCTGTACTCAGATCAGACGAACATAAGACGCGCGGTGCCACTTATCAAATGCGAGTTTGCGCTCCTTTGGTAAGATTTTGGCATGTCGTGGGAGGCTGGAACACTTGGCCGATGAAGGACGGGAAAGTTACAGTTACAGTTACAGTTACAGTACTGTTGGTGGATATCAGCGTCTTCTAGAAAGGTACGTCGCTCTGTAATCATGGTTGTATGCCATTCCAAGGCCGCTCCTTGCGCAGGAGACATGTAGAGCTTCTTCCCATACAGGAGTCGAACACGGCACGATAACATTCCGCTGGACGATATCTCCTGAAACCCTGTCAGTCAAGGGTCGAGCGCTGTCAAGTTAGGACGGCGGCTGTGGGCGATATCGTGGCCGTCGCATTTAGTCTTAAGGTTGTAGATCGGCCACCAGTCTACTATGCGTTTGTCTTGCCAGTAAATATTATCTGGCGCTACGATGGTGACGCTGCATGTTTTCGCGGAGAGGCCGGCGCGGATCTGACCAAGGGGCAACACGTATATGACTGCTGATACGCGCTCCACTCAATCAAGTAACTTAGTGAGGACGGCGAACACAAGAAGGAATGCAGGTACACGACTCGAAGGTCTTCCTTAATCGGCCCTAGCTAGCCTTTGGCCTCTCGTCCAGCTGCCCTTTGGCGCGCGGGTCGTCTCTTACAATGAGGAGCTGGCCCGTGAATATCCCGCGCAGTGTAAACGCCACATTGACGAAGAAGACCAAAACCAGGAACACGACCAGGATGACGGTGACGACTCTGAAGAACGGCGAGTCCAACTCGGAGCCGAGCAGCAGCGTCGACGTCGCCAACGTGGCGGTCGGGAAGATGACGGCGTTCCATGTCGGCGCCCAGACCAGCTGCCTGTGGTACGCGCGGTCGATCATGGCGCAGAATGCAAAAGCCAGCCACACGGCCCCGAGGCCGGTCATCAGGAGCGCGAGTAACAGGCAGGCCACGTGCAGCGAGTAGGCGGCGTCCCCAGCCAGGAGGAATCCCTTACCATAGGCTGCGAAGTGGCCCGACGTGTCGGCCGCGCGCCCGATCAGTTGTAGCGCCGCGGCCGACTGTCCCACGGGCCCGACGAGGATGAACAGCGTGGCTGTCTGGGGCGGCGCGGGCCAGCCCTTCGCCAACAGCTGGTGGAACAGGTACGTGTACAGCATCATGCCGAGGATGATGCCCACGCCGACGGCGCAGATGGACATGAGGATGATCGGCACGGCCAGGCCCGCGGAGATGTCGTGCGCGAAGCAGGCGATGACGCCGCCGATGGCCGCCAGCGTGGCCACCCCGACGGCGGGGATGATGACCAGAGTGGGCAACTGGCGGTCAAGAATCGTGTGCTTCTGGATGAGGATGACAAAGGCAAAGACCAGCATCGCGTACACCCACGCCGCAGCGATCCACCACATGACACAGGCGAGGATCGTGAATCCGGGGCCCGCCCACGACGCGTGGGTCACTGTGAGCGCGACGAACGAAACTAGCGTCATGAACGCGATGGACCAGCAGGGGAAGAGGCACAAGTCGGCGACACTGTTGACGAGTTCGTCGTACGCCCGCCGCCGGAAGAGCGCAAAATGCAGGATGTAGATGGCCGAGAAGAAGATGTACAAGACGAGGTCGAGCATGAAGAAGATGGTCGACAGCACGGGGAGACCGTGGAACTGATATGGGAGCTGGTGGAGTAATGTGCCCAGGATACCAGCGTTCATGCACCATGTAAACCTATGCGAGAGTTAACGCGTTACTTACAGTATTGCTTTGCACATCGGGGGAGGAGGCGATTCTCATTTCCAAGAACCGTGCTCAGGACCAGAAAGCGTACCATATTGGACTAAAGTCTTGGACCAGAGCACGAAAAGCACTTCGCTTGAAGAGATTTCCCGGCTCGCTCGCACCACGACCTCCCTCTTCGTCCCGATGACGAGGGTCGTTGCTTGGTTCGGGGCTCTCGCCCTTTTCGACTTCGTCGACAACCATGCTGTCTGCTCCCATCTGCTGGATTCGGTATTGTCGTCGTAGAAAAGTGCAGTGCCGTTCAATTTTATCCTGCTCGCTTCAGTCGGAAATTACTGCGATTACGGTGTGTGTCTCTGTGATCAGAGTCCGGATACCATGCCGATGGGCGGCGAATCGCCGCATGACTAACGGGATGGGAGATGTCGTTGGTGACGGGGAAGAAGTAATAGGGATCGCCCTCCAACGGTGCTTCCAGCTCCGCCTTGTGGACGACGATCATACAGTAGCTTTGTCGTACTCGTACCACAGAGCATTCCCACTTGCGTACTCGGTCCTGGTGCGTCTGGGTATGCCGATGAGGATCTTTATGGGGCAAGCTGCCGTGGAGATGTCAGGAGACGGGGGGCTGTTGGTGCCCTGCACCCTAAATTTAGACGTCACCACGTTTCTTGTTTAATTGATGCCCTCGTAGCAAGAGGTTCAAACCGCGGTACGCCGCTGCCCTGAGCGGATTGTTTGCTCAGCAACATTGTAGATGCTAGAAGGAGATGTGGCGGCTCGTCGTCCATCTCCTTTGTACGAAGTACTTGAAGAATAAATCTGGCCGACGGCGGCTCGTCTGGGTCTGGGTTTTGACTGAGGGACGCCACCCTTTCCCTCCCCCAACAAACCACTCGCCAGTGGCGGAGGTCATTGAGCTCCGTGACCATGGAATGATAATCTTGTAAAACTCATCCGGTAGAGTTCTCGCTTCACAGATCAATCACTAGTATATACCTCCTTCAGTCCACAAGAATGGCAGGAAAAGAAATCTCATACCCGAGTCAGATCACATGGCGGGGTGTGGGCGGACCAGGGACAAGGAGGCCCTCCTAGGTTATGTATGGCCCGAAAGGTCTGTTGACAAGTTCTTACCCCATTGTGCAGGTCTATTATTGCGCGATGTGTCAGTCTAACGAGGTCATTCCTTGACGGGACAGTTTCTGGTCTGGGTTGATGAGTGGAATTTCTGGAGTAGTTAAGATGGAATGCGCCACCAAGTAATGGGGCGGAAGGATGGCGACTCGTGCTTCGAGATGGCAGGCAGCTATTGAGACGCCATCGTCCTTAGGTGTTCCCGCACCTGCGCACTCGACGCGAATAGACGGTAAAACAGATTGGCAATCAGTTCTCATACTGCTCACAAGCAGTTAATGCGCCTTCCAGCATCCTCACGGTATTCTTCTCCTCGCATGCCTTGGTAAAATGCTCCTTGCCCCCGCCTTTCCCGTCCAGCCCGTAGATCTTGCCAAAATCGCCCACGAAGTTGTCATACGTGGTCTCCGGCTTGTCTCGACACAGACCGCACATGATGCCCCTGAGCTCCTCCTTGAATCCCAGGCGTGGGAATGCCTTGATGATCTCCTTGTACTCGTCGACGGTGATGGGAGCGCCCGGTAGCGGGAGATTCGGGCCGAGGAAATCAGCCATGATGCCCAACTGAGTGGCACAGACCTCTGGCTCCTTGTGCTGCGCGATGGAGGGGGTCGTGTGCAACGCGATGCTATCCCACATGAGCTGGAGACGGTGTTTGTCCCACTTGCCGTCCTGGCGTGTGACGAATTCACGAGCGATGTTGGCGCCGTCGACTTCGAACCGTTTGTCCTTGGAGAGGAGGGCCTTGGTGGTCGCCCAGCCCAGATCGTGCAGCAGTGTGGATAAAACTACAGCTTCGGTATCGAGGTCAGGGGTGTTTGCGAACGGTGGGAACTTCTTCTGCAGGATGAGAGCGAACGCGGCGCTGCGTATACAGTGGTTGAGGGTGCACTCGCTGCAGTTCTCCTTGACGTAGGCGTACGCGGCGTTGATCAGGGGGTTGGAAGGGATGGTGATTTGCGAAACCGGCAGGGATGGGAATGGAGAAGACATGCTGCCTGACCTGGTGGTTTCTGTACTTACTCCTGGACACTGATGGACGCGTAGATGGGTGTTGAGGACATCACGGAGACGAAGCAGGGGTTTATATCTTGACTTGCCTGAATCCCTTCTTCTGCCAAAGCAATACACGGAATGAAGATGGATCTTATTCCGTGACTTCAAAGCCGCGTGTACGACACGATTGCGGTAACAAACCCCTGTGCCTCCGACCGCCTGTCACTGTAACCATGGTGGTCAGGGCTGAGCTGGGCTGGGTTGAGTGGCCTTGCGCACATGAAGCAGATCGGAGAGGTGAGGCTCTGGCAGTCCAGCCGTGAGATCGGACAGAAGTTCGAGCGCGTTGCATGATTATCCGATGGGCACGCCTTATTTGCTGCTACGTCGGCGAATGGATTGGACTCGACGAAACGGTTGAACAACTCTCCGAGCCATAAGCTGTCGGACAACCCTTTCCTCAACGGGACTGTGACTCCGGATTGGGAAGGTTTACTGATTGGGAAGAAATGAATCTTGTGTGCTCATGACCCGGCCTCTATGCGTTAACAGGCACTCCATCCAATATTTCTTGAACGGGATGTTTCCGCAGACTGAAATAACGATCCGCTCAGTCAAAGGAGGGACCTTGGGGCTCAGTCCATGGGGCTGGATCGCAGAGAGTCGGTCGTTGACTCTGACTCCTTGAGCTCACACATGGCCAAGCATGATGGGGCAATGTGCCTCGCTGAACAACTGTAAGAGGCGAGCGTCAAGGAATTGTTGTCTCTCTTGACTCTGGCTCTGGCTCTGATCTACTCGTTGCAATGGGCCCGTTGGAATCCTCGGATCAGGAAATGTCACCCGTTGCTGCTATTGGCGGATGTCGTCTCCGGGCTGTCCAGGTTCCTGGCTAACGATGCTCGATGCCCACGGTGCCTTCTCCGCATGGTTCAACTCCAAGTTGTCGACGGTGACGCCATCGAGTGTATCGGACTTGTGCTTCTCTATCGCAACGCTGACGACGACCTTCTGTCTGTAAGACACATTCACCCTCATTCGGTTCTCTGTTGTGGCTCTACAAGTCCTCACAGCAACTTCCCGAGGCTCGAATGCTGAACACGAACCAAGACTTCATCACAATGGCTCGGCAAATGCTGACAACCGCCACCCTGCTGGCAATATTTCTGCCTGGATACCTTGCCGCCCCAGCCGAGCAATCCCCTATCCGCGAATGCTCTTTTAAAAAGCCCATTGCAGAAATCCCACCCGTCGGACTAGGCCTGTGGAACTCCAAGGACAAAGACGCCAGCAACGCCGTGCAAGACGCCTTCAAGGCCGGCTACGCCCACTTCGACTCGGCAGCCGCCTACAGCAATGAAGCATACGTCGGCAGGGCGCTCAACTCCAGCACCTCCCCGCCTCGACATAAGTACTGGGTCACCAGCAAACTATGGAATGACCATCACCAACCGAAGCTCGTGCGGCCGGCGCTCGAAAAGACACTCAAGGATCTACAGATCCCGTATCTCGACTTGTACCTGATGCACTGGCCCGTGGCCTTCCTCCCAGACCAAGAGGACGGACGCACGGTGATTGACCAAGACACTTCTATCCACGACACATGGTCCGCCATGGAGGACCTCGTGCGAGCCAATCTCACGCGCTACATCGGCGTCAGCAATTTCTCGCCGCGCCAACTTGATAATCTGCTGGCCAAGGCTGATATCAGACCGTTTGCGCACGAGTTCGAGACACATCCGTATCTCCAACAGCTGGAGTTTGTCGACTGGCATTTGCGAAACAATATCACGGTCATCGCATATTCCCCGCTTGCGAATATGAACCCCACGTACGACAACAAATACCCCGACCTGCCACCCATCCTGAAGGACTCATTCTGGACAGACCTCGCCAGCAAGAAGAATGTGACGCCCGCGCAGGCAATCCTGGCGTGGGGACGGCAAAGGGGCACAATCGTCATCCCCAAAAGCGTCCATGAAGGCAGGATCATAGAGAATCTGGGTAGTCTGAACGTGAGTTTTACCGAGGAGGAAATGAGACTGGTCATGGAGCAAGACAAGAGGACCAGATTCAATAATCCGAGTAAGGGATGGGGAGTCGAGTTGTTTGAGGGTCTGGATGATGGGACGAATCGGTTTGTGGTGCAGCAAGAGCTGTAGGAGATGAGCCGTAACCACGGCATGATTGTCATGTCATGCGACGAAGCCCACAGTGGCGCAGAATCTACCGGTTGCGTGTATACACACAGAATGAAAGCGGACATGATAATGTTGAAGACCAAGGGTCGACGACGTGATATACAGTTCGTGGTTGGCATGTCTAGGTGTGCTGATACCACTTGTCTAATGGAATGCCCATTCCCTCCAAAACCAGCGCCAGGACACCTTCGCTATTCTTGAATTGTCCCTCGGAGCGCGTCTGCCTACCTCCTGCTGCAGGATGGACCCGCTCTCGAGATGTGCAATCGCCTCGACGAAGACCAGAACGGCTGGCAGTGGCATCCAACGCTCGCTACCAAACGCAAGGAGAGGCTCGGGTATAATGCAGATATGACAACTCGAAACTCCGAACAACAGCCGAGGTCGTGTATCTCATGCCTGCGTCGAGATTCAGTCGTCAATCTCCTGGTGACGTGCCAGCACCTTTCGCTGGTATTCCTCGGCATCATTCTGATGGAGTTGAGCGGCCTCGTTGTTCAATGGACTGGCACTGCGATTGAAGATCAGCATCTGTTCCTTCCTGCACGACCGGAAATGCCATACTTGTTTGGCTCACCCAGGAGACTCTGCAAGCTCAATAAGACCGTCTGAACGTTGTAAACCGCGCTCCACTTGTCTTTTAAGATGTCCAGGCATATTCGGCCGCTGAAGTCAATGTTGGGATGGTAAATCGGCGTCTTGAAGAGTACCACCGGAGGACTGTAAGGGTAGTTGGCAGGAAACTCGAAGCTAAGTTTGAGGTTGAGGTCTGCGTAGGGTGTGTCCTTGGGACCAACGATGGTGGCAGTCCAGTGCAGCATGTTCCCATCAGCGTCGGGGAATGCGGATATACCGGGTGTAGGGGACATCATGAGCGTCATGAGCTCAGATTGGAGACTGCGAAACGTGTGAGTCCGTGCTTTGACCTCGTGGCAGAGATACGAGCTCACCGCTTGGTGACACTTTGGGTGTCTGCTTTTCGAGTGGCAACGTTGAGCTTGTGCTGTTCAGCCATGGTAGGCAGTCCTGGAGCAGCGTTCTGAGAGTCTTCCAGAGAGAAATTCATGGCTGGAGAGGTATTTAAACTGTGATTGCAAACGGGAGGGATCTGGTCGGTAGAGGAATGCTGAAAACGGAAGAATGGCCCAGACGACTTCAACGCAGCAGGTCACAGACCAGCAGCACGACGCAAGCGCGACTTCTCGAGCTTATGAAGATGAAGATGAAGATGGATGAATGGCACTGGTTCCAAAAAGTAGATCAACCGAGAGTGAGGTGAAGGTGAGTGATGAATAATAAATCGATGTGGTCGCGTGCAGCTGCGGCGTAAAGTGTCGGGGACGGCCTATTGTTTACCTTTAAGGGTCCAGCGCGAGTCGCCGCAGTAACATCTTAACTAGAGTGACGTCGGCACCGACTGCTCGGGTTCGCACAGCCAATTCTCTGCCACTACCACGCGTCAGTGTGCGACAGGGCGCGCCGACCAGTCACCATGGTTTCACGGATGTTCAGTGCTTAAACTTCATTGTTGCTCCTCGAGACTGTGAAGTGACCCTCGAGTCTTTGCCATGAACGGTATACCTCACTCTCAGTTGGCACCTCTGCCGACACAGGTACCCTTTCGCATTGTCTCACCCACAATCGGCTCAGGTGCATATGCATGGTAGGTGGACAATATGTGGTCGCCTGAAAAGGTATGTTAACGTGGCACACAGCATCAAGAAAGCCGCTCCTCTGAACACGGAAGCCCCCGTCTTCGCCGTCAAGTTTATCAACAAAACCTATGCTCAAAAATATGGCAGGATCAAGCAGAAACAACTCGAGATGGAGATCTCGTTACATAAACACATCGGCGAGCACAAGAATATCATTGAATTCTACGACCATGGTGATGATCCGGCGTGGGTGTGGATAGCAATGGAGCTCGCTGAAGGAGGAGATCTGTTCGACAAAATCGAGGCCGACGCGGGTGTCGCCGAAGACATCGCTCATGTCTACTTCACCCAACTCGTCAGCGCCATCGGCTACATGCACGAGAAAGGCGTGGCCCACCGAGATATTAAGCCTGAAAATGTACTTTTGTCGGCCGATGGGGACCTCAAACTTGCAGACTTTGGCATGGCCACCCTTTTCGAATATCACGGCAAGAGGAAGCTCGCAACGACTCTGTGTGGCAGCCCACCCTATGTCGCTCCTGAAGTGCTGTCTTGCAGCACACAGGCAGGAACAAAGGGAACCGGTTACGCCGCTGACATGGCAGATATCTGGTCTTGTGGTGTTGTCCTGTTCGTCTTGCTCGCGGGAAACACTCCCTGGAGCAGACCAGTCGAAGGCCGAGATGAATATGGGAGGTTGAACGAGTTCAGCGAATACGTCCAGAGCAATGGCAAACCAGAAGATGAGCTGTGGGAAGGTCTACCTCATCACGTGCTCTCTCTCCTTCGCGGCATGATGAGAGTCGATGTGAGGAATCGGTTCTCACTGGATGACGTGCGTCGGCATCCCTGGTTCACGAGACCCAACAAATTCATCGACAAGAAAGGACGCCTCATAGATCCCATTGCCGTGGCTACAAACATGTTCGAATCCCTCCGAGTCAATTTCGATGCAGACCCGTTTGCGGGGACTCAAAGGAGCACGAAGATGGAAGCTATGGACATCGACGAAGACGTAAATTCCAAGTTCGCTTCGACACAACCAGTGACACCTGCAGAAGACATGTTGTTCGACTGGGATCGGCCGAAGCATCCGTCTATGACAAGTACCCAGCTGGTAGCTGATCTTGCGATCGCCTCGCAGTCAATCTCAACCACGAAGTACCTTGAGGATGAGCCATCTATGTCGCAGTTCCAATCAAACCCCACTGTCCCTCTAAGTCGAACACAAATGGCTCGACGATTTGCCGACGTCCTTCCATCTGAACGCATGACGATGTTCTATTCAGAAGGAACGCTGGATCTGCTTGCCCCGTACATTTCTGAGGCTCTAAGCCAGCTAGAAATGCCTCCGTCAAACTCACCTAAACCCACAGCGCAAGACTCCGATTGCTCGATCAAAGTGAAAGGGCAAGATAGTCGAGGCTGTCCTTTGAGCGGTACTATCGCGATGGATATAGTCAAGGCAGAGGCCAACGAGCAGCCATTGGTCAGAGTTCTGTTTGTGAAGGCATCCGGGGATCCGTTAGAATGGCGGAGATTCTTCAAGCGTGTGGCCGTGCTGTGTCAGAGGGCTATTGTCAAACCGGAATTTTGAGCAGAATTTCAGACAAGCATTATTTGGCGTTTCTGGGCGGCATTGAAAGCGAAGATACCCATGTTTTTGGATAGCTTAGAGGAGTCGTTCTCAAGTACATTGTACGAGTTCATGCACAATATTCTTGCATCATGCATCCCGTCATCAGCGACTGCAGGCTGCGCGACAAGCTGCGTTACAAGCGGCCAACCTGCAGTCAGCCTAATGGCGCCCTCCCAATTCTCTCACTCGTTTCTCGACTTCCTCTCACCAACTTTTAACTCTCCTCTTGTCATCTTCATTTATTCGCCAGATGCTCCACTGAGGGTGTGAGATGTAAACTGATCCTGACCTTGCCATCAATTGATCCAGTGTCGCATCATGGGGTTGGAAGACAGGCCTCTTACTTCACTGCAAAGTGTCATCTTGACAACGGGACCTTTCGTCTTCCTATGGAGCATTTTACGAGGCTACGTCTCTCGCAATGGGCCTCTCAGTTTTGCACGACCGTTGACTCGTCTGAACAGTCAACTCTACGCACTCTTCTCCCTTGCACTGGCCTACCTCATCCTCAACGACGTCTTCCATTTCTCTGAGCTCGACGGCATCGACAGCTCCGATCTGGCCTACTTCTACCACCTCTCCAAGTTCTACGAATACGCCGATGTCTTCAACCTCGTAGCCGCTGGAACCGAAATCGGCCCTCATATGGCCTTTCACCACATTACCACGCCTTTCCTGACCTATTTTCGGGTTCTCAACGCTTCCGACTGGCATCTCTTTGCCTTCCTTAACTGCTTCCACCACTTTTGGATGTACTCTTACTTTGGCGGAGTTTCTTCTTTCCGGCCCATCCTTCCGCTGACTGGGTGGATGCAACTTGGAGCTGGGATTGCGCTTGATGTGCATTATTGCGCGACCCAGGGTAGGGAAGCCCCTGAGGCGAAGAACCGTGCAATCAGTATCATGCTATTGGCGCGATATGCTATGCTCTTCTACGAGGAATTGAAGGGCAGTAATGCGAAGAAAGAAGTGGAGAAGAATGAGCAGAAGAAACAGTAAACCAGGGAAGCTTCAACATAGGAGCTGTCATTCGAGCATCGTCAATGACATCGACGTTGCAATGCCTAGTTTGCCACGTTGATCAACATCGACTTCACACTCAGATACTCCTCGATCCCTTGACGGCCGCCTTCGCGACCATACCCACTCTCCTTCACACCTCCAAAGGGGCTCTCACAGGCACTCAGGAGGCCCAGATTCACACCCACCATGCCCACTTCCAAGGCCTCGGTCACTCTCCATGCTCGCGGAATGTTCTCGGTACAGATGAACGAGCCAAGGCCCACGTCACAGTCATTAGCCATGTCAATGGCTTCTTCCTCGGTGTCGAACTCGTAGAGACCGACCACTGGAGCAAAGGTCTCTTCGCGAGTGGTTATCATCTCACGTTTCATACCTTTGATGATCGTCGGCTGCAGGAAGTATCCTTTGAAATCCTTCAGTGGTTCTCCACCCAGGACCACCTGACCGCCGTGTTTTTTGGCATCTGCATGGAGGTCAGCTCTCACCCTCGAATTCGCGCATTCACACCAGCCGAACTTACCATTGATATGAGTTAACGCTTTCTCCACCGCGCGCTCGTGTGTTAAAGGTCCCACAAACACACCATCCTCGGTGCCCGGACCAACCTTCAAAGTCTTGATTTTCGTCGCCAACGCTTCAGCAAACTTGTCGTAAATGCCCTTCTGCACGAAAATTCGGTTTGCAGTCACACAAGTCTGCCCCGAGTTGCGAAACTTGGCCAATATACATGCTTCCACTGCCGTCTCAAGCTTGGCGTCGTCAAATACGATGAATGGGCTGTTTCCTCCTAGCTCCAAGGACAGTTTCTTGAGGGAATCACTGCATTGCCGGGCGAGCAGTTTTCCGACGCGGGTACTTCCGGTAAAACTCAACTTTCGCACCAACTTACTCTTGCATAGCGCTTCGCCGACCTCATTGACAAGATTCAGCGTGGTGATGACGTTGATGCTCCCCTTGGGGAATCCAGCCTCGTGCGCAAGAACGGCCTGAGCGAGTGAGCTCAACGGCGTCTCCCCTGCAGGCTTCCACACCGTGGTACAGCCCGCCGCCAGAGCAGCCCCAACCTTCCGGGTAATCATCGCAATCGGGAAGTTCCACGGTGCCAGACACGCGGCTACGCCAATGGGCTGTTTGAACGTCAAGATACGCTGGTTTTGATTTGCGACCGGGACAACTTCGCCGTGGACGCGCTCTGCTTCACCGGCGAACCATTCGAGAAACGAGGCTGCGTACGTTACCTCGCCCTTCGCCTCTGTCAGGGTCTTGCCGTTTTCGAGGGTCAGGATTAATGCGAGATCATCGGCGTGTTCGAGGCAGAGGTCACTCCATTTCCGCAACCACCTTGCGCGCTGCCGGGGGGTTGTTTTCTTGTATGTCTTGAACGCTTCATGGGCTGCTTTAATGGCTTTTTCGGTATCTTCGGCGCCCATTTCGGGGATGGTGGCGATCTTGTCGAGCGTGGCTGGATCGTAGACGTCGAAGGTCTTGCCGGAGGTGGCGTCGACCCAGGATTCCTCAATGTAACCCTTTGTCTGAAAGAGGTCTTTGCGCTTCAGGTCGTTCAGTGTTTTGGGCGCCATGATGAGTGAGCTTGGCAGAGAATGCCCGCGTCTTCTCAGTTGAAGGTATGGTTCAAGAGAGCCTGACTGCTTCTTTGCTACTGCTGCCGGAGCTCAGCAGACGGTATACTCGTTTCGTTGGGTCTTGAAAGGTGCGAGGAGGCAAGGCGAAATGCGCGGGTCCTAGTCGTCAAACCTACGATCCTATACACCTCTCCGACGCGCACTCACATATATGGCTGTTCGAGACGTCGTCAACCTCGCTTCCCCACATTGGAGAGGAGGAGGCCGGCACGGCGACGGAAGCTCTTATGCGGGGCAGGATTGGGGGAAGAGGAGGATTCTCGTCTCCAGGTCCAGGAGGCCGAGGGCTACAGCGTTCCGAGACCTGCGTTGGAGTAACATGAGATGCATCGCGATCAGCGGGTTTGTCGTCGAACTCAGGAACGCCAGTTGCATCCGATAGTCCGACCGAGCTTTCTGCGACAGACACACCGTTGCTATACCTCGTGTTGCATTTTCAGGTGCTCGCGATCGTCAGGGACATGCTCGGTCGCAAATCTTGTTCAACACACTTCAGCCCGAGACTTACTTCTAAGCCTATACGGCCTTTGACGGGCTATGTTACTGTGATTGTCACTCAGTGAAATGGCGCCGGGCGTTAAGCCTTCGGTAGGCGTCCTTTAAATTGGCACTGGTCCCAGGTTTCAGCGGGCGCCACTAGCCAAGGGCCTCCGTGCGCCAGAACCGTTCTCCCAAGTCCTCCACGTGGAGATTGGCTTTATCCGCAGCGAACTTATCGGCCGACTATCGAAGTTCTAGGCGCTCCCCTGTCTTTCTTCAGCTGACGACACATTCCCTTGGGCACGCTTGGATCACTTGGCCACACTGTCCGCACATCTTCGCAACTGCGCAGTTGCGCAGAACCGATCATCAGAAGTTCCTGGGTTGGGTCGTCGAGCAAGCATCAATTTGAACGAATAGCTCTTCAAAGGTCAGCAAACCAAGCGTATAGCACTAGCGACCATCAGCGGAAGGATCCTCGGAAGATTACTACTGCTGTCCTGGTACGTACCCCAGTACTCAGGCCCCGGGATCGCCTAGCCTTACGCTCACTAGGACGGCCTCGGCTCTGCAAGGCAGGGCTTTCTCGACCATTCCTGGATGTGCGCCACCAGCGCTAAATGCTGGGGTGGCTTGAAATCAACTCGCTTCTGGGCTCCTCCTATTTCCACTTTCTGGCTCTTCCTGTATTGGTTGCGCGTGGTTTGCTTCTCATCCAGTTCTACTCGGTAGGGGCTGACTGCACGCACAATCTGACGCTTACTCGCGTCGAATCGATAACAAGTCTCCGAGCCTCGATTGGAAAGTCTGGGCTAGAAGCAAATAGCTGACTGCAGGCGTCAGGGGGACGAAGGAATGGCTTTACATTCTTGCTATCCACACCACCTTGCGACAGCCAAGTGTCGAAGCCACTAACCAGGAGAAACCACTGCTCTTGGCCCGGAACTCCTTTAAGTTCAGATCACGCAGATATTCGGGTGCTCGTATATGACGGTTATTATAAGTAACTTGCTCAGGCCCGTGTGCGCGAAAGGTACGGAGTATCTGCCAAGGGGTCCTTGAGCGAAATCATTCAAATTCCCTAAAAGTGCCTGTTCAGCACATCTTTGTCTTCCGTCGCGCGCTACTAGATCACTTGTTCTCGCTCTGAGCAATTCCTGAACACGGCTCTAGCTGGAACAATTTTCCCCCCATATCTCAGTATGGCAGTTCTTCAGGTTGGGATTTGTGGCGCTGGCGTTGCCGGGCTCGCTGCTGCGATTGCCCTGAGGAGACTTGGGCATGACGTCGAGGTTAGTGGAAATGATTCTGTCGCTAGAGGGCTCGGAAGAGCGTCCTTGTTTCCGGTTGTTGCACGTAGGCGATCGGATCTGTTGACATCTATGTAGGTGTTCGAGCGCTCTCAGTTCAAGAATGAAAATGGTGCCGCTGTGTCGATCACACCAAATGGTACTCGAATCCTGCAGCACTGGGGCTTCGACTGCGTCAAAGCTGGCGGCATTGAGAATATTCAAGTCCGTCGACCCAAGGGTGACACCCTGGAGCCGATGGCCCCAACGCTGAACTTCGCCAATGCGGAACAGCTCTATGGCAACAAATGGTTCTTCTATCACCGAGTCGATATGCACCGACGCCTCAGGGAGCAAGCCCAAGAAGCTGGTAGCATCATCAGGCTCGGCAATCAGGTCATGGATGTGGATCCTGACACTGGAGTCATCTCGTTAAAGGACGGGACGAAGGTGCAGAAGGATCTGGTTGTCATTGCTGACGGCCAGCATGTCAGTCTTCGCGTCCAGGCTTTTTCCGCGTGACCGGTGTCGCTAACCTGTCGATAGGACCGTCTCAATGCCAAGATCACTGGGAAGGTGATCCCTATGAAGCGCAGTGGTCAAACAGCATATCGGTGCCTCATTCCCATGAAGGATATCCTTGCGGATGACGAGACGAAGTTCTTTTTCGAGAATCAAGCACCAGGGTTCTGGGCCCCTGCCCTCCCGGCCAAGGGCGTTATGGCCGTCACTTATCCCTGCCGGAACAACGAGATCCTCAACGTTCTGGCAGTCCATCGCAAGCTTGGGCAACATGCGACCAGCGAAGACGACGTCGTTATTGAAGACTGGAATTTCCCCGCCACCCACGAAGAACTGGCGCAAGTCCTCGACGGCTTCCATCCTGCTGTCAAGAAGATGTTCTTGAAGTCACCCGAAGTCAAGGTCTACACGCAGATGAAGCGGGATCCGCTCAACAAGATGACAAGGGGCAAGGCTGTCCTGGTCGGCGATGCGTGCCATCCCATGCTGTTGACGCACGCACAGGGTGTCTCGTCGTCCATCGAAGATGCTGCTGCTCTCGAACTCTTCCTCGCCGACGTGCCCGCCACCGGCGATGTCTCCTCCCCTCCGTCACAGAAACTGCTGCAACGTCTTGCCCAATTTGAGGCATTCCGCCTCCCTCGTGTATCAGCTACACAGATTCTGACCGACCCTGTCGTGCCGGGACCACAAGCTGCCGCCAACTATGCCAAACAGGAGGCCGAGATCCGGAAATACTATTCTGGCCCGCTCCCACCCGTGGGGTCGATGCCACACAGCCCGCCGATTTGCCAATTCTTCTTCGGCTATGATGTCAGGAAAGAGGCAATGAAGTTCCTCGCGGAGATCGATGGGAACAAGGTAGTCTACACGCATGCTCCTGTGCCCGTTGCGCCTACCGCCCCCGTCGCCGCAGCAAGCCCTGTGGCTGCCTTTTCACCTGTTGCAGGGGCCCCACCATCAGCTGCTCTCGCGCCTGTGGCCCGTCCTGCAATCCCTAGGAAGAAGAGCTCCGAGGTCCTTTCTCCCTCACGATCACGGTCCCCCGTCCAGGCAACCCCCGTGCCTGTTCAGAAGGGGACCAACGACTACGACGCTACAGCCATTGCCGCTGCTGTCGTACGCGAGATGCGCAATGTGGACTCCCTGGAGCAGAAGGTCTTCGACCTGGAACGCAGACTAGCCGACATGGAGACGAAATTCGCCGGCATGACCGTGCAGATCGCGTTCAGCGAGGTTTCACCAACGCCACCGAAGTCACCGTCGACCCCGTCCGGGTTCACAAAGGCTCCTCTCACTACGGCTTAGGCTGGAGTGGCTGTCTGTTTCATTTAATGTCCATTAGCGTTGCATGAAAGACATTTCCAGTGTATACAATAGGATATGGGCGATGCGATGCGCTGTACGGGATAGGCGTTGCCGGCTATGGAGGACGCGTTTTCGCGCAGGCATTCTGCAACACAGTTAGCTTTCTCCTACAGTGATGAAATACGAGCGCACGAAATTGTCCCAGTTCGCAAGACCATCTATGCCCATCACCTCTTCCTCGATCTGCAATGCACCGGAGGTCGATTGGAAGGTGTGAATGATACAATCACCCATCGCCAAAGTAAGAACCGCGCTTTAGAAAGAGTCTGGCACTGCTGACACGAAGGCAGAGGTCGTTTTTGCCAAGGGACTCCGGGTTCAAGTCGAGCCTAACCTAGCGATGTCGATCTGGGGCGAAGAGCATCCGCATGGTGGATGATAGTTGGCTTGTATCGCCGGCCGTCACGATCTGTGTACAAATCTAGAGTCTCTCATCCTCTCTTCATCATCCAGGAGCTGGTCTGGGAGCTTCCTTCACGGAAGGATCCGTCAAGCTGGTGCATATACCGGACAGCCCCGCGAGAGCTATCTCCGACGTCGAAACAAGAAAATGGGTCTGCGCGTGGTCGAGCTGTCGTATACTGTGAGTCAGCACTTGTGCCCTTGTGCGGCCCCCGTGTAGTTTACTATAGGCAGAAAAGTAACGTCAAGGACTCTCGAGGCCCCTTCTTACGTCGAGATCTACCTGCACCGTATGCGGAAATACCCTGTCAATCTTGTATAAGTCGTACAGGCAGATCGGAAATCTCGTAGTCGAGCTCGGCTCGGTCCATAAGCGTGTAGTCACATACTGGCTCAAGGTGAACGAAGCGAGAGACGATAGTTCTGGATGTTCCCTCATCTGTGTGACCCTCGTGGGCACGTGACGATAGGGCGGCGTCACATTTTGTCCCGATTCGCGCTGAGACGCGACAAGTTTCTGGACCTTCGAATCCCACGTTCAATGTCCTCGTGTTCACATTGCACAGCTGATACTGAGTTATACCACCTGGTTGGGGGGTGCGCAGTGCATTGTCGCCCACTATGCGGCTTCGGCTTCTCATCCAGCGACATGCCCTTCCGCCTGTCCCAATCATATTCACCACAGGCACAGGCCCGGCCTCGCGCACCAAGTCCCCCTCCGCTACGGTTGCCGACCTCCTCCTAGACGTCAATGAAATTGTTCCTCTCGAGTCTGCCGATGGCGAATGGGGTCTAGAAGACTATGCCGTGGAGATTGCAGCCAAGGCTGGCCAAGAACTTGCATATGAATGCTTGCATTTCCAGACTATCGAATCGGTCTTGAGAGAGAACGACGAGGTCATTGTACGGGCCCTGAGCAATGAGGACATCAGAGTGAGGAGGCTTGGCAAACGGCACCAAATCACAGCAGATGGGAGGCATCTCTTTGATGGTGTGCCTTTTGGGAAGCAGTGGTTGAGGGAGATCCAACGGCCCGATATACTCATCCCACCAAGGAAGCGGAGGAGGCTGCTCGCAGGAGAGGACAGTACCCTGGATGCCGAGGTGGATCTCAGGCGCATTCTACCTGCGGGACATGAGGACGAAGACCATCCTGGCGCACTGGTGCAATTTATGGACGACGATGAAGACGAAGATGAGGAGGATGACGACGATTATGTGGATAGTGAGGAGGCCGGAGCTCAGGAGCCTCGGAGACGGATCACCGTCCGCGAAGAGTTTGACGATGCCGACGTCGATTCGGAGGACGAGCCTGAGTTAGACGGCGAAGCAGAGGTCGGGGATCTATCCTCGGAAGTCGCGCAGCTTCTCCAGGATGCGGCTGAGGTGGAGCGAGCCTCCCACCTCGCTATTGCAAACCAGGTCCTCGAGAACCAGCTAAAGAGGAAACGGCCTCTCGAAGATGATGGCGAGCACGAGCTGGAAAAAGAGACATTCGAAGGTTTCTCTACTGGCGGTGCCAGTTCCTCACGACTGGTCTTCGGGACGGCTGATGTTCAGACAAATGGTGTCTCGGACGAAAAGTCAGATCAAGACGATGGTTCAGACAGCATCCTCGATGAGATCAGTGCTGAGCAGCAGGGAAGGCGCATGAAGAATATCCCCGAAGACGAAGAAGATGATTCTGACGATTCAGATGCAACGTCTGCCACGGACACCTCCTCGTCGGACTCTGATGCTGACAGCCCAATGGACGAAATTGCCATGCAGCAAGCGAAGCGTCGAGCGTTGAACCTCATTACAAGCTCCGAAACTGGCGTTGATGAGGACGAAACCTCCAGTTCAGGTTCTGATACCCATGGCGACGACGAGGTCAGTGACACGACATCGAACTCTGGTTCTGACTCTGATTCGGATGACACTAGTGAATCAGGATCAGTCTCTTCTTCCGAATCCCAGTTAGACTCTGAAGAAGAGTCTCTCGAGACGAACCGAAAAGAAGTGAAGGTGCCAGAGCTCCCGGCAACCACTGCCACTTCAGGCGGCATACCGTTTGAAGGAACGCGCAGAACCCATATGAACAACAATCGGGCAAAACGTAGGAACAGGCTGAATGCCCTGAAGCAGCAAGGCTTGCTCCCTCCTCATGCGGACTTCAAGGCCCTAGCGGAATACGATTCAAAATTGGCGCGGGAAGAACTCGAAGGCCAGCAGCAAGAACAGCAACGAGCTATCGTGACCAATGAGACAGACGTGGTGGTAAACGAGGACGCTTCACTGGTGAACAGAGACGACGAGATGAGCACTGATGAAGCAGTAGCTGAGCACAACAAGGAAAACGTGAATCCTCGAATCAGTGAGGGGGCAGCTCCTAGGGATGATATACCGGCAGAGCGAGTGTCTGCAGTACCTGAACTTCCCGAGACATTGCAAGTCGATTTGCCGTCGATCATGGAGCAAGCCCCGAGGCGATCTAGGCTCGACGTAGCTAGTAGTCGTCGCCTGATCCTAGGTTCTCTTGGAGTGAGAGCACCCAGGACCGCTGAAGAACGACAAAAGGCGATAGAGAAATTGTCACAGGGCATTCGGCAACCCAGGCAACCGGAGGAGGAAGACATTAGGACTGTGTCGCAAACTCTTCAGTCTACTACCTCGGCGGAACATGATGATTCATGGATGGAGAAATTGATCATTTCAGCAGTTGAATGTGAGGAGCCTGGTGGTGTATTGCCTCCGCCGCCGTTCCCCTTCCAGCAAGGCTGGGCGAGATCAAACAAGAACAAGAGGAAAATGCGTGACCAGAGTCAGTATTATCAAGGCAGAAATGGTCATCGTCAGCAGGAAGACGAACAAGTTGCGGCACCAGATGTGGCAACGCTGAACTACGATGATGACCCAGTTGAGAAAGGGGCTACCGAAGCTTCAGTAATGGTGAACCGGGATGCGAACGAATTGCCGACAGAGAAAGAACTTGATAGTCTCCCTGCGCTCGAGCAGGAACAGGTCCTCCCTGGCGCGACGATTGCGTACCAAGAATTGCATGTTGATGCCTCGACGAACTATCAGCCTGCAGTGTCTCCTTATCGAATTGGACGAGTATCGCATGTAGACGGAGACGGTGTCGTGCACCTGCAACTGGAGAAAGGCTCGTTCGGCTCGCAGAACCCACAGATCGATAAAGTGACAGGAGAGAGGGTTTATGGCAAGTTTGAGCTTGTAGAAGAGGACGCAGAGGAAGATGACGGAATCCGTGATATCTCCTATTCCAGCATGATTAAGCCGAAACTCCTCAAGCCTTCATCGAAAGCTTCATTGGTTCAAGTGCAAGACAGCAGCAATATGGTGGGCCTACGCGGAGGCGAAGCAGCAATCCCATCCCTGGATGACGATGAAGTTGTCGTTCCCGAGTCTGCAGAACAAGAACAAGAGATCGAGACGCAGATACGCCTTGAGATGCAAGCAAGTATTGAGACTGGTGCGAACGAACAGCCGGTCATGGCAGCGGAGACAATCGATACGCCTCGCAAACGAGAGATCAATGGCATCATCAAAGAGGCCGGGTTCGAGTCGGCCTTGGACGAGCAGTTGCTGCAGCGGATCATGAATCCAGCCGCCGACGATTCCGAAAATGCACAGGGACAAGACGACACACAGGGACAAGCACAAGGAAAGTATGCCCACAGATTCCGGACGAGATCGCCTCGTGTCATCATCACCTCGTCGGACCAGCAGCCGTCATCAGCGGTGGACGACGAGCTCAATTTTGAAGATGACCCTACCGATGCCGGAGTTTCCTCCATACCAGCGACATCATCTCCGTATACGCCCACACAGACGACTGTGGAGTATCCTCACATATCACAGATGGACATTGGCTCCTCGGCTCCTGCTCGCACCACTAATAGCAGCTCTCACCAAGATGCACAAAAGCTGTCGCCCGCTGTGGAAGTCGATCTCTCTTTTACAGACGCAGGGCGAGAGAAAGCAAGGGAAGAACAAGTTGCAGACAGGGCTGGCGATCTGGATGTCGACGAGGACGTAAGTAAAGTCACCCGGCGGAAGTACTCGTCCCTTCCGCTGGAGTCAGAGCACCCCATTTCTGCGCAGACAGATTCCTCTGGTCCCAGGGAACACGAGATCGAGCACAGCCCGCTACCGCAGGTCGTCTCGGACCTCATCTCTTCCCAAACGATGAACCCCGACAATGAAGGGTCCTCGGTGCCACAGGACTCTTTTTTAGCCGGACTTGGCTACGATGGCAACGACTCTTCCTACCATGATAGCAGCCTCAACGAGGACAGTGATCTGCCTTCACTGAGCGACTTCAGGTCGAGCCGAAGGAGCAGCCGACGAACCAGTACACGATCGACCAAGAAGAAGTCTGTATCGCCACCGCCATCTCGAGCAGCAAGAAAGTCGCTTCGCAGCAGTAATGCATCGAGGAGAAAGATACGGGATCCAACTCCCCCAAGCAGCCTCGAATTGCCGCCTTCCAGCCAACCTGAGTTTAAACAGTCGCAAAGTCAGAGAGAACCGAGACTTTCGCAGATTCCTACGAACAGCCAGGTTGTCGTCGACCTTACGTTTTCGAGCGACCCGCTGAGCCCTATTGAGAGCTCGGTCAAGGACCAGGATGACGGTGAGAGCGATTTCACCTTGAGACGGAGGAAGAACAGAAAGTCCGATGATAGTGGCGCGAGTCGAAAGACGGGTCTGAGGGGAGCAAAGCAGGTATCGCAGGACAGCGGGATTGGGAAGAGGACGCTTCTCACCAGAAAGAGGGACTCTGATCCGAAATATTATTGATTCGTCCAGCGACTGAGGGTAACGCAGTCTACATTGTCCGGGGGGAACTGGCAAAGCCAACATAGCTACCAATGAATGTCATGAGCTTATGTTAGATTGCCGTGTAACTATCCTCCTGTATTCCTTACTAGCGACGGAGTGGGCGTCTTATGCTCTCCGGCGGTGCGATGAGTGGTACTGTGGTTCAGGTACTGTAGAACAACTAAGACTTCTACAATTGACTAGTCCGCAAGGCTCCCACGCAAGGCTGAAGACGCAAGGCTGACGTCGCAAGGCTGAAGATCGGCGTTATCTCGACCGAGGCGCATGCTGGATACTTCGCGACAGTCTGGCTTCTTCCACACGACCAACTCTTCGACTGAGGCAGCTTGATAACACTCCGGTCTTTCCCAGCGAGATAGGGTTCTGACAATGCGTGACCGATAGCGCCTGCTTGTACATCTGCCGTCATGGCTCCGAGACTGAACGCCGTCTCAACGGTGCTCCTCTGTAAGTCTACGTCTTCTGGATCTCGACCAACGACTAATAGCAAGCTGCATGCAGCTCTGATCGTTGCTTTTGCCGTCCTTCTGCCTAGCCATCGAACCTTTACGGCCGCCAGAACAGAATTGCTGGACTCCCAGCTCGACTCTCCCCCCAGTGAGGAGCAGAGGGACAATTACTGGACCCAAGGTGGAAATGAAATTGTGCACGACGTGTGGTCGGTCTTACGCGACTTTGAGCCAACATGGAAGGACAGTGTGACTCCAGTACAGCCTACGGGCCTGCTGCCGACAGTGTGGCATTACGCGAGAGTCATCTTTCGCGCTCTCTTTATGAACACACCAAACCGGGACGATCACGAAGGACCAAAGGTCAACGGGGATTTGAAAAGGGCGGTTGACACGCTGAGAACGGCATCCTCGTTCGACGACCCCGATGCAATTTACCTACTTGCCGAGATGAATTTCTACGGCAACTTCTCCCACCCCCGCGACTTCCACGCTGCAAAATATTGGTACGGGAGGCTGGCAGATTTGGACGGCAATGCTACAGCCCAACACATGCTGGGTCTGATGTTCGCGACAGGGATAGGTGGTGTGGAGAGAGACCAGGCAAAAGCACTGTTATATCACACGTTTGCGGCGGAGCAGGACAACATTCGGTCTGAAATGACTTTGGCCTTCCGTTACCACGCGGGAATAGGCTGTCCTCGAGACTGTGACCAGGCCGTGGGATACTACAAAAGAGTCGCAGACAAGGCGATGGAATACTGGTACTCCGGTCCTCCAGGAGGCAACTCCTTCGTCCGAAATGCATACCGCTGGGTTGAAGTCGATGGGGGAATCTACGGTGAAGGCGCGAGCGTCAGCTCCTCCGGCCCAAATGCCCCTCGAGACGGAGTGACAACGGCTCATATCGACTATATCCTGGACTATCTGGACACCAAGGAGCGACAGGGTGATTACAACGCCATGCTCACGCTGGGCAAGCACTACTACGAAGCACCGAGAGGGTACAAGAAGAATTTCCGCAAAGCACAGCGACAATTCATGAAAGTCGCGCGCGCATACTGGACCAAAGATGGCAAGGTCTCCCCCAAGGCCCCGAAAGGCATTGAGCGCGTCGCTGGCAAAGCCGCCGCATATATCGGTCGCATGTTCCTGCGCGGCGAAGCCATGGAGCAGAACTTTGAAAAGGCCCTAACCTGGTTCAAGCGCGGCGTCGCGCAGGGTGACTCTTTTGCTCAATACCACATGGGCGTCATGTACCGCGACGGACTCGGCGTCCCTCAGGATGGTGTCCGCGCGGGTGCGTACCTGAAGGCGGCTGCGGAACAGTCTCTCCCACTGGCTCAATCCGCCCTGGGAGTCCTCTTCCTCGACCAAGGCGACATCGACACTGCAGCCCGCTACTTTGAACTCGCTGCTGGTGCAGGTGTGATGGAGTCGTTCTACTACCTCGCCGAGCTGACGAACCAAGGCGTGGGCCGTGAACGAAATTGCGGCCTCGCTGCTGCATACTACAAAGTCGTTGCCGAAAGAGCGGAGATCCTGCACTCCTCTTTCGTGGAAGCCAATTCGGCGTATGAAAGGGGAGACTTTGAACGCGCGTTCATTCCCTCCATCATGGCCGCGGAGCAAGGATACGAAAATGCACAGGCAAACGTGGCGTACCTCCTCGACCGAAAGACGCAGGTCATCTCGTTGCCCTTCAACCTAGACATCCCACTCTTATCGGCTCTCAGACCAAGCAACTCGGCGATCGTTAAGAGAAGCAAGCTCCTCAACGACCCGGAGCTCGCACTCTCGTATTTCACTCGGTCCGCCAAACAGGCCAACGTCGATTCTCTGATCAAAATGGGCGACTACTATCTTTCCATGTCCTCATCTTCCCCACCATCACCAGCATTACTCCCCACGGCCGAGACCAACGACACCCAAACGAACCTCGACAAAGCAACGACATGCTACACCACGGCGGCAGAATCGTACCACTCCGCGCAAGCACTCTGGAACCTCGGCTGGATGCACGAGAACGGCATCGGCGGCGTATCGCAGGACTTCCACATGGCAAAGCGGTACTACGACCTTGCGCTCGAGATGAACAAAGAAGCGTACCTCCCCGTCAAGCTCGCGTTGGTGAAACTCCGCGCCCGGAGCTGGTGGAACGGCGTCAGCGGCGGCAAAGTCAACGGCATCAAGGACGAAGAAGAGGACGGCAAGAAACGCTGGCGCGGCTGGGCCGAGTGGGTGAACCGCTTCCTCGACGCCGCGGAAGAGATGGACGCGCGCGAAGCCGAACAGTTTGCGCGCGAAAACGGCGGCGGTGATGACGAACTCCTCGGCTACACGGCCGACCGGGCCGGCGATGGCGAGTACGCGACGCGGGACCACGACGACGCTCGACGAGTTGAGGGCGACGTCTACGCCGCGGACGAGTGGGACGAGTTTGACGACGGGTTAGTCGAAAGTTTGATTATCATTGCGTTGGCCGGGGCGTTGGCCTTGCTCGTGTACGCGAGGCAGGCGAGGCAGAGGGTCCTGGAGGAGGAGAGGAGGCAGGGGCAGAATCAGCAGAATCAGAATCAGAATCAGGATCAGAATCTGGGACAACGTCAGCACCAACACCAGCATGATCATCCACAAGCACAACCCCAAGGACGAGAGCGAGAGCGAGGCATGTTTCCCGCGCCAGGGGATCCGGATTGGAATAATTGGGTGGCGGGGGGGATTGGGCATTGAGTCGTCGCAAGCACGGACTGGTTGACACAGTAGACAGATACAGTACATAGATAGGACGACACGACATGAAATGTATAACTTTGGCTGTGTACCTCGGTGGACAAGTACAGTATACTAGAGACGTCTCGAACGTCCCAGCGGGCCTTGGCTCCGATTTCGCTCCTGGAATAAGAGTACTACTGTACTCTACAGTACAATTCGATTGGTGGCCCGTTACGGAGTACAGTACGGAGTGCAGGACGGAGTATACAGGAGAATAACGAACAGCCGCACCAGAATAGGGGCAGAACAGTATGCTCAGTGTACAGTAGTATACTCAGTATGGTATACTCAGTATAGTAATCATGGTACACTAGAGTACCTTGTCTGAGAGAGTTACGTGCGATACTTCCGTCTTGATGCTCGCTACATACTTGCTGATCGAGAACGAGTAAGATTCAAGTTAAAGACAAAGACAACGGGAAAGGGAAAGGGGGAAAGGGGGAAAGGGAAAGGGGCTATGGAGTAACCACTTTGTCATCCTATTCCTAAGGACGTCGTTCGACATACTCCGTACTCTGGGGACTGGTTGGATACTTATCGTCGCTCGCTATGCACCTACAGCACGTACTAGGCATATCACCCTATAGCATCGCATCGGCTTGCCTCGCCTCGCCTCGCATTACATGTTATGCACAACATAGTATATCACACATCATACGTCGCATTCTCTCGACTTCTCAGCTTCCCCAGTCGGGGTTAGGTGTAGTTGATGTTAGTCTTCCTTTCTGGGGAGGACGTGATCTCGATTCACTGGACTAGTAGGTAGGTGGGTAGATAGGTAGGAAGTTAGGGTCTTAGGTCGACAATGTCAAACCACCAGGAGTACGTAATCTGTTCTTGTGAGCATGTATATACAGATGTGCCACCGTATGGAAAGAGCCCGATTCGTTCAATGCTCCCTGTAATTCATTTCGCCCTGGACTGGCCTGGCCTCGCAGGGAGACGTGGGCGCCATCTCTGAGTCCATTCATGCTCGTGGATTGAGCGGGTAAAAAAGCGCGCAGCCAAACGAGTGAATTGCTTCTGTCCTTTCGCATCAGGGAGTGGTAGCGGTAGTAGTGACAGGCATTGCATCCGGCCGAGAAAGCCTGTCGCCATTGAGTGCTTCCATCATCCCGACCAGATGTTCGCTGAATCGTGATATGCCCAGTTCCCTCGCTAGAAGCATGGCGTCCTGAACGTGGCCTCTATGGTGGCCGCAGAAAGGACAGTCCCAGCCACGATACCAGCGTACCATACAGGCGACGACGGCCGGGTCGTGGTCTTTGAATTCGAAATGCCGGCTTCGGGCCTCTGCGTAGTCCCCGTGCAACCGTTCGTGGAAATACGTCGACTCCTTACAGAGACGAGGGCTGTGCATGGCGAAGAATTGCCGTTGAGGCCCAGTGCCGGTGTGGAACGTCACAACTTCCGATTAGTCAAATAGATGCTTTGGTACGCCCCAGCTAGTCGTCTCGGCTTGATGCTTGTCGTCTTGGTTGGCGGTCTCCATTTTCTCGTGTGGGACCTGTACGGGGAACCTGCGGGCGCGCAGGACTTCCTGTGGCGAGGCGATTATATTTATATCCTAGACTGGCATGGCAGACGATCCAGCCGTGAAGGCGGCGCGTCACACGTCGACATCCTCTGTCCACGCTGACATGGTGACGTCGTCCATGAGGTCGGTGAATCCAGAGTATTGCCCAAAGACGGCATCCCAACGTTCCCAGTCAAAGCCAAGGTCCATATCTGTGTCACCCTGGTGTAACCCGTCGTACACCGAGCTTGGGTCTTCGTGTGACTGTTCGGCGTGATTGCTCGGGATCTGACTGCCGTAATCGTCGGTATGGCCATTCACATGGACCGCTCCATTCGTAGGTTTCTCGGACAGTGAATTGCTGGTGGCTGGCGGCGTGTGCGTGACACCATTGGTGGTTGAGGGATCCCAGCTCGGTTGTTCAGGTGCGCGGGACGTTTCGTGAAGAGACTGTATGCCGTTTGTCACCCCCGTTTCAGCCAGATACGAGGATACCCGGCTGGGGCATGAACGAGCCACGCCCTCTGGCCTGGGCACATGAGTGTGCATATCAAGGACGTGCACAGGTGGCGCATTGGCCGCAGCTGCTGTGCCAGAGCACTTCGCCATCTTACCGCTCAGTGGGAAAGGCATTTTAGCCTGGCCTTCTCGCCTCGCCAGCCCTTTGCCGGCATTCATGCGAGCGTCACGCTCGATGCCTTGCAAAAACTCGTGACGCGCAGTTCGCGTGCAGCGGAACGACTCCCCAAACGCGCCACCCTCGTTGTCAAAGTCTCCTTGTGTGAGCTTTACCATATATCGTATACCTTGCTCCGTCGGTCTGATATTGTCCATCCAGACACTTCCGGCCTGGCCCGTTGTTTGCACTTCATATATGGAGTCTTCTCTGAGACTCTGCGCGATCTTCTGTGTTTCTGTCAACGGAGTCGCCACTCCTACTGCGATCTGATCCTCCTCTGTCCACAACACTGTCGGGTCAAGACCCGCTCTCTGCCAAGCCGCAGACCGAAGGCCTCGCAACATGTCCCAAGCTTCCAGGCCACCCTCCCTTAGCGGTCTCTGGACGGTATAACCATCGGAACCTCCCACGATCCCCGATTCAGGAGCGGCTAGTCGAAACACCCTGTCGACCAGCTCTCTTGACTTTGGGGCCTCCACGCTGGCGGGTCTCTCGTAGAGATCAACGAGAATGATCAGAACTGCATGAAGAGGCCCGTAAAGTGCCGGCCAACTCCACCAAAACGCTTCCAGATCCGGATCAGTGGCGATGGAGATGAATTTCCTCAGAAAGCTGTGACAGCTGTGCAGTGCGCATTGCCTGCCCAGTCCCCACAACTTGCTCTTGGTGTTTTTGAGGAAGGGTGCGTATGCCACGCAGTGGATCTTGTCGACCAACATTGAGAGGCTTACTCGAGCCCACTTGTTGTACGCCGCCTGCTTTTGACGATGAAAGCTGGCCAAGGGCCACGAGGGATCAGTTTCATTGGGAGACGTCATGTAGTACGCGATGTCGGTGGCAGTGATGGGGCTGCCCATAAGCGCGTCACTGGCGGATCCACGGTGCTGTGCATCTTTGGGCACGTCTGGGAAAAAACCCATCTCGGGCATTCCCTTGCTCGGTATCGCCTTGATGATGCCGTGGATGTGGTCGCCCACTTCGGTGATGATTCTCTTCATCTCCTGGATATCCTCATTTGTGAGTTTCTTCGTTTCCAGGTATATACCCACCACGCTTCGGAGTGCGCAGGCCAGGATTGATTTCCCCCTTGCCACCAGCATCAGCGTGCGAAATGATGCAGCATTCGGAGTCTCTCCACTAGACTTTCCGCTTTGAGGCGACACAACCTTGAGATTCGGATGCGACGAAGCGACGTCACCGGTGCTATCAGGTGTGAAGGCATCTCTGTCTTCGCAAACAACCCGTGTGTCACAGAATTTCTCCGAGATCTGGGATGGATAGCCGCTGGCTACGACATTGAAGATGTCCAGCTGTATGATCTGCCACCATAGTCGTCGACGCATTCCCTCTTCGTTCACGGAAAGCTCGAATAGTGTAGGTTCCCTATGCAAGCCCATCGAAAACGCCAAGCGCACAATGAGTGCTAGGTAGAGGCTGCTTTGCAGAGGGTCTTCCTCCGCGATAGTGATGGTTTGTAGGAGCACCAATGCGGCCAGCTTGTACAGGCTGATATTCCGTCTGAACGATCCAATGAGCAAACAAAACACCGTGTGGTCGTGGAATTGGGTGCTGAGCCTGGCTCTCGAGGCATGGGGAAACCACTGTCGCAGCCCTTTTGTAGAAATGCTCAGTGAACCAGCGTACCAGATCGCGTATAATGCCGTCAAGAAATCTAGGTTGGGATGTCTGGACTCCGCTGTGCCGTTTGCTTCCCTGTCGTCCCAGAATTCCTCATGTTTCTGGAATATGTCCGAAGGCAGAAAGATTCCCACGATTGGGTACACGCCTGATAACCAGCACCTGAACAGTACATTGCTCTGCGCTCTTGTCGGAAGTCCTTGTGTGAGCTGCTCTATAGCTACAGCAGGTGAACATTTGAGAGGGACGTTCTGTAGCAGGCTGGCTTTGCTGAAGGCCAGCATGCGACAAACGGGATCATTATTTTCCAGGTCGAGACTCTCAAGGGACTTGGCTCCGGCTTCTTTGTGAAAGTCATTTGGAACCCAGAAGTCATCTTGCTCAGGTTCTGTCGCTTCCTCGACTGGAGGCACCCAACCTCGCGTTTGATCGCATGGCTTGTTCTCTGGACTAATTGAGATCGCATAGGAATTGTCCCGCCGGCGCATCAGATTGTTGAGTTGGTCCAGTTCGTCAGATATGTGGTTCCAGAATGGATCCTCCCTTGCTTCCCCATTGTTGAGCTTCAAGGTTGACAAGGGCGTGCTCAGATCGGCAAGTTCTTTTGTCGACCCGTGGTTTCCAGACTGGAACATGTCAAGACCCATACTTGGTCGATGCAGAGGTCCTTCGGACCCAGAGTCCGAAGCTGATTGCTCGGGTGTCAACAGCTCCTTCCACCGCAAATCGGTTCCAGTAGCGGTGCCATGGCGAAGAGCATCCACCAATCTTGTCAACCGCTGCAGCTGCTCTTCAATGGCTTTGAGGTCAGTGGGCGGCGCCGTGCTGTCAGCTTGTGCTGTGAGCATTTCGAGAGATTCCTGCTCAGCGAGGCTTGACTTTCGCTTCTTCCAGACTGGACCTCTGTCCTCCGTCAACACCGAGTCAGCGGGAGCCGGGGTCATGTCATCATGGTACAAGCACTGCTCATTGGCCTTCTGACAGCCACCACAGACTGGTCGAGTTTTGTCGCATTTGACCTTCCTACGGCGGCACGTGAGACAGCTGTAGCTGGTCCGATTCCTCGTAATGTGACGCTTTTCGTTCTTGGTGGAGTTCGACATCCGGCGGTGGCTGGCTAATGAGCCAACGACGGGGTCTGTCTGGCTCCCATTGAACTGGAACATGACTGACGGTGAGTATGCAGCAGTTCAAGCCGCTGATGAGCCGATGGGTACTTTTGCCGGTCTAAGAGGGAACAAGAAACCTCGCGGGGCGTCAGGATGAAACTGAAGAGTGTGCTGACAAATCCTATCGAGACGCCGACGTCAATGCTGGCGCGGTCTTTCCACGTGCTACAGTATCGAGACAAAAATCTTCTGCTGCCAGGGAAATGTAACTCGGGAATAGAGTCTCGCTGTGTTTGTAAGATAGATGGTAACATGACAAGATGAGGTGAGATCTTGAGACGAGGAGAATCGACACGAACAATACGCAGGTACGGTGATTGGCTCGATTCCCGTTTGAGCTTAGCAGCAGTTTAGACTTTCTTGGCATCTTTGCAGTGTTTGGCTGAGGGTATCCATTGTTACAAAAGAGCCCCTCCGAGACTACTAGTCACCGAACCCCTCCCAGCCCTCGGTAGTGTCAGATGGAGTCGCATCGCCCGAGTCCGCTCCAGTAGACGTCGAGCGAGTTAAACAGCATACGAAGAATCCCATGGTTCCTTCCCTGTCTCCAGGATTGCAGCGAATGCAGGCTTCGAGCTCCTCGTCGGTCAAAACCCGCCCATCCGTCTGTGCCTCGCTTGCCATTAATTCCGGCCTGGAAACACCTCGATGCTGCCACATGCTCAACCCAGACACTTGGTCTTCCCGCCGCAACAGGTGCCATCCCCGCTCCTTGGCCACTTGTGACGCTAGGATCCGAGCCACAACGGCTTCATTTTCCTCCACATGTATAGAACAAGTCGAATATGTGACTCGAATGGCTGCCGGGAAACGAAGAGCATGCTCGACGATTCTGGTTTGGAGGTTTGATAGCTTCTGCAGTCTTGTCTTGTCGACTGTGACTTCTCTCGTCTCTTCGGCTTGGTTGGAGTCTTGTGTCCTAGTCTCGACAGGTGTCGACCCGACATGGTCTCTTTTTCTCTTTTTCGAGGATCTTAGCCCTTTGTTGAGTTCTAATTGTTGAGTTCTTGGATTGTCAGGCAGAGCCAAAGTGGGAATGTCTTCACGCCCAATGATGCCACTCCCAGAGCAACTCGGATCAAGAAGTAAATGCGACACCTTATTGTACTGCTCATCGTGAGGATCAAGTGTTAGGAAGTCACAACCTGCCTTCACGGTCACAGTATCTGCTCCACTCCTCTCCATCATGGTCTTCAGGGTGTTCGACCGGCCTCGATCCCGCTCACATGCATAGATCCTGTGCTTCATTTTTCTGTCTTGTGCGAGCAAAGCTGCAAGGTGAGATGTCTTGTTCCCTGGCGCGGCACAGCCGTCGATGCAATCGCCAACTGAGGCAATTCCGCTAGCGCCCCCAATCAACATGTATGCAGGAAAGCAAGAAGCTTTATCTTGAAGGATCAACCTCCCATCTCTGTAAGATTGTGATTTCGTCACGACAGCGTCCGGAGGCAGAGCGATCAGGTCCGGAATATTACGATCAACCCCCAGCACCTTCTCAGCTCCTGCCGAACCTACAACTTCTGCAATGCCTGCGTCCGTTCTGTACCCATGGAAGGTTGTAGCAAATTCCTGCTCAAGGCTGGACTTCAGCGTGTTGACCCTGACCCACCGTGGCTGCGCTCGCTGTGACGACGGCTTCCCAGCCAAAAGAAACCTCTGTAGCTCATCTACTGAGGCGCACCTCCTCCGCAAACGCGCCTTGGTAGCCTCGCCCTGCAGGCGGGCTTTATGTCTCTCGATTGCTTGACGGAGAGGATGGGCAGGAGGTGCTGCAAGGCCATTTTTGGCGAATATATGATCGTGAACCAGGAGCAAGGAAAGAACTGGAGTCAACTATGGTGTGAAGCCGAATGGCTGGGTCAGTCAGCAGTGACACGAAAAGTCGGGGGACAGCTTGTCGAACCTTTGGTTCTTGAGCCAACAGACCCGCATTGTCTATGACCTCCTTGAGAAACTGGTCGTACTTTGCCGTCTCGGAAATCAGGGCATAGACGTGCGCGGGTTTAGACTTGAGCCCGAGCTTGTTGCTATAAATCCGGGACGTGAGAGACCCATCTTGCGTTGTAGTCGTGAGGACCGTGGCGGCATCGTAGTAAAGAGACATTTGGCAACAAAGGAGCCAGTATCAGGTGTGGTGAAGGTACCATGAAGGTGGGAAAAGTTGAAGTTCCATCTGGCTGAGGATTGACCAATCACAAGATTCAGTAGCCGTCGATTTCAGCCTCGGACAAATTTCGCCCTTTCGGGATTTGGATCTGACCGAGTACTAAGGCGCGTGAGGTGGAGGACCAGATCAAAATTATTCACCATGGCGATCGTTACGAGGGACTAAAGAGAAGGAAGTGATAGACCAAAGTTCGAGCTGCTCAGGCACTACATGGGAGATCTTCCTCTCATTTCAGATCATGGCGCAGTCCGAGTACAAGATTGCGATGCTTCCGCCTCCTGGCGACGTGGTTGCTCCGAATGGCTTCCCGGCAGACCCCCGACCCAAGAACGCACCCGGTGTATTCCTTGATGCTATGGACTTACGCATAGAAGTCTTCTGCGATGAGCAACATTGTGCACTGGAGCCCGAGCTGGACGAGGATGACCTTCGATCGTGGCACTGGGTTGCTTACCGTAGGACCGAGTCGGGCGCAGAGGAGCCTGTCTCTGTCATCCGGATCGTCCCTCCGCCACATGGTCCCCATCCCAATGGCGTTAGTGACCCAGACGAAGAACCATATGTCAAGCTAGGGCGCGTCGCAACAAAGGCCAACCACCGAGGGAAAGGACTAAGCCGGCTTCTGACCGAGGAGGCTTTCCAGTGGCTTGCTGCACATAAGGATGAAGTTGCAGCCGGCTATAACGGCCTGGTTCTTTGCCATGCTCAGGTATCTGTGGAGAAGATGTATGCAAAGTTGGGCTTTGTCACCGACGAAAAACTGGGCCGCTGGGATGAAGAAGGGATCGAACACCTCGGAATGTGGAAACGCGTGTAAAAGAGGACACATACTACGCTGGCGGCGAGGCTACTTTGCGCACTGATACAGCCTATGACTTGATCCTCAGTGGATGGCACACGCCGACCTGAGGGCTATCAGTTAACATGGACGACTGCCTATTCTTTGGTCAGCCGCTTCCACGTGGAAGTCAAAATTTGCAACAAAGTTTCGCGTTCACCTGGCGGAAGGTGGCGTGAGAAGTTTGGTGGAGGTATTCACACGCTTGCCACGTGGTCCTGGGGGTAGCGGTGCATCTTCGACAGTTACCTTGAACAGCTCTTCTTCATTCGAAACTCGTCTCAGACCTCTCCTTCCAGAGGGAGGATAGGACAGATGAAGGGGCAGCGACAGGAACTCCAGGTGTTTGTGAGACGACATTCTCGATATCCGGTTCCAAATGTCGCGTACGGACAGGACATGCCCCAAAATGGGATCCGTCAGGCAAGTTTCTAATTTGCTCCTTTCATCATGGCTCAAAGGCCACCTGCACCAAGTGACGAGGTACTACCTGCCCATCGTGGAGAGGATGAACGTGGAGGTTGGAGCTAGGCTGCAGACTGATGTCGTGCCCGGGCACTCTAGACACTCGTCTAGCACGGCGCTCGTGCCTTCTGGACCGAACGGCCAATCCTTCCCTGCGCTGTCGCGATGGGTGTCGACCCCGACGACGGTGCGTGCATGCTGCTAACGCTATGTTGCTGAATGTAAAATAGACTTTGCACTACCTGTGCTGTAGTGCCTGTACATGATATAATCGAGGGTCTCCTGTGCTCCGCTGGTAGATCTGGAAATTTGGCAATTCTCCGTCTACCACATGTACAGATGTGTCATAAATCAGCATACCTAGGCCCCGCCTGGTCCTTTCACCTTGCAGGGCCGCTTCCAAGAGTCTATTTAGTTCGAGCCGTCACATCGTTGTGAAGAAAATAAGAGGTCGGATCGAGATGTCATTCATCCTCCAAACCCCAGCCGTTAGTCAGGGATTACTTAACCTATTCCTTGTCCGTAGAGAGTCGGCCCACCTCGTTGCATCTTGTGGATCATGGCCTAGAGCCATTCACAGCACCGTACAGAGTATCCAGTCTGTGCTTGAGTAGCCGTCTAGCAACGCAGGCAAAATTAAGCGGCCCAGCCCACTTGATTACGAAGAGGACTCCAGGTCCAAGGCGCTAGACTTGTGCAAGGCCACCTGTCTCTGCACGCAGTCGGTCGGAATGGGAGGGGTTTATTCCAAAAGTGCCCATTCTCATAGTCTTCTGGGAAGCATTCAGCAGCACGCTGCTGTGATCCTCCGAGAGTGTATGTGCACAATTGAACTCCTTTGGTGCAGCCTGCCAACAACGTTGCAAATGTGATCAACTTTCCGAGGGGGGTTGGAACTGGGGAGGCCCCCCGCTGTCGGCGCCAAAGCGACCTTTGTTCTTACTGCGATTCGGTGCTCATGATGAGCGTGAGCGTGGCAGGGAAGAACGAGCATCGGGTTATTGTCGAGAGTGTGATGCGGCGGCGTAGGACTCTTGTCGTAGAATGCCGTGGACTCTTGCTGGGGACGATGAGCTTCGGCTCACAACCATGTAGGCATGCTTCACTCTAAAGTTGGCGCATAAGGTTCGCACGATTCTGTTGGACTTACGAACGGTACGCATCAAGTTCCAATTATCTCCAAGTGTCTCCTTCAAGTCAACCCTCGGCGCTGCTGCTGAAAGAAAGATGGTCGAACTAAGGGTGCAGATTTCCTTTGGATAGACATTCTGGTACCCAACGTCTTCGGGCTGCCCGCCAGTCCTTTGTTCTCATTGCTGCGTCACCCCCTACCTTCCCATGTAGAACCCCAATGCGAATGAGATGAGGTCCAAAGGCTGTTCTCAGATTGGTGGTCTATCTTTGGTATGTATCTGAGGACCTGCACTCTACCGCAGCACGACATAGACGAAGTAAGGCACCTTGCTGCAAAAATACTGCCTACCTGCCGGTCCTGCGCCTTGTGCCATCGAGTTAGTACTGTCCGGCGCATTTCGAAGTGCTGGTGCTGCTACGTTGCCAGCGGATGCAGCTATGCTTGTTGTGAGCACATCGTTGTCGGAGGAGAAATGAGAGGAGCCGGTCGAAGTGAAGGAGACCTCATGATAGGATGAGAGAAGCTTGAGTAGATGTGAGACCCATTCAAGAGCAACGCAAGTCCTCATGGAGTATGGTGGTCCTCGAGGACAACAAATCACTGCTTGGTTTCGGCTTTCTGTAGCTCTGTATGCTTGAAAAGTACCAGCCCGCATATGTACAACTCTTGCCACTCTCACCATCGTCCTTGACCGTCTATCATGGTCTCATGATGTTGACGCGGCTCAGAACTCGCTGATTGTGTCGCCCCGGAGCTTCGCCCGCATGTCCCATTTACCCTGTTCAAGGCCACACCGTCAGCTCAACCGCCTCGAACACGAAAGCTTCCCAATGCACTTACATCTGTTTTCGCAAAGCTATAGCCGACAACCGTAGGTACGAATATGGCATACATGAAGGAAATGAAAGCTGTTCGAGGTGTCCAGCGGAAATATCTCCATCGTTCCTTGTTCAGCTCTGCGACTCGGTCAGCCTGCCTGCTCCCCCCCAGGATGTCTGATAGTTGCTGCAAAGTGACAGCAACCAGATTGAAGGTGCTGGGGGATATCGTCTTCGGTCGATGAAGGTCACGTACGGTACATCTTCTCGAGAGCGGGATCATGGCGAAGAGCTGTCGAAAGGCGCAGTCAGTTTCAAATCTTCAGCAGGCTCTAAAAACAGAGCTTTCTCTGTACTTACGTGTTGGCCCGGCCATGATTGAGAGCCGTGCGGCAGTGGACGTGATGTGGTTAGCTCTTGACCGTCCTGCGACGTTGAGGTGTCGACCGCGGATGGATGGAGTTGAGTTTCCCAGATGTGGCTGGTGATGCTTGGCGTGGCGGTGCCTGATTCTTCCATTCACTTTGCCCTCATCTGCGGCTTCCTACACAGTCACTCATCTCAGAAGGACTTTGCGATTAGAAGTCTGATGACGACGGGCATGTTGCATCAGGCCTCACCAAGCATATGACCAGCATAGTGGACTCGTGTCGATCAGCATCAACCGATTGACCTTTTTCACGTTTCTTTGACAGAACACCATCAGAACATTTACATCTCCCCTTGCATACCTCTTGGGCGGGACTTGATTCTACCTTGCCAGGTATCGGAAGCTACCTGTCGCCGTTTGTCACGGTTCCCGCGCTCAGTAAGCCCCTTCGCCCGAAGCTGAACATGACTTCCTTTGTCCCCGAATTTACACATGGAGCCCCAATCAAAGAGAGTCTTTCGCTTACCCGCAGTCAACAAGAGGTACCCTCCGTAGGAGCAACGACACCTGACGTACCGGACTTCACGTGAAAGATGGCATCGTCTGGCAACAGTGAAGGTGCTCCAGCGGCCGGAGAACCAAAGATCGTTCTTCATTGGTGAGCAACAGTCCCTCTTTGACGTTACTCCCCCTCATGAGAAGACATATGTATTTTGACATCTGCCAGGCTCGAGGTGTCTCGCTCTCAAAGGATCCTGTGGCTGTTCGAGGAGCTCGGCGTTCCTTATGAGCTCAAAACCTACAAAAGGACTAAGGAGCGGCTCGCTCCTCCGGAGTTGAAAGAAGTACACCCTCTCGGCAAATCCCCCGTTGTCACCATTGAGATCCCGGGCTCTGCCACCCCGATAGTGCTCGCTGAGTCTGCAGCGATCGTGGAATACCTTTGCGACCACTATGACGGCCAAGGAAAAGCCCTGGTTCCCACGCGATACAAGCCAGGTAAAGATGGAAAGATTGGAGGCGAGACCGAGTCCTGGCTGCGATACAGAATGCTGATGCACTACGCCGAGGGTAGCATCATGCCTTTTATGGTTCTGTCACTGATCGTGGGGAGTAAGCTTCTGCCTGACCATTGTCGCGTCTGACACTCACAGAAGCAGGTATCCGGAATGCGGCGGTACCATTCTTCATCAAGCCCATCACAAATAGTGTCGCAGGCAAGATTGAGTCGGGCTATCTGCAAAGGAACTTCAAATCTCATTACGACTTCCTTGAGGGCCAGCTCTCGACTTCTCCTGATGGTGGAGACTACTTCTGCGGCAAAAACCTCACGGCTGCAGACATCATGCTTTCGTTTCCGCTCGAAGCCGGCCAGAGTCGATCGGGCTTCACGGCGAGTCAGTACCCAAAAGTTTGGGCTTATATCGATCGAATCCACCAAAGAGACGCCTACAAACGTGCTGTTGCCAAGATTATAGAGGTGGAAGGCGATTTCAAGACGACGCTGTAGAGGATTCGCTCCAACCTGGAGGCTTGACGGTAGAGAAAAGACTCCTCTGGTAGTAGACACCGCAGCTTTGTCAGCTGTGACCCGCGCTGGAAACATCCGTGCGTGGGCTACATAGTACATGCAGCGATGCGATCGAGCCGGATCCGCTCGAAGTCAAGAGGCTTCTCTGTGCCCGCCATGATAGCATTTGTGGCCGATACGAACCTGGATTACTGGGGTCGCAGATTCGGGAAGACGTCGTATGTCCGATAGATTTCTACCCTTTTCGGCTATGGGTGTCCGAATTCAGGATGCTGGACTGTCGCTGGAACAGCCGCCCGCTGGTTTGGCCCCGCTCCTCAAGCGAGTACATACCTCAATGCACATTGTATACCTCAGCGCTTATCGTCCGGTCTGGTTTCACATCTGGTCTGGGGCTGGAATGCGCGAGTGAGGATCGCCTGAGATTACTGTGATATTCAGCCGCAACGACGTTTTGGGGTTGAATGAGACGACGGCCAAGCCAGTGATATTCGATGCGCCTGCTTGGAACCCTACGGGGGCGAAAGCGACGGAGTTAGATACTAGACAATGCTTAAGCCATACAGGATCAAATATGGTGGCTGAGTTTGGATACTCGTAATGTCTGCACCTGCAGATATATAAGACACACCCATATGGACATTGAAGTTGTATGCAGGTAGGTATCTGGCTTGCCAATACTCGTGCCCACGAAGCATATCGGTGGTCCGTCAAGCGAGAACAGCGAATCTTGCAGCAACACGAGCTGGAGCTTGAGCTTGACTTGGTCCTGCATACAAACCCCGGTCTCCCGCACGGTTTCTGGTGTGAATCGAACAGGCTTCGCAGCCACGCAGCCTCCTACCATCCCGTCCCATCCAGCATCGAGACCCCATGGCCCGGACCGCCGACCGCAGCACTGCTGTCGACTTCTGACTTTCTCACTTTGGCAACCCCTTTCGGCGTCAGTGGTGCGAAAAGAACCCAGATTGCAAACAAGACTGCGCTCAGCCGGTCTTGACGCGGTCTGCCACATACGAACGACCCAGGAACCACAACGCACGTCATCGTCCTCCGCAGGCCTCGGTTACGAGTTAGCACTGGCGTTGCACGTCGGCGGTGTCTTCCGTGTCCCAGTAGACGTCAGACCCGCAAGCATTCCAGCTCTCGAACGTCTTTCTTCTCGCCAAGCAGCACAGAGCCACAGAGCCTGACTTGCTCGCTTGGTCTAGACGTGGCACCTGCAGCCGGCAGACCTTATTCCGACTATCCGTGGGCCGGCCATCTCGGCGAGTCTTCTACTCGACAGGCGTGCTGCCTAGGGTTGAGGGCAGCACCTAAGCACCCCGCCCCGCACTGGTGCGAGAAGCATGTCTACCACAGTATAACACAGTATTTCCAGTACGTACTGACTACCTAGGTACGTATGGCTTGATCACCATAAGCATCCCTTTCATCATCCGTTTACCTGTTTTCCCCCCTCCACATCTCACATCTCCGACACTGACTTCAATGGCGCCGGCTCTTGGTAATCGGCGTGCGTCACAAGACTCGTCTCAGGAGACTTGTCAGACGGCCATAGCCAATAGAGCTGCCGCCCGTGCAATGACTCAGGGCTTACTCATCGTACAGTCCAGCCAAGATCTTGCCCTCCTGGCATCTCGAGCAGGCAGTGACGCCGCAAAGAATCCGCCAGAGACACTCGGGCAGCCACCAGATCCTCCTGGTTGCTGCCGCCAAACCTACCCGAGAGTGTCCAGATCCCAACTGCCCTCGTCATCCGCCAGCCCTCTTCCCTCTTGCAGCAACGGCCAGAGGGGCCAAGCGACAGAAACAAGAGGTCCCCGACCCACCGCCCGCCCCGACACAAAGGACGAGACCCATAGCCGATGGTCCCCTCGTGGGCGGCTCCCTACTGCGTACAGCTGTGGACAGCCGGCGAGGCCGGTAGTCGCGGCCTTTGGCGGTAAGACCGGGCGCTGTCGTAGGCGCTGTCACTGGCACTGGTATCGGCACCGTGTTGAGTTCGCTGCTGCGCGACAGCCCATGCATTGCGCGTGGTGCTGCGGACGTGGCAGGAGTTGCGGGCTGATTGCTGAGTGTCCCGAGCCTCCAGTACCCAAAACGGTCATTTCGTTCTGAGTGATGACGGACCCACACCCAATACTCGACCTTGACCGCAACCATGTCAGTTATTCGGATACGACTACTGACACCAACTTGGATTCCCCAGCCATCTCCATTTCGTCCATGCCCGATGGCCGTCCTAACAGCACAGGGCGAGCTGTTACGGCTGCCGGGCCTGCAAATGGCCCCGGCCCAGCGTCTGAAGCTACTAATCACCCCAGTGCCACAGCCAATGCCTACACAACCGTCTCTCACCCTTATGCCGAGCCTGCTGACGCCGCTATCCCTCCCCCAGACACGCGACCTTTCTTTCTCCTAGAGGATTTAGAGTATCCCACCAGCATTGTGTACGATCTTGAGTCTCGACACCACCTAGCGGCTGCCTCCACTGATGCCACTAGCTATACCCTAGGCGCCCCAAGCTTCGGTTCGCAGCCCTGGATCGCTCCCTCTGGCCCTTTTCTCGATTTCGCGCCCCAGCCAATATATGAGCCTACGGGTGAGTTGCTGCGCGAAAATATTCACCACTTTGACGAGTTCGACGCCCCTTCCCTTTCAAGGCTCCCAGCTGCCGTCTCCGCCCCTGCGAAGAATCCGCCGCCGCCACCCACGAGAACCTCGGCCGACGCGGCCAGCACTGCAAATGGTACTGGCGCGGTCACGGCCTTTGTTCCGCCCTTGCTCCCTCGATCTGCCTTGAAACGAAAAGCGAGCTCGACTGCTTCGACGCCCACCGATTCTTGCGTCGACAAGAAAGCCCGCGTGCTATCCAGACCTGGTCCCGACACTGCCGTTGCAACGAACCGTTCTGTGACGTTTGAGCGGATGTCAGGCGTCGGTCCAACGTCGCCTGATGAAGGATCTATCTCTTCTGAGCTCCCAGCAGGCTCACGGGCGGCTCCTGGTGCAGCTGCTGGCAACAGAAGGACTCGCCAGTCTTCCGGCTCGACCCCGCGACCCTCAATACTTCCATCAACCTCGTCGCAAGGTTCAACTCGTGGAAGGGGAACGCGCGTATCATCAGGGCATCCACCTTCCATCCTCCCGCCGGAGAAGGTCTTTCCCATCCAGATTGGATCCGATCTATTCCGCTTGTCAGGCGCCTCAATCTCGTCTGACGGTAAGCCTACAAGCCGAGGATGCAGACAAGCGATCAGACTGACGTAGCGAATAGCCCCGTCCTACTTTACCCAGTTCTTCGAAGAACAAATCCGACAAAATGAGGAGTCGGGTGGTGTCAGGACATTATACATCGACCGGGACCCAGCCACCTTTCGAGACGTGGCCAGGCATCTACAAGGTTCGGTTTCTGTCCTCGGTGTGCTCGTCGTGGTACTGACTGCTGTGGAGGTTACTATGTCAAGCCTGTCGACGGAAGCCATTTCGTAAAACTCTTTGCAGATGCTCAATTCTACAGCTGTATGTACGAGTGGACTCGCCGTGGTCGAAAGCTGATAGCTGTACAGTACCCCGTCTAATCGATCAGCTGTTCGAATCAGAGATCTTCATTCAGATTGGCGAGCGCCATTTTCAGATCCCGAAAGACATCTTCTCAGAACCCGGAAACTCGCCCAACTTCTTCTCACTAGGGTTTGCAGTCTTCTTCTCGACACCCGGCGAGGTCTTCCCGGGCCTTGACCGCCGGGGACTTCTCCGTCCACCGTCTATAACCCCGCCGTATGTTCCTGGCCGGTCGGCAGAAATCTTTGCAGAATTACTACATCTACTTCGAGGCTACCCTCTCCATATCCGCAACGAATCACACCGATCTGAGCTACTACGAGACTGCCGCTATTTCCATCTGCGCGGCTTGGAGCAGAAGATTATTGCGCACGAGATCAGCTACAATCTAGAGCGCCAGAAACACGAAATTTGTCTGCGACTGGAAGACGTCAAACCCTCGGGCGTCTCGTACACCCGTGATGATTCACTCGGCGAGAAGTCGACCACTGGTGGATGGGTTTACTACGCGAGACCATTCGTAGACGACACCTCATACGAAATGGTGGTGGAGATAGGGGCTGAGAGCACCGTGCTGGATTTGACCGACATGAGGGCCGATCTCCACGGGCTAGCCAAAGCTCGAGTGTCCTCGCTGTTCCAGGTTGTGGCGAACAAAATGAATTTGCCGACGAATGCACCGCTAGGGCTGATGATGCTGTCGGGAGGAAGGTCTTCGCAGTCAGCCAGTCCTGGACACACGCCTCTAAGCGAAGACCGGGTGAAGGTGCGCTTTGAACCTGCAACGGACATCACACTGGACGGAGAGAGCTTGGAGATCGACTGGGACAGTCCGGCAGGGCAGGTCATGCAGCACGGGCCTTCAACAGTGGCCAGCGAATCCGAGTCTGAATCCGATGTCATGAGCGAAGGAACAGCGGTCAAACCTGGCCCTTCCACGGCTGGCGGTCAGCAGCGGCGACCTCAAACTCGACAGACGCCGGGAGGTGTACCCTCTCATACAGGTGCAGCGCGCGGATCTCTCCCTGTGGCTCCGATCCAGACGACCAGACTTTCTGAGCCATCCACGAAGAAAAGGAAACGGCAGAACAGCCAAGAGGAGCTTGGGGAGTGGACAATTCGCACCGGCCAGTGGCGACTGCGGGTGCAACCTAACTCCCAGGATACGATACGAGGAGGATTTGAGATCGTCTTCATCGGAGTCAAGATCGACGCCTACTCGAGTGAAAGAGCCAGGAACGCGAGAAGGAGCTTTCTCAATTGATGAGGGCATTTGCCCGTTACGTCCGACACGGCTGTTGGGACGAGGCCATGGAGACCAGATGCATGTCTCACCGCCATTCGGTTATCCAAGCTGGGCTGTGATACGCCACACCGACTTGGCGGACGCCTTCCGAGTCGCGTTATTCGGACAACAGCTTGTCAACTCCTACTTGTCGCCCCGACAGTCAACCCAATTTCAGCCATTCTGGTGTCGGGCCGGGGCTTTGAAGGTTCAGCGTGCCCGAAACCCCCATTCAAGACACTTCGCACCCCAGTTCGATGAGCATGCACGATGCCGAAGAACGAATGCTCATCTCATCACCTCGCCTCACCTAATCGAAAGTTACGATTGCATTACACCATTGCATCACATTGCGCGTGGCGTTATTAAGACATTTGTTTCCGTATCTGCCTGGCTGCGGATTGACCGGAGGTATAAACAAAAGATATAGCCTATTTGCGTTCACGTCCTGTTGAGCATGTTTCATTTGCCGAAAACGACATGATCGATTTTGGAAAAGGAGCGGAAGGCAAGGGCAGGATCAGGCAAAGGCAACCATAGACGCAGCCTCGCCACATGCTCGTGCACTCCGTCGATTGCGACTCTCAGTCGACCTTTCAGAGCAACAAGATTCGCCTACTTTGGAGGTACGAGGAGGGGTCCAGGATTCTGTCCAACCACGCAGCATCGGGCACGGGATACCTGGTGCGGATGGATGCGCACCCTCTCTCTCAGGAGGACACATTGCTACATGATGTCGACCTTCAGCCTTGGGCGAATCAGATTGGCGGGTGAGAAACAGTATTCTCGAGGATCCATGGCAGCTGCACCAGTTCCACGAATGTGGAAATGAAACATACCTGTGTCGGTAACATCCTTGGGGGATTGCCGACCCTTGGGGTAAGCACGGCTGCGGAATGTCGGGCCAGGGGAGGACGCCATGTACTCAGTATGGAGGGAGGCGAAAGCAACCCGAAAGTGGAATGGTGGCGAAGCAATCCAAGCCAGTCCCTGGAACGTGGCGTGGCAAGCCAGTGGAGGCAAAGGCATTGAATGTTCCCACATCAGGTGTGTGCGGATCCTGCTCAGACAGACAGCTTCTGCGGCGACGGCATGTGTCATCTCACACGGTACGGTCTTCCTGCCTGTGTGATACCATCCACAGCGACATGCTTGGTTCCACCGACATTTGGATGCTCTGCAACGCCGGCACGAATAAGAGCAAGGACATACCCATTGATTTGCCAACCTGGTACGCTGACGCGACCAACGTCCGAGGACATTTCAGTCGCTGCACTTGCCGTCCGCTGTCATGGCAGGCATGTCGATACGGTACATGGTGAGCTCGGTGAAGGACAAATACCGTCATGACCCGTGAGCCTCTTGCAGAATACGCCATAGCCAGCCTCATGGCCAATATACCATCTACAGTCTACTTGCGGTACCGCTGCTCAATACAATGATGCAACCACCCTGGATCATAGTGGCGGTGCATGCTCATTGGCTAGCTAACATATTATAGCTACATAGGTACAAGGCTACAGATTAATCAGGTACTTACTTCAGCTCTAGCATTAGAGCTCTCTCTCTCTCTCTTCCTGCAACTCAGTCAAGCCCCATAACGACATTATTATATAGGAAGATCGAGAGGAAAAGAAGGGATACTCCGTATACTAATCAATCTTACAGTCTCCCTGCTCTGCTCTGCTCTGCTCTCCTACAGTGAACTGAATGTGACATGACATGATACAGTCTGATCGAGGGATGATGTAAAGGCATGAAGTAAACCACTCCTACATATATGACTTACTTACAGGCGTAGCCACGTGTACAGATTCGTGGTCGATGATTTCTTTTTTTTTTCCCAACTTGTCCGCGCGGGGATTCGCATTACCTTGATATGTCTGATGACTGCTTCTCCTTCTGCTACAACGTTCCTGATAATCTCACTGATTTTTGAGTACCTACTCACCGACCGACTAGTCGATTAGCTGACCAGCCAGGCTATAAGTCAGGTCAGGTCAGGTCATGTCATGTCAGAAACATATCTGGTCCGGGACCTTAACGCTACTCAGTTCCTTCAATGACACGGCAGACCCGAAACGAAGAATACAAAGGAAAGCTGCCGAAGTAGGTGAGTTGAGGCAGACAGATAAGCAAAGGCAAGGCAAGGCAAGGCAGCAACTGAAAGGGATACGGTAATCATAATCTGCGCGTGATGCATATGAGATTGGGCTTATCATTGACGCTAAGCTCGAGGTTGAGATGAAGGTTAACGCTGAGGTCGAGGTCGAGGTCAACGTTCAGGTTCAGGTTGAACGTAAGGTTGAGGTACAGTATATATCTGGCTGGCCTGCTGGCCTGCTGGCTGGCTGGCTCACCCGCTAACTCACACACGCGAGCCTCCGTGTCGTGGCCTACACGCGACGACGGACCGTATCCTCATTCTGATACAGAGCAGCAGCAGCAAATAGATCGCACGAAGGCGCTCGCACACACGACACGACAGACTACAACAGCGTATCGTACAGTGTAATGTATCAGGGTAACATACCGTATTCCATGATAACATCCACGGCACTGTAGGACATGGGTCTCGCTAGAATCAATCTTATCATATGCTGTCCTATCCTGGCCCGTCCTCTCCTGCTGCTCCGTCTGATACAGTCACTATCGGTGTAGATGGACCGAACTTGACTGAACCTCCCAGTAAGTCGTTGACTTGATGCCATGGCCGTCCGAGACACGGCAGGGGACCGTCTCTTCGTGCCCTGTTTATCCTAATTCACATCTGCTACTGCTGCTGCTGCTGCGGTGCCACCTCTTGTGAGCAGGGGCAAAGCCAAGGACGTCGAGATGAGATGCACAAGGAAACTGAGTGACAGGTCTTCCGCTACTGACTACCTGTGTAGTATTCCATCGTGCATACAGTGATGGTTTCCCGGCTCCGCGGCGAGTTTGAGACACTGGAGGAACTCATTCTCCACGAGATTCTCGGTGGCCGTGAAAGGAATATTGCATTTGACTAATCACCTCAATGTCCTGTCACACTGCATGTCTTCACCTGCACGAGATGGCTGGGAAGAAGCACATTGCTCGGTGCACAGAGTCCCGTGGCCGACTCTGTTGTGCGACAATATGTTTCGGTTGACACTTGCCGGGGGTCAGAGAGATATGGATTGGCATTATTCATTGACATACTGGGGACGAATGGCGAGCATACTTGACCTGCCCTTACTGAGATAGGCCACATACCCTTTTCGAGCAATGTCCTTCCAAGGCGAGACCTTGCCGCCGGCGGAATAACCCCCACCGTTATCCCCTCGAATATCCATCGCCACCTTGTCTTGCAGAAGGATGCAGCCTAAGGAAGCCAAGCTTGCGAGAGGCGAGGCGGCGGCGGCGGCGGCACCATCAGCACCATCAGCAGCGGTGCGTTACAGTCTGTATGGGAGTGATTGTGACACGTGGATCGTTCAGACCTTTGCGGTGCCGAGGCTTGCTCAGCATTATTGACGAGACGTACCTACGCGATGCGTGTGCAGAGAGGCTTCGAGGCATATGCAAACCCATTGGGGATGCAATCGCCTTCAGGGTCTTCGTCTTCGGCCTCTTCCACACCCAACCAACAGCCAGAGAGGGCATCTCATGCAAGCAGGACGAAACGAGGGGACAGACTTTGAAAGATGCGGATGGCGATGGAAATGCTGACAAAGGAAAGAATGTTCCGAAGGCTCGTGTGCGAGGGGTGGACCCCCTTCGGTCGCTACGAGTGGGGATTCCGAGCACAGTGAGCAGGCTGAGGTCATGCTGGTCTTCGTGAGATGGGGTGTGATGTGATGAGGCTGTGGAAGTCTGATAGAAATGGGTTTACAGGAAACCTTTGCCTGGGCCCTTCGCTTAAGCAGTCGACATGCAAGGGTCAGTCTTTTCCCGCCCTGCTGCCGACGTCGATCATCCATACAACGAAGTCCAATTGCGGCTGCAGCACCAGCAGGGTCCTTTTTCGTGGCGTGACGAGAAGCAACAGCCTCACGCAGCAGAGGGAAAGAAAGGCGGTGGTTGGGCACCCGTGGTCCTCAGTGTCAGGCATTATTCATCAGCCTCGCTCGTTAGAGGGTTAGTTGGTCTGCTGCTGAAAAGTGTATTTGGAATGCGGAGCGATGATTACGAAAGATCCGTCTACGGAAAGACTCGACGCCGGTGCCCTCGACTTCAGCTCCTTTGTACTGGTAGGACGGTAAGTTAAAGCAGGCTACCGGCTGACCTTCGTGTTTGTTGAAGGCCACAGAAGGATGGAGACTGCTTCACGTACAGGTAGCTGTGGCCACGCGGATGAATGTGCGTCTGTGACGGCCCGTGTCGTAAGCGCTACCTGGGTGTGACTGTTCCAGGGCAATCCAAGTCCCTCTACCTCCAGCCTCGACATCAACCGTCGGCCAGTTCCTCAATTGCCGACATTCCTCTGGCTGCCCGTTAAAGCACAGACTAAACGTTTCTTGGAAAGGAACAGGACGACCACCTGGCCAAGGACATTTGTTCAGGTGCAGAGTTGCCTGAACCAGCAACTGCATGGTAAGGTGGTGCTTAATCACGGCAACTCACGCTGAGAAGGGAGATTTGTATCGCCAGAGGTCGGCTTCTACCGCCTTCTCATGCCGTGACATGACAGAATGGGCCACAGACGCGGCAGTCGTGACACATGGACTTTTAATTTCGCATCCCGTCGTATACTCCTTCAGCGGAAGTTGCGAACCCCTGGAGGGACACTGTCTTCTTTGGAGCTGCAAGAGGTGAGTGCTTGCAAGTCCTCTCGCCTTGCCAATCTCTGTAGCAAGACACATGCAAGCAATAGACAACCCAACCATTGATGTCAATGGTAGGCCATGGATCTGATTCTGTCCGTCGAACTCTGACCGAGTGCTCCCCTATAATGGATTGGTCGAAGCTCCAACGAGTAGAATTATGTGACAGTCTTACCATCGTCGCGCCTCAGGAGATATCGAAAACAAGGCTAGTACCAAATCAATACAAGATTGACCAGGCTGGGACTGGGCCAAAGGTTGAGCGATGAGGCGGACAAGCGACCGCTTCAAGCAATCTCACACTTTCTGGAGCCGCATCATTCCTCATGTACAATATGAAATGGAACGAAAGTTTCAAGAGGCCGGAAAGTGACCCTGGGTGATCCGGGCGTGACGTGATGCCCTCTTCTCGAGGGCCACGGGATGGACCTGTCCTTCCAAGCAGAGTGATGACAATCATGCTGTCCGTCGAGGGAGAGCTCCTGCCGTGCTCCGTATATGTCTCACTGGGTTACGTCTACGACGGATGCAGCAGGCAGAGGTAGCGACTAGAAGACTTGCAGCGCTTTGTTGCTTGTCAATGCTTCAACGGCAGAGATCTCTGCTTTAGCGGAGAACAGATGTCGCCCGATTTGCGATGGTCGAGCGCGTGAAGCGTAGGTGCTGGCGGCAACTTGTCTCATGTCGGTGGTCACCTGCTCGAACCACATCTAGAGGCTGAACACTGTCCTGCTTATATTATCCTCCTTAACATTCTGGGTCGGCAGCTGCTCGACTCGGGCGAAAGCTCGACGAACAATATACGGGCCAATTCAGAGGTGCCTGCTAGTGGCTCCATCTGTCTTGGGTGACACATAGCAGTGTCTGGGTGAGCGCCAAAAGCAACTGTCACAGGACCTACCGGGTGCTCAAGGCCCCCAACCAGAGAGCCACCAGGGGGATCCCAACAGAGACTCCCCTGCACGCGAGGCCAACGGATCTCGGGTGTCTCAAAATATCTCATCATGAGTAAGTGTCAAGACGAGGAAATGATGTCGCAGAGCCGGGCGCTCTGACGCCTAGGTGTTTACGTACTTTAAGCAGTGGTTCCAATGGTGTCTTGGATATATGGAGCAAGGATGGTCAAATTGCGTGGTCCTGTCTGCGGCTCCACCGGGAAAGTCTGTGAGGCGTCCAAGGCCCATCGTTCGTTGGGGTGAACCGTCCTAGTGATCATTTGTTTTACGCTGAACGCAATTACCAGATACGGTTTGGAAGGGCGTGACCAATATCTTGCTAATCAGGCCGAAGTGAGGGCGATGACCATCCGAGACTTTCTTCGGCACTTGAAGGCTTGAAGCCATCTTTCAGGGGCTCGCTAGACATCCAGACATCGAAGCCACGGCAAGCATGGTGACTAAGGACGTCCAGGAGGCATGAGACCGCGTCATTGCCATCTTCGGGAGGCCTCTTAAATATTTGCTAGGTTGCGCCCAACTATTTCCATGCATTAGCCCACCATGAAGGCGGTCTCTAGCCTGTCTGCAGGGCAGCCAGGCTCATTGGTCGACGTCGAACACAAGCGGTGACAGCTTTCGATTCAGCTAACCATGCAGCACATCGCATCCGTGCCGCCGATGCAGCAACAGAGCCGGTCCCAGTTAAACAGGTTGTGTGGTCATTTCCTCGACCACGAGGATCTCGCTCGGCCATGCTTGTTGTGGATGCATCCATTGCCTGCATGGGGCTTCGTACTAGGTGAGTGACCGCCTGCGACGTGAGTAAGCCACGACAAGGGAGCTGGGAAAAGCGACGACAATTTGCTTTTGAGCGCAGATGCAGTGAATAGCCGCCAGGACTGGGTTCTGGGTGCCTTGAGTACATCAGCTGGTTGGGGACCAGAACGCCATCTTCCGGCTCCCGCAAATCCGTCGAACGCCCAATGACGTGGTTACAACCTCAAGATTCAGCCCATAGCCCAACCATGGGGTCGGAGAAGGCCTCGGTGGAAGAGCCGGCGTTCGCCTGCTTCTGTACGAAGCAGTGAAATTGTGAGCTACGTATTGAACATTGAGATCTGGCAGGTGGTGTACCGAGGCGACGGTGTGGCTCCCGAAGAGGACAGAGCCGTGGTGGACAAGTGCTCGTTAGTCTCAAGTCTGGCACCAGCGACTCATGATGGCTTCGCCAGTACCTCCTCTCCCAATTGTCGAAGGGCGTCCTCGTATTTTTGTTTGAGATCTAGGTGCTCGAGGCTCAGCTGAAGCTTGGACAGTTTTCCTTTTCTGTGGATGGAGGGTTCGGGGACGGCTTTCGCAGGCGCACGCTGCTTTCCTTTACCTCCTATCTCTCGCCAAAACCAGGCCGCTTCTCTATGTTCGACAAGCGACCAAGCTTGACCTCCCCTGCCAGCCCGCGCAGTCCGTCCCACCCGGTGTACATAGGTCAAAACACTGTTGGGTACATCGTACGATACGACATGCTCGAGACCTGGGACGTCAAGACCACGTGAGGCCCGGTCGGTTGCGATCAAGATTGATATCCTGGAGTTCCGAAAAGAAGCCAAAGCACGTCGGGATGAGGCTGACGAGGCGGTACTCCGGGTCAACGTAGAAACCTGGGTCGCCAGCTCAGGATCGAGGAGACATATCAACCTGGCGAGTCTCTCAGCGGAGGCGGTGGACCGTGCAAAGATTAGAGCTCGGGGTGCCTGTCCACTCTGCTTGCTCGTGGCATCTTTGAGCGGCGCTGGAGTTCTCTCCGAGCCTGAAGCGCTGTCCGCACTCGAACTTGCTTCGTCGGAAGGAAGGTCCTCAGAATGAGATGACGATTTCAGGGTCGAATCCGGCCTCGGTCCTGTGTCCACTAAGGCATTACTGATGTTGGTGGCAGCCTTCGACAATGGCACGGTTATTCCAATGTGATTCCTCACCAGTTCTAGCAGGAACAATGGCTTCTCTGAACCGTCTGGGAGGGGAATTGCCACCTCCTTAAGCGTCTCCGGAAGGTGAAATGTCTCCTTGTCATCCTTTTGCGGCAACACCGCATCCTGCGTATCGGGCGCGGGACTTCCTGCCCCGTCTCCCTTCTTGCCTGGCTTGTTGCCACCGAGGACGACCAGTTTCGGATTGTGTAATCCCAAAGCGTTGAGTTTGGATAAATCCCGCGTCATCGTTGCAGAGAGCAGGATCTTCAACACTCTTCGCTTTGGTGGTGTCATTCGCATATGTCTGAGCAACCGGTCTCTCCTCTCCGTGGCCGCTTGAGACTCTAAAGCTGGCTTGACCACACCAACCCACTCTTGGTAGCTCTCGTTGAGCAACCTGTCTGCCTCATCCACCACGAGCCAGGACACGTGGTCGAGCGTGAAACCCGGAGTGGATCTGAGGTGATCTACGAGGCGACCTGGTGTGGTGATGAGCACGTCAATTTTGGACCGGTATCGAGTTATGTAGCCGACTGACTCCAGCGGGTCCTCATCCTTCGCCCTCTGGGCCAATCTTGCCAGCGAGAAGTTGGACCAGTCGATAGGACTCTGTTGCCATTTCTCGTACTCCTCAGGGTCGTAGATCTTCTCTTCCTTGACCAGCATTTGCTGCTCGTCATTGAGAGATTTGCTTCCTACAGCAGTCGCGAACTTGAGTGAGGTTCCTGCGGCGCAAGCTTCGCACAGGTCTCGCACCTGCTTGACCAGTTCTCTTGTGGGCACAACAATGACAGCTCTGAGCTTTCTGCCGGGAAGATCTTTTAAGGCTGCTATGATAGGCAAGACATATGACAGAGTCTTCCCAGAGCCTGTGGCGGCTGAAATGCAAAGGTCGCCAGCATGCTTACCCGGACCATTAAGCAGCAACGGCAACACTGCTGCTTGAATTGGCAAGGGGTGATGGAGACCTTTCCTTCTCAGATTTCCCACCAGGGCCTCTGCAAGCTTGAAAGAGCTAAAATCGTCTTTGTTGGTCTCAGGGGGGATAATTAAAGGATTTTCTTGCCAGGCTGGAAGAATCGAGTAGGTGGGCAGCTCGCGCACAACTTCTACCTGCTCTGGTTGAGGAATCGGCTCAAGGCCATGTAGCTCTGGCGCTATTTGCTCAGGCGGCGCCTCGGACTTTGTGTGTAATTGATCTTGCTGCTTGGCCTTTTCGAATTTTGAGAGGACAGCAGCATGCTTCTGTGCATGTGCTGCATCCTCTGCATCCTCTGTCCCCTCGGCTTCCTCTGCAGCGTGACTTCGCTTAGGCCTCTCGCCTTTCTTAGTGCGCTTCGATACACCTCCGTCTTTCCGTTGTACAGCACCACTTCGTTCTGAGTCTGCCGCACGCCGGAGGCTGGTCGCTACCTCGGTTTCATCTTGCGCTTCTCCAGCTTCTCCTCGAAGTGTCTTCTCGGATACCCTCTTGGGTTTTCTTTCCCCCTCGTTGCCTCCTTGCCCGTGTTCGACTCCCAGTTCTGGCTCGTCTTGTTGGGACGGTCTATCCGATCGGCGGGTCCTTACACGGATTGGGGCGCCACCGGACCTTGCGGTCTCCGTGACGCGATACTTATCAAGGATGATAGTCCCAGTTGCAGCGGAGGATGTTTCACTGGGAGGGATGTTGTGAGGGTGGGGTCGGTTCGACGGCGTCGTATGCGGCTGAGCAGCGGACTTTGAAGTTTTCAACTTCTTGTCCTTTGGCTGAGAGACTTGTTCGTCGCGCTTGCGCTTGTTCGGACTAGAGCTCGGCTCTGTACTGGAAACAGCTTCGGTCGATAGCGCCTTCGCAGGAGGCACGTATCGCGCGTAGAAACGCGACATGATGCTGAAGGTTGCAGGGTAAATGAATGATAGTCTTCGAGATAGTTGAATTGGAGAAAAAAGTTGCCGGGATTGTATCGCACTATATCGCCGGCAGAATCGGCCTGTCTCATTGGAGGTAGTGTGATGATGTGGGGCATTTTGCTCTCACCGCCCGCGGACTCCGGACTTTCTCCTTTTCCGTCTATCTGCTCGACGCGACTTGTCTTCGATATTCCCAGGGGCGCCTCTGATGTGTACGAGATACAGTAGTCAAATCTATATGTTCAACAAGAGCCGTCGCAGGATGGACACACCAGATTTATCATGCATTTAGCGGCTGTCCGGAGCAACCAGCTCAGGCTGTCAATCGCTACCCAGGATGCCTTACAACATCGCCATGGTCAGTGACTTCTTCTTTCCCCAGCCCGGGGGAGTTGAAAGTCACATCTACCAACTCTCAACCAAACTGATCGACCGAGGGCACAAGGTTGTGGTGATAACACATGCCTACCAAGGTCGAACGGGAGTCCACTACCTGACAAATGGGCTCAAGGTCTATCATGTCCCCTTCCTGGTCATCTATCGAGAGACGACCATGCCTACCGTCTTCTCCTTCTTTCCGATCTTCCGCAATATAGTCATCAGAGAAGAGATCCAGATTGTCCATGGCCATGCTAGTTTGAGCAGTTTTTGCCACGAGGCTATTCTTCACGCTCGCACAATGGGTCTACGCACTGTCTTCACCGATCACTCACTGTTCGGATTTGCCGACGCCGGTTCCATATTGACCAACAAGCTTCTAAAGTTCGCCTTGAGCGACGTGGACCATGCCATCTGCGTCAGCCATACGTGCAAGGAGAATACCGTGCTTCGAGCGTCGCTTGACCCTTTGATGGTCTCAGTCATCCCAAACGCCGTGGTCGCCGAGAACTTCCAGCCGAAATCATATGTCCCGAACTCCCGAAACGAAATGGACTATTTGAGACCACGGCCGCTGCCACAACGCCTGGGTCCGGGCGACACAATTGTAATCGTCGTTATTTCCCGATTATTCTACAACAAGGGGACAGATCTCTTGATTGCGGCGATTCCACGCATCCTCGCGGCACATCCCAACGTCCGTTTCATCATCGCGGGCTCTGGTCCGAAAGCTATTGACCTGGAGCAGATGCTCGAACGGCGAATGCTCCAAGACAAAGTGGAGCTTCTGGGCCCGGTGCGCCACGAAGAAGTTCGCGACGTGATGATCAGAGGGCACATCTACCTACATCCGAGTCTGACCGAGGCTTTTGGGACCGTCATCGTCGAGGCTGCTAGTTGTGGCCTCTACGTCGTCTGTACCAGAGTTGGTGGTATCCCGGAGGTCCTTCCAGCGCACATGACGACATTTGCAAAACCTGAAGAAGATGACTTGGTACTTGCGACAGGGAAAGCCATTGCTGCGTTGCGGTCGGGAAAGGTCAAGACCGAGCGGTTCCACGATCAGGTCAAAATGATGTACTCCTGGACCGATGTTGCACAAAGAACAGAACGCGTCTATGATGGCATCACCGGCGCCATCAGCGAACAAGAATTCTACGGTGAACATGCCAACGCGCCTTGGAGTGCCTCCCGTGTCCGTGGCTATGCACTGATTGACCGGTTGAAGCGGTACTACGGATGTGGGATATGGGCTGGCAAGTTGTTCTGCCTTTGCGTGGTCATTGACTACCTCATATTTTTGATTCTGGAACTCTGGGCTCCACGGTCGCGCATTGACATCGCACGGTCCTGGCCACGGAAACCCTTTATCAACGACAAGAACAAGCCCGTCGAGAATGGCGCCTATCGCCGTAGAGGTACAGACCTGATGGATCGGCGCAATGGAAGCCTCGTCATGCGCGAAGCTTCTTGAACCTCGGCGCGGAAATTTCCGTCGTGAACCGGCCACCACACGTGGACAGCCTTCACAGAATCCAAATCTTGGGTCGACAAGAGAGCTTCTTGTACAGGTAGCTCTTGTGTGAAACACCGACTGGTGCGGCGCGAGGTCCCTCGTAAAGCTGGAGAGGGCTACGACCAAAGTTCCCTTGCCATGACTTGGCCGACGCTGCCAGCCCGCGCTGCCTATTTGGCGCTCAGAAACGGCCGCAGGAGGAACGCGTTGTCTCTAGCTGTGTTACGAGAACTAAGGAGCCAGCTCCACGCATACAACACATCACCTGCCGACGGCTGTCTCAGGATTCTGCCTCCCTTCCAGCCAGGAATACTCACCGAACTGGAGTCAGCGGTCAAAGATGGAAACCCTGACGCCCGAAATCAATACGGGTGGCTCCTCGAAACCGACAAGTGGCAAGAGCATCGAGGTAAACTGCCCAAGGTCATTGTCTTACGCAGCGAAGGCACGGTCTTCTCATCGGGCCACGACTTGAGCGAACTCCGAGCGCTAAGTCACGATGAAGTGAAGGAGACTTTCCGTTTGTGCGCGGAAGTGATGTCTCTCATCAGGCGGTCTCCCGCACCGGTAATTGGTGTCATTCAGGGTCTTGCGACAGCGGCCGGAGCACAGCTTGCGTTGACGACAGACCTCCCGGTTGCTGCTGCTTCTACACAGTTTCGTCTACCTGGAGCGAGTATTGGCCTGCCGTGCACTTCGCCTTCTACGGCCGCCTCCCGCAGACTTGGCCACGCCTTCACTTACCGAATGCTAGCGCTCGCGGAGCCAGTCCGCGCCGATCAACTTCCTGGAGGAGCAGTTGAAGTAGTACCAGATGAGGAAGCTCTGGAAAAGCGGGTGGCCAACATGGTCAGTCAAATATCAGAGACCACCGCAGGACAACCCCAGGCGTTAGGTAAATGGGGGTATTGGACCCAACTGGGGCTGAACGGCGCTTCTTCTTCACATGGCGGTGACGGCTACGAGGATGCAGTGTCCTGGACCGGCAGGCTAATGGCATTGCACGCGAGATCTGCAGACGCAAACGAGGGTATCAATGCCTTCTTTGAGAAGAGGACGCCATCGTGGAAGACATGAGCTAGATCTGCCGCCCCAGCAGCATCATGCGCTCAAGGGCCCGGCATTCTAAACGAGGCTGCAAGTGGGCAGGCCCGCAGTATGACAGGCGGAGGTGAAATGACCACAATCCATCTGTGGCCATGAGTGGACGGCAGCAGTGCCTGAACAAGCCATTACACCTTCCGAATTCCCAGTGTGGCCAGATTTCCGCGTCGTGGGTTGTTCGCATATTCCGGAATCCTTACCACAGTAGGCTGCGTGGCTGCCTCGGCTGCTATTTAGTCAGCATCGACGCCCACGCGCGGCACCCCGAGCCCCTCGTTTAAGCGTGCCATGGCCTAATTGGACGGGAGGGCAGCGCCCGGAACAGTCGACCAGTCATGGTTCGGGCTTAACAAGTTCGATCCTTGGGGTTAAACCCGGAGATGCCCCTCCTTCTCCGAGTCGAATGTCCACCACGCTCGAGAAAAAGTTCTTTGGATATCGCATTGGTCTCCACGACGATGCCAGAATTGTCAAGAGGACGGCGTTTCTAATGGATCATGGCGCGCCGCGAGAGATTGACACCATCATCGTCGGTAAGTGTAACATGGCACATTCTGGCTCCTCCAACCAATTTTCAAGGACCCATGAGGACTAACGATCTATTTTGTTTCCTACTTCAGGAAACGGCCCGTCTGCGTTGATTCTGTCATACATCCTCCATGGCCACATCCCCTACTACGACCAATCCAACCCGCATCCCGATCCCGTCCTCCACGAAAGGTTACTTCGATCCAGCCATGACCTCCTCGACATCGACATAGACTTCCTGACCGAGCCATTTTCTGCCTCGAGATTCTCCTACTCCACTCAAGCTCTGCCCGTGAACGTCCTCCTCGATACCTTGGTCAGGCCCCTGGGAGAGACAGATGACGGGCAAAAGAAAACATGTGTCAAGTGGCGATATGAGCCTTCACGAGCGGTCGCTCATGTGGTTCTCGGACAAACTAAACAGGCTGGCGGCCAGTGGGTGGACAATCCGGTCCAAGCCAGTTGGGACATTGGAACGTTGAGCTATGCTGGCATGTTGTCGCTCCCAGGGTACGGTTTCGACGAGCACTATCAGAGGCGACATGGGCGACCTTTGCCGGTATTTCTCAGGCCTTCCAGACGTGCCGTGGCCGACTATCTTGCAGCATATCCCGATCGGGTGGGTATCTCCGACTCTATCCACAACGGAGAGCAGGTAGGGGGAGTGGCTCGGCATGGCGATGGCTTCTTCGTTGCTTCGCACAACATGCATTGCAGGCATCTTGTTCTGGCGTCTGGGATTTTCAGCGAGCTCATCGCACCACGGCCTTTACTACGTCCACTGGTCAATCTAAAGGATACCCAGAGTGCACCAACTCGGTTCCCTGTTCTTGTCATTGGCTCCGGGTTTAGTGCCGCAGATGTGATCATCTCAAGTCCGTCCGACCAGAAAATCATTCATATTTACAAATGGGCACCGTCGACTTCGCCCTCACCACTCCGAGGGTGTCATCAGCATGCCTATCCGGAGTACGCAGGAGTGTATCGTCGTATGAAGCTTGCGGCTCTATCATCATCCCAGTCGGAGAACAAGCGGCTCAGACCTGGTCGCAAGGCATCCGAGTTTGATTCGAGCCGTCACTGGCAATCTACGTACGAGGGACTGCCTAACACCGAGGTCAAAGACGTACAAATTGCAGACGATGTGCTCTCCGCGACGATCACCTTACAACGTGCAGGAACATCCGAGCCAGCGTTTCAACGTCGAGTGAGCGGTCTGGCTTACGTGGTAGGGCGTCGTGGTTCGTTGAAGTACCTATCGCCAGCTCTGCTCGGAGAAATCCTCCCTGGATTTGCCGATACAGCGGGCGATAAAGATGGCCCCATGATATCAGGTCAAACACTGCGCGAAAGAGCCAACGAGAACCTCGAACTGGCACCGCACGTCTTCATCACCGGCAGCCTGACGGGTGACTCGCTGATACGCTTCGCTTACGGTGGGTGTGCATATGCAGCCGGGAAGATCATGCAGGCTTCGGCCCAGGTCACAAATGGCACAGCCAATGTAGAAAACCAAAAGAGCAATGGCGTGCTCAGGGCTTGCTTGAGCCGTTATCAGACCCCTGTGTCTTCGCCAAAGATACCAGCTATGAACGGCTTGGATGGTCATGAGGCTAGTCCGGTGAGCCTGGCGCACAAAGAAGATTTGCCGCTGGACAGACGAAAATAATTATAGAGGCGCCGCCGGTAACACCGCGGCCCAGAAAGACCTGGATGATGTATGCTCGGGGTCCGATTTCTTGTGATTTGAACGGACCCCGGATGGTGTGCTGATATTCAATAATACTATGTACTGCCGGTTCCGAATATTAGAAATGTAGAGAGTGACGTGCTTCTGCCTATGTGTCTTCCAGTAAGACGCTAAAAACACTTGCACACATCTGCTCTACACTTCAGCGACACAGCACACCGAACAGGCTGACAAGGCTGTGAGTGATGGATGAGTGACATAAGCAAGGCTGCCGGGAAAGAATCTCCGAAGCTGTGACGCAACCACATCGCGAATCCCAAACGTCAAGCTCTGGAGATTTCTTGGAACAGAACCTCTAATCGCAATCATGGCACCGCAAACATATCGATGACACGGATCCCGTTCTGGCTTTCACGACAAGTAGCATGCCATGGAGGGCACTCCACGTTCATGCCGGACTACGCCTAATTTGCCGCACAAGAGGCCACATGCTACGGCATTCATCGACTTCAGCCAACCCATCAGTCACGCAACATCAGGTAGATAACCAGAACAGCCAGCTCAACCGTCCGTCATACAATCCGAATGACGAGGCATCTCTTTCCGACTTGGGCCACCAGATCGTTTCCGACTATGCCCACCTCCGCGCCGAGTACGAGGCGCCTAAACACCCGATCGTGCTAGCGCATGGGCTCCTGGGGTTCGACGAACTTCGCCTCCTACCAGGCAACTTGGTGCCCGGCATCGCCTACTGGCGGGGCATAAGGGAAGCCTACCAGTCGCACGGGATTCAGTGCATCACCACCGCGGTTCCCAGGACGGCATCCATCCCCGAGCGCGCTCAAGTCCTCATGGATCAAATCGCGTCCAAACTTCCCACCCACGAAGGGGGCCACGGCAAAGAAGTCAACATCATCGCACATTCCATGGGCGGCCTCGATGCACGGTATATGATCTCCCGGCTCTGCCCCTCTCCATCACGGTTTCGCGTCCGTTCGCTCACTACGATAGCGACGCCCCATCGGGGCAGTTCGGCGGCGGATATGCTCTTCAGAGACATCGGACCCGACCTGTTACCGCATATCTACCGCCTTCTCTCCCGCTTCAAGATCGACTATGGCGCTTTTTCCCAGCTCACGACGCCGTACATGCGTGACAAGTTCAACCGTGTGGTCCCGAATCATCCCGAAGTCAAGTACTTCTCCTACGGCGCCAGCGCGACTCCACATCTTTTCAGCGTGTTTAGGATGAGTCACGACCTGATGAATGTGATTGAAGGACCGAACGATGGGCTTGTCTCAGTTAGGAGTGCCAAGTGGGGGGAGTACAAGGGCACTCTGATGGGTGTCACGCATTTGGACTTGATCAACTGGACAAATCGCCTGAAGGTCGCGGCTGGACGGTTAGGATTGATCGAGGAGAAATACAATGCACAGGCGTTCTATTTAGCTGTTGCAGACAGCTTGGCCAAAGAGGGATTTTAGGCTTTGCAGGGAGGTTCACAGGTGACCCAGGCGAACAAAGTGGACAGGGGCATCCCGCAATTTTGACCCGGTGGACCAACTGTATAACATGGCCCGCTTGCGAGGCTGAAGGCAAAGGCATAAGCGTGGGCGCAGGCGCAGGCGTGGCTGTTGGGAAGCATGATTTTTGAGTCCTTCCGAGGAGATGTGTAAGTGCTATGTTACGCGGCCAAGGAGGCTTCGTGCTCCGAGTCTCTTGTAGACACGATTGTTACTTAAAATCAGTTCTCAAGCTGTTTCATAGCACGTCTGCCATAGCAATGAAAACCTCGTACGTCAACGATGGATGTAGCACCGTGCTTGCGCCGGTCTAGGTTGATCTCCCTGCATTCTGTCCACAAGAGGACGTGCTTTGCGACAAGGTGCTCACGCAATGTCTAAACAACCAACACAACGCCGCACCACTTCTCGCGCATCAGTCCTCCTTGGAAATCTTCTCTGGCACCTCGGGATGCGGCGAGGTAACAGTCTTGATCAAGTCATCCACGACCTTGCTCCCTGACTTCTTGCCCGCTGCTTCAATCTCCTTGACTTTGCTTTCCGCATCCTTGTTGGCGTCGTCTTCGGCTTTCTTGTTTCCGCTCGATTGCTGCAACACGGACTTTGTCAGCCTCTCGCTAGGCGCATAGGTGGTGGAAGTAGAATATAGTGTACCTCTGCTTCGAACTTTTTGAACTCTTCCTCTTTCTTCCGTCGATACTCCTCGATTTCTTTCTGGGCTTCGGATTTGGCGTCTTTTACTCGCTTCGTCCGGTCTGTGAGAGAGAGAGAGGCAGTCAGTGGGAGTCACTTAGGCCCAGCCCAGCCACTCTGAGCCGGTAGGGTTGTGGCATACACTCTCTGGCTATAGAAGTATCAGTATATGTTCCCTGCGGACGGTTAAAGCGAACACACCTTTCTGGACGATCTTCTGGGCCTCTTTCTCTGCCTAAGCGCGGTCAGACTCGGCTCACGAGTAGAATCCAGCTCCCACTCACATCGAGCAGTGTCTGAATGCCAGCAGAGTTCTGGGCAGACTGCGGTGATATCAGCACGAGTTGGTCGCGAAGTCGAGTAAGAGGGACAAACCATGTTGGCTCTTTACTTCCCGGAAGCGGACACTTGACCAAACGAGAGAAAACAACAGAGGACACGAGCAGTGAGAGGAGAGGCGAGTCGGAATATTAGAAGGAATTGTGTATTCTAGGCTGGCTGTTTCCTCAAATGATGCACGTTAACCTGCGCCGAGCTCTTGAAGCTGCGGAGCTGGAGCGTCTCCGATTCTCGTCCGCTTAAACATTTAGATTCCGCTTGCTTTGCCCTTCTCCTCAGCTCGGGTACAACAAGATCAGAAGGTCATCACAATGTCTACGGCCTCCAAAGTCACCCTCCTGAGCACCATCCTTGCTACAGGCGGTATTGTAGCCTTTGTGCATTGGGCTCAGACCGCCGAACAAGCTGTACGTTTCCCTCTTCCGAGTCTTTGTGCCACCGCGCCCTCGACTTTCCACGCTCCTTCCATTGGAAGAAAGTTTTGGAGCCTGTTAAAACTCACACGAATGCTGACGTTTCTTGATCCTTCTAGGCAATGCACGCAGGAGTGGTTCGAGATATGGAACAACAACGAGTCAAGCGCGAACGGCAAGCCGATTTTGACATGCAGCGGCAGCTTGAGCTCGAATATAAAAAGAGCCAAACAGTGCATGATACAAGTGGAAGTTGAAGCCCGGCCTTGTCACTACAGCGGGCCTTTTGACGGCTGGATTGCTCGTCTATGGGCCTAGCGCTATGTTCTGGTCTTTAAGGAGGGCATAATGTGACGAGGAACGATGCGCTTGAGGAGTCGAGTATATCCCGACTACGTGGCATCGATAGAGGATGATCAATCCCTGCCAGCAAAAGCAGCTGTTTTAATCGTCGACATCCATGACATATTTTATGATTATGGCCAGTTGTCGCTGAGGTGAACGGTGAACGGCACCACCGACGACATCGCAACAGCACCAACACGGAGCTGCTATAGCAGCGTGGACTATTGTGCTACGCTGAGCAGTTTGGCGAAAAGTCCGACTTCGACTGTCCACACGCCAACAAGTGCGACTGACTTGCGGAGAATGTGTAGGAAATGAAATTGAAGACACCAAACATGATATCAACACAAAGGCGGGAGGACCTGACAGACAATCTCCATTTCAGAGATGGGAGTAGGTTAGCTAGGCCTTGACAGATCCTTGAGGCTGGCGATTTGACTTCAAGTGCGCCAGAGGTCGAAGAGGCGTGAGTGACGGAGAGGTCACCATTACACAACGAAGACCAATTCTAACACGCAATTACAACTATTGCAAGGATCGTTGCAACATCAATCAAACTCAACGTTGGTCTCCTAGGAACCGCAGACTGCCAGCTCGGGTCCGCAGAGTTCCGTGTGATGGCTTTGATCCCCAGCAAACAGTCCTTCAACAGGACTTCATGCACTGTCGTGTGCTTAAGCTTCACTTCAACTTCACTTTTACAGGGCCAGCACCAAGCAGCCTTCCCCCTACGGCCAACATCCAGACCCTGCTCTTCTTCATCACTCATCTCGTCGAGGGTGTTACTGTCACTGCATTTCCTTTTCTCCTCTTTCCTTCTCTTCTCCATCTAACCTATCCCATAATTACTCGGGTGTCACTTCTTGAGCAAGTCGAAGAGACCCTGTGCTTTTGACCCTAGAGAACCCCGTACTAAGCACTGATGACGGCGACTAGAACGATGAACGCAAAGTACCGTAACCAACCGAGACCCCTGAAACGGATAGAAGCAAAACTAACCCCAGGTAATTTTTTCCAGACACGCTCGATCGCCCGTGATCAAGGTCGTCGCCGGCGAGAACGAAGTCTTCGGAGACGACGACCCAGCCGTGCCGCTCAACGTCTTCTACGTCAGCAAGTCCCTCCTCATCGAAAACTCGACCTACTTCAACATCATCCTCGACTCGGCTCCCGGGCGCGCCGTGGTCTTCCTCCCCGAACACGACTTCCTCGTCGTCGCGGACTGGTTGGACCTGCTCTTCCATGATCGTCTCGACCTGCTGCAAAAGGACACGCTTTCGTTCGACACCACAGAGAAGTACCTCGTCTTTGCGGACCTCGTAGGATCCGAGAAGCTCAAGAACGTGGTGGTGGATACCGTGCAGGCCAACGTCGCGCAGTACAGTATCTACACGCTCCGCGACTTGCAGGACAACCATCCGTCGCTTACCGTGTGCTTCGACATCATTCTGGAACACTTGGCGTATGTTGTCGTCACGGAGGGGTGGGCACAGTTCATGAACCAAACACACAGCCAGACGGAGACAGGATCAGATCAGGATCACGGAAGCGGCAGATCCGCTTGGAATGACTTCATCGCCGACAAGGACAACCTGGCGATTGTCAACAAGTTGTTGCTGAAGGTCGATGCTCTCAACGGCGAGAAAGCCCAGAATACGCTCGTCTCCCCTGCGGAGCGGGAGGATTGCAAGTGGCATGAGCATCTGAGTGAGGAGACCAAGGCAAATTGTCCAAGAAGGGGTGGGAAAAAGCAGGAATGCACGTGAGGAAGGTGTTGCCAAGCGGTATGCTTGTGAATGTGGTACTCCCAGGAGCAAAGTGTTGCGAAGCGGTATGCTTGTGAATGAGGGTACGCACAGGACGAATGGTGTTGCTTTTGGCGCTGATGTGGCTGCAGATCGCTCCGACATCAGTTGTGTGGGTTCAGGAGGAGCTTAGCTGCGTTGCTTACATTCAGAAAACCAGGTGGAGGTGTGCTGTGCGTCCAGTGCTGCGAGGGGAGGTGTGTTGTGTGTTCGTGCTACGTGCTGCAAGTGGAGGAATGCTACGGAGGGCTATGCAGTGCTGCTAGGACAAGACACATTGTCCAGCTGTTGGGCTGTTGGGCAGTTAGGCTGTGCTTGGAAAGAGCCACCAAAAGTGAAAAGTGGCTGACTGTCTGCAAGTCTCGCACTTACGGAGTAGACAAGTAGTAGGAAAGGCGTTGGCCATCATGGAGGAATGAGCGCGGGTAGTACTCGTAGCTTGTCATCCACTTGTCCTCTCCAGCTTGAGCGAGACCATACATACTCACATGAGCCACGTCTGTACAAGCAGTGAATTCTAGGGGCTAATAATGCGGAAGTGCTTCGACGACACCGACGACACCGACGACACAGACGACACAGAAGGACAAGAGTAAGGAACAGGTGCAAGGCTCAGCATCCTGCTGAACACAGTCGTCGTGATAAGGAGGAAGTGCATACAGTGCATATTGTTCATATTGTGGTACATCCCGCCAAGCTGTGCCGGCAACGTTGCTCACAAACAACACTTAGTTACGGAGTACTCTGTATACTCGACGCTCTACACTCGACGCTTTATACTTGACGCTATACACTCACACTTCACGACTTGTTGTCGACGACGTTGACGTCGTCGATAGTGGTGATCGTGCTATATACGAGTATATATATATGTATGCACGTACGTTATCCAGACATACGCCCGCAGTTTGTAGTCGTTGATTACCTATAGTTGAGGACACATCTTCCATGTCCAGCTACAGTAGCTGTGGCTTTGCTATATGTTGGCTCTGACATCAGGACAATCTGCAGCCTCTGCAGCGACGAGTAGACTGGGTTTTGTCAATCTTCAATATACAAGGGAAGGGTTCAATTCGACCATGTCATACCGCGCCTGAATTGATTAGACTCTATAAGTATATAACGGCCGCTATAGTCAACCCAAACGAGCATCACGAGCATCACGAGCATCAAGGCCATCGTCAAAATGTACAGTAGCGTGGACAATCTAGCAGCAACGGGAGAGCAAAACCGGTCACGGCTGGTCCAGCTACTCTAGTCAGAACAACGTGTGGAATGTACATGTATATTATGAGCGATCAGTCCGCTGGTCCGTCGGGATGGTGTGTCATATTCCATAGAGTACCCAAGGTATCCTACTGAGTCTATACTACGATCTACCCTCGAAGTCGTCCAATGAAACGCACGCTAAATCTAATGCAAGTTGCAAGTGGCGGCACTCTCTTCACGTACAACAGAGAACTTACCAACCCCTTTGAAATGCATCCACATAATAAAAAGCAGTAGCTGGTGGCATGACTATAATGGCCGAGTAAAGCGGCGAGGGACCATGTAGCATGTTTCAATAGACGATTTCCAGGGTAGACCGTAGTACAGTTAGCTGAGCAGTCTTTCCATGAGGTCCTATTCTGCGTCGGATTCTGGCTGGCTAGTATTCCATTGATGTCCTGGCTCGCATCGGTTGTGGCCCGCTTCACGAAATGTAGGACTGAGTGGAAGAAACGAAAAGCCAAAGAAAAGGAAAACCCGAGACATCTGAACACGACGGACTGGCCCAAGGAGCCGAATATTTCCAGTTCTCCTCGAAATGCGGATGGATCAAAGACAAGCACGCCCACCTCTTAAGCACGACTACGATCGTCCGACCGGCGACCGTTGAGACACGTGTTTACTGTACCGTACAGTACATATAATCCACGTCCACTTGTCCGTCGATTCTCACATGGGTGCCACACCGGCTGCGAAATGCTTTCCGGCCCTTTCAGCCATCGGATGATCTTTCTTCGCGAGGTAACCTTAGAACCTGTGTGTACCTACCTGGATCTGTACATGTGTCTGTTCTGCGCTAACTGCGTTACGGGATACCCTCGACACGTCTGGGACATGGACATGTCGATGATGGAGCCAGGTCCGGGCCCTGAGCCAGCAGTAACCACACGTGCAGATGAATGCGTATAGGAAGCGAAGCAAAGCATATGCTTGGTTATGCTCCGTGACTGATGCATCGTCCGATTAATGACTATCGATGCAAGATGATCATACTCCGTATTCAATCTGCAGGTCGACGTTCGTACCGACTTCTGTGCCCCAGCTGGTGGACTCGAACACCAGGGTCTTTAAGAACGCACTCCTCGCGGATCGCTACGATCCGCAATCTATGAGGTCCGTAAACTGCGATATCACCACGGAATCTGTGGTTCTCCCAGCGGGTGCCTCAGCGGGTGCCTCAGCGGGTGCTTGGGTGACTGGCTGGGAGGTGACCGGAACGGACGGGCACAATACGGGCCTCGTGGAAAGAAGGAAGCCCTGCCAATTGCTCGTCGGGCGCAGGAAGGGATTGTCGAGCAAGGCGGACTGCGTGACGAGGCGAATTGGAGTCTGTTCGCTGGCTTCCGCGCCACTTGGTAAGTAGAGAGCACAGCTCTCCAACCAGTCAGTTGATCCGTCGGCCTGGTTTCGCCCGGAAGGAGTTTGAGAGTCCAGCAAGGAATTCCTTCCCGCACGACGGGTTACTCATCGTACAACGGTTCTGGTATCCTCCTGTCGACTTCCATTCGCATCATCGGTTTCGATTCACGTCGCAAGTCGCTCGTAGAACCAATCCCCATCAACCCTTCTTCTTGTCCTTTTTCTTCTTGCCGCCACTTGACTCTGCACCACCTCCACCACCACCCATCAATCCACCCAGTCCGCCCATGCCTCCCATACCTCCCATCCCGCTCATCATACTCTGCAGGGCAGCCATATCCGGCATCCCTCCCTCCCCGCCGCCGCCAGGCCCACCACCGGCTAAATGCCCCTTGGCCTGAGCGGCCTTCAACTCCTCCATGGCCTCTTGGAAGAAATTATCCTTGACGCCGCCACCACTCACCGCATTGCTGTGCACCGGCAAGATCGTATTCATCTTCCACCCCCTCGGAACGACGATCTCGCTCTCCAGAAACTTCTCCGGCACAGGCAGGCCCGGCAGTTTCAACTCCAAGGGGGTTTCCTTGGTCGTGGGATGTTCCACCAACCATTTCCCGATAATACTGTACAAGTGGGCTTTACTCTGCACGTGGCGGCTCACCGGCTTGTTGGCGGCATCGAAATCCTTCAGCTGAATCTTCACCCGGCCGGGGTTCGCCCAGTCCTTGGGATGTGTCTTGTCCGGCTCAAACACCACGCGGAACACATTCTCGCCTATGCTGAAGCGGATGGCGCACAGTATCTGCCACGCCAGCGGGTTGGGGATTGCCAGACCTTTCGACACACGCCGCCCTTGGGATTTGGACCGCGTCGAGTCGAAGTAGATCGGGTAGATGCATTGGTAGTGTTTGACTTCGGCCGGAGGCTGTCCGCGAAAGTGAGGGTGAGAGTCTTGCGCGGCTCCGTTGGGGGGAGGCCGGAAGAGCGTGGGGTTCGGTTGTTGAGGTATCGACGAGGACTGTGCTACGGTTGTGGGCCGGATGATTTGGTCGTCGTTTTGTGGGAGGAAGTTGGAGGGGTCGTCGATTTCGGGATCCGAGTCCGACAGTTCTTCGACGCGGGCGTGTGACATTGCGGTCTGGTATGGCTTGAGGGATGTAGGGAGGTAGGTCTTTAGGTGGATATCTCTGCCTCAAAGTGATTACCGTATGTTATGGCGCGAGAATCATATGTGGCAGTCTGCAATATTGGTGGACAGAGAGCATGGAATCTTCAACGTTGAGAAACGTGGGGAAATAAATTCCGCCGACAGGTTGATCCGTTCCGGCTTGGCATATTACCAGGCATGGTACATACTGAACCGTGTCTTATGGGAGCCTCAGGAGAATCACATAACGACGCGATGTAGAACCCGGAACGTGGAATCTACAACACGCAGGATGTCTAGTCAACGTCTTTGCTCATGGCCTCAATTGCCAGCTATATGGACATGAGGTCTTATGACCTGCCGGCGATATTGTCTGATACTAGAAAGTATACGCCGGAGCTACAGCAGTGACGGGTTCTGGCATTCCATTTTGCGCACCTATTCTGCGACGGCGCCACTCTGAATGTCACTCAACTACTCGATATCCCATTCCTCGTCCTCGTTCAGGCGAATATACGGCACGGGCAAGTCCTTGGGGCCGAACTTCTCCTCGGTGATGGTCAGCCCATTACCCAGGAAGGCGAATACGTTGGTCGGATCGCAATACTGCATCTCGTAGTGCTCGAACCGCGGCCGTTTCATGTATTTCATGTGGTGGAACAGGCTGCCGGGCCAGATGTACACGCGGCCGTTTAATTTGTTGTCCTGTGTCAATGTCACGACGGGCCTCAGTAAGGCGGTAAATAACACTTGACGCAAGACGCGGATATCGAGATTGTGGGAGGGTGCAGCGCATACAAGACGAATGTTTCGACATCAAGGTGAGAAGGTCAAGTAGAACAGGGGCACGCCCACTCACTTTATACCAGCTCTTACAATCCTCGGCCCAGACGCTGCGCTTGGTATGCCACGCATCCATGTACAGGTTCATCTGGGTGGTGACGTCCTGCTTGGGCATCGCCCCACCGGACGCCGTCCTCCTGCATCTTCTTGCAACACTGCAGCATGTAGCCGATGTGGACTTCGTGGCTGGGCAGGATGCAGCCCTGGCCCCAGTTGCCGCGTGGGCCGTTGACGGCGAAATAGTTGGGAAACCCTGGGGCGGCGACAGACGAGTACACGTTGGGTGTTTCTTGGTCCTGCATGACTTGGCCGCCGAGGCCCGTGATGCGGAAGTGCGGCAGAAACGCGACGTGGAAACCCATGGCACAGGCGAGGATGTCGCATTTTCGCTCGGTGCCGTCGGCGGTGAGGATGCCCTGAGGGGTGACTTTGACAATGTCGTCAAACACGCACGTCATGTTGTCCTGGATCCGGGCCTCGAGGTATCCTTCGCCCGGCGTCAGCCTGCGACACCCGGGGCTCCACTCCGGGATGAAGCGCTTCTTGAGGTCGTCGCGGTCGCCCAGCCTCTTGGCCATATCCTCCTGGAGGTGCTTCTTGGCCATCGCGCTCTCCTCGGTGCCGCGCAGGAACACGCGGAACAGGCTGACGATCGACCGCTCGACCTCGCGCCGGTAGTTGAGGAGGTACTCGGGGTCGGCGCGGAACTCTGCTTCTCCTTCTCCGTGTACGTGTGTTTGCCTGCAGCTTGGGGAAGCTGGGCTTCCGGGTCGGCCTCTGTGTTCGCAATCGACGCGAACGGCGTGGCGATGTACGTCTGGTTGCGGGTGAAGACGGTAACGTGGGCCGCCGTCTCCTGCAGCTTCGGCACCATCTGGATGGAACTGGAGCCCGTGCCGATCACGGCGACCGTCTTGCCCTTCCAGTCGATGCTGCGATCCCAGTTGGCGGAATGGGCCAGCGTGCCCTGAAAGTCGTGCAGGCCGTCGATGGCCGACCACTTCCACTTGTTGACCGTGCCGGTGCCGTTGACGAGGACGTCGCACGTGTCCGTGAAGGTGCTGCCGTCCCTGCGCTTCAGCTCGACCGTCCATTTCGACGGCGTCTCGTCCCACGTGGCGGCCACGACCTCGGTGCTCAGCTGAATGTACTTCTCCACGCCGTACTTCTTGGCGAAGTTGAGCATGTACGTCTGGATCTCGTCGCTGTAGCTGTAATAGCCGCTCCATTCCGGGTTCGGCTCAAACGGAAACGTGTACGTGTGGGCAGGAATGTCGCACGCGCAGCCGGGGTATCTGTTTTCCTGATCAGATCGCCACGACTTTCGCAACCCCGGGTGGTCCGGCCCATCTGTCTGACCTGTTCTCGTACCACGTCCCCCCGATCGCATCATTCTTGTCGTAGCAGATCAACTCGTAGTTCTTGAGGAGCTTTTCGGCCTTGTGCGCAAACAGGAGCCCCGACGCACCGGCCCCGACATGGATGATCTTCAGCGGCTGTGGCGCGCATTGCGGATAATCGCGGATGTCGTCCGCCGTGTATGGTCTCTCGCTGATCACAGGCATCGTATGTTCGTGGCAGTCAGGCGTCGTGGACGCAGACGCAATTCCTCATCGTGCTTCCAGCCGAGAGCTTGGTTCGAAGCTGGCCTATATACCACCTCCGCCGGCCGGCCCGTATCGAAAGCCCTTCAACTTCATCGTCACCCGGTGTCCTTTTGGTGGACAAGACGTTGTCAGGCCTGAATCATCCCAAGGAGGCAGTAGGTGGAGAGCTGGACGACAGGTCTGGTAGCATCTGCCGTTGGAGGCCGTGTCACGCCGTGTTTCTTCCTCGGCCGTTCCCTTCTGGGCCGGCCACCCTGTCCGGATAGACTCCCAAAGGGGAAAACAAACTGGACTGTCTGTATACAATCACACGGCAGAAAGCGGGGTTGGGCCAACCGTGGTCAGAAGGTGTCGACGGCTCTCTATACGACTACCAAAAGACAGGCGCACGAGAATAGGAGATAAGGAGGAAAAGGAGGAAAGGAAGCTGGCATCAGGCCCCCGTCGTTGGCGGCTTGCGCTATCCGGGCCCGGCCCTCGATGAGCATCTCGCTGAGCCCTTCACTGGTCAAGAGACGATCAGATCGGACAGCGCGTCTCGTCGTGCCTTGCGCGTCGGAAACATGGATGAGCATAGAGGACGGCCGGGCCTGGCCAGGAAAAGGTAATGGCCGAGTAACTCCCTGCCCATGTGTCAGTGGAAAGGCACAGCGGGCGTCTTCACAGGAGCGACGGCACCCAGCAACACGGTGTACGAAGTGATTCTGCATTTCTGCCAAATGCGCTAGCATCGCTTTCAAGTACTGTAAATATTCTATTGCGTGCCCCGTCATCTCTCCACCTCACTGGAAGTCCGTCTACAAAACAGCGGCAGCGCCGGCAGCAACGGCACCCATGATCATCAGACCATTGGAGATGACATTCGAGGTCCCAGCATTTCCTGTCGGCGACGCACTGGCACTATCTCCCGTGGCGCTGGCAGTGCTGGAAGCGCTGCTGCTTGAGCTGCTGGAATCGTCTGAGGCGGCGCCGAAGACACCGCCCTGGACAGTCTCAGGCGACGATGCCTGAGCATTGGCTGCGGCAGATTTGTATGCGTCGAGGGTATTACCGCTGGATCTGTTTCGCATCGTCAGTGTCCGTGATGTCTCGGTCCGGGGGGGGGGGGGGCCTGAAGGGTTCAACTTACGGAGGGTTCACAACCATGACCATGCCTCCCTCACAGTGGCCAACTGCTGAGCAGTACAGCCACAGTGGATCCGTGCTGTTGACCTGGATCCGCCAGATATCGCCATTGTTGGGGAATCCGGAGTAAACGCCAGCGCCGCCGTCCATGGGCACGCAAGGAGCATCAAAGGTCGACTGAGCGACGGAGTGACCGGAGCCGAATGTGAATTCAACCCAGTCGCCTTCAGCGGCGGTCACAGTATCGGGAGTGAAAGTTAGGCCTGGGCCCACCTTCACCGCGTGGACGCCAGCGCTCGAGGAGGAGGCCGAGGCAGAAGTTGTCGCTGATCCGCCGTCGCCATATTGAGGGGAGGCGAGGACGGATGTGGCCAGCACACCGAAAACCAGCGTTGTTGAGGACAGGATGGAATGCATTGTGGTTGATGTGGTGATGTGTGGAGCGTGGGTCCGAGAAGAAGCAACGGTTGTTCAATCACCGGGATCGAATGGTATTTGGCTTGGGGAAGAGAGGCGGGAGGAATTCTGGTGTTACTGTGGGAGTTTGCTGGTGCTGGGGAATGTCCCTTGCAAGATCGGGAGGAATGTCAGCTCTTTATATCCTATTTGACATGCAGTCAGGGGCAGGAGTCTCGCAAGCACAACACGGGCTTCGTCAAGTACTGCCAAACATGAAGTGTTTGAACAGCACGGCTCGATCCATGCCGGCAGAGTGAGCGCAGTTGCGTGGCGACCATGTTCCTGAGCCGGCAATATCGCGAATCAGCGTCATGCTGGAACTCGAAACTCCGCACGTTTGAGGTTGACTCGGGTAAAGTTGTCAGTTCAGGGGACGCTGGTGAAGGAAAGTCGAAGGACCAAACAGCGCGTGGCCGCGTTCACTCTCCGAAGTTGGTGATGAGAGAAGCTAGCCGCGATGTGGTGGATTGGACCAGCCACGCGCTGGACAAGCAATGACGAAACACATTGGAAACGTGAAAGTCTGACCCCTGAGTCCTTGATCCCTTCGAGATAACCCTCCGAGCCCTTGAATCCTTCTGGGTCCAGTGCCGCGTAACCACAAAGTATCAGGTAGGAAGGAGGTTGAGCAACGTGAGCAGTTGGGGAAAGGAGCGAAGTCGAAAATAGATTCTGCTGGACGGAGTATTCCATCCGGGTTACTTGCAAAATGGTGGTTCCCCGGGTGCTCGAGAGGATAGGTAGGCTCTTAGGTTAGGGTGAAGGCGATGGATCGATTTGCAGCCTGTGGGCGCACCCCTGCTGTGTCTTCATACCCAGTCGGGGATCTGCTCTGCGCTCCACCGTCGCCCAGGCACTCTGGAAAACGCCTAAACCCTTGGCCCGGGTCCGTGATTTACCCTGGTGCCGCAGCCTTGCCGCACAAGGTTTCCGGCCGGTCATGGCCTGGCTGCGCAACACGACAGTCTCCGGTAGACCTACACGCGAACGGTATGCTGGGTAGAAGGCCATGGTGGCAACGGCACGTCTGCGGCTGTCACGCGGTCTGCTCAGCGTGCCATGACGGTGGTAAGACTATCGAATCGTTCTGTTCGACATGCGTTGCGTTCACGGCATTCTTCCGGCACGAAGCTAGTCTCTGGTATATATTTAGGCCTCGCTCGTTGCGCGTGTGCTCTTGAGCCAATCGGCGACAACGTGGTTGTGATGTCCCGGAACGTCAAGGCCATACTCTCGTCTCTTCAATTTCTCGTGGCTTGTGCGTACGAATCGCCTTGCGGCAGATGAGGGTACGGGAATGCGACGGCGGGAGGTTGGGTCATTTGCCATCCGGTGAATGTGCGATATGGGTCGTGCCGACTTCAGTCTGGCCCGTCCAGCAATGTCGCTACTGTGAAAGGAGGAACGAGTGGGATATGACTCGTCGCTGCTGGAAACAATTCTCCTTCGGGAATTCCAAATGCCTAACTCGAGCCTTGATATTGGACCGGTTGACGGCACACACCTGCCCAAATCATACTGCACCTCCGAAGGTATCTCTGTTCATCCGGGCAGAGCGGCAGCCATTAATTTCTCGGTCAGATCTGCGTGCCAAAAATAAGATCTCTGGTTTCTTTGGGCAATGGCCTGCAGGAGCGAATGTGCGCCACGACATGCACGAATAATTCGTCCTCCCAATTGCCATGACGGAGAGCCATTTCCGCCTGTTGCCATGAGGACTGTTGCGACCCAGATCATGCTCCGGCGGGCGTCTTCCTCGAAGGGATCCATCTGCTTCGTGACTTGTGCCATGCAATGGAGCCGGAGAGCCCATTCCATTACGGAGTAGACGATTTGACCGTTCATATAAATGCAAAACGCACACAGCCCAAGAGCCAGCAAGCGTTCTATCGCCCCAAGCCTGCCCTGTTGCAGCAGGTCGAAGGCTCGAAATGAATCAAAGGACATCGCATCCGCGATACTTTGGTTAGCCTCTCCTTCTTGACCTACTTGAGCAATGTCTGCAAGCTGCTGGTTCCATTGGTGTATTCGTTCAATCAGGCTTAGGATCTGCAAGTTCATCGGACAGACGCCAGATATTTCCGCGAATCCCGGAGGCAATTTAGCCATCCGATCCTTGAACTCTGGTGAAAAGGGGCAATGCGTATGTTGTTCAGCCACTGATGATGCGTCGCCGAACCCTGCACTCCTAACATGGTCAAACTGCCGGTAGTTCAAGAATCTTTCAAATCTATTCGTTGCTCAGTAACCGCTTGAGCAGACGACTTCAGCAGAGCTTACTGCAGAAGAATGAGCTTGACCCGTTCGCTCGAACTCGTGGAGTTTACACCGCCTCTGAGATAGATAATGTGCCGCAAAGCGCCAAGATGCGTTCCCATGGCCTGCATGTTATCCTGCACAAGCTACGCTGGTAGTCAGCTGGGTTATCTCAACTGAGGATGGACCTTACCTCGGTTGCAGCTAACATGAGGATGGTCCACATCACAGGATCGGAGGTGCACCTTTCCGATGAAGAGATTCTCTCCCGGAGCTCGCGAAGCACAGTACTGCGGTGTGCCAATAGCAGCTCGCCCGCACTTCCTGGCTCTGGACTGAATCGATCTCGCATTTCAGAGGTCCATACGACCAAAGCTTGCGCCAACATGTTGTCTTCGAGCATGACAGGGTCAAGAAAGTCCCCGGGCTCAAAACCGATACTTTTATTGCGACGATGTATGACAAACGGCGCAAAGCATCTAGACACTAGAGCAACATTGTTAAATGGGGTGGTATTGGACAGACGAAATACTCACAGAACTCAATCGCGGCGTTTGGGTCCAGATGATGATCGCTCCTGAAAGCCCGGCCAAGGTTGAGCTGGACGAGGAGTCCAGAGATTGTACGAAGCTCCACCGCTGCTCTGTCTGGGTCCAACACGCTGCTCGGAACAGGTCTGGGAGCATGATCTCCTGCTGGCAGGCCGAGCTGTACCTTGCTCGATGAAATCGAGGACGAGGGGGGCTGCTGCGAGGAATGTTTGTCGCTCCCTGTGGGAGGATTTCCGAGTTTCATCCTATACATGTACCCTTCCTGCGTCAACTTGGATCGGACAGATCCCCAGTTTGGGTTTTTCTTGTCCATTTCTGCCAATGGCCAGGTCGTTATCCGCAGCTAGAGCGGGTGGTCGGCGGAATGATTGCTGGAACGTGGTCGATTGTTTCGGTGCGTAGTTGTGCGGCCATCAAAACGAATCTATTTTGTGCAACGGTTATATAGCAAGACCAACATGTCGCTGTAGCTGAAAACATTACTCTCATCGCTCTAGAGGATGCGCGCATTGCGAAAACCCATGCCAGTTACCGTGAGCCCTGCGCGTGAGCTGTCCGCTTGTTATAGCCATTACCCGCACAGATCCGCGATGATACATCGACGGACGTTCCCGTTTCGAGACCATGCGGCGCTCATCACCATAAGAGGTGGGTTTCTTCTGATACTGCTGTCTGGATGTTCCTAGCCGTTGATAAACGGTTGTCGGGAGAGGCATCGCGAAAGGGCCAGCGAGCGGTGGTCGCGTGGCTGGCCCAGATCTTCGGACCGACAATATTCCTGGTAAATCTGACACCTGAATGGTGGAATCTCATCGTCCGGCCAGGCCTACCATGCCCGATCCAGTGTTTGCTCAGCTCCCGAGCACCACCGCTTTGGGCGGGGTGATCCGACTCCGGGCGCAGATGAAGTCCCATAGGCCACTTTTCGCAGTCCCTTGCTGAATGCTTGTAGCTCTAGCCCTAAAGAGCAGTCAACTGTTCTCCGCGCTTTACTGTCGGCGATCCCGAAGGTATGGCCCTGCGTGCTTTGGTAAGGTGCAAATGTCGTTTTGGATCAAGCCCGATTCGCTAGCCCCGGCAAGGCTCTCTACCGAGAACATGGGCCGGGGATAGTGCGCTTGCCAAAAGGCATGTCTGCTGGCAAAGCCCATCGTGAGAGCCCAGGATGTGGCAAGGAGTATTGTACCAGAATGGATTTTGTAAAGCGCGAAGGGACACGTCCAGAGACTGTGATGTCGTCGCAAGCGCACGCCTGGTTGTGGCAACCTCTCCGGTATCTCGGTAGTTCTCTCGCGATCAACATAAGATTAGGTCATTGGTGCAGCTGCTCCTTCTGGATAGAATCTACAAGAGCTGCAGCAGGCGGGATGTCACACCAGCGACGAGCTCCGTCTTCTGGATGTCGTTTTTGCATCTTTTCAGCTCGTGCCGGACAGGAACTCGAGTCGCATATTCCTGACTAAACGACGAGGGGATGAACCGGCAGAGTCGTCGGCGATCCTTTTCACCGGGTGTGTCAGGTCTTGCGTCGGTACGAGCGGAGTTGCATTGCGCTCAAACTGAGCCTACTACTGCCCTCGAGGGGAATTTCCGTTTCTTATAGCTAGATTTTGAGCAGCGCTTCGGCCGTAAGGACGATGCATCATTCTCGCGAACGGGTAACAGGAGTATGAGGGATGTGTGAATTGGTCAAGCAACAGATGCGGCGGGCTAAGTTCTGGAGGTGGATTCGGTAATTCGGTGGCTAATATGCGAAGCATGCAACTTAATTACTTGAAGGTGAGAATGATTTCAGCCTCGGAACCCAGAAAGTCATGAGATCATGTGCGGTCCTTTTGGGAGCTCCAGAATACCTATGTGCCAAAGCGCGCTCAAGCTTTCACAGAGGCAACATCGATGACGATTGTCTTGACGTAGGTGAGGTGTCAAGGTTGGTCGACAGACATGAAGCTCGATCTCATCAAGCTGTGGGCGCGACTCGTGCACTGTGTCATGTCGTGATCTGGTACCCAAAGCTCCAGCGGCCGCTCATTGCAATCAGAAGTGTGAGAGCTCTGATCTCCCGTGAAGCCCTGTCTCCCCGCGGTTGCCCTGTTTACGCAAAGACTTCTCGCGCCTCTTAACACGCAATTCGCAATGCCCTCGTCGAAGGACAAATACACGGATCCCAAGTTGCGGGATGAGGTGAAGGAAGAGGTGCAGCAATCCGATAAGGGTGGCGCGCCTGGACAATGGTCTGCTCGCAAGGTTTGGCCCAATGTCGGCATGGCTCTGTCATCTCACGCTGACAGTTTTCCCAGGCTCAGTTTATGGCCAAAGAGTACAAGAGCAGAGGCGGCGGCTACAAGACCGACAAAAAGGATCAGGACGAGTCGCAGAAGCATCTGAGCAAGTGGACAGAAGAAGAGTGGCAGACCAAAGACGGCAGCGGGCAGGCAAAGCAGGACGATGGCACCCGGAAGCGATATCTGCCAAAGAAAGCCTGGGAAACGATGAATGAGAAGGAAAAGAACGAAACCGAGGAGAAAAAGCAACAAGGCAGTAAGACAGGCAAGCAGTATGTGCCGAATACCTCTCGTGCAAGGTCTGCCAGAAAGAAAGCGAACGACGACGAGGACGAAGCATTCGAGAAGCAGAAAGAGCAGGAGAAGGACGAGGAAACTGGCAAGCAGACACGGAGTAAGTCACGAAAAGTAGCCCCGGGAGAGAGGCCCAACAGCAAGCAAGATTCCCCGCCCAAAAAAGCCAGCCGGAAACGTGTTCGCGATACAGCGACGAAGGGGGATGCAGAAGGGAAGCCTCCTAGTAAGAAACGGAAAGACAGTATAGAGTCTGCGGAAGGCAAGAACAAGACCACCGTCAGCGCGAAGCATGACGGCTCACGTCCACCGGCCAAACGGGGCTCGAAGACGAGATTGCAGGACAAACACCGGACGGTCCGTTAGAGGTCAACGCCAGGCTGAGTCGAAGTCAGCGTTGTCGAAGTCGTCAGGACGGCCAAAGAGGTGGATGTCAACTTTGATGACCTGGGTATATCCATGCTCCAGTGTATCATATCTGTCTTGATCGGTATATCTATAGTTTTGCTTTAGCAGCACCACCCGCCTTCGCCAGGATTGGCTCCATCTTCGTTGCTTCAGGTCTCGTCAGCCATGTGGAATACTTGTATAGGGACGGTGAGGGTACCTTTCATGACGTTGCCTCTGACCTTCAGTTTCCCACTCATGAATAGTGTCTGCGCCTTTTGCTTGCCGGTGATCAACTTGGCAAAGTTCTCGTCGGACAGGATGAGCGTCACTGGCATATGTCAGTCCACCGAGACCTTCACAGAACTTCGCACTGGAATGTGTACCATCGGCCTTCTTGCCCTCGGGGGCCTCGCCTTTGCCCACCTTTCCTGTCTCCTTGAGATCGATATACCACGCCTCCTCATTTCCCTCGGTGTTGGTCAGCTTGAAGGTGAAGACGGCGCCTCCCTGCTTGACAGCTTGTTTACGTTCGGCTTCATTGGAAGAGAGAGCATCATTGATGGCATCAAAAGCCACCGATGAAGGGAAGGCGTCTGAGGAGCAAACATCAGCGGTGCTTCTTGCCAGGATGAGTCGGGTGTACAATACCGCTCTTGAGAGACATTGTGTGTAACTGCGTGCTCGTGAGGAGGGACGGTCGAGAAACTGCACAGCGGTAAGTGCCAGCTACGGAGAGTGTCGAGCACCGAAACCGAGTCGGCAACCCTGTTGCGAGAGTGGCAAGTACCTATTTAAGTCGAAAGTCGCAGTCGAAAATGATCACATGGCATGTCGAGGGAACAGCGAACACGGAAACCGAAACATGAAGTCATCCAGCAGTGACAAACATGTGAAAGGGAAATGAATGGGGAATTCGCCGAGGCTCATCTCAGCCTCACTTCCGCTTCCCCTTCCGCTTCCACTTTCTCTCTGCCCGGACTTGTGGTTGGCACCAGCGAGCGGTGCTTGTCGACTGACGCACACTCTTTCTGCTGTACGAGAGCGTGGTAGGGCGCCCGAGACCCCCACTCGATCTGTAACACAACCCAATAGATGTACAGAACCTGCTTGGCACGGCGGACAACACACTGTAACGGAGCAGTGAGCACTCGTGCTCACCAGAGAACTGGCACAGCAAGGAGCTGCACTGACCGCGTCCTCAGCATCCTTCTCCCCACGTGCCTCCTGACGCGTAACAACAAGCTCTGACAGCGACGCAGCTAGCCACAATGCAGCCTTCTCGAGTACTTCCTCGCATCTATGGTCACACCTGAGCCTGCGGTGACACTGACGACCACTGGCGATAGTGTTTGTTGCGGGAGAGGCGTTCCACCTACATTCTTGAGAGAGACCGAGTTAACCGAACCGTAGAGAAGCGCTTCACGAGCCTGCTCAGGGAAGAATGAGGCAGCCTCAACCTGGTTCGACAGCCATTTCCCAGCGTCATGCTGCGGCGTCTGACCTACCTGCGCTGGGATGAAGAGCTGGGCCGGTGTAGCAACCACCATGGAGACTCATTTGAACTGGACTCACTGACGCTGGCGGCCGGCTCATTTTCCTGGTACCTAGCAAGCCTTCCGAGGGTTTCATGGATCGGCGGTGAAAGCGTCCCGGGAGACCTATGCTGACGATCAGCTTGATGGGCCTTGATATGGCGCCTACTGATCCTCTGCCTATTCAGCGTCCTGCTACTGCTGTGTCTCCGTTCCAGAGCTTGCTGCTGCTCTGTGGTCACTCGGAGATCTGAGAACGGGACTTATGCTCCTAGCACTTCTTCTTTCGATCTGCCGCCTTGCATATGCCGCCAAGTAAGTTCGTGATATGTGGCAATGTATCACACTCTTACTCAATCTCCTGCCTGGGACATCGCCGGCTTTGATCCCTAGCCGTTGAAATGTTCTGGTCACACCTACGAAGTACAGCGCAAATCCCCCAGGAAACGCAATGATTCGCGGTTGTGATTGCAGGGCTTCTGCGATTTCAATTCAGGAAGCCTTGCTGTGGTATTGAGGCCGCAGCCACGTCAAGATTCTGTACAACGTCTCCGTGCCGGGCCTTCTGCCGGCTGGAATCAAAAATGGCTTTATATCTGGCGCACTCGACAGGTGAATCTCAGCGGCAGGTCTCAACGAACTGATAGCGATACCTCGAGAAAAGCGATAAATCAAAGCTATGGCTCCCCTGATTGAACTCGACGCCACAGTGGCAGACCTGTACCGTACCCACGGCATCACAGGACCCTTCATCACGTCAACACACTGCTCCTTCGCCCACCTAGATCTCCATCCCTTCTGGACCCGAGAGATGGTCTTCCCGGAAGATGAAGAGCCTATCCCATACAGCGCCGACGAACAAGAGAGGAACCGCGTCAGGAAGATCATTTTAGGGCTCAAGCCGGTAAGGCGGGCCCTCGTCCTCGGAGACATGCACGTCCTATTTCTCAGCCCGTGCGCGGCGAAAGAAAACGTTGATCGCATATTCAACCAGTTGATCCCCGAGCAGCGGCCGCGGGCTCGGTATGTCGACCTCGACCAAGGGGACGTCGACCAACAGCTTCACTGGCTCAGCCAGGGCAGGACGTTGATCTACTGGCGTCCTCAAGGCTGGATGCTGGAGCACAGTTGCCTCGTGCCCCCTCGCGTGGCCTACGAACTCAACTCGAAGCTCTACCTCGTAAACTCGGGAATCCGCACCCCGGCCTCAGAACCGATTCAACTTGCCCCGAACGTCGCCGACTCCGTCCTCGGCACGCGCAAGCTCCCCTTTGTGGTGAAGCTCTTCCTCGCAGGCTGTGGCTTCGGCACTCACCTGGTCACCAGCGAGGCGCGCCGCCAAAGCATGCTCGCAGCCATGGCCGAGTATCAATCCCGCGGCGGTACCCACGTCCTGCTGTCCGAGTACATCCGCGCCAAGCAATGCGATCTGAGCGCGCATTTCGTCATCGGTGCCCCCTCGGATACGCACAACAGAGACAACCCGCTCATCATGGGAGTTGCGATGCAGAGCCTCACCAACGACGGGCACTGGACGGGCAGTAGCATCGACTACGGCGCACAGGACGAGCTGCGCGACCTCCTGCGCGACACGATCCGCGACACGACGCGACGCCTGCCCGAGTCCTTCGTCGGCTGGTGTGGCGTTGACGTCCTCATCGACGAACAGGACGATCAGTGGGTCGTCGACTTGAACGCCCGGTTCACGGGGTCCATCGCGCTGTGCCTGCTGTCCTCGCACTTCTATAAGCGGCTCGGCTTTCGATTTGCCGAGGCTGGCTCGTTCCAGTACCGTGGCGAATGCGGCGACGTGAGTGAGATTCTGTCCCGCGACATCGAGACCGGCAAGGTCGTTATGAATGCAGTGGCGAGCATCGACGACGGGGTGAACATGGTGGATCTCATATGGGGAGGGCATAGCCGGCAGGATATAGCTTCGACCGCTGATCTGCTGAGGGCGGAGCTTTCGCGTGAACGCCGGTCGGTCGAAGAGGCTTGATGACCAAGAGTTCCGGCGCTGGATGACGCTATGAGTTTTTTTACCCTCTCAGGCGCAATGGCGGTGATATGTCAGGACCTGCTTCTAGTAAGACTACAAACCATTCAACTCGACCCTCCGCTTCAATACGTTCCGCGCCTCTCCTTCGCTGAGATGAACCAGCCCCATTTCCGCCAACGCCTTCCGTGCTGCTTCATTGCTTTCGAAAATCAGTCGCTCAGCCTCCCATAACCCTAGACTTTTCCCGTTGCCGTCATCGCCCGTAACTCTCCTGCCTTCTTTGTCATCGTCGTCGCCGTCGTCGTCGAACCCCCAACCATCATCCTCAACGTTGCCTCCATCCTTGGACGCGTCCAGAGAGAGTAGGTAGACGGCCTCTTCAAGCCGTCTGAGACTCCCCCCTGCGGCCGCCCGTAATTTACTCTGCTTCTCAATACTGGCCTTGATCTCGGAAAGGTCTCTGGCGAATTGAGCCGCCCCGGCCGCCGAGAACGTGTGGTGCATCAGGACGTTGTCATAGATTTCGCGCTGCAGCGCCAGGCAGTAATGCTTGATGATGCGGCGCTGCGAGGCCGGAGCCAACACGCGGGACAGATAGCCGAGGAGGGTGGCTGTGGTGTTGAAAAAACTGTCCAGGCTGGACGAGGGCGGCATGGCCGCCGGATCCGAGGGTGACTCGGCGAGCGATGACCACTGCGCAAACTTTGCGTACGGGCGCAGCGCGGCTTTCAGGTTGACGTCGAAGAAGCGGAGCATTTCCTCTTCACTGCGCTCACGGAGACGGCGATATGCCGAGGCCGTCTGGTCGAACAGGCCGCTTCCATCGAGATCAGCGTCGTCGTCATCGTCATTGTCGTCGCCGCCACCGCCACCGTGTTTTGTGCCATTCGCCTTGATGGCGGTGGAAGTCTTTTCCGCGACGTCTTCGACTCTCAGTCCTGTGCCCACCGAGGCGTCATGGCCGCTGTTTGCTCTGGCGCGGTATTGCAGCTCGTCCCAGAGTTCGAGGAAGAAGACGTCGTCGCTCCAGTCTGACATTTTGCGCTCGAGGAATTCGGCGCTCCCGAAGACCTTGGCTAGGGATTCGAGACCTTTCAGACCGAAGGCTTCGGCTTCGCTTTGGCCCTGAAGGAGTCGGCCCGCCGTGTGAGATGACACGAGGTATGCTTGTAGAGCGCCGTGGAGATGGCTGTGATAGTCATCGAAGATGGACAGCTGGATCTCGAGAAGGAACTTCATCTTTTGGCTGAACGAGGAGAGGCTCCGGTATCGGTCCGTGATGGTCTCGAGGAGGTCGTTGACGCGGATCGCGCCTTTCGTGGGCTTCGTTTGCCCGGACTCGGCGTCAAAGTCAATGTCATTGCTATCCGGGGCATCTCTGATGCTTCGGTAGCGGGAAAGTGCAAAGTCTTTCTCGACTCGTAGCCAGGTGTCGAAATAGCCGTGCGTGTTGAGCATTCTCCAGGTCAACCCTTTCCACTCGGCCACCATTCGGGGGATAGGAACATAACCCCATGTATCGCGAAGAGTGGTGTCGAACGCCATTAGCTCGTGCAGGAAGTGGGACAGTAGTTGTGGTTGCTGGGAAATCTGTGGTAGAAAGGACAGACATTTTGCTTCAACCATGGGCAGCAGGGCAGTGATGAAAGCCGAGGTGGCATCGGTGTAGATCGACTCCAGAGTTTCTGAGTTCACTGCTCTTTCATCGAGGATGGGGCCGAGCATGTCGTTCATGAAACCGCTGTGGCGCTCCAGTAAGTCTAGGACGTGTGTAAGGTAGTACTCTGGTTTGTCCAGTCGATTGGTCGGCTTGTCACCATAGAAATGGTAACGGAACCTCACCGCGAGAGGTTGGACCATTACTGCGAGTGGGAGGAGCACCACGGGATCGGGAGCGGCAGATCGACTTCGAATGTCGATATCTGCAAATGCTTCAATCAGGTCGGGATCTTGAAGTTCGAGAAGTCGCCGAGTCTGTTCCTCCCATTCCTGGCGCAGACGTCCCGAGAAGTTCAGCTCCTTTCCAGGCCATTTCATCTGCTCTAGCGTCTTCCGAAGCTCGTTTTCCAGAGCATCTCTCAAGGTCTCATATAGCTGCTTGGACGTCTGCTCGAACAGATACACGAGCTGAGGAGCGGCTCCTTCGGCGACTGTCTGTGCATCCTGGACGTGTTTCCAAAGGGCTCTTATCCGATTGTATGCCTTGACCGATAGGGTCGATCTCGCTTCGTCATTCAGTGTGTTCATCTGCTGGACCATTTCAAGGTAGGCTTGAGCAATCTCTAAACTGCGGACCTTGCTCATACGAGCCTCGAACTTTTGCGCGGCATCGTCGCTGACAGATGACCTTGTAAGCTCGTGAAGCCGCTCGTTCAGCTGCGCCTGCTCTCTTTGATATGCTTCTGCTTTCGTCCGCAGCTCGTCTGATCGCTCATCAACCCGCTTTTGTGCATCGGTAAGGTCTTTTCTGGCATCTTCTAGCTAATCCATCGTAAGCGTTGTGGACTTGAAAGAACCCAAAGACTCAGAGCATACCTGTCTCCGCAATAGATCTTGTTGTTCTTGTACTCGTTGTAGCAGAGAGTCCACCTGCTCAAGATCCGCCGCGGTTTGGATCTTGTCATTCAAGTAGTCGTCCACTCTGGTTCGGACGTCTCCAGTCTTTGACCGCTGAAGCTCAGCCATGTGGACTAGCTCGGGCAACGGTCTGTCTTGTTTTGGAGCCGAAGGTGACATGGGCCAACGCAAGCAGGTCTATGCTGTGTGTGTGACTTGGAACATGTGTCTTTCCTGATTCACTTTTCTCCAAAATGCGAGCAGCGCGTCATCGAGTTGGAGACGCGCCACCACCGTCTCGAACCTGAGTGTCATGAAGTCACAGCAAACTCACTTAATGCTCCTGACATATTCAGACCACAAAATGATAATGAGATAACTAGGCACCGTCGCACTGGCCACAGTGCCAGTGTCAATGCATAATCGTCATGGAGAGCCCAGCCAAGAGGCGGAAGAAGAACGACTCGAAGCCCAGCGCGGTACCGCATCGCAATCTCGACTTCTTCTTCCGCAAGCAGAACGACAAGAAGCAGGACGCGGCGCACGAATCTGCGGAAATCGGGCGCAAAGACGTCGTGCAGGGCCTTCCAGCTGGCAAGGAACAACTCTCGGACGAAGAATTGGCCAGGCAGCTGCAAGAGGAATGGGCAAGAGAGGACGAACCGGGAGAAGATACCCGCCCTGATTCTAATGGCCACATTTCGCCGGGCAGAGCGGAAGACAGAGAACACAAGGCGGATAAAGACCGCCAGGAATTCGTGGCCGCTGCGCTGAAGGATACTCCTCCCCCGGAGACTCAGCAGACAGCCAGTGTCCAGAGGAAGGGAGTCCTCGGTCTACAATCTACTGCTTCAGACGAAGACACGATCACCTTGACCGTGCCGTTTGATCAGAGTCCGTTGACATACGACCCTTCCCAATATGTCTCTGAGTTGAAGAGGCACTGGGCCGGGGACGGAGGAGATGCATCCTACGCTCTCCTGACCAGATGTTTTGTGCTAGTCAACTCTACCCAGAGCCGTATCAAGATCGTCGACACACTGGTGAACTGCCTGAGGACCATCATTGAAGCAGATCCAGAGAGCCTACTGCCTGCTGTGTGGCTAGCCACGAACTCCATCTCACCGCCATATATCTCACTAGAACTCGGACTAGGCGGCTCGGCGATTTCAAAGGCACTGAAGAAGGTCTGCGGCCTAGATAATGCAGGCCTGAAGACACTCTACGATAAGCACGGCGACGCAGGAGATGTCGCATTCGAGGCGAAGAAGAGGCAGAGCTTCACGCTCAGGAAACCGAAGCCTCTCACCATCAAGAGCGCCTATCAAACGTTGGTCAAAATCGCAAACAGCAAGGGCAACGGAAGCGTGGAGCAGAAGCAGAGACTGGTCGAACGTCTTCTGCAGGATGCGCGAGGACCAGAAGAGTCTCGATATATCGTGAGAACATTGGTTCAGCACTTGCGCATCGGCGCGGTCAAAACGACCATGCTCATTGCGCTAGCACGGGCATGTCAGCTCTCTCGCCCGGCAGGCGCAGACTTTCCCATCAGAGACACCGTCGAGCTGTCGAAGCTCAAGAAAGAGGAACTCGCCGTGATATGGTCGAAAGCAGAAGAAGTGGTCAAGACGTGTTTTGCCCGACGGCCGAACTACAACGACCTCGTCCCCGGCTTGCTGGAAGTCGGCGTGTCAGATGAATTGCTCCTGCGGTGTGGTCTGGCATTGCACATCCCTCTCCGACCCATGCTTGGGAGCATCACACGCGACCTGAGTGAAATGCTCACCAAGCTCCAAGGCCGAGATTTCAGCTGCGAGTACAAGTACGACGGCCAACGCGCGCAAGTGCATTGTGACGACCGCGGCAAAGTGTCCATCTTCTCCCGCCACCTCGAGGTCATGACGGACAAGTATCCCGATCTTGTGGCCTTGGTGCCTGAAATCCGCGGCGACGGCGTCTCCAGCTTCATCCTCGAAGGCGAAGTCGTCGCCGTGGACAGAAACACAGGCGAGCTGAGGACCTTCCAAACCCTGACCAACCGCGCGAAAAAGGACGTCGACATTGGATCGATCCAGATTGACGTCTGCCTCTTCGCGTTCGACCTGATGTACCTCAATGGCGAGCAGTTACTTGACCGCCCCTTCCGCGAGCGCCGCGGCCTGCTTCGCAGCATGTTCGTCGAGAAAGAACACCACTTCACGTGGGTGAAGAGCATCGACGCCACCTCGGCCGACTCGGAAACCGTGCTCGAGTTCTTCAAGTCCGCCACGGACATCAAATGCGAGGGTATAATGGTCAAAGTCCTGGACAACCTACCAAACCCGGACCTCGTGCCCCCCGAAGATGAGGAGGACCACAACGACGCCGACAACGACACGGCTTCGCCCGCTCCGCCTTCCCTCCCAGTGACGCCCAGCAAAAAGAGAGCCAGCACGACCACCAAGCGATCGGCTCCCTCCGCGCACGGAGACAGTGAAAAGGAAAAGGAGAAAGAAAAGGACAAAAGCAGCACCCGGCGAAAAGCGCTCCTGTCGACGTACGAGCCCGACAAACGGCTGGACTCGTGGCTGAAAGTGAAGAAAGACTACGCCCAATCGGCCGACACGATCGACCTCATCCCCGTGGCTGGCTGGCACGGCCAAGGCCGCAAGGCCAAGTGGTGGTCGCCCATCCTCCTCGCATGCCGCAACCCGGAAACCGGAAGTCTCGAGGTCGTCACCAAGTGCATCAGCGGCTTCACCGATAAATTCTACCAGGCCAACAAGGAAAAGTACAGCGAAGAAGGCCAGAACACGACGCGCCATAGACCGAGCTACGTCGAGTATTCCGGCCCCACGCCGGATGTGTGGTTCGAGCCGCTCGAGGTCTGGGAGATGGCGTTTGCGGACATCACGCTGAGCCCTACGTACACGGCGGCGATTGGGCTGGTGAGCGAGGAGCGCGGGCTGAGCATGCGATTCCCCAGATTCCTGAAGGTCCGCGAGGATAAGAGCATCGAGGAGGCGAGCACGAATGAATTTCTCGCGGCGCTGTATAGAAAGCAGGAAGCTAAAGTCAAGGACACGGCTCCTGGCCCGGGCCAGAAGGCACGTGGCGGCGAGGACGGTGACGATTTTGGAGACCAGTAATTAACGGAGGCCTCTGCGAGTCGTCAGTGTTCGATCTTGAAGATTTTGAAGTTAGTCCGTGGCTTGGTTCTGGTCTTCTTGTATTGTACCCATCCAGGAATGAATGCTGAACACCAGACCCTTCGTTATGTCGTGTGGGCATTGCGGGACTTTTCTACTCTCTTCGGTGCCGCGGTATCGCAAAACTGCAATGTCCTTCGGCTTTGCTACGCCTGCAGAGTATTGCCTCTCACACCAAGCATTGACGCGTTATTCCCTATACAAACTCCTCAATGTTAGGATATCACGAGCCAGCGTGGTGACAGGCTATATAGCCGGAGGCCAGGCTGCCAACTGTCATCGAGGGAGACTGATTACCCAGAGAGCTGTCCCGATTCTGATGGTAACGGCCGGAGGACGGGAAAACCAGACCACCCTCAAAACCTAGTGAAAAGGGGGAAAAGTGCAAAATAAAGCGAGCATGATGTGGCAATAAGGTCGTGCTGCAAGCTGCAAGCTGCGGAGGGAAATGACCAGCGAGCTAGTGACCCTGCGTGCGCGCAATTTGATGCAACAAGAGACCATGAACACCGACTTGCTCAGCAGTGAACTGTAGAGAAGACTAGCAGGGGCAGAAAACAGCAAGGCAAGTCGGGATGGGCGAGACCGGAAGTAACGTCTGGCGACCAGGGCCAGGTTGCAAGCTGCTATGAAAGGAGAAGAACGAGCCGAGAATCTCTGCCGACGATCGAGACGGGAGAACGTGGAAGGAGAACGGGACGGGGCAGAGAGGCAGAGGCACCCGATTAGACGCGGCTACTAGAGTGAATGATGATAGGAGGAAGCCATGTCTGGCAAAGAGGTCGGCCTGCAAGCTGCTACAGCAGAAGAGCAGCGGGCCAGCAACGACCTTCGCCGATGTCGATGATGTCGGGGGGGCAAAAGAGACGCAATCTGGCAGTGGGTAAGCATTGTCTGGCAAAGAGGTAAGCAGCATTGGAAGCGAAGAAGCTGTGCTGACAGCGCCCTCTCAGCCGGTGTCAGCAATGGTAGCTTTGTGGCGAGGAACGGAAGATGGAACAATGAAGGAGCAGGAAGTGCAGGAAGGTGGAAGATGCACCAAGATGGGAAGCATGAAGAAAAGAAAGCAGCGAGCAACAGTAGGCTGTTATTCACGTGGAGAATTGGAAAACAGCGCCAATGAGAAAGAGAGTGAGGAGGTGAAGAGCGAGTGAAGATGGAGGTATAGGCACAAACAAATGCGCATAGACTGTTCGCAAAGCAACGAGGGAGATCAAGACTGAGAGAAGCCGAAGGCAGACAGGCAGATGTGAAGGACGGCACGAGAAAAGCCGCCCGCAGATGTGCATTACGAGACCAGGAGTGCAGGTGAGAAGAAGGAAAGGCTGCGTTATTGGAGATGTACTGTCTGGGCGATGGAATAGAGAGGACCGAGAAGAATGAACTCGAGGAGGACCAGGCGGGAGTTTGTAGGCAGGAAGTGTGATCCAGATCAGCGTGGATATTGTTCATCCTGCATAGAACTAAACCTGACACGATCTGCATTCTGAGGTTGGACCGTCATGATCGCACAGAAGAGACCAGCCTGTCCTTCGTGAGCATCAATACGGTGTAGTGGAATAGGTGTGGCGGCAAGATCGATGTGCGATTGAGGTGAGAACGACGACTGGTTGAGGCCTACAAAGAATGACCAAGGCAGGCACCAACAGACATTTCACCGTTCAGTGAGCATCAGCAACGTCACGCAAAGCAGAACCGATCAGAAAATCCGACTCAATCCTGACTGAATTGGCAACGGTAATTGCGCTCTCACAGTCAGAGGCGCGGTTGGAAATGATAGACAAGCACACAGCACCACTCGTGATTGAAGTCAAATGTGTTCGCAAAGTGATCAATCAACACGCAAGGCAGACGTCTGCAGATACGACCAGAGAGAGAACAACACATTGCCATTGAACAGCCTACTGGCTAGGCTTCGTCTCAGCAAGGACATCGATCCAATTTTGCTCATCCTTGGGCCGGCGAATGCCGTTGGCGCTGGGCAGGAAGGACTCGCCTTCTCTGGCGAACGCGATGAGCTGCTCTTCACTGCACCAATCTCCCATGGCCTGTATCTGGATTAGAAGAAGAAATGTCAAGAGGGGGAAACACCTACCATAACGCCGACGGGGACGTTTTGATCCGTGTAGCCCATTGGGCAGCTGATGGCAGGATTGCCCGTGAAGTTCGCCAGATATACAAACTCCATGCTCCGCAAGCTCATGTCACCATCACTCACCCCGTAGCCGCTGGTCAGGTCGGTGGGATGGCCAATCTTCCATCCGGCACATGGTGTCGTTGGTGTCAGTATCAGCATGCCCGGGTACTTCTCCCAGAGCCATGCGAGGTGGCACATGAGGAGGTTCCGTAGCTTCTGAGCGAACATGAAATCTTGGGCCGTGGCGTGCCCACCAGCGATATTCAGAAGCAGTTGACTCTGCCACGACAGTTTCGCAATCTTCTCGCGGGTGAGCTGGCAGCGACCCTCAGAGAGGATCGTCACAGCATGCGCTTTTTGTCCCTCCGGGATGTAGGGAATCTTGATTTCGACGACTTCGTAATCCAGATTTTTGACATACGCATCAACCGCGGCGTTGAACATGTCCAATACCACCTTGTCGGCGCGATCGACCCACGTACGGTCGATGGCCAGAAATTTCTTCCCAGTCGAAGGAATGAATGACGTACTGACGAGGCTGCTAGGAAACCCAGAGCTTCTCGCTGCGCCCAGGTCCGGTTGAGCCATGACGCGATAAGCCAGAGCCAGGTCGTCGATGCTGCTGGCCATGGGGCCATTGACTGCTACGCTGTCGATCCAGTCTTTGCTTACCCTGGGAGATACTCGGCCATGAGTCGTTTTAAGACCGTAGATACCACAGAACGCCGCTGGCAGTCGAATTGACCCACCGCCGTCCACTCCGAGAGCAATGGGGACAATGCCCGCCGCAATGGCAAAAGCAGAACCACCGGAGCTGCCGCCTGTATAATAGCCATTGTTGTGTGGATTCAACGGTGTTCCCCATGTCTGATTGTTGTTCGTTGTATCGAGACCAACCTCGTGCATATTCGTCTTTCCGATAATTACCGCACCTGCGTCCTGCCACTTCTGGACACACCATGCTGTTCCACCGGTCTTATCGGTGAAGTCGAGCTTGCTTCCTTTAGTTGTTTTGTAGCCCGCCAGGTCTACCTCGTCCTTTACGGCCAAAGGCACGCCATCGAGTTGACTGAGCGGCTTCCCAGCTCGATATCGTTCGGTGGAGGCCTTGGCAGCGGCTCGAACAAGGTCAACCTTCGAATCGATGAACGCGACGGAGTATCGGCCGGCGGGCTGGATGTCCCTTCGTATCAGGGGCAGGAGCTGCTCGACGACATCGGACGGTGTCAGCTTCCCAGACTTGTACAGTTCATGGTAGTCGGCGCATGTGTAATAGTTTGTGCTGGAAGCGCGGGGCCGCACTGCTGGAAGTTCTGTCAAGGCACCCAGGGGCTCAGCCGGCTCGTGGCGAGGCCAGACAGTCGGGTCGAGGCGGATTTCATACTCGTCAAGATGCGGCGTGTCTTTGAGCTTGTCGAAGCGATTGAGCGTCCAGAAGATGCGTTGTATCCAGTGGGACGACGCAACACTGAAGATGTCGTTAGTTGCATGCCGCACGAGAGGAAATCAGCCATCCATACACTCTGGAGAGCACGGCTAGCGTGGCACCGCGAAGGACGGGATTCGAGTTCGCCTCGTTCTTGTAAGGCACATCAGGACCTTTGCGAACCTGCGGTCTGTTCAAGAATGCGCTCGTGTGCACTCCGCCCACAGTAGACATTTCGTCTACGTGTACGCCGTAGCTTCGAGATCCAACCACGTTTCGTAGACTTGGTGTTTACCGCGCAAAGCGAGTACATCAGGCAGTCGGAGGAATGGCTGGCGGACGAGCAATCTTATATCATTATCTTCTTCTCGCGAAATGAGCACCAACAGGGATCGTACGACGGTATTGCTTTCATGACCCTTTTGGCAGGCTGACTCCCCAGGTTCGACGAAATGAGGTTGATTGGTTGCTTCTGAACAACGAGCTTGACCTGAAATCGGGAAACACGGAAGCGAAGGCTAGCTGAACTCAGAAACGGGGAAGCTGACAGCAAGGCTTTAGGCAAGCACTTTCGAAGCGCCTTCGCTAACATGTGACGGGCCGGATACCCTTTGCTTGAGGGACTACTCCATAATGATATTGCCACTAGTCTCTCAAGTCTGGGTAGGCATCATTTTCGCAGTTGAGATGAGATCCGCATTACAGTGACATTGTTATCACTCTGCAAGCGGCGAGAGGTCTGGAAGGGGTTCACCCTCTCACCTCCGCATTGCGGCTCCATCTCATGTTACATTCGTGCGCGTCTTGACTTACCTAAAGCGGTAGCCGGTGAGCTGGTGGAAGCACTCGTTCCTAGCGTCAATGTTGAGGGCATCCAGTCGGGATTTGCACACTGATCTGCTGGTTTGAGTAGAAGCTGTCGTGTGGGTGTCTGCCTCACTAAGCAAGGGACACGTCGAATCTGAGCAACACCCCAAAGTCAATATAGCCGCGGGATGAAAATCACAGTCCGATTCACCTGCTGTAACAACAAGACTCCTGATTTCCCCTGTTGCCGGGCCGAAGATGGAACTTGCCATTCAATCCACCAACGCCGGCCCTCGAGGTTCCGGCTACATTGTGCATGATTGCGCGGCAACGTGTTTGAGGGCAACAGCAAAGCATTGCGGTTCCTGCTTGTTTGCGTGTGGAGTCGATGGAGCGAAAACGCCAGGAGCCGCTGTGCCCACAGGATATGAGTCGGGGATGTAGGATAGTATACTTCCCCAGCAATAGCTTCTACATTTAATCCTATAGATACAACAGCCACTTGCATTTTCAACTTGCGAGTTGGCACTCCTTGGCCCAGCAGCTCATGCTTTGCAACATTCAGCCTACCCTGTCGTGGAGAATGTCGATGCTAAGCCTCCACAAAGCCTCACCAAGCTCGTCGTCCTGTGCCTGTGAACTCGGGCTTGTCACTTTCTTGTCCGGCACAATGTACTGGCCACTGATTCCCTTCTCTTCGATCTCTGGACTAGTGGCGGCATACAGCGCTGGGCGACATCCCTCCGACACTGGATCTTTCATGAATGGTCTCACAAGCTTATGGCCGATAACGCCAATCTTGCCATAGGCTTCCTCGGCCTGGAGCGGTTGATCCGTGGCAACACCTCCAGGATGCACCGCATTGATAAAGATCTTCTGATCCGGTTGGAAGCCCAATTCGCCAGCCTCCTTTCTTCGCTGGAGCGCTCGAGCCATCAGGATTTGAGCAAGCTTGGTTCGATTGTAGAGTCGAGTCGGGCCGATGTCGGTGTTGATCTCAGCTTCGTCCTTGAATTTTGTGTCGGAGGCCGCGCCTCTGTGCAATTCGGAGGATTCGAAGACCACCCGCGCTCCAGGGGTGCGCTGTAGCCGAGGAAGCAGCTTTATCAGTAGAATAAACTGTGCGAGGTGGTTGACTTGGAAATGTGAATCGAGCTTGTCCTTGGTCTCATTGTACACCCCGACTCCGAGACCAGCATTTAGAATGAGCTATCGGGCCTGTCAGCGACTGCAGCTGGATATGTGAGTGATGAATTGTCACTGACCCCATCCAGTCTGTCCTGCGACTGGGCCAGCTCATCGGCAACCCGATCTGTGAACTTCAGATCCTCTAGGTCACATTTGACCCAATGGGCTTTCGTCACATCTCCATACTCCTTCAACTCCTCAAGCGCAGAGTTGGCGTGTTGCTCCTTGTTCGACAAGATGGTGACATTTTCAGCCTTGTGTTGAAGCAAATGAGCGGCAATGCCGAAGCCTATTCCTGCACTTCCTCCTGTGACAATGTAGTGCTGCGCAGAAGGGTCAGAAATAAGAGATGACTTGGGAACAGGAGAGAGGTTGCCCACCTTGCCCGACAGATCGGGAATATCGTCGTCTGGGTTCAATTTGTTGCTACCAGGTAGAAGAGATGACATGTTGCGTCTTGCGTGCTTGTTGGCAGTAAGAAGGATACTTGTCCTGCTGAGTTTTACGTTACCGACTACTCTCAAGGAAAGGCGCATCCGGTCGCAGTGAGACAATATGGAAGTGACTCTGACGTGGTTGGGTGCACATACTTGAGGGTTAGATGCCTTTTTGTGCCTTCTCAGGTGGAACAAGGCCACATGTCCGCAAGGAGAGCTTTGATGATGACAGCTTTGAAGTCATGATGCGTTGATGGATGCCATCTCCGAAGCCAGAGGAGCCTGGAGGGGCAATGAGGAGCCTTGCTCCAGATCTGCCAAGCCGCAAATGACGTAAATCCAGATCTGGCAGCCGAAGCGCCCCGATCCATCTGTGGCAGGCACACAAGAATATTTTAGTGTGGAGGCACCCGGTCCTTGTTCCAACTAAGTATGAGTGCTTCAAGATCGATGTGGGCGATAAATCCACCCAAGGGGTGCTTGAGATTTCCTAGTTTCAGAGGACCGGAACCACTCATACCGTCCATCCTCCTGTCCACAAGGGTCCTTATGAGACGGCCAGGGTGAAGGGGCTTGCCATGACTTTCGCCGCTTGACCATGTCTCTTAAGGAACTCCTATGAAAGTCTCCCACTTTTGCGACCATCGCCTGTAGACCCTGGGTGGGCGTACCACAAAACGGTGGAGCCTGACCTTTCCACATTGATTGATGAAACTCCGCCCACAGCCTGCTCGCACCGAGTCTTCAAGACGTGGTAGAAAAGCCTGAATAAGTGAGATACGAGGGGCTCTGTCGTATTCTGGTTATGCTTGTGAAGAAACCTCGAGTTCTGGAATAGACGGGGAATAGAGTCCGAAGCGAACTTACAGCGGATATTTCCTTGGGCCATCACTTCCAAGAGACTAATTATGGATGGCTAGCATCGTCCATCAGACATCCATCAGGAGGATTGGAGGGCAAGACTTGGTTTGCAGAGTGATGCCGGAGGAACAGGGGACCTTGAGATCCTGCCGTTGCATCACCGGCCACCACACAGTCATTGATGATAGAGGTGGTCAACCAGCCAAACGCTGCAATTGTCAGGAGCTTTGCTTCAGCATAACAGTCTTAATCTCAAGCAAGCGGTGTGTAGTGGATGACAAGTAGGAGCGGACAGACGATTCGACACGGTTGTGTGATTCCGACGAGGCTGAACCCGTAGAAGCCACCTCGCGTTTTACACGATTTGTTCAGGCTTATTCAGGGTCCACCGGCCACTTTTTGGCAACAACTATTTTCACACTCGTTCACGCAGATTGTTGCCCGCCGCGGGCATTTCTCTGCAGGCTCTGTACCATTCCATTGTCTTGCACTACCGCAGCCCTATCGGCGCCGCAATACTGTCCACGCCGTCCACAAACCTCGACGGCGCGTGCGCCAAACCGCAGCCATGTCTGACTACAACTACGATGAGGGCGGGCAATTCTTCCCGTTCTTTATGCTGACCATGGCCGGCCTGGTCACAGTCCCTCTCACCTACAACGTCCTCAAACCCTCGACAGACCTCGAACAGACGGCCTCCCGCATAAAATCAGACTTCCGACCCAAAAATGTCGACCTTATCGAGGCGCAGAGGAAGCGGCGGAAAAGACAAACCCGCAAGACGAAGAGACTCATAGCCGTGGTGTTGGGCTACGCCTTCATGGCCTATATGATCTATCTGATTGCTGTCACTCAGAGGACAATGCCGAAGATGTGGGATCCGTATGATATCCTCGGGGTATCGAGGAGTGCCTCGGAGAGGGACATCGACAAGTTCTACAGGAAACTCTCTCTCAAATACCACCCCGACAAAGCAAAGCCCGACACTTCAAAGAACGAAACTATCGACGACGTGAACAGCCGCTGGATCGAAATGACAAAAGCCTACAAAGCGTTGACGGACGAAGACATCAGGAACAACTATCTGCTGTATGGAAACCCTGATGGAAGACAGTCGACCAGCATTGGCATCGCGCTACCCAAGTGGATGGTCGAGGAAGGCAACCGCTGGTTCGTCGTTGCCTTTTACGGTATCCTGCTTGGAATCCTCCTCCCTTACACGCTCGGGAAATGGTGGTACGGCACACAAGCTCTCACAAAAGACAAAGTCCTTCACGCCAGTGCAGGCAACCTGTTCCGCGAATGGAAGGAAGACATCTCTGAGGGCGGTGTCGTGGCGGCCACCAGCGTGGGTCAGGAATTTACAGAGACCCTCAAGGGAGCAAGGAGTGATGCCGGAGCCGCCAAAGTCGAAAGCAAAGTGCTCAATAGCACCGTCCTGACAGAAGCAGACAAACTCCGCCTAAAGAGCATCGACGACCCCGTGCGCCGGAAAACCCTTGCCCTACTATGGGCCTACCTTGCACGCATCGATCTCGAAGACCCTGAGCTCGAAAAGGAGAAATACGACGTCGCTCCCACGGCCCTGCTCCTCAACAACTCCTTCACATCCATAACGCTTCCCTTCGGGGCAGTAAAGCCCCTCCTAGCATCCTACCACACCTCGCAGAATATCATTCAAGCCGTCCCACCCAACGGTTCAGCGATACTGCAACTCCCCAACTTCACGCCCGAAATCGTCGACAAAATCTCAAAATCCTCCAAGCGTGCGCCCCTCACTTTCTCAAAATTCATGCAGCTGCCGCCCTCTACACGTCGCAGTCTATGCTCAGATCTCTCTGACGCGCAATACAACCAGGCCATGGGTGTTGCGTCGCAGATCCCACGCCTCGTTGTTGCCAAAGCGTTTTTCAAAGTCGTCGGCGAACGTGTCGTTACCCCCGGCAGTCTCGTCCAACTGGTGATCAAAGCCCGCGTCATCCCACCAGGAACGCCCGCGAGTGAAATACCCCCAATCAACCCCCTCGACCTGGAAGACATCGACCCCGACGAAGGCGACCTGGACGCCCTGCACGGTCGTAAGCCCGCGAAGAACAAGCGCCGCAAATTGCCGGATGGAAGCTACGTCGACGACGACGCGAAAGACGGCTCCGTCCAGCCTCCGCTGGCGCACGCTCCATATTTCGCAGCAGAGCACGCCCCGCGGTGGCACGTCTTCCTGGCTGAAAGCCGCATGGACCGGATCTCCGTCCCACCCTTTACATTCACGTCCCTCAACCGTCCCATCTTCACGACCGACCCGGCTACCGGGAGCGTGAAGCCCACATTCAACGTCGTGACGTTGAAATGCTCGTTCCAAGCACCCCCGCAGATCCACGCCTTTCCGTTTGCCATGCACTTGGTCTGCGACTCATATATTGGTCTGGACGAAAAAGTCGACGTCGTCCTCGACGTGCGCGATCCCAAGGAAGCAGAGCTGGTGGAGAGTGACGAGGAGATCAGTGAGCCCGATGAAGGTACGCCCCCCCCCCCCCCCCATTTTTTTCGCAAACACACCCTCCATGCTATACATTCACGCAGCGCGCTAACATGACTCCCTTTTTCCCCCTTGCAGATTCTCTGGCCGGCCAGTTCCAGGCAATGAAAAGCGGCGGCATGTCCGGATCGCCTACGACGAAGCGCAAGCCCAAGAAGCGGACTCGCGCTCTCTCGCATGCCGAGGCGCAGGACGGCAAGGGCGGCGTCCCCGTCGCCGTGGCAGGCAACGTCCTCGAGGAAAGCGACGACGAGAGCGACACCGAGGGAGACGACGACGACAGTGATTCCTCAGAGACGGATACCGAGACCGAGGACGAAGATGCGTGATGGGCATGGTCCTCCTGGTCACGGCATGGCTGACGGGGGGTGGTGTGCGGGCTTGCAGTGGGTGTCGGCTCGGCAAAGCATACATACCTAGTTTCCCCAAGTTTGGAGCGTAGGTGGGCCGAGTCCGTGGATGGGATCAAATGTAATGTAACTACTCTGGCACAGATGGGTAGGTGTCGACTTGATTGCATGGGCCGGGCATGTCATGTGCATGGACTGGAAAACAAGAGTTATGATTCCCTGAGCGAGACTCTGATCGCGAAGTACTTTCGTTACTCGGCCAATGTTGTCGCCTAGAATACAGGCATAGAACGAGTCCCGAGGAGGAGAAGACGCACGTGGATGTGTGGTGATGAGTTTTTGATGTTGCGGTATGTAACTTTCTGTATAGCAAAGCAAGCTAACGACAGAGGTTCCGACTCAAACTTTCCAGCAGCTTCACCTTCCATGCACTATTTGCGATTTGTTCATGTCGAATATCTTGATATAGCAGTGGTGGGTGCCCTCACCCGGTTCTTAAGGAGGCGTGATGGATGCCTTTTCTTTGCGGAGCACGTCTTCTGCTCCGACTCATTGCTGTCCTGTCGTAGCCCTCTCACTTCCACTTCCAATCTCTGGCAATTTTTAAACACTGCAACCTTACCGACCCCCTCACGTCCTCTCTGACGACTCCTGCTCCTTCCGTATCCGTCTACTTCTTCCCACTCACGGTATCACTCACAGTGTTGGCCATGGCATTCATGCGTTCCTGGATCTTCTCGCGTCCGTCGTGCATGTAGGCGAGAGTCTTCTTGTATTGGCGGTCCTGAGATTGGAATGACAGCTGGGTGACAGCAAGCGCGCCGACGCCGAGCAGAGCACCTGCTCCGAGGATGGTTCGAGTTTGCATTTTGAGTGTCGTTCCGGGAGGGGGGAGGTTGACCACTTGTGTTGTTCGCGGGTGCTGGTGAGTTGACAGTGGTGAAGGTGATGGAGGCAATGGAGGAATGAGAGGGCAAGGTGGAGTCGAGGTTCGAAATGCGTACAGATCTGTTGAGTGCTCCTGCTGACTCCCTGCTCTACTAGTAGTGCAGGTACGGGACCGTCGGGTGAGTTGACGTTGTTGGTTTCAAAATGCCACGTGTGTGTGAGTTGAAGCGCTGTTTCGGGCAGCGTCGTACTTTCGCTCGAATGCCGGTAGAAGTGGACGAGACGGGCGCGGTGTCAAGAGGATGAGCCGATGTTGCTGAGGGCCAAACAGATTGTGTGCAAGGTGAGGAGTGGAGATTCACGTTGTTATGGTCAAAGGTATGCTACTGTACCTCTGGTCAGGCAAAGCCGATGTGAAGAAGAAGAGAAAGAGAAGAGAAACGAAATTGGAGTGCAGTTGTGCTTCTTACGTGTCCCGTGGTTCCTCGGCCCTCCTCCAGCCTCACGAATGGCACCTTCCCGGTGTGCAACGGGACTCGCGGCAGCCACCATCACATGAAACAGGTTGTTTGGCGGCAGGTGCCTTCCCCATGTTTGGGCGCTGGGCGATGGCGGGCCGGGGTGGCCACGGTGGGCTTTCCCCCGCACATGCCGATTGTCCCTTCTCCCCTTATCCTCCACACTTGACCTGGCTCAATCGGGCTTAGTGCTATCTTCTGCTTCGCACGGGCCAATTCCGACGGTTTGATTTGATCTGCTCAAGCGGCAGCCCTTTTTGAAGGCTTCGGCGATATTCGGGCTGCTGGATGCAGGTACCGTCCCTACGAGGACTTATCAAGGACGGAGGACGTAGCATTATTCAATGATGGAACAACACCTGCACAATTTTCGTAAAGGATTTTGTGCGTCTCCTAAGTAGTTGGTTTCCTCTTTACGAAGCTATCAGTGCCTGCTAACTTGATATGGCTCATCAGACTCTATACCATGAATTATCATGCTTGAGCTCTTGACTTGGCCGCCGAAGAAGGCCCCAGGGGCCCTGACCCGTTTCCGGGACCTGATAGGTCTTGCGGCGTTTTGACATTCGTTCAACTTTCAGCATCAACAAACACATCCACCTCACTGGTGTCCGTGTCTGTTCTCTTCAACGGCTTCTGGCCCTCGGGTACCATGGCTTCATGCATCTTTAGCTTGGATATCTGGTTGCTCAGGTGCTCGTCATCGTCCATCAAATTCGCATCGTTACGACGCACTGGTTGTTGGTGATTTGATGAGGTTTGACTTGGCTGGCTCTCAGGCGGTGCCGTGCTCGGTGGCCTTGAATCAAAATCGATCAGATTACCAGAAGCCTGCAAATGTTCTCCGGCATTCTTCTGTGCTGCTGGCGGCTGAGACTCTGTGGCAGGTTCAGATTGGTGCTTAGGCTCACGTTCGGTGAGTGCACCTTGTCCTGGTAATATGGGTGCTATCGACAAAATCTTCTCCACCAATTCTTGGGGACTGGCCTTTGGATCCCTGCAGAGACGGTGTGAGTAACGGTCATACATAAAGGAACGGAAACATACAAGTGCGCGTTGATAATCCACTCCAGATCTTCTTCGCCTTCTTCGGTCCCTCCTGGTCGAGAATCTACCCTCCGGAACAGCTTGGGCTTCCACTCGACGCCTAGCTCCTCCCGTCGTTTAGCTTCCTCTCTTTGGCGATCTTCAATCTTTGCCTTCTCCGTGGTAGCGACCTCGTGATCTCGCGCATGAACTGCCTGGACCGTCGACCTCCATAGCCGTTGTGATTCGCGTTCGCCCTGCTCTTCGATCGGCCGCGCCAAGGGCGGAGCATGCTTCGCGTGTGTCGCATCGAAAAGGACTTTTTTCTGGCCTGTCTTGGTGTCTTTGATGGTCATCTCGCCGGACCAGAACCCAGAGAGTTCAAACAGAGTTTCGCCTGTTTTTTCGTTTTTGATGACACCGCCGATAGCATTGTATGTGCCTCCAACCCAGCCTTTGGTCTTGAACTCGATATCTGCCGCGAGGCCGTTCTCGGGACATCGCACAAAGGAGTGGTCGCCCAGTTCGTATTTCATCTTGCCAAAAAGAATGCCTCGCGCATACATGTTGGGTTGCGTCAAGATGCTGCTAAGGTTAGTGATGCGTCCAGCCAGTATGTTGCCTCGTACATACTATTTCTCACCACCCTTCGACTTGCCTCTGTTCATGAATCGCAAGTAAGAGATGCCCTCCATCATGCTGGCTGCTGAGTTCCCGAGGAATTTACTCCGTGGTTTCAGCGTGCCGTCGACCCGGATGTGGTGTTCTGGGGCCATGAAGAAATAGGATGACTTGGGTGGATGGTGCGACGTCTGCTCGGAGATGTAGTAGCCTCGTGTATTGTCGGGATATTCCCAGTAGCAAGTGAACGTCTCTCCGAGGATCGGGTTCAACGGCTTCTTTACGCCCCTAGTGGACAGTCAGTGCGCCCCTTCGGCGACGGACCGAGACAACAACATCAACATACGGAGGTCTGATGTGCCAGCCGCTGAGGTAGAACTTGATGACCGACACAAATCGATCAACAGGATCCTCGATCTGGGGCATGGGAAGTAGTGTGTCGGGATGGGCCATGAAACTAGCCATCGGTGAGTTATTGTTTCTTCACATCTTGGGGCCCAGGTCCTACTTTGTTATTCTTTCCAGCATCGATCTTTCCTCGAGGATGAACGTAGGGAGGGTGACTCGGGAGAGGTCGGCGCCTGGGCGCAATTGCGAGATGATGTGCGAGAGGACTACACCGGTGTTAAAAATGTGTCTGGCTCGAAAGGCAACAGTAAGGTCTTCACCATTTCCCTGGTCTGGCTCAACCACAGTGGTGTCCTCGTCGACAGCTTCCCGTTGCTCCTCGGAGGAAGAGCGATTGCCTAAATTTTTGGAGTCAGCCTGTCGACAACCATCGCCCATTGAAGATTGAGAAAGTACTCTTCGATTCACTGCGACCGCGCAGCGCAGCTCCTATTGAGTGCTTCATTGTCTCGATTGCTCACCCTCATGCACGAGGGCAAGAATGTCTTTGTGGTGAAGGGCGCAGTTGCACGAAGCAGGAAAAGCAAACAGTATTATATGACGTCGAGGGGCTGCCGGATATAGCGGGGTGAGGGCTGCGCGAGGCGTGGTGGATGTGCTGAACTTGTCTTTCGCTGTTTCGGCTTGAACAGCATCCGTTCACCGCGAGCAGTAGATGCACATATGCGCTGTCTGCACTGATCTCACGGCTGCGAGCTGGAGTTACCTTGAAGTGTCATAACCCTGAGGAAAGACAGTCGCCTATTCTCCTCGGGATTTGGTTCCATTTGCTGCACGGGGTACCTAACTAAGTGACTGTCCAGCTGGACGCTTCACTTGCAATTGGGTGCAAGCTGTGAGCCTTAAGGACGAACCCCTGCACGAAGCACAGTGCTGCGTCATCCGCATGGCAAAATTGAAAACGTGCCTCGATCTGATTCCCCTTTTCGCTCCCTGTTGCTTCTATGGAGTACGGCTGGTGGCTCTTGAATGTATGCGAGGCTGACATCCCAACAGTGTAATTCCTTCCTCAAATATCTATCCCAGGTCGATAACCAGATTGACCAAATGCTTAAATTACCTCCACGTCCTGCAGTCTATGAGACGATGTTGCAGTCTTGAGCTGTGGAACAGTCGCATATCGGGTTCCGTTTCAACTGTTGCTATCCATCCAACTTTCACAATTCGGTCGATCTCCCTGTGTCACAGCTTCGAGAAGTGCTTCAGGCGCGTTATACAGCATAACGTGGAAATGCTCTGTGGAAGCTCAAGAGTCAGCAACGCTCCCGTCCGTTCCTGCAGTCTCATCATCAGCTCAGCAGCCCCTGCAGACTTACCTAATGCATGAACGCTTTTCAAAGTCTTCCAATTCTTGAACCAAACTATCCTTTCTCTAGGAACCATCTTGTCATCTGGTCCCTCGCAGAACGTCGCCCTGATGAAATTCTCGATTTGCTGGTTAGCTTCGGGAAGCACTTCTCCTGTCTCAGGGTTCTCATCGATGAGAAATTTTGTCCATACGACAAGATGCCTGATACCCTCCTCAACAAAGTACGGCCAGTCGTTGTACAGTATTCGATAGTCGGATGCATCGCGGAATGGTGCATCCGCGCTGGGCGTAACCGTGTCCCAATGAAGGCGTTCTCGTTGGATGTATGTGAGGACCGAGCCATACGTCTTCTTCAGATGGTGAACGTATTGCAGGTATCCTCGGAGTTGACTTGATGACCGCTGAAAGTGGTGGATATTGTTCGTTTTGACCAGTTCCTCGCACTCCTCCCAGCTGAATCTCTTGAAGTCATCATCACGCTTCATCAGGATGCCCATATTCTTCTCACTTTGGCCCAGCAAATAAGCCGGACATTCCAACGTCCATTTCTGTCGCGGCTGATTAATGTTCCACCAGAACGTCGAAATATCTGCATCTGGGTTAGGCGTGTTCCCTCGCGGTGTAGGGTGCTCTGAGTGTGGCATTCTCCCTGACTTGAGATCCCATCAGGCACCTTGACAACAGGCGCTGTTGTATAGTATGTATAGCAGGAGAGCGTAGCACTCAGTCACGGACACGAGCGTTGGAAACGGCGTTCAAAAAGGGCAAAGAGATGCTACAACGCGCTGTAACGATAATCAACAGCCCGCACGTCCATACCTGATTGGCTGGACCGCACCCGTTGAGCAATGATCGCAGGCCCGGTGGGCTTGGATAGCAGGAGTCTGGCAGCCGTGACAGCCAATACGTCTGGAGACCTTGCACTTAATACTTCCGAGCATTTGCTGCTCAGACGGCAAAGTTTGTTCGCCAAACAATGACGAATGATGAGGTGTACTATCGTGTCCAAGTGGAACGCCTCGAAGAAGAGTATGAGTGAATATCTCGAACGACAAAAAGAGCTGCCGAGTGCATCTGCAGAGGTCAAACTCTCTCAATCTTTTTCACTGTGTCCAGTAACTGTAAGCGAAGTATTACAGCTCATGAGACTAAGGAGAGGAATGCACATCATATCCTCGGTTTTTTGCCCATCTCTGTAGTTGTGGTTGCTTCCTCATGTAGCAGTTCCCTTCCTTGTTCTGGAGCTGCCTGCTCGCCCTGCGGCTGCCGATCAGGCTCTCGCAGTCGATGCCATACTGAGATGCTGGTGCGGTCTCAAGAAAGGCCGACGTGTCTTTGAGTGGTCACAACTCGTGAACGATCGCAGAGAATCGGTCCTCCACATCGAGATAACGCAGCCTGCCCTGTCAAACTATGGTCTATGGTAACCTTGTGACGCTGGGGGGACGCCGCAGCAGCATGGGTGTATACCCGAAGGTAAAGACCGCCATTACGGAGGAAGATTTCCTACTGATCGTGTTGCTTAACGCAAATTCAAGTGGAACTCCATGAGCACAGGGTGCAGCATACTGTCGTGGAGTTAGTTGCGGCCGAAGAGCGTCAGTGGAAAGAATGCATCATTCAGGGAAGACGTAAGGCTTTTCTCGGCCAAAGCCCGACGTCGATGGTCATAACTGTCCTCAAGGTTCAAGGACCTGCCGAACTTCGCTGCCGTCAATGCTGACAACATTGACAGAGCCCTGTGCTAAAGCGCTCTTGATATCAGGCCACGTGCTTGGGTCCACACATCGCTGGGCTTCCTCTATCAAGTATGTGGTGAAACCTGCTCTGGCCGAGCCCAGCGCGGTGTCTTTGACACAATAGTCACCTAATGTTCTCTCACAAGTTGATCAGCTCTCTGCCTTTTGAGACGAAAGGGGTACAAAGGCTCAAGTTTCGGGCGGCACGGTATTATCTCAAAGAGGACTGACCGGCAAGGCCAACGACATAGACGTGCGTTATCTGTTCGGCTGCCAATTCTTCAGCGAGGTTGTGGCTCACGCCCCCAGCGCCATAGGTAAGGTTGCCAAAGGAATCTGAGAAGGCAGAATACATTTCCACCTGAGGGTCTTGTCCTTTCTTGACGGAGAAACGGACATCAGAGACGTCGAGGCCGTCGATGATTTCTGCCCCTTTGGAACCCTGCACACAATGAACGGGCCACAATCTCTGCTTCATGGTTTGCTCCGGCTTCTTGCCCACCAGGTTTTGGACATCTACAAACGATTCGAACGGCTTGTTGTTGGGACCAGGGTGGTTCGTAGCGAACGAGATGTGGTCAGCCGGATGCCAATCTTGGGTGAGCACCTTCAAGACGAAACGCGGAGAGGCAAGAAGTTGGTTGATGAGCGGGACAATATCTCGACCTCCCGAGACGGCGAGGGAGCCATCCTATGACATGTTGGCAAATATAAATCTAGGAAAGAGCGGGAAGTTGCACACCGGAGGACAGAAGTCATTCTGCATGTCGACGACAATCAACGCTGGTCGGAAAGACATGATGTCTTGACGGTTCTCACGCGACCAAGCCGAGCAGGGATTTTGAACGGATGCTACATGCAAGTGTCTGCCAGTTCAAGGTTAGTAGATGCAAGGCTCAATTGCCTGATGGAATACTAGGTAACATGAATCGTTGCGAGGAGCAAGCGTGAAAATTATGGCTCGCCGCTATCCAAGAATACACACGTGCTTTGATAAGTTGGAAGGGACAGTGAAGGGATTTCAATTAAAGGGCCCGGAGGCACCAGAGGCACTGGGGGCACCAGAGGGGCCCCCAGGTGTCTGTCAGGTGCCTGCAGATAAGTGGCTAGCGCCTGAGCCAAGCCTTGAGTTGAGAGCGTCGGGGTCATCTCTCCCATCGCTCTGATGAACTTGCCATCAAGCCTTATTCACCGATTCACATTCCACACCAGCACGGAGCAAAACATCCCTCTCAACTCCACAGTCCTAGATATCACACACGGGTTCCGCTTGAGGATATCTGGCACGAAGTGACATGTGAGAACTGCGCTAGTCAATCGCCCGTCACTGTCACTCTCACCTTCCGCAGCCTTTATCTACCTGTCTTGCTACAGCTACATCGAACTCTTCCCGTGGGTTCTTTCGGCTATCACCTGCCAGCGACGACAGATCCAGCGTATTAAAGATCTCCGGACTCTACAACGCCGACTACACGGCAATATGTCAAAGAACATGGTGGTAGGTGTCTTGCGCCGTCACATCCAGCCCGGAGTCCTTCTCTTGCCTTGCCACAACCGAATACGCAGCGCCGACGCTCCTACAGGCTTGAATGGCGCTCATTTGCTGACTCGATGCAGGGCGAAGTGTATGCCAAAGTCATCAATGATGTCTGCGAGGCGTCACGGCAGGACTTCGAGGAAGGTGGCGTAGAGCTTGCAACCTTGGATCTGCTCAAGTCGGTAAGTCACGCCTGCGGCCAGCTGCACATCACTTTTTGTCGAGTCCCATCATTACTCCGGCCTGCACGAGACTTGAGCAACAAGTCGAATACTCGCAGTTGAAGAAAGGGAAGGAAGCGGCGATGTGTGGACGCTGAAAGGGTGTTTTGAGTGCCAAACAGGCTCCGGAGCACTGGGTTGGGACGACGGGTGGGCGAGGGCTGCGGGCGAGGCGGGGATCGGAAGGTTCTTGAATGCAGCGCCTGCTTTGAGTCATGGTCTCTTTTTATACGCCACCGCCAGCATGGCCACCCCCCAAATTGCCGCACTAACCCACATTTGGAACGCCCCGTGTCGTACCAGGCAGATCACGCCGTCGACTGATTGGACTAACCTTTTTCTCCCAGGAATGGCAGAAGAAGCTCACAGCACTCAAAGTTGCCCAACTTCCATGGGACCCTCCGCCAGCGCCTGCCATCAAAGAACAAGCAACCGTCCCCAGCAATGTGAAAGCCGCCCCCCAAACTCTCCCTAGCAATGGGGTCAGTGTCAGCACCCCTCCTATGCCACAACCATCGGCATCCTCGGTGGTCATCAAGAACGAACCCAATGCTGCACCATCCTATTCTACCCAGCAGGCGCCGCCTCAGGCTCAGCAATATCAAGCACCGTCGTTCCAGCAGGGTCAGCCACTGACAGCTCGAGACAGAGCCGCCATGAACCTCCATCAGCAGTACGGTCCGCGAGCCGGGGTCCAGATTGCCCAGCTCCAGTCAGGCGGTCAACCACGTGTGCCGATGCCACCAGCAGCACCGACTTCGTCCTACATCAAGCAAGAAGAGTCAAGCACTGGCTTTGATGGGGTTCAGGACTATTCCCCTAGTCTCCAGCTCCAACCTCGAGCAGTTGATGCGAGCCAGACCGATGGTAGTGGGGATGCCCGAGACCCATGGTCGACCGAGTTTGCTCAACGCAAGGCCCTTGCTGCGGCGCACTCTATAGAAGGCGATAACCTCATGCGAGCCCATTTTCAAGCCCGGCAACAATCACTCGAAGGTGGCGGTCTCTTAACGCCACTGGATGAGCGCCTCATTCCGGACAAGTCAACTACGCGAAAAGTCAACGCGTTGGGCAGCGCTGGAGGCGACGCCAGCAAGGCGGTGACTCCGAGCCTTGCACGTTCTCAAGGCGACGCAACGGGCGACGACGATGACGAGGAAGATGAAGACGCTATTAACTCTGACCTCGACGACCCTGATGATCTAGCGGCGGCCGAGGAAAATGGTGAGAATACTGACCAAGTCATGCTTTGCACATACGACAAGGTCCAGCGGGTCAAGAACAAGTGGAAGTGCACCTTGAAGGATGGTGTCCTCAGAGTGGATGGGACCGAGTGAGTGCTTTCTCGGATATGGCTTTTGTGCTTTGACCACTGACAAGCCTTGTTCAGATACGTCTTCCACAAAGGGCAGGGCGAATTCGAGTGGTGAATGAGGTGAAGTAGTCTATCGTCGATCAGGTCGTAGGCGATCTATCCAAGCGTGCTCAAGGACGAAACCCCTTCGCTGCTTGACCGAGTCTTATACGCGAAGATACCAGCCTTGCATAAAACGATGGATGTCGCCCCAGATTAAATCTCACGCCCGTTTGGGAGATGGGTATGCTGGCGAAGTCTGGATTTTGATGGGATACCCTGACAGCCCTTTTGCTCTGGTGCCTGGAGTTGTGCTTGGTGAGCTGCAACCACGCGGGCAGTCAACGAGCTTCAAGAAAAGGGAGGCGAGCCTTTGATTTGGTGCTGCTGTCGTTGCAGAGTTACAGCTTAGGCGCACACGAATGCCTCGAGGCCCAAATGAGTTATGTAAATGCGCGGACGATTGAGCTCAGACTCTGATTCAGGAGCAAAGTAAAGCCCTCCTGCAGCAGTTAATGATCCTTTTATGCTTCATATAAGTACTCAAGAGTCCGCGGTTCTGGGTTTCCAATAACCGGTCTCGCGGGCCAAGGCCCACCGTGATGCGAAACAGTGGAGTATTTGTGCAAGCCGCGCAGTTTTTATGACGTGGTGGTAACTTAGTTCTTTTCTTGCGACCCGACCACTGCACTTTACCCAAAAGTCAAAGGTGACGGTGACGCAACAAGTGCCTGCGCAGTGACACGCCCAATCTGGCCTTTAAAACCTGGACAGCCTCAAGTTCGCTTTCTGT